TATTTCCTACTTCTTAGTTTTGTCCGTGAGAGCTAGGAGCCAAGTAGCATCTTGGAGACTGACCCCTTTCTTCACATTACCGAGAGACCGCCTTCCTAAACGATAAAATTACAAATCTAAGTGACAGCTTTGACTTTAATACGGATATCGCAGCTCTCAAAGCCTTCCTATTAGTCATCGATTATTTCTACCAGATCTCCAGTGAATGCAACATATCCACATCGCTAGCCGCGGGTGTGTGTATAGCACCGCTGCTTTCGACGACACTCCTAGCCACTTCTGTCGCGTTTATCACAGATCGAGTCTCGGTACTCGTAGTTGGTGGTTCTGCGGTATGGGCGGGCGTCAGTGCGAAACTCAGCGTTGTGGTTGCTTGAAGATTCGAGGCCGCAAGACGTAGCTTCGAGGGCGTTAAAGACAGATCCAGCGTTGTGGTTTTCGAGGGTGGAAAACACAGGCTCGGACTGATGCTTAACTATAACATCAACGAGCCCGGACCCAGCTGCGTTCATAATGGCGTCGATGGTGACTCTTTCCTGGGCTGTAAGGCTGATAGGAGAGTTGTTCGTGGAAACAAAAGCTGAGCGGAGTGAGTGGGGAATGATGGAGACGTGATGCAGGAGAAGTAAGTGCCCTTTATAATCGCTCAATCACTCACGTCAGGCCAACAGCTCCCATTAAAAGGAGGCAGAAGGTCGTCCTGCACAGGTAAAGTGCTAAGCATAGCGTAGACACCCTGCCGTTGGTTAGCGTGCGGAGTTTTTGAAATTGTTAACATAGAACGATGGGGATGGGCGATAGATGGCGTGATAGATAATATATATTTCATGTAATGTTCACATCAGGCTTAGAATTGCTAGTATCAGGACGTTTTCGAAGGTATGAGAAGAGTTAGATGCAAATTGCCTCGCAATTGATTTCGATATCGGTGTGTTGGCTCAGAACTTGATGAAACTAGCACGATTGACTGGGAGGTTGCCGCTTCGTATCGACGTCGAAAGTTTAGTGGCCAAACACATTGCAATGTATCCGGAACAGGAACCATGTCTTTCGTGCACTTTGGCTGCGGTACTCCCAATTTTTACGGCCCTCAGGCTTCTTCAATGCCAGGCTCCGTCCGTCCAGCGGCTGTTGATGAGCGATTATTGGACGTCATTGCTCCTCCTATCCACCACACCTTCGTGATCACATCGTCCGGCTCGAGTGGCAAACCGCACCTGCAAACCTGTTATTCGCGGACGACAACCACTCGGCCGGAGATCCTTGGGCAGGAAGTTAGTTGATTCCAGTGACATGTGCATCGTTGCCATTTCCGCCCATCTGGCCACGGGTTGGCGTCTGATGCTTAAAAAATCTTCCTGTTATTGAATCAGGCTGCCAGCTGAACTCGTCAGGCTCGATCGCCGTGTATGACATTCTGCTGACTGCATGACCTTCCTGTTATTGAACACGACTTGGCTCGATGGCCGTCCTGCCGCGTGTCGACATTCGTCCCAAGGACTGCATGATCTTCCTGTTATTGAATCAGGGACTGGCAGCCGGGCTGATACCCGTCGAACCCGACTGGTTCGACGGCTGTATGGAGGTGGTATGATTTCATGCCGCGTGTCGACAGCTGTTCCGAAGCTTTGTATGACCTACCTTTTATTGAATCCGGCTGCCGAAGCTGAACGGCCAACTTGCTAATCTAACAAGTCGGTGTCAAGATGCAGCTCTCATATGTCTCGAATAGTATACCTTCGATCCCAGACACCTATCGGCATAGTCGGACTCGCGTCGAGTTTCCAATTCTCGAAGATCGAATCCCCAGTTTTAAGATTGGCCGGAGTAGCCGGGCGTCGAGGTCAAGGTTCACAGACAAGAGTTGAAGAGGGTGAAAAAGCGGCGTCTGAGAAAGAGGATCGCTGCCTTGACTTTATAGTCGAGGTCGGGGCAAAATGTTGCCGACTCGTGCTGGGCTAGTCGAGCTCGTAAGGTACTCACTACCTCTAAGCCAGGGCATCTAGTAGCACACTCTATCACTAATACAAAATGCTGTATAGAAGCATATTATACAATATAGATTCTACGAAACTAGATTTGAATAAAATATATCGAGAATCGAGATATTGGCGATGGGCTGGTTTTGAGAGCTCGGGCTATCGACAGCGACCGCCCTTCCCGAGTAAACTGTACCGGCAGCCTTACGAACCACGGCATCCTGCTGGGTCTCCTCAAATTTCTAGCTCGGATAACGACGGACAGATTGTTCGCCGAGTCTTTGTATTGTATTCGGCTATATTATAAGGATAAAGGTAGCGATTTCTACGTATTTGATCGAGGTCTAGGAATAAAGCCGTAAGATACCTATGCACCGTACTCTGTACCGAGCACGGGTACACGCAATGTTAGTATAATAAGTAAGAGCCAGTCTAGCTAGTCGGAAACGTAGATTTGAGAATCTACTGGTATACTATATAGTGTTGAATATGCGATGTGTTCATAAAAAGTGAGCCGATTGGCTCCCTTGTTCACCGGGGCAATTGGTTTAGTGGTATAATTTTCCCTTAGCATGTGACATTTGAATTCAAATGTTCTTACGTGGGAAAGGTCCAGGGTTCGATTCCCTGATTGTCCAATGAATAATTTTTTTTTTCCTCATTTGTTTTTATCGATCTTGTTTTTATAATTATTTTGCGTCTCGAGGGAAGCGACAAACGGGGCGAAGCGACGCCGGGACTGGTTCGGCTCGGGGGTCGTAGAAAACCATGCATCTTTGACCTGCGCACTCTGAGAGCCTCTCGTACTTCCAAGGATAATACGGTAAGGATATCTGAGGCCATACCTCGTCTTCTGCTTAGAAAATAGCAAAGCAACCCGGATTTATTATTATAGCTACTCAATAAGATAGAATATGTTTACCTATAAACACCCATATCTGGGGCACTGGCCAAGAGTATACCCGTTGGCAGCGTATAAGGCAAAAGTAGGATAACGATTTGTAAATAGCTTTACTTTACGAGCAGACGGAATTGGGATTATTATTATTGTACCCCAATGCGTAGGCTATCTAGATTGCATCGGGATCTACATAATTTATACCAAACGGGTCGTTCGGATAGGTAACGTTGGCATGCCGGGCTATCTAGGGCTTCTTTGTTCCACCGTTTAAACGTACTAAACCAGCCCACGTATAGTCCTTCTTGAAACGGGGATTAGCCTTTGCCGCGGCAAAATCCTTCATCATCTTGTCAATAATACGTCCTAATTGGCCCACGGATCGGCGCCGTTGATATCAACACCTGGCGCTGGTGCCCCATACTTATCATATCAATAGGCACTGAAACCCCCTGCGAAGGGTTTGCCGCTGTCCGGAAAGGAGGATGTTGCCAACGTTATATATTTAGTGATAATAGCGACCCAGGAGAAAGCCCAGTCAACAAACGTGTTAAGCTTTCTCGTGGTATAGATAATGTTTCGGATGGATTGTCCAGTCTTCGAACATCCATCCTGCCGTCCCCAAAAAGGCTTCGTGGACGCTCCGTCTCCCAGTTAACAAGCACAGCAACCTTGAAACCGGACGACCCAGTCACCTCTACCGCTCGCGATCATGTCAAAACTGAACTCCATCTAGAATTGGCTTGCACCGAGGAACACGCTCGAAGTCATAATTCATCCGGTAGACGTACATGTTGTGACGATAGGGAGAGTAGGCGTATGGAAGGGAGCCTTAACCAACGAGCATCGCTTGCTCTTGGTAGGCATGCTCAGTATTACTGACGATAAACATTACTGTCGCCATCGCCAAGGTTCACTGTCCGATTCCTTGATTGCCCAAGCTAGGCTTAGCACCGTCCTGATATCTTTTTGCTTACTTTTTTCGCATCAGTAAGCTATTGACGGCGATCTGTATGGCGAATTAATTTTTTGCCGTTGGAGGCAACCGTAAGGGAAATGCGGAACAGGGAAGCGAGCTCGGGGGATCGGAGAAAATCAAGCCTCGACTCGAGCGGTTGATATTATACCCGCTGGCTTGTTGAGACGTACTTCGTAGTAAGCTTTACCATAAATGCTTCACTACGTGCGAGAGTCAACCAACTCTGGTAGCGGAACGAGCGCCTCTTTCATCAGTCAGTAGTACCACCTGTATGGCGTCAATCTGTACCATGGGCTTGCCCCTCATATTCTTGGCAGCCATACGCATTGTTGCGGCGCGGCTGCGACTATCTTCTTCATGCTTCTCGTAAGCAATGTTTCTCTTGCTTGCTCCGTATGGCCGCTGCAGGTCAACTCAATCAATTTCCAGTTAGTCAACATGCAATATATCATTCGATATATTGTTTGTATTTCGCTTAAATATCGTTTCTCCGTGTTAGATGATGCGAACCGAGCGGCATTCTGGCTATTAGCTCTGTCTCCAACTTAGTTCCCTTTCCGCCTATGTTTCCTTTCCAACGCGTTTACGTGCTAACAGCTCATGATAATCGCATGCTCATATGCTAAGATGGGCCGACAAATCCCCAGGTTTTGCAAAATTCTGGAGATGAGTACCCCAGCCCTTGAAGAAATGTCAAAGATATTAGCAATCTTCCCAACAGCTAGGTGACGCAGTGTCAACCAGGGTTGGGATTGGCTTTACCCATACTGGACCGAATTACTGGGATATGTCAATCCACTTCTCGAAGCTCAGCTCACCTTCTCTGCATATCGGGAACGGCCCGCCCTCCAGACGTCCACCTCAGCCCGGTTCGAATACTTCCAATCTTCATGGGCGTGAAGAAAGAGCGTCGTACCAAACCGACAGGCTTCCAGGGGCAGTACCTAGATCCGGTATGCGTCCTGCAATATCCCCTCACTCCTGCGAGGGGGTAGCCTAATGAGCCTTGCAATTGGTTTCCAACACTCGTGGGCTAGTGCTTACTTGAATGGGGGAGAAATAATCATAAGTAATGGGGGTGTTTTGTTTCCAGTTCCAATCTCTTGTCTCTTATCGTGCTTTCCAGAAGTCGATGGCTATCAATATGCTCTCAATTGGTCTTCTTCTTCTCTCAGCTGCAGTTCAGATCCATGGCCGTTCTGTTGGCAAGTATGCACGGGTTGTCGGACCCGAGACAGCTGCAGCAAATACTTACGACTTTATAATTGCTGGCGGAGGAATCGCAGGCCTCACAGTTGCTGACCGTCTCACAGAAGACCCAGACAGTGAGCCAAGAATTCATACTGCTGTCATCTGCTCAGCTCTATTAACAACTCTCAAGCAACTGTCCTCGTCGTCGAGTATGGCCCGTTTGATAATGGAGAAGACTCCGTCCTGGTGCCAGGGCTTTACAACCCCGGGCCCTACCTTTGGCCAGTTTTCTTTAGTGCTCCACAGCCTGGTCTGAACAATGGTTCATTTCCTGTTCTGATGGGAGGCGTGGTTGGTGGTGGATCAACCGTGAATGCCATGTTTTTCCATCGAGGTTCAACTGAGGATTATGCATCCTGGGAGGCGTTAGGTAGTACGGGCTGGGGGTGGAATGATTTGCTACCCTATTTCAAGAAGGTATACTACCGGCATTGCATCTCGTTACACTATATCGTTCTATACTCACCCATAATAGAGTGAAAATTTCACGCAGCCAAATGCCCAATTTGCCCAAGCACGCAACATATCCTGGCAAAATGAAGTGCACGGCTCCAGTGGGCCAGTCCAGGCTAGCTACTCTCCATATGATTACGAATCTGGTGGTATGTTCCTCTTACCGTGCTTTCAGAAATCGTATTGTTGCCTAGGCTAAGACAAACGGCTTGATAAAGGGAACTTCTGGAACGGAGCTGCCAGCCTCGGAATATCAGCAGCCAAAGATTCCAACAATGGCGATCCTACCGGTATCTTCTGGCTCCTCCGTGTGCTTGACCCAACCAAGGGGTCACGCTCTTATGCGCGTACTGCACATTACGATAGAGTTATCAACTCGCGTCCAAATTACCACCTCCTCCCTGAGAATGCTGTGAGCAAGGTTGTGTTTAAAGGGAAGCAGGCTGTTGGGATTGAATATGTGACCCGGAGCACTGGAGTAAAATATACTGCTTCTGCGAAAAAGGAGGTGATTATGGCTGCCGGGTCTGTTCACTCGCCTCAGATCCTTCAGCTGTCAGGCGTGGGGCCCAAGCCGCTCCTTGATGGTCTGGGAATCCCTGTTGTAGTTGATCTTCCGGGCGTTGGCCAAAATTTCCAAGATCAACTGAGTCTCGCGATCAATTATAATTGTGAGTATGAGTTTGCTGGCTGCAATCATCATGCATAGCGAAGGCTATTATATGACTGAATGGTGATATGGCAATTTCTGAGTCTTCTATAATGTTGACTTGTGCTAACATTTCTCTTAATAGTTACCTCAAATCATGAGCCCAATGGTGGATCACTGAACTCAAATGCTACCTATGATGCAGAGCAGCATGCACTCTACAAGTCCACCCACCAGGGTGCATATACTCTCATTCGCACCACAGGAAACCAAAACATTGCACTCCCACTCAGAAACACCACGACGTCATACAGTTCAATCATCAGTGCCGCCCGCGCGAGGGACCCAGCTTCTGTTCTCCCACCAAACACCCATCCAACCGTTCTCAAAGGTTACAAGGCACAGCGCGACCGTCTACTCAAACAGTTCAACTCCTTCCACTCCCCAATTGGCAGCCTTTCGTGGAATACTGGACCCGCAACAACACTTTATATGCTGCACCCCCTCAGTCGAGGCACCATCGCAATTTCCTCCACGGATCCGCTCGCGAATCCCGTCGTCGACTTCCGCTCACTAAGTGACCCAACGGATCTTGATAACGTACTTGCTCTGCTCCGCAAAAATCGAGACATCATGTCAACCCCATCAATGCTAGCACTCGGCCCGACTGAAATCGCCCCTACCGGAGGCTTCACAACTGATGAGGAGTTGAAGGCAGTTCTCAGAGCGTCGACCCAACCTTCCAATGGACACGAGTGTTGCTCACTCCCCATGATGAAATTGGAGTACGGGGGCGTGGTAGATCCCAGCTTGCAGGTTTATGGAGTGAAGGGTTTGAGTGTGGTTGATCTCAGCATTTTCCCTTTCGAGCTTGGAACTGCTCCTTCTGCTACTGTTTATGCCGTTGGAGAGAAGGTGAGTAATCCTTAACCCATACACAACTTCTTCTGTAGAAACATCATGTTCAATGGATTCAATACTAACGCACCTGGATTATAGGCAGCAGATATTATCAAGAAGCGACATGGAATTCAGTCTTGACCGTCGAAGGATAGATACCTTGAGAATAGGATCCATCCTAGTTCTTCCGTAATTGAGTAATTATCGTTGCGACTTCGAGATATCGAAACCCAGAGACCTCTATATAAGCTCTATTAGAGGATTACTTCGTACAGCTATAATAGATGAAGAAATAAATCACTCCAATTCCAGCTCGATAGTTTCAACGTCCTCATACTTACCTAGGTAATTTAAGCAAAGCCTAGCAAGGTGAGTATGTTATATACTATCAATCCTTTGATAAATTCAACGTAAGCTACCTAGGTACATTAAGTACGAAAAGGGGTTGAGTTGCCCCTGAGTTCTGGCTCGCCTAGGTAGGTAGCTTGGCTAGGGTCTGTGCGAATGTCGCCCAGGTCGCGTCAATTCGCGACACCCCTCTGTTTCACGGGGTGCAGAGCACCACCAGCTCCCTCGCCATTGAAACAATTGATCCCCAAGTTAAGAGTAAGCTGTCCATCCTCGCGCTGCACTTCATTCCTCTTCTCGATAAACCCTTCGTTCAGAGTCCTGAATTCTGCAAGATGTTCGCCAAACTCACAACCAAGATAGCTCTCCGGAAGGCTGGAATCCGTTCCGACACCTTCTCCTTTCCTGAATCCAAGCCGGGCTCCAACGACGAGCCTTCTACAGCCCTTCCAATCGCAAACCCCTTTGCGAATCTGTCGGTCCCAAAATCATGGCAATCTTGGAGCACACCACCACCGCCGCCAGTTGAGGTGGCGCCCGCGCCTGTAATTGGCACACGATCTCCATCATCCCCGTTACTGCGATTGCCAGTGGCAGACGGCAGACCTACCGTCGTTGTGTTCCTAAGACATTGTGGTTGTTCATGTAGGTAGTGTCCGAGTGTCTATCGCGCCGAAATCTGCTAATTATTCGCTGTAGTCGCCGAGAAGACATTCCTTGAACTGCGCAGGCTGGCCAACAAATACCCCCGGCTTCAATTTATCGCCGTATCCCACAGCTCCCAACAAGCAACCGACAAGTGGGTGAAAGCCCTCGGAGGAGCATGGTCGGTTTCCGTAGTGGTCGATGAGGAACGGGAGATCTACGCGCTCTGGGGATTGGGCATCAGCAACACCTACCATCTGCTAAACCCATGGACGCAGGTGGCGCGGAACAAATTGGGCAAAGAAGAAGGAATATGGGGGAGAGAAGTCGATCCGAGCGGGAATCGTTGGCAGATTGGTGGGGGCTGGGCGATGGATGAATTAGGAACCGTCAGATGGGGTGCGGCATCGAAGACGGCAGACGACATTCCAAACTTGGTGGAAGCTTGTAAGACATTAGGTGCTATGTAACTAATAAATGTGATATTTATGATTCACTTATTACCCAGGTCTACCTTGTGATATTTCCCTCATTAGCAGCTGTTCGTATAGAGTGGAAGCTTATTAGTTTGGCAAGCATGGCATCATCAGCCCTGGAGACCTAAAGGGGACGGTTCCTCCGACACATGTTCTTGGAGCTCCAGGGAGAAAGGTGATCTTCGAGATATAGTATATATATAATATATAGAGTGCGTCCGATGGAAGCTAGGGCACGATCTTCGGAAACTTTTTCGATCTCGCGATGTCTCTCGAACAATACTACCTAGGTACCTACCTACCTTGGGTACTGTACGAGTACCGACTCTCTAAAATTGGACAAATTGCGTATCCACAGTACTACGCTAGAATACTAGCCTTGCGGGAAGTTTTCACGAACATGCACCGTCTACTCCTCGTGGCTAAGCTTGCATTAGTCCATACATAATTCCTCGAGGTTTTGCGGTGCTGGACGTAGTACTACGTAAGGTACTTCGTACTTAGTTCGACCTAAAGAGCGTGAGTGAGACAGGAACAAGTCAACAGTGGGGTGGGGTGTTGTGGACACTTCAACTTAGGGGCCATGCTTGCCATCTTAGTTTGGTGAACTTGTGAAGAAGCTTTCCAGCACCCACTCCCGCTACTAGGCCTTCTTGGGGGATACGAGTAGAACACTGTAACTCCTTCGCTCTTGGCTACGACGTTACTACGCCTACTGTAGCTAGCTATGGCTCACATGTTGGCGACGAAGTTCTGCAGTTCCTTACCTCTTCCGTTGCCTTGGATGCTTCCGCACCACTCCATATCCTAGCTGGAGAGACCAGGCGATATTATTATTAGCGATATTGGGGATTCTGGATACTAGCTACCGGTAGTGCTAAGGCCCTGAAGCTACGACCGATCTGGGAGGCCCCCCACAGTATCTCGGACTCTTTGACCTCTGTGGCGGCCTCCCATCGTATGTAGCTGTAGCAACAGCATGCATATGATTTGCTAATTGAAAGAAAGGGTTTCCAGATCTAAGACTCAAACATGTCTGTTCTCCGCCGGCCCCCCACGATCTTATAGGCTTATCCACGATCTTATAGGCTTATCGTCATGCCTCTTGGGTTTCCCTCAGCCACCGCCGATTAACTGTCGACTTTCCGCGGTCAGTGCCCACCGGCCTGAGCTTCCTCTTTTCCCCGTCGGCTGTTTGGCGTTGCCACCCGTCTTTTGGTTTTTCCACGGCGTATTATTATTGACCTGACGAGTCCCGCCCGGGATCTTTACTGCTGCCGGCCGTCTTGGAGGAGACGGGAGTCGCCCTCAGCCGTCGCCCGCAACCCGCAACTATTGAACGTATGAAGACACCCGCAACATCAGTTCTGGAGGCTTGAGAGCCCGGACGCCCTCCTATTCGGTGGAGGAAGGTTCACCGACAACTGCCTGGGACGTTGGGAGACAGATTGGACAAGGGAGGCCCGCCCGGCCCTAAAATCGTGTTCGGAGCAAGAACTCGGAACGGAACAGCACAGAGTGAGTACGGAGTAACTTCGGCTTATGGAAACGACGTCTGGAGAGGTCTTACCAAACCTTCGAACGTTATTCTAAAGCCTCGGAGATTAAAGTTGAACCAAAGCTATTGTGTCTCGGAAGGGATGTAGCCTCACAGTACTTACAGTAGTAACATCGTGGAGTGCTGGGCTACTCGAGATGTGGAAGACCTAAACGTTATGCGGAATCGGAGATATATAGTAGTCACGGTACTGTAGGTACTTTGGACGAAGTAGTAGTGGCACAAATCTTGGAGCCTCTCGATGGCGGGTTCCACCATCGACTCCACCAGCTCTACTCCAAGCTCCCACAATATTTCCCACCAGTTCGTGGCCTAGCCACCCAAGATTCCAAGCCTCGTTAATGCAGTCCCTGGAGACCTGGACCAGGACCTGCTTGTCAAACATTCTCCCCGCATTTTCTACTATCGAAATAATACCTGCATAAATCCATCTCTACCAGATTTCTATCTGTACACGGCCCGGTGGCCGGGGGGGGCTACAGCAGCTTGGAAACAGCTCTGAGTTCCAAACGATCCAACGAGAGGCTCAGCCTCCCTGGATCTAATGGTCTCGGATAACTTTCCGGAGGAAGGAGTCCAAGTTGGGGTACGGTAATGACCAGCTCCCAAGCCCTAGTCCCTGAAAACCCTGATGTTGCCACACATCTCAACGAGTGTTTCGCCAGCTGCTGGGCTCAAATCCCAGGTTCAGGAACGCACTACCTACTGCACGCACAGAGCATCGGTACCAGAACACCTGAACACGGCTCGCGCCTTACCTGGTGGAGCAGTCTTGTATGAGATTCAAAGGTTTGGCCGGTAGACTTGGCTAAAAGGGATGTATGGCAGGAAGTGGCGTTTGTAGTCCTCTGAACTAGATATCTACAAGAGGTGACCCACATCACATAAGCTTAGAATCGACTATGATCAGCGGTTGACTTCCCATTGTTCTTCATCTCTTCTATTGCCTGACTAGTAATCAGTTCCTTGAGCCGTCAATCGTCAGATTCAGTTCATAGTCACTACTCGACCGTTGACGGAGGATCGACGACCCCAAGGCCCGGCTTTTGGGCGGTCTAAGATATAGAATTGTCCACCCCTCATGGCCGTGATGCCGCTGTCGAAGAGTATCATTTTTGGTCGCCAGGAAGTCGCAGCTGCCCCTCTGCCATTTCCGGACCAGTCAACGAACGGCCCCAAACTTATTGCCCTCAATGCCACTCTCATGAGCATTACAGTTGCCGTCGTGCTTGCTAGGTTGTATGTGCGCAGAATCATGCTCAAGACATTGGGCTGGGATGATGTGTTTATTATTGCCGCTACGACTTGCGGCATTGGCAGCTTTGCAACCTATATCGGAGAGATTCATCATGGTATTGGAAAGCATATGCTGGCAATATTACCAGACGAGATGACCAAAATCTCACATTATCGCTATGTATGACAAACCCCTTTCTTGAAATGTCCTCGCTCCATTCTGCACTTCATGCTTTTGACCACTGCCTTCTATATCTTACCGGGGCAAAATTCCTCTACGAGCATGCTAACCTGAGCCATTTCTAGTTCCATTCAATAATAATAACATGCGGCATATATTTTGTCAAGTTATCGGCAGCATTTTTCTTGCTACGCTTGATCACAAACAAGAAATACAAGATATTTTTATACTGCATGATCGGTAAGTTGCTGCCCAAGGTGAAGGATTGAAGTTTGGTTCAGGACTGATGATTATATTCTAGCTTTTCTGGCATCCATGACGCTTGTGACTTCATCAGTGAGTTATGCGAGTTCAAAACCTTCGTGGAGTTTTATTAACCCTCACTTAGACACTTACCTTCTACTGTACTCCAATTCGCGCCTCCTGGGACTTCAGCCTCGTAATTTCGGGGGAAGCCAAATGCTTCGATAATAATACTTTCAAAGCCATTGTAAGGAATCCTCTCAAAGCAGTGTACTTCGGGCTATCAATAGGACACTGCTAACGCGTGGTATCACAGGGCTTGTTCAACAGCTGTAAGTCCAACACCGGAATGGGCTGATGGTCGATTTCACGGGCTAACACAGTTCAGGTGTAAACATCATAACAGATTTTATATTTGCCCTCCTACCTGTTCCTATGGTCGTAACCTTGCAGGTCAATATGCGAACAAGAATCTCTTTAATAGGTGTCTTGAGCTTAGGTCTTGTGTAAGACACCCTTTATGCCATCCCAACTTCCCATCCCCCCTTCGACGTCGCACCTCTATTTACTAACACGAAACTTCACAGTGCCTCGAGCGCCGCAATCGTTAAAACAGTCTACCAGAGTCAATTATTTGACACTCCAGACTGGTCAAGGGATGATAATTATTGGGTCTGGAGCAGTGTCGAAATGTACATCGGTATCCTCGCGGCCTCGCTGCCACCACTCCGTCCCCTCTTCGGCAAACTCCTCGACTCAGCCAAGTCGCTGCGAAGTCGTGTTACGGGAACCGCAACTGGTCCCACGGTCCCGAGATCGCAGAAACACAAATACTATATCCAAGATGATTCTTCCGTTGCGATGCATAATCTTAATCAAAAGTCTAACCGATACGATGCCAAAGTTACAACGTCTTCGAGGAGTATCCCGAGTGACGATGATCTTAGCACGCGGCAAAAAGCCGACTTTGAATCTGTGGAGGATATGGTACCCTTGCAGGGGATTAAGAAGACTGTTCAGATCACCGTCAAATAAGGGAGCTATATCTGTTCTCTGGAACTTGACGCATTATGTGTATGGTGGGTTGGGAAACATACGGGATATATGTGTTATCCATATTGAGTAGACGAGAATTTCTCAGGACAAGAGATAAAATGTAAAAGTTCCAATATTTCCAAAACCACCCTAGTCTCGACCCATTTCTTTGCCTCTTGATCTATTCGCTAAGTCCATTCGAAATTATCTACGTGAGAAACAGAAAAGAGACCGAGCATAGGAACAAAACCAAGTACGAAGGAGTATTATTTACAATGCCCCATAGAAATAAAGGCTGACTATGCTGTTCGAATGGAGTCACACCCCACAGAGAACCTAACTGCAAAAGCCAGTGAGGAAACACGTATACTAAGTGCCACCAGCAACAGTCCGTACAGTAACAAACCAGGCGCGACTGCTGTATCGCGTTGCATCAATATTACATGTGATAGGCAAGATGATCTATATCCCAAGTTGAAGTAGTTGTTGAAGCTGATATTGAAGTTGAAGCTGACGGGGTGGATTCTGATCAGAGCCCTGTGGCCGTGGGTATATAAACCTCCTTTAAGTTGTACAAATTTCTTCCTCTTCTCCTCTCCACCAACCTACCATTGGGGAATCCGTCCAGAGGAATAGGAAGTAGAACATCCTGCAGCACATTTGTATACTCGTCTAGCAGCATCTAGTCAGAATGTCTGTACAATTCTTCTTACCATGCTTCAGGTCAGTGGTGCCGTCAATATCACACATGAACAAGAGATTGCCGCGATCAGATGATAGACAGTTGTCATGTTAAATATAGTTATCAGGTTCGGGACTGCTGTCAAGGTAAATATAGCTGTCAAGTTAAGCATTCAGAGCTCGACTATATACTCTATGGTGGAATTCGCGATTAAACTAGCAATATAATCAAGGAACCTATTATACTCCCTCCCGTTGTTTTCTCGGACCGTAGTTTGATCCCGTAGAAACCCCAACATTTCGTCGTCCATCTCAAAGTTTCTTTTGCGAGTTGAGACATCCCCGAGATCCAAATCCAAAATCTTAATCTATACAGTAGATTTACAGAGTCGACAAATACCCAAGAATCTAAGATGACACGCTCCACTCGTTAAAATATGCCATCTTCCCATTTTACCTGCCACCCAAGATTAATTAACGTCAGAGATTCGGATGCCGGTAGTAAATACTACCCAAGAACGGTGTTACCACTATCCTAACGCACTAGGCTCATGGCCCGTCACACAACTGCCATCAAAGTACGAAGTACTACAGAGGTCGAGCTATTAGAAAAGAGCTATATTAATTAAAGGGTTGTTGATAATGCGTCTACCAAGCCTGCGAAGTTGTATTAGCATAGATAGCTCGAAGTATCTAGTCGTAATATGAGTGCCGATATTAAGTAGCAGTAGACATAATTGCATCCATAATTAATTAATCTCGGTGGCAGACAAAATGGCAACACGTACAGGAGCGGTATTTCGGGTATTTCAATTGATCGACATGCGATCGATGGGAATTGGGACCCGTGGATGATCTCCAACGGTTAGCCACATATGTAAATCATACCATGTCCAGCCAAATATGTTGTAACGCCTATTCATCTTTGGAAGCAAGAGTCTATTATCGGCATTTATTCGGAAAGAACAAGTTATAAGCCCCGAAAATGCAGAAGTACGCTGTTAGCACCGGAAACAAATCTCCAAAAACAAGCAAATAGCACGGTTTATCGCGAGCGATAAAATGCGACTGTCTGGCACCAATTTCCCAGAGTCTAGAGTAAAGTAATCTGTCTTGAGAAATTCCGTTTTGGGTTTATGGGGGCTTCGAGGATTGTTTGAGTCTATTCAAACGCTACCCTTCCACTTGGTAGCAACACCTAAACGACTTCCTGTCCTCATCTCCAGGTCGATCCTTTTCCACATGGCACGGCACGGCACGGCCAACCACCTCATTTCTGGGTACAACTGTGTACGAAATTATGCACAGTTGCTGCAAGTGATGAGAGCGGTGGCTTAGTGGCGCGTGGGGGAATCGCCATTTTCGAATCGGACTCAAACATGACCACACCCTTCGCGACTAAACGAGACAGATAACAACAAAAAGCATGGCTGCTAACCCCGCTGTCCCACCCAAGCTGTAGGACTGCCATATCGTGGTGGAGAATATACCGGAAAGGAATGGAATAAATGTATAACAGATGGGAAATTCAAGTGCGTTTGAGTTACTACGAGGAACAGTGTCACTTGCCCCTAAGATCTGAACCATGGCGCGACATGGTCAGTTGACAGGTTCGTTAAGATGATAGGTGAGAGGCATGGAGAGGGGTCGCAAAGCGCAAAACAGAGACATATTTCATGCAACACAACTCTTCTGGAGACCCCTCCTCGTATCCTTTATTGCAGGGAACAAGCCACCTGATGCGTATTAGCTAGATGTAAATGATGAGTTCCATATATTGCGCTGTCCTTCTTGGCCGCGGAATTTGTGATTCTGTTCATTCTTGAGTTGCAACTAAACGCAATGAAAGCACTCGCGGTATTTATATGCTTGTGCTCGGGGGTTGGGCGGCTACAGTGGCCCCACAACTTACCATCATAAGCCAATTATTCGCCGTTCCAGAGCTACCGATTCAACCATATAATGGTCTGGAATATAGCTGTCGCAAGCAGAGAAGAATAAGGATAGAGGCCGAATAGTGTTTGGTTTTGGTCCTGAGATTCCATATGCGTTCTGTACATCTACCCAATGTTTATTCAAAGCCTGCTCTAGCTCTGTGGCCATGGTCTTCCTCGAAGTATCTGAGGCACCTGCTAGTGCACCATACACGACAAGGCTATAGGACCTTCGTGTCCATGATGATTACTTTATTAGAGTGTCTTTGTCAGAGGAGCGGTTTCGGCTGTCGGGCTAACGGCTGTGCACTTGCAGATCAACCACTCTTTGGCTACCGCTTCGCCATTTACCTTAACAGTAAAGGAATGAGCCTCAACGCCTCGCGCTTATGTTTGATGGCCAGCCTGTGGTCAAGACCGACGGCACAAGTCCTTTGATATCCCAAACCGGTATTGCAGGCCTTAGTGTTGGCAACATGCAGAGTCTTGCCAGCCAGTGTATCGTCGATTCTGTGGCCCGCCATTCCCGTCGCCATGAGCCGCCCCGGCGCAACTCACCGATCACAATTTACGAATGACCTCAGCGTCGCGCTGGGTAACCCGAGGTGCTCCGACAGCGGTATATTGGAGATATCGGCTGACATGACGCACGGGTTTTCAATATCTTCACTGGCGCGTTGAAGTGCGAGCAATGGCAGCAAGGCTGCCATGCCATTAAGATGATGACACGAACAACCATCGTTAACCAGCGCCTCCCATTTCGATGTGTTTTTAGGAGGCAGTGCAGATGAAGAGCTATTGCATGTATCCGTGCTTGGGGCGATTGCACAAGATCGTACTTGCTATTATACGCAAGATAGCAAGGGGTGTCGGTTGCCTTGCATGGTCGCCTAAGTTCCAAACAACGCTTCGTGCTCGCTCGAACATAACTAAGAGAGTGATCCAACGCTTAAATTGGTCAGATGTCCTCGAAGCAAGGTGGAGGATGTTCACGATGCTGTCGTCATTCCCAACGCCTGCCCTCAGGCGTAGGCGACCCACTCTGTCGGTGCCCGCTTGAGCTACTTGGTCCGCGGTAAGTGATGAGGCTCCTTCATGACCGTCACAACAGGCTAGATATAAGTCGAATCCATGGTGCCGATAAAGGGACTCCCTTAGCACTGCCCGAAAGCCCTGTATGCGAAACAAATTGTTATCCAGTCCGACAACATCGTCGTCCCCAGGGAAGTCATTCTGCCATGAAGCACAGGCGACGATGTGCTCCAACAGCCACTTGGACTTTTGGGATGATTTGCATATCTCCCATCGAAGGCAATGCAGTGCAGTCAACCGGCGATGGCAATGCTTCACTAAGCCTCAGCCATCTGCTCACCGTTGCGACGGCCAGAGATATCGTGACGCAAAGCTGGAGGGGCGCAAGCCTGACAACGGAGTGGGTTAAGGTAAGTGGAGCTGGCTCCTATTGAGCGCCCTGCGTAGGCGCGCCCTCTCACTTGAGGTGCTTCGCTCATCGTGAGCCCTTTGATGTATATATATCATGGCTATAGAGCGAAGGGGAAGAAACTCATCAGCAACCTCGATACTTCAACTCAGCACAGCAGTCAAGGAGCTCGACCATCTTCCAGCATCGTCCTCAGCTGTGGTCAAAGCAACAAGCTCTTTACATCCCGCCAGGTTTGCCATATATCTCCATAGCCCTCCCCCTACTAGAATTGCAGGAGAGAAGAAGTATTTGGTCCCAAAATCATCTCTTGGCCTCTTCGCTAATGATACCATAACCAGACATGTCGTATATTATGTATACTTCGTCACCACCTACGATTGGATGGTGGATTTGCCACAACTGTGGACGCGAAGTCAACCCAGAGCTTAATGGGTATGACTGTCCTGACTGTGGCCATACCAAATGCGATGACTGCGGCCCAGTACAGACTGGATGGGCAGTCGCTCCAACGGCTTACCCAGGAATGATAGCTGTAGGGGCAAATATGACGGGTTGGTGGGAGTGCTGCCAATGCGAGCGCGAAGTCAACAGGGAATACTATGGGGAAGACTGCCCTGACTGCAGTCATTCGAAATGTGACTATTGCAAAGATCTCTGATCAAGCATATCAGAGGCTTGTGCGCGTCTCAAGGGTATGCGGTCATGTGGACAGTCCCTCATGATTGGGCCTCACCATTATCTTTGTGGAAATATTCTGCACGAGTTAGACTGGCATTAAAGAGTCTTTAGACGGTAGAGGCGTTGGGAGATTGTTGGCTTCTTGTTTCATCTTTTGCTGAAGTGGGTTTTAGACTGGCGGAACTGTTGGCAGATGATTTATTTCTTGCTTTTGATTCCTCATTAGCGTGGCCCCTTGCTTTTCAACACTGCAAGGGGGGTCTCCTATTCGATTTGGCTTCCGTCAGGCGCTTCCGTTTTCTTAGATAGAAGTGGGTGGCGTAGAGATCATTGGACATTGGCGTTGGGTTTTGCTGTTGGTAGAATATAGATTTCCCTTGTTTCCCTTTTCTAGTTGTGGAATTATTTAGCCGTTTCAACACAGTGAGGAGGATCCCATTATACTCTTTAGATGATTATTGTGAGCCATCTAAAAGTAAAAGGGCAAATCTTCAGTGCTCCCATATCACTTCTCGTGCCGGAGCATTCCTCGACGATTTCCTCGCAGCTGTGCTGAACCAAGTTGCCTGAAAGCTTCCCTGGCTAGTATAGCCGATGGTGACCTTCCGCCAAAGTCCATCGCAGCATTGTATGTCTCCAACGGGGCCGGGTTATCTGCTGTCATCTTTGTCAGTCAACTCGATAGGCCGGTTCTGTGGGATTTCTGAATACAGAGCCATATTGCCCTCTGAGATGGCCGCTCTGCATCGGCCAGCTTCTCTTATAATTCATACATATGTATGCTTTAGAAGTTGTCTGTTTTGACCCCCTGGAATAATTTCCCTCTCCCTCAGTATCGTATGAGAACGCAATGGTCTGATCGCGATTTTTATATCGCTAGCGCTGTCTCGTTCCATAATATGTCTAATGCATCCATCACCTGTGAACCGTGGCACATCAGAGCCATAGCTTGTTCCTTATGTGCATGTTTGCTAGCATGTTTTGCCTTAGAGTTGTAATTTAAGTAGTGTGACGGTCTGGGAGGCTCAAGGCGCCGTGCGCGACTCGGTGCAACTTCGAGAGCGAGTTTTGGTGTATTATCCTGTCTTATCACAGTGTTAGAGTATTGTGCCGATGTGGATGCGGATATATAGACCGAATGCGAGCCATCGAGAGTCGTATGCTCTCCAGTGTCGTTGATAATTGCCCAAACAGGCACGGCTGCATAGTGAGGGTTCAGGCAAAGCTAGCGAGCTAAAGCATGGTTGCTCCGCCCACAACCAGCCTTAGACTTTAAACAGAAGATATATCGAATCAATCTTGTTATCTCTGTGGTGAAATAAATTACCTGCTATTATAAATAAAAGGTGATGTTAGGATTGAGGTTGAGCATAGGTTGCGAGCAAGCTGAGCCTGGGCCTGGGCCTAGGCAAAGACAGGGTATAGCAAACCTTGACCTTGCCGATGAGTAGCACAGATGGCCAAGCTGTATTTTCCGAGAAGGACCATGATAAGAGTTCATTAGCGGGGTTGTATATAAACTCTCATATAGCGTGCGGCATTTTACAATATACGCATGGAACCCCTGCGAATCCGAGTATGTATCATCACTCAAAGGCTACCCGCGTTCCTATTATGGCATGACCAGATACACTCCAGCTCCCCTAGGCTTGTTCAAGTTTGATGACCCCTCCAGAGAGGTATTATATATTAAGTACAACCTCTGTGGTTGTGTCTCATATTACACAACATCGCTGCTGCGAGTCTACCCAACCGACATAACCAAGACCAGTCGTTAGGCTGCCAACCTATCGCTATACAGAGCCGTGCCTCTTGCAAGGCCATTCGCTCTTGACGCCGACCCAACCCCAGAATACCCTCGCAGAGCTATTATTAAATATTTCCTTTTTATATCTCTAAATATAACGATGCCGCATAAAATTTCGCCGATAACGCCATGTCGCAAAAAAGTCTCACCTCGCATCAAGAAAATTATATTTTTTTGGTGGTTTCGCCATCCGTCTTTTAAGTCGGTCGCGACAACGATTGAACTTTGTGGCCAGTAAGGTTCTCGAGCTTATCGGACCATCCAATCGCGCTGGGAACAAAAGACTTGTCACCTGGAAGCTCTCAGTCATGAAGGGAAGCTTGCCAATTGGACCTTGTTGACCTCAATTTACACGGGCATCCTCCACAAACGGAAAATATGATTTCCTCAGCTTATCTATAGCAGGCCCAAGCTGAAACTGGCTCTCTGGATCCTCGTGATTAGCACAAGGACTTCGGGTCGGCAAAAACCAATCAATCATCCTGTTGCCCATGACGACTTTCAAGTTCAAAAGAGGTGAACCTAAATCCCACGGGTTGACACCAGGCTCCGTTTTTAATACCGCAAAAGTTCGAGTGGCTTTCAGATCCCTAGAGGAGACTTTTTCTATTCTGGAGTTGGGTCCCTGAGATGTTGTGACAGGCATCATCTCCGGTGCCTCATTTGCAAGTTCTCTGGGTGGATTTGCTTCTGTTGTGCTGGAGCGGCTATATGAAGGCCCAGATCCGTCATTCAGAGTTGCTAATTGAGCATCATGTACAGGTCTAGTCGCTGCCCTATCTACTGGCGTTTGCCCGAGTTTATGCTCCTGTTGATTAAGCCCCTGCTGTGGCTGGTCCGCATTGACAGTGGTGGGCGTCTCAACTGAAGAGGAATGATCCGACGGAACCGAGACCTCGGGTGGGAATCCATTAGCATTAAGTGGGTATGTAATCTGGCGATATGGCGGATTCGAAACCATGTATGGATTCATCTGAGTTGGATCTAATGAGGATGGCTTTCGTATAGCAAGGAGGTGCACCTTGGTCTTCGCACCAAGCCTTTCAACTGTGGTGAGATTTCTGATAGCGAGGTCGAGCGATGTGCCGGCCATGCTTGCTGTAAAGAAGAAAAAGAATGCGCTACTAATCATGGCAGTCATTAGACAATTTTCAAAGTAGCCGGGAGGAGAATCAACTAACATTGCTAATATAGCCGCAAAATGACTATTGAGAGATTCGTCCTGTGATAAATATAGTCAGTCGGCATGCAAAGCAGTTCACGCTCTCGAGAACAGGACGCCCAAAAACATACCGGAGAAGTCAGTTGGCGATGAACAAAGAACGCCATGACTACCATTAAATGGAGACAATACATAGCAGTCCAAAAAGTAAACTGAATGAAAAATTTGAAGTTATTTTCACCGACAGGACCTCCAACCCTTCAGAAGATACTTGTTAGTTTCAAGCTGGCATTGGAAGCAAGCAAACGTACCAGGGACAGAAATGATCCATCCTTGCAATGCAGCGTCCAGATGAGCTGTCGTGATGGGTACGATCTGGCTTCCACTGTTCGAACTTAGCATCGTTTTTGCCATAATACTTCAACGAGCAACATCGTGACATGGGGAGGGAAACCAGGAGACAATGGTGGGCCATACATTCGCACAATATTGGCACCAGATGGGTTTTCCATCTGGTTCGCAAACGAATATATCTTTTGTATAGAATAACTCTAGCCCCGGCGAGTCTAGATTATCTTTGGCGTTCACCCCATTATATTCGCCCATACCCAGCCCATCCTCCTCTGACGGGGGTTTGGCTTTCTCCGACCGATCACGCCTTTCCTGAACTGCCGCCGGTCCCAAAGGCACATAAGGAGGCTCGTAGATGGTACTAGCATACAGCCTTAAGAAAAACGTGGCCATGAGCAACAGCAGAGCCAAGTATACAACCAAAATGGGGATCGCCGCCCTTTTATCATCATGTTTGACTAAAAGATAATTGACTTCAGGTGTTAGTACAATCCTCCTGCGCAAGATATCCAGTTCAACTCACTACAGAGCAGGGCAATCGTAACGTAAGTTGCATACCCGGCGACTCCAACGAGCATCAATGGCATAACTCGGGCTGTCCATATATTCGTAGCTATGTTTCGCTCCAACACCTTCTGCGACCTGGCATTCCGCATCCTGTCTACTCCATGAGACTACACCGGCGCGTCGAGGAAAACGGCCTCCTCCTAGGCTGGAAGATCCTTCAAGTCGCGACGATTGACGTAATGGAGTTGGCAAGGAGAATACCGAGAGCAGGTTCTTCCACTTTAAGGCATGGTTATTGCCCACGGAGTATATATATATCTGCAATACTGCATAACGAAATGGCTGGCTCCGAAGCAGAGAAGAGCATACTGTTGGAGTTATCCCCCCAGTTCCAAAGACCAAGTTCAGCCCCTCGGGTTAATTTTAGCACACCTACGTATCGTACGGATCTGTGCCTCAGGCGGACATAGCTCGCTCACGTCCTCACTGCCCAATAATGCCCCACTGAGAATTCGACACGAACACATCTTGCTAGACTTCAACGACTCGACATGTTTTCGACTTCTAATTTTTACTTTTTCATCGTATACTTCTTTACTTCTCTTTTGTTTCTCTTCATATATATGCTACTCCTTACGATTAACGCGTCCTAGGCGCGGCGACTCAGGCTGCAGCTAAACCTCATTAGCAATACTCCGTACTGTAAGAATCTCGCTCTGTTTTTTTGTCCCTTGTAAACCCCCACGCTCGTTACAGCCCTCGATTCGGGGGATTTTTGGGGTCTCGGGGACAGCGTCTTGGATACTCGATTAAGATGCTGACATGCCATCCTTATAGGGCTTCTCGAGACAGCCGGACTCTGCCTCAGCCGCACTCCTCCTTGTTTGGCAATCCTTTCCTCTATATTAGAGCTGAGAAGGTCAGAAGAATACAGGCAGCTTCAGCTCGGCTGGGTAGTTATTCCAAGTGGGAACGCTATGACTTGGGGCTTTGTTTTCTATGAATATTTCGAGATGTGAGAGCCCGAAGTCTTGTCAGTACAAGGTTCTAGGAGCAACCCATTGCTGGCGTTATTAAATTAATATGAAATTTGATTGTTTTAATGGTAGACTCAAGAAATGGTATCTTGACCTACTCATTGATTGATTTGAGCAGAGGTTGGCGGCGAAACCTGAGCAAGACGGTGTTTCACATGTCAGCATCATTGTTCCGGATCCGTATAGATAATGCTCACGAGGGTCTCGAATAACGGGGACCGATTGAGCTATGGGACAGTCTCGGGCGCGATCCATAATGCGGCTCTTCAATCGCGGCCCTCTGAGATGCGGAATACGCAGTGTGTGGTTCCACTCCAGCCCCCACATAAGCCAGTCAGGCTGGCGCCCAGTACTTTACATATGTTCCAAGGATAGATCTCCTATTGAGGGTCATATGTTAGGAGTCTTTTACTGTCTCGGTCAATTTGTAGATGGCTGGTTGGGAGGCGTCGATTATCAATGCAAAGCGTTGCAACCACCACATGGAGTGTTTTAAGCCGCAGAACTAGACAGGTAAAGGGTCATGGAGCCCATACATTGGGAGCTTTCTTAATCTTCCCTCCCTCCTAGACAATATCAGCTGCACTATGGACTAGGCTACGTTTCTCTACCCCTAGGCAACAGAAGATCTGTCTATACAGCAGAAAACGTTATAAAGGATACTCCCTCCCTACTTCTCCACATTGACTATAAGCCTCCGGTCTGGAACATTTGGGGAACTACAACTCCCATGGTCACCTCCATTCTAGCACCCCCCAAAGACTTCTTGCTCTTCTGAGCGACCACTAGGACCCGCACCTTTGCATTTGATGTCAATCATTCGCTTACAAATAGGATGATATGTTATCACTTTGATAATCAACACTAGGGGAGGATTGTTTGAGTGCCTCAAGTTAACAGATTTCATCTCTCCTACCACAGGATGAAATACGAAGATGGCTGATATTCAGTCGAGACCTGCTAATACGGAGGTAACGAAAACCGCAGAACCACTTCTAATATACCTACCAGTATCATACCATAGCGTTAGCTAATTCAGGGGGTATGCAGATCATTAGAAACAGGCCCTCGGCCCTTCACCAAACATATCCACCAATGCCATAACGGCATCAATCAACTTTGACCAATAGAAATATATCAGGCATAGCTATCGAGTGCTAAGTCCCAAACCCCTTCAACTCTATTTACGAGCCGGACAAAGCGCACTTTTCTCAGTGTAGGCGTTTGGAATGGACGAGATAGTACAAGTAGTAAGATACTGGACCAACATCAAATGCGCTTGTTAGCTTACAGAAATACAGGCCCGTTATAGCCTTTCTCTCGCATGGAAACATTTCATAGTCTTCTGTGCTACGGAATAAACTGCAATCCAGTACGAACGTCGCGCCGCTGTTGCAAGAGAGTTTATACTAGCATATACTTATTTACTATCGACCTTCAAGACGGTATCTGATCTCGGGTCTTAGGCATCGAGCGACTGGCTACATACCCAGATTGAGCTACTCCTCCTGGCAAGGCTTTGCTTGCTTGGCCGTTTGGACGTACTGTGTCGGGCGTGGGCCTTAGATTCCCTGGTTAACTGGCCTCGAGAACTTCGCGAATCTCAACAAAATTCCGCGGGATCGTGAGCCTTGGACCTTGATTTCTTCAGCAAATGCTACGTCATACAAATCCGGTCTAGTTAAATAATTCAGCCTCATCCCAGCCTCCTAGAGCCGCACAAGGGTCACGAGGCTCCAAGATTTCATCCATAGGTTGAGCTTCGCAGTACCTACGTATCGACTCAGCCTAGGGTTTATGTCGTTCTGGCTCCTGACGTACGTTTTTAAAACCGCATCTCGCTTCATCATTCTTTTCGCGTTCGATATTATTGGGTTGTTGGTGAAGAAGCCGCCAAGAACAGCGTTGAAAGCCTCACTCAGGCAGGGCATTTTTCGATAGCTGAGCTCACCGATATTAGCTCGGCCCACCGTTGAAGGGTAACCCGCCCGATTCTGTGGACGGAAAGTCACGTTTTCGTATGGTACCGGGCCCGCCGTGAATAGTATTAGGGATGGCCTGGTACCTTTCTCGCAACATCAGAACAATTGGTTCTCACTCCTCCTCCCTTCTAATTACAATCGCCTTGGTTCGTCACCGATATTAAGACCGCAATGACTTCTTTCTATCTAGGCCCCGGTGGATATTATTTTCCCAATCGCTCCCTACTCTGCCCGGTTATCACCGCTCCCAAAGGGGTCACAATGCATTGTCTCATGGCTCAGCAAGCTGACTCTTGTACTGAGACCGGGTCTGTCAACCATACGATTGAAATTCTGTTGGACTGCTCTGTCTTCACAGCCCCTTGTTGAGGGTTTCATTGTTCAGTATCTAGAGGATCAGTGAGGAATCGCCCAGGGCGCTCCCCGTCTGCCTATTCCTAAGGGGAACGGATTGGAATTCAGGGCTGCATCTGTGAAGTAGGGCGATTTGGTGAGCCTACAGAGGTGGATCTTGAAATGGCTGTGCAAAAACCGTTCAATAATAAGTATACAAAACCTTCCACTCTCCTCGCATTTTAAGCATATAATACCTCCCACTCTCCTCGCATTTTCCATATCATCGCATTTCAGCTCTTCTCATTCCATCGAGCATATTCATATCATTCTCCCTCCCGTCAAAAAGCAGCCACCTAGCGCTATACTTATTCCCACATCATGCCCAGCCAATCTAAAAGAAGGGACCAATCTGGTCATAAACACTCTAGCAAATCTCGAAGCAACAACCACCAACAACAATACGAGACCTTGACGGAGTATCGATATTATTGTTGCCAATGTGGCAGTAAAGTCCACATGACCGAATTGGACACAGCCTGTCTCGAGTGCCACCGTACCCGTTGTATCAATTGCACCCGGGAAGCATACCAAGCCCATAAGAGATAAAATCCGTATGTGTGACCGTATCTCGTATCAGAAACGACCCGCTAATCAATATTAGAACCACCTCAAACCCTCCCACTACCTCCTGTAGTTGGGACTATACTTTCACGGACTGTACTATCACGGAAAATGCTATCACAGACACACAAGGCGTTTCTCAGCGGCGTCGCGAAATCGATACAGCATCGGTACCTCTCGTTGACGGGGAGAAAATTTTAGGGTTTTGGTTTGCATTAGACGGATAGATATAGAATGGTAGGCCCATGGGGGGCTCTCCGCGGCGCATTTCAGTTGGAGAATATTCGTGTCATCGCTTCCTGTTTTTGTTTCTTTAGTTTGCCATGACTGCTAGAATTTCTTAGGTGTGTTTTTGCTTTTTTGGATTGTCGTTTTTATCTTCTAGAGGGGGGCACAGATTAGTTGCAAGCATAGCACAGGATATTCCAGCTCTCGTATAGCGAGTTTATATCATTGGTCTTCCCCTGACTTCATTCTGCCTTTCCACTTTCTAAGTGACCTTGCGATTAACATCTTGTGCCTTGTATGTGCATGATGAACATCCACCACACAACCTTATTGCCACATCAATCAGCCTCGCAAGCAAGTAGTTTACTTGGAAACACAGTCATCACCCTCGTCTCCCATTCCCAAACGACGACTCAACCGTTTTTATTACCTCGGTAGCCATCAAGGATGCATCAGGCAGAAGCGAAGGCACTCCAAGCAGCAAATATACTTCGGATGGGGCTCAACATTAAGACCATGCGCCTTGTATGACCTGCAAGATCAAACAGCCTGGCTGAAAGAAGGTTAATTGCATCTAGATATACACAGCCATGACAACACAACACACCATCGGCGATTGCTTCCAAAGCTTGCACAGCGCCTTCCTGAGCATAGACTTCAATATTAACAGCCCAACATAGAGGTGCAGTATGTTGATGGCGGTGGCAGTGGGCGCCCGCCACAAAATGTAAGACATCCTGGTTGGCCTCGTGGGCCGCCCTGGCTGCGGCCTTGGTTGAACAGAATCTAATCTTCAGATGAACGAGATGCGATCTGGAATGGCACGCCACAGCGCCCGTTGTACTGTTGCACTACGAACATGGCACACTGGGGCGGGAAAAGGGCGATCCATCCTCTCATCCCCAGCATACCAGCGTACTCACCGGGACACAAACACGGGCTACCTAGTACCTACCATGTCCACGTCCGTAACGTGTCCCAATAGTTACTTACTGTGTGTCTCCTGGGGGCGCTGCTCCTTCACCGATATATTTCCCAATTCCCGCCTACTTTCCCCTCCGGGCGCGACGTCTCCCTGCGCTTTTCCCGACACCTAGGTAAGGCAAAATGAGGCGAAATAGGCAGCAACTGTAAGGTAAGCAAAACTTCCTTTAACTCTCACCGTGTTGTATATACATAGCTAGGTACTGAGAAATACAGGGACTTCAGTCGCGCAGATCCGAGTAAGGTCCATATACTCTGGAGGCTGAAGGGGTTGAAGTGAGGTGCAAGCGAGGTTGGGACTGGGAAGACCACCGGCTGGTAAAGGGGTCGCGGGGAAATTCGCCTCTACGTACTCCTGGTTCTCGGATTCAGTAGTCTCGGGCACCAATCGCTCGCTCCGCCACAATCCAGCACCAAACGCCTTGGAGTGCGTTTCAGTTGAGCCGCCATCGAGTGAGGCGAGAGAGAGCCGTGGAACTCTGCACTGCATCGGACACTCGTGTATGTGCTGGGGAAAAAAAGCAAGTCTGTTAGGCTGCATCGCTAGCTGGCCCCTTCGCTCGTGGCCCGCGTGGTGAGTCTCCGCCGAAGAGACCTCGATTTCATCGAAGCTTAAATCCCTGTCCTTTTGTTGAGGTGAGGATGCCATAATCCAGCTATGTTCCGAGAGGAATATATCGAGTTGACAATTCGTTTTGTTATCCTCGTCATTCTGTTCCTTAGGATATTTGGAATCAGTTATCGACATCCACGGCGGCCAGAGCAACAGAGCGGAATTGGAATGATAGATCGACCTAGTTTGCTGATAATACAACGAACAACCACCCACCGATTGTCCCCCTCAACTCGGCTTCCTTATCTTATCAAGGATGCGTGTCTGGGTATGTATGTACAGTATGTACAGTAGTCCGTGAGAGGCTACAACTCCTCCCCAAGGTATGCTCTTAAGATTCTACCAATTCGAGCGATCTCGCAAGGTTTGTCCTTAGGGAATATATCATATTTCCCAATATAATTTCATATTTTGGCCTTTACCATTCACTTATATATGCTAGTGTAGCCTGTGTTTGGCCAATTGCTACTTAAAGGAGCTCGCGCCGTGGCCCACATACATCACCGCGGGGTAGATGGTTCATGGCCCAATCATCATTGTTGGAACTCTATCAAGCCACAGCTGCAACATTCTATATCCTCCGCAAGCGCGGAGACCACCTATCCATTACTGGTGAACGGGTGGCGTACTTCTCTGCAACTCTTATACTTCCTCTCGCTCCCCTCTCCTTGCCTGACTTGGCCCCAACTGGACCAAACCGCTACCTCCGAGAGAGTATATCTTAGCTTCGGCAAGGTTAAGTCGCCGTCGTCCGTAAGCCTTGTCTTCCCAAAGCAAGCTGGAGCTTTGTACCTTGCTCACTAGCTGTCTGGTAAAACGAGTCCGCGATGGATCCCCCGCCCTACACCCCTCGTGGCAGCACCTTCCCGTTAACTGACCAAGGCTTCGAGACTGCGTCCATCCGCTCAGCAGCACCCTCCTACGTCTCTACTCTCCCATCACCAGTATCGCCAACCTCCAGCTACTCCAACTACTCCAGCGGGTCCTCCTCTCCTTCCTCCCCCCCCTCCCACTCAGTCCCGTCACTTGCAGCATTCCAGCGTCCAACCTGGTCACGAACACAGATCTCTAACCCTACTGCACGAGCATACCACTCCATCGCACACCGGCGCGCGTCGGCCCTCACAATCCAAGAACAATCCGGACTATTAGCCGCGGCACTGAACGGGGATGGCGGGATCGCGCAGATGAAGCGACGGATGGATGAGGAGGAGCGGGAGAGAAGAATCCGTACGAGTGAGGATCCGGAGTTAGTCGGCGAGCAGGCAGCTGAGAAGAATAGGCTAGAGAGGGAGAGTAGGGAGAATGGGTGGGGAGTTTTGGAGGATGAGGATAAGAGGTGGGATTGGCTTGTTGCGCAAATGAGTGATTGGGAAGAGAGAGATAAGAGTTGGACGAAATTTAGGAAGGAATTGGAGGGTGGTAAGAGGCATAAATTGGCTAAGAGACTTGGTATCAATCGATCGTAAGTTGACGACTGCTGGTGCGAGGTGTTAGGCTCCGGATACTATGTAATTGATATGGCGTTGGCTGGGCTAGGTATCGGATGCTCCTGATTTAAAAGTCTGGTTTTATAGGCGCGTAGGCGGGATAGGTTTGGATAGTTTTGATGGCTCTCCTTGTGCCAAACTATAAGGTACCTATGATAACAATGGAAACCTTCTGCCTTTGCTGTGCGTACTCGTAATGTCAATCATCAGCATGTCGTGCTATTGTGTTATTTAGATATTAGCCAACGCCTGAAGTAACGGCAGATGTGACAATCGAAAAGCGAAGAGAAAAAAGGGCCAAATATTGAACGATGTAATTTAAAGCAATGTTGGGTATAATTTTCGAGATGCAAATAATCCTTCCTTCCCAAACGCCATAATGTAAAAGTTCGTCCATTACCATGCATCAAGGCTCGTCATTGTCATGTTCCTTCTCCTTCTCCCCCATCTCCTTATCGACATGAATCCCCTCTGGCTCCGGCGTAACCTCCCCAAACTCACTCCCTGGACTTTCCTCACTATCGTCCGCCCTCCTCCCATTGTTTCCCTCTACCACCTCGGGGTCACTCTCCAACAAATCCTCAATGTCGCCCAACGGACTCACCCTGGGCTCCAACACATCCAAATCCTCCAGCAGCTCCCTTTTCGGCATCTTCCACAACGTAGTAGCACAAACCCGATCCTTCGTCAACAAATCATCCGCAAACTGGTCCATGAACGTAAGACTAGTCCCGATTCTTGTCCTCCTCTTCAACTTCCTCCGATCCTCCAGGTACGGTTCGAGCATTTTATATACGTCTTTCGCCTGCCTCGTCAGCCGGATATAGAATAGTGCCAATGCTCTTAGATATTTAAATTTCTCGCCGCCAAATTCGAGGTATTCGCGCAATATGTCGTCGCTGGGAGCAAGTTGAAGGAGTTTGAAGGCGAGGCAGAGGAAGGGCGAAGGCCTTTGCGCATCCCCGTATGTGCCGCCGATGAAATTGACGTGGTCGACTACGCGGTTTATTATATCGGCTTCGTTGACAGCGAAGCATTGGTCTTTCCAAAAGTAGCTGTCGATTATTCGTTCCCTGACGGGCTTTTCCATTATGGTGGCTGGGTTAAGGCCATTGGGAGCGAGGGGCCCCGAGGAGCCGCGCTCGTCCATGAATCGTTTTTCATCGGCGCGGTGGTGGGCCATTTTGAGGTTGGGATTTCGATGTTCGGCGGGAGGAGAGGGGAGATTCGAGAGTGAGAGTTGAGGGTTGGAAGAGTTGCTGCGCTGGAGAGGATTTCTGGAGCGGAAACCTCTTATCGGATACCCTTGGTGTCGATAAGCTGGTCTGCGATTCAGTTGCCCGGCCAACATGCGCCACTGTTGACTTGCAGCATCCCAATTGACGCTTACCTTTGAAGTCCAGCAAATACAATTAATCGCACGTCACCAATCCCATTGTCATTATACATTTGAAGAGTTCGAGAAAACAGAATACAGTCATATATGCGCACAAGCTCAGAATGCTCCTCACATCGTCCCAAGTTTCCGTCGCGATCTCCTCCGTCATTGGTACGCTAGGCATTCCCCATCAACATTCCGAGCCTACCTAACCTTTTCACGTCATAGTATTTCTATTTACAACAGCGCTGTTCCTCGCCGGTTACGTCCTCCAGCAGCAAACAGTCCGCGACCTCCGAGCCGCCATAAAACCCCAAATCGCACGCGGGCTGCCAGAACTACAAGTGTTTCTACAACCGCAGTTTAGCGAGGATGAGGAGCTCACGAAACTGGGAGCGACTGACCCGAGTCCGCAGAGTGTGATGGTTGATGGGGATAGAAATGCAAATGTGAATACGAATGGCGAACAGAGAGAATTTAGAGGGGAAAACGAGAAAGTGGAGGAGGAAATGGAGGGTGGCATTCGGAGACAGAAAGTAAAACAGTTGAAGGAGCAATTGGCGTTCCGGACGGGAAATAAAGAAGGAGAGATGGAATCCCAAAACGCAGAGGTTGAGGAGGAAGATATCGAGCTTCCTCACGCGGAAGATGACCGAAATACAAAAGAAGAGCCAGAAGAGAAACCGCTAAGTAGAGCGGCGAGGAGGAAGAAGATCAAGGAACAGATTTTAGCGGACGGTGATGGGGAGCATTTCAAAGGGTATAGGAGACGGGCATGGTGATTTTTTAGGATATACCACTTCCGGGATAATGGGAGGGCTGGACCGAGCATGGATATGGAGGTAATCTGACGGCGTTGAGGGACATTACATGACCTTGACAAATGATTTTGGAGTTTGGGAAGTACGTCTCTAGGCATAATGACGGATATGTGGGTGTTTTATGTTATTATTGTGATGAATGCAGATATCATTCATGGCGCAGCTATCGCTCACCTATGGATTCTCTAGATCCAGCCTGCACCTTTTGCTGTCTCCCGCCTAATATGCAGCATGGATAACCTATGCTAGAAACCGCCGTCGATAATTCGCCCATATGAAGAAGATTTTACTTTACCCACATGTCCCAATTCCACATACCCCACATCTTCCCCCAGTCTAGAGTATAAGCAATCACAACCCAGTTTCACTCCCCATGCCCCTGACTCTCTGCGTAACCGGCCCAGCCTCGGGATCATTTATATCCTCAATACACTCAACCGTTGGATTCATCGCCACATCGCTATCAGAACTCCCTTTCCTGCCAGTCTCCGTATCTATAGACGGATAATCCCCACCGCCTCTCGCACCTGGGACGACCTGGAAATACCCGATATCTTCGGAAGGTGCTTCTTTTTGTAGACAAGCCGGTGTAGGATGGGAGGAAAATGAACAGAAGTGCGGAGTCGGGAGCTGGTCGACGCAGCGGGGACAGCGGTCGCCGAATTTTGGGACGGTGTTGTGGCAGTTCGTTGAGCTCTGAGGAAATGATTAATTAGCAATAGAGGAAATGAAAGTGGAATAGGAGCGGATTAAGAAGAGATACTAACATAGTAATTCGCACAATAGCAATCCACGTTTGTGGATGCCAGAGGAGTTTCCATAGGGTAGAGGGATAGAGATGCCATATTTTATGTTATATATTTTGTATATACTTGAAGCCGAAAGGCAGGATACGTATTGTCTTAAATTTGATGAACTGAAGGAGAAAAAGGAAAAGATTCACGGTCATGAGGATACTTGCAAGGGAATAAAAGAACCTACATAGATATGGAAGGGATAAGAAACTCAAGGCAAAGCACCCAGTCAGTGCCTACTAACTTCTCGATGGCCTGCAGCTCGCATGGCACAATGGACCGCAATGCATGACATCTTGCAACTACACGATTTAGCAAGAATCGAACTAACGGTGGTATACCAGCGAAACCACCCCACAATTCTGCCCTTCCAGAGCTGTCTTTTAAGGGTCTAGATGCGAATGGGACGGTCTTCGTGGCACTAGCTGTAGACAAGTGAAAGAGTCAGCATTGGACTACTACCGATGACGCCGGTGTTTGGATTTCATCATTCAGATCTAGATCTAGATCAGATCACATCACATCACTCATGGATATCCTCCATTCTACGGAGGTTGATATGCATGATAAGCGGTCATTCGGCTTATGTTAAGGAAATATTTGTTTATATTTAAAAACCGAGGAAAGAAATTAGAACTTTGCCCGCGTTATGGAGTGTGGCGATCGATAGTGCCCAATTCGACGTCAATCTAGAATCAAAATACTTCGGGTGGTACTGTGGCGATTGATATCAGGTCGTGATTTGCTAATTTACTACCACCATTATTATTAACCACCGCCTTCCCCATGCCAATAAGTAGCTGACTCGGAATCAGTGAATACACGCATCTATTCATAGGGACTACACAGGTGCAAATGTACAGAAGAGACACAGGAATAAATCCCTCTCCATTGAACCAGAATAAAAATCAAGATCCTTCAATACGCCGATCGCTGATTGTGCCACTAATAAGAGTCCAAGCATTCCTTCCTCCCACAAAGCATCACATTAGGTTATCATTCGATCGATCTATGGACCCGCACATCCCTCAGTCGAGAAGCGAGCTAGTTAATTTGAAGCACAGAAGAAGAGCGTGTCCAGCACACTGTGAGAAAGAAGCATCGCATGTGGAGGGAAACCAGTTAAAGGAGCGCTGGGGAAGAACATGCCATGCCGTTTCCACAGACGTGATACCTAGACCATTATAAAATCCGAGTGTACCCAGATCCTATATTCTTAGTGTCCCGATGAAGTCTGTGGATGATGGTTTCGATATTCTGGTTGTGGGGTGGCATTCTGGGTTTCTGGACGCCTGCCCTGTGGCCAGAAGTCGATCGCGGCCACAACATCTTCGCCTCGCTCGTCCTCGTATGCGTAGATTATCTCGTCTGTGTCAGATTCAAGGCCGACGTCAGACTTGCTTGATGGACTCACCTCTCGCGTGCTTGTATGAAGCATACGAATATTCTTATGCGGCACAATATGCACTGCCATCGTCTCAATATTCCGGATCTCGATGAAGTTGGGTTCGAATGCCAATATCCATGGATACGAGAGAGAAAAGCTTTGAGGTTGCCCTTCCCAATCGATCTTCCAATCAGGCCGGGCTCGCCAACCATTGCGATTGACGAAGAATGAGAACTCCGAATAATTGAGGAGGAACTCCCCATTGAGCCGCTCAATTTGGATGGGCCTAACATTCTCTTTGCGGGACACAAAATCCAAGGATGTATCAGCTTGATCGAGGAGCGATTGGGTTTCCAGGGTCTCCAGTGATACCACCTCAAATCCTCTTGCACAGGCCACACAAAGTTTTGTCTTGAGGAAGTGGATGGAGGACGATTCCGTGGGAATGTAAAACTCTTTGAAGGCCTTGAGCTCATCCTGACCACTGTTGAACATCTTGAAGCCCTTTTGCTTCTTTCCCTTCGACATGGCATCGTTAGGCTCAAATACTTTGATCGTGGTCGAGAGGGCGGAAGACTTGACGCAGCAGACCAGGTGACGACCGAGACATATGCCAGTCTTGAAGAAATTGCAGTGACTTTGGATCTTCTTCGGCCTTTTGGAAAGCGCAGGCTCATTAGGGTTTAAAGCGGACAATGGATAGGACAACAACGATTTCTGCGAGAGCACCAGGAGTAACTGGTACTCTTCGAGGACATCAACCTGGGTCACGGATGTGGCATCCAGCACCCTTATTGGTTTCGCATCTGCATCCTTCGGCCTGCGATCGGAGACAAAGATGCCAGAATCGGTGCCGTAGATAAGTTTCCGCCCACCATCTGCGTCTATTAGTATATATTTCGGGCCGAGGATTTAAGTACTTACCAAACGGAACGACACAGTTGACCCTATTAGCGGCTGAGAAAAATGAGGTCGATAAATTGGTACGGTTATAGACGTCTCCACGTTTTCTAAGAATGGCCTGTTGTTCCCCGATATGCTCCATCCATTTGGCTCTCGAGAGTTGAGAAGCTGCGTACAGGGCCAACTCATAGCCACTTTTGCCGATATGACAGAACGTGATGGGAAACCCTTCCTTCTTGGTGTTGTCATTGGCGGTAGCTTTCGGGATCAAGCTGGATGAGGGTCGTTTGACAATACCGGCCTTCGGGTATACCTCATCCATTTCACGGATAGAAAGCAGCTCGAGTGGTATGGGTCTGCGATAAGCCTTGACTTCTTCTTTCTTTCCTACGGTCTTTGTGCGAACCATAAGCACGGCATGATCTAGGAGCCATACTTGGATGTCCGACGGGTCTGTTGGTGTCTTTTTGAGTCCGCCTTTGTAGATAATCTCGCGCTTCTCTTCCGTCAACTTCAAGTCAACGCGGTCGGGCTGCCGGAATCGAAGTTGTTCATTCAACCGCTTTAGATTGAAACGATTTTCAGCCTTGCCAGACTCGGCATTGACTCTAGTCAATAGGTCGCGAATCATCTTCATAGCCTTAGGAACATCGTCAAGATCAGGATTTCCTTCCTCGGTATATTTAAGTACATTTTCAAGCAAGAGGGGATACCGAGCAAGGCGAGTGGTTGGCTTGGTTAGGTAACCGTTAAGCTCCAGCTTCCTTGATTCCTTCCGCCGCTCGGTCTCATCAACAAACTTCGAGAAGAAGGGATTAAGGGATCGTTCATTCTCAAATTCGAACTTCCCTGCCAACTGGTTTGCGCCATAAGTGATGAACGGCTCAAACTGTGGCACGAATTCGAGGAAAATGTCGCCAACAGACTTAACGACCGGCCCTTTGGTCTGCCGCTCTGTTAGAGATCGGGCAAAACGTGAGCTTACTGCGTGGATGCTGGGAGGATCGACAATGTTCGTAAATATAGTTTTAACAGTTTTCTCTCTCCTTGATTCTGGGATTGGTGACGGGGCCGCTGGGTTTGTAGAGCGCAAAGGAAGGATCCACAGATCTCGTAAATATTCCAAATCCTTCACGAAATCTCTCTCGGTGTACACAATTTCAGAAATGACTTCTTGGCGTTTCTTTTCTCGTTCGCTGACGCTATCTGCGACTTCCTTTGACACCGTATTGATCCAAAGTTTCTGTTCATCTGGCTCGTCTACATCGTGGAGACTGGCTTCCGATTTCTCGCGTCGGAGACCAGGCTGGGGCTGCAAGTTCAATCTTGATTGCTGCTCTAATCTTCGGGGGCATGCTATTGAGTAACACAACTGATCTCTCGTGCAAGTCGGAGAATAGCACTCGCTGAGAAGCACAAAAATACCATTCACTTCCGGTGCTTCATGTGGCTCGTCCATCATGGTCTCGCGGAACTGGTACAATTCGACGGGCGAGTCACGAAGTCGGTGCTCATAAGTCACATCGTGGAAAAATTTCTGCGCATCCAAAGCTCGGCCGAGCAACAGCGCCAGATTTCTATCCGTGGTCTTGATGATATAAGAGATAACATCAACCGCATCAGCTCCACTAAAAGCATTCTTGTACGTGAGGTCATTCTTTGTCCGATCCCCCACGGTAATCTTATCCCGAAAGCATTCGGCCACCCGTGAGATCAATGCGGGATACACCAATGGAGATTTACGTCGACCGCCTGTACCACTGCCAACAGACTTCGTCACTGAAGGACGGTGCTGAAGTGAATCTGTTCGCTCACTGGGGACGATCGTTGATGCCATCGACATTGATCGGCTCATATCCCCTGCAGTAGTTGAGGAAACCATGCTAGTAGCTCGTGTCTGGGTGGCAGGACTTCGTGGGCCAGAAGCATATTGGTAGGCTGGAGCATCTTGTGTCCCAGACGATGTTCTTCGATTCGGGATCACTCGGCCGCTCATTGTCTGGTGCTGGTCGCGATCTTGAGGATGGCTAGTCATGGACATCGCTCGCTCATCGTGCCTTTCAGGAACTATACGCCCTTGGGCAGTCGTTCTCGAGGCCTGTCCGTGATATGGAGCTTGCCTGAAGGCATTCGCAGGTGCTTGTTGGTAAGTACTCGGAGGTGGTTGATACATTTGCGGCCGGGGTATGCTTGCCAGCGACTGGGAACGGTAGGCGTCGGAATTCAGCGCTGGTGGACCCTGATAATATCGCTGTTGCTGCTGTGGTGGGGGTTTTGGGGGATAGTGCTGCTGTTGAGGTCCGCCACGGGGATCGATGCGTTGTGGTGAAGGATATGGTCTGCGATCTTGGCGTACTTGTTGCGGCAGATACTGAGGCTGAGGTTGCGACGGAATCTGGCCTGGTTGCTGTGGTCTTGGACCTGGGTGGTATCCGTTCGACATATTTCCAGCATTCGGGCCCCCTCCGGGCGAAGGTGAATAGCCGTTGTACGATTGTCGAGGTGGAGGCTGTCGTTGCATACCACCATATATCGGCGAGGTCTGCGGATTCATTGTCTGGGTGCGATGGGCCACGCCCGCTGAAGGGGGAACTACTGAAGAGTTCATCGTTTGGGATCGACCAGAAGGGGCAGCTCCAAAGATGTTCGAGAACGCTGCGTCTCGCTGATGGTTCGAGGCATGGCCATATTCGCTGGGACGCTGTCCGTTAGACCGACCCTGCTGATAATCCGCCATCGTATCTGCCAGCTATAATAGAATCAGCCTTTGTACCGCGGTCGATTTGCCGGCGCTGATGGATCTATATACCTACTCCACGAAGCCGCGGGCAGGTACCCCGGCTTCACCGCCTACAGCCCGAGCAATTCCCTCACTCCCTGTCGACACCGACGGGAACTCGCCGTATGGCGACCGATATATATTGGTTGGCAAAGTCGCCGAGCGGCCGGGTGCTGTTGAAGTTGAAGTTGACGTTGGTTTTGGGTGAGATTGCCTCACGGGAGGGATCTGCAACCCCAACGCTTCTGAATTCTATTCGCGGGGATATAGACCGGTAATCACGGCATACATTGAGGTTCTGCGACAGCAGATGCTCGATGGCTCGATGTTATATCGCGGGAAGTTGGAGGTCGGAATCCCAGATTCTTCGCGATCTCCAAAGGCACACCTGGGTGTTGGTACTGGTACTTCGCTAGCGCTCGGATATTTGACGCTCGCCAAGGACTAGGTACAATTAGATCGTAATTCTGCCAGAGGATATGCTCTATTGCAATCCAAAAGCGTGCGGAGGTTTATGTTATTACAAACGGCCTCAAAGGCTTGACACAGTTGTTTGTAGTGGCTTGTAGCGCGTGCATATCTACAAAGGTACAAAGTATATCTCCTGTTGAAGGGTTCCACCGCCCGTGTTTTACCATCGGCACGTGACTATAGTGCCCATTAAGCGACGCGGCTCGGCCCAACCGCCGTTCAAGGGCCACCGCGCTGGATCTGGATATTGACGACCTCTTATCACGACCGTTCAGCGTCATTATCCACCACCCCCGACCTTAAATCAGCTCAAAGGCACAGGCGCAGAGCTGCAGACGAGATGGATAAGTTGGATTACACCCCCAAGTTTGCCCCTTTCTTCGGAATGGTACGTGGTTAAGCTGGTTGTTTGTGTTCTGGAACGTTTGACTGACAGCTCTCCAGGCCGGCATAGCCTTTGCGATGACTTTCGGATGTGGGCATCTCCGCTGCGACCCAAAAGATAAGTGCTGATCTGGGATAGGTATTGGCGCAGCATATGGCACAGCAAAGTCTGGGATCGGAATCTCGGGCGTGGCCACGTTTAGACCAGATCTAATAATGAAGGTTCGTGGGCTGCAAGGAGCACTATGGGGTATTCAGGGCTAACGTCTCTTCTATTAGTCTCTGATCCCCGTGGTCATGTCTGGAATTATCGCAGTATACTCGCTGGTCATTTCGGTTCTGATCGCAGGAGATATGGGGCCCCCTCCTCAGCTAAACTACAGTCTTTTCAAGTATGCACATAACCTGATGGATTATGATAGGTTGCCATAGCTAACTATAAACCAGTGGATTTATGCACCTCGGCTGCGGCCTTTCAGTAGGTCTAACCGGACTTGCAGCAGGATATGCAATTGGGATTGTGGGTGATATGGGGGTACGATCATACATGAAACAATCGAGGATATTCGTTGGGATGGTTTTGATTCTGATTTTCGCTGAAGTCTTGGGTCTCTACGGGTTAGTACATTCTGATATCCAGTAATATGCGCCCCTGCTGATAAGCTAGACTTATTGTCGCCTTGATCCTCAACACGAAGAGCCGAGGATAGGGTGTGTTATTTGGACCTGGTCGCCACAAGGAAAAGTTGGTGTCGATATTGAGAGGCTGTACGACAAATATTGTTTGACTAAGAGACGAGATTGGCTGCATTGCTAGGAGTTCCGGTTGCGAATAGACCCAATATTGATCAGTTAGTGGCCTTACGATCCGGATGTTTTGTATATGTTTATATATATCTTTCTTTTTTCGGAAGCAGGCCATTGAGGGCATTTATATTCGCAAACCCTTGTTACTCCAAGGAGCGAGCAGTGGCTTATTCATGAGTCTATGAACTTTATACCATCTCATCAACGCTCAAGACAAATTTCGTGCTCAAAAGTTTGTTGCTACAGCGGGTTACTCTCAGGTATCCTTCTAGTTTACTCTTACCCTGGATATTCGTAGAACACCTACCTTCCCAAACCAGGGCAGTTTAAACTGCAACGATGATTCGCACTATTTGGTCGTTTCTCGGGGCGCGTGGAGAAACAGTTTCGAATATCCCCTTCGTCAAAGCTAAGTTCGGTGTCGAGAGCCTTCTCCTCGGCAAACCCACATTTGTCTAGCTGTTGAGTTTCACTGCCTCCCTATTCACATAGGGTCAGTGGTGGAGACATGTAGGTGCAGTTGGTAGGCAAATGGCCCGTTGCTGTTACTTTGCTATCTTGTTGCTCTGTTGTTAACATCATTTGACAAAACACAAAACCTGCCCCTGGTTTATTTGCTCTGAATTTTGTCGACTACTCCACTACTTTTAAAGATCTAAATTTCCTATCCTCTCGGTATTTCGCTTTATTCTTGTGAAAAGTTTCAAGAAGTGATGGGGAAGTCTGCCATACCAAGTCTATCAACAACCGTATCATGGCCAACATTACTTAAGATCACTATTGATCTGTGGAAACGGTTGTTTGCCCAAGCTTTCATTGCAGTCCTCTCTAGGCGATGAAGTATAATTGTTCTGCAGCTTTTCCCACATCACGCCGTTCGAGGTTAACGAATGCCAACAGGAAATGCTATTCGACTTTCCGCTCGATTCCAACAATCCTCGGTTTGTGTTCTATGAACCAGCCAGAGTCGAGAGTGCGAGGTAGTTGTAGGAAGCCGCTGCGAAGTATAGCACCCCCAGCTAATTTTCTTTTCGCCGTGCAGCAGCTACTGGGCAGCATTGCCAAGATCTGCGAGGGCAAGGCGACACCTGATAAGAAACAGAATCCTAGAAATACGAACCTATGACCGTTCTAAACTGACCAACTGGAGAAAGGGTTAGTATACGAGGAGTTATAAATGAATATATATATTCTGTTAAACCCCAGCAAGGTCCGAAATAATAGATTAGGATATTAAGCGATGCCTTATATATATACTGGCCAGGTGGTTATACGTCGGCGCATTTGGGTTCTGATTTCCCTCCACCTCGCCCCGATGCTTCGAGAGATTGAGAGGCTATGAACACATCACTGTTAGAAGAAGTCGAAGATCTTATGAAACACTTCAAAATCCATCAAAAGTGGATTCCTGTCAGCCTGCAGCCCTGATCTGGCTATCAAGGAATCCCCAATGGAGGCAGTGCAATTCTACTTGTCGTAGCGCAAAAGGAACCAGAACACTTCAGCGGTCAGCCAGGGCAGGCGATGCTAAGCATCGCCCTAGGGGGCTCTTCAAACCGGGATGAGAGTGATACACGTGAGGTGTTTTCTAGGAATGCATTGGCGACATGGTTTCAACTCGATTAACAATTGCCTTTTTAGTTAGCCGATTTCACTCTTCCTCATTTCCCACGCCCTGGGCGCTCTTATAACCCGGCAACTGAGTTTGTCGTCTATTATATGCATGTCCTACTGTGGCGCCTTTAAATCAATAGCATCAAATCCATTTTATCACTTAACATTAATATAGTAACTTCATTCTAGTGGCAACGGCTTTTATATGTGATATGTATCTCTTTCACAATTATTTAATCTAATTTCTGTACAACATCCTTCTCTTATGATAGGGATTATAATAATTCCGGAGGAATTCCTATATTCCGAACTATAATGCCTAAAGTAACTTATTAGAGCAGCGGCTACTCAGGTTTAAGACGGAAACAAGCTTTGATAAGGTAAAGATTCGCGTGGGACTGGTAGTACGTACATAAGCTTCCTACAAAACCCGTTGCACCTTCAGACCTTCTGCGCCAACCTTGTCTCTTAAAAAGCTTCCGCAGGGCAGCGTAACATCGAGATGACATTTCTTTTAGCCAGCCTATAGAAAACGTATAACAAAATGTTCGCAAGCGGCCGGCTCCGATATCGAAAACCATATAGTCAGTGATAGATACTTTCGCCTTCCTAATCGAGTTGGTTATGCCGCAACAACACTCATGTGAGGACTAATCCGCACAGGGCCAGTACTCCGCAAACTTCACTGTGGGTGGCTGTGACCTGATGATAGGTAATGTGATGGGTAATAGGTAAATAATAAAGTACAGGGAATATGATAGGGGCCAGTGAGTTGCGTTGATCGCCGGTCGCTGGATGACGCGAGAACGGCGCAGCGATGCAAGATCTAGGCTTGCCTGTCGTTGGCCGGCAGCATGAAGTATCTATGTAACCCATAACCCAGCACTTCATACCTACCTTGCCTATGTATCTCCGAACAGGCATGCCTGAAGTGAAGTGTCATATTTCGAGGGATCACGAATCCTCGTCGCCCAAGAGCGCAAAGGTGCAAACAACAATGCCAAATATTGGCCGTGTAGCTAACTTGTAGACTCAAAAGCTGTTCAGACACCGCCACAGAGGCACAACACTCGCGATGTTTGATTGGGCTTATGATTCATGTCACCTGTCGATCTCTATATTAATTTCGTTTCATATCCTCTCCTCGCCGGTATTTCCCCCAGGACGCTCGCTGTCCACAAGGTTCGGTCGGTAGTGAGATGGAGGTTACTAAGAGCTCCCCGGTAGATCGACAAGTGCCTGCTCGAAAGGCTTAGCTGGGTCAACCCCGGCTGTACTGTACAGCGCAAAGCAATATCTTGAAGCTTAATGTCAAACCTGTTAAGCCACTCATTGCGCTGAACCGCTGCAATGATCCCGCCGCAGACAAAAGTGAGAGCCCCGCGTTATTTGTCCCTTGACACCTTCTGCTTCTGCTTATTATTGGCCGTGGGTGATGCGGATAATTTACCAAGCGCCGGGTTCAAAGAGTTGTGGCGTCTTTTACCGGCCACCGCTGCGGTCCACTAAAGCTTAATTGAGGCTACAGGACATGAGAGGCTTAATGCGACGATGATGCGATCTGATATGTACGGAAGCCCATATGGCCCCAAAGTATCAAAAGCATCTTTACATACTTAGGTACCTAGGTACCTTATATTTGACTACTTTCTAGAGCTGATGAAGTAAAGGATGTTATCATCAACCTGCATTAGCACTAGAGAGACGGTGTTTTATGCATCATTTGGAAGCTGGCGAATACCCAGTCCGGCATAAACTTGAGGATATCGCATTTGTTGTCCAAACCATCCTTCGCCCTGGTCATAATAACCACATTTCCCACGGTGTGGTGGGTTCGCAATCATAAATACAGACGAGGATGGCCGCTGACTCGTTGCCAAGTGCTCGTATCATAAGTGAAGGTGACTGGATCGTCCATGAAACAATACTATAAAGCGAAAATGTTAAAAAAGCGCAAATAATAATTAGCATCTCTCCCTCCTTAGTCCCTGAAGTTCCTTAACTAACACCAAAACAATAGCCAAAATTGATACGTACCTTTGTAGGATGGGAGATATTCCTAAAACTGCATGGTGCGGGCTGATCGAAATTTATAGCTACTAAACAAATTAGATATTAAGATTCTACGTGAAAGCTCTAGTTTCAAACATACCGTGCATAACACTGAAAGTCCCAAATGCCGTAGGCCACAAATTTGAGAAGGTTCAACAGGACGTGGCTGACTATTTACGGCAGCTCCAGGTGCGTGGTAATTGCCCCAATCTTTAGCTTCTCTCTCTAATAGACCGATGTCATCACACTTCAGGATACTGCATCCATTCGATTCCTTTTTCAGGAGTTCCAGCACCCAGAGCACCCAGACTCTGCAAGTTACTTCCGGGGTATTGATTCTTGTATCGTAGGCCCTCATCGTCTGATCTACATGTAATTCCCACCCGGTAGGAACCTCAGCAATCCGAAGAGTCCAACAAGTGGAAAAGCCTTCGAAATATCAGCTACGGTGCCGTGGTCAGTGATCCATCCAGAACCATGGTTCTGGATGTGGTACTTTGTACCACCAGTGCAGGGGTGCTGATGGAGATAGAGAGCCCAGTGAAAATCATCTTTCTTCGGTGAGTCGTCCCGTATATAGAGAAGGATGTAGAGAGCATTGACCCCGAGGTTTTCAAATGATATTGTTCAAGATAGCTGCAATTGAAAAGGAAGGATAGCAGTAACAGTGAAATACTTATAGGTTATTGATAAATCTTGTGACAAAGTTCTGTTCTTTGAAGATAGTGCCATGGAGATGTGGCGGAGGGGTGACTGTTGCTAGGCAACGGCTAGGCCCGCCGCTCGCGTCGACTCGCAACTTAAATTCTTAACCGCGGGTGAAATAATAGAGGTGCTCGCCAAACTCTCAAATTCTGAGGCTGCTTTACTACAAATTTGGGCTTTTATCCAGCCGAAAGGTCTGTAACATAACATAAGATACCTTATCTCGTCTACGTCTCCTTCGGCATTTCCTTAACCTTTATATCCATGTTCTAATGCACAATTGCAGAACAAGTGCAACTAGATATTTACTAATAGAAGTAGCGGGAAAGGTATCGCACCGGTTCATCTCAATAATGCACCATAATCCCGATCACTATTCGCTGTGCCCCCACGACCTTGAAACAACCAACCGACGGAGCCAGTTTGCATCTGAAAAGCTCTATCTGCCGATCCTCGATTGGCGATATCAGGACCAACCGCCAATTCGACAAATTCTCTCATCCTCAACCTCATCCTCAAGTCATGCGGACCCTTGCGAGACTTTGTGGACCTGGCAGTCTGCAAGCGCCCGCTCTCGACGAACCACCTACCTACATAAGTACCTTATTTTGAGGCCGGCCCGGAGCAATTCGCGATGGTATTGCACCTTCACTGGCTAAGCTCGATCGTCAAAGCAAGCAGCTCATGTGGCTTCAATCTACAGTCTCGCCTTCCTTATCAAGGTTCCACATCCGGGCGAAGGCTAGAGATAGGGAACTGGATGTCATACTTTGCCGCTATTCGCGATTAACAATTCAGGAACGCCCCGGGTGGGTGCCTCGGCGCAGCCATCCGCGGGGTGATGCTGGCGCCATCGCAGGTATCTCTTGTCCATCGTCCCGGGGAGATACATGTCCCCTGCTTTTACCAGATTGGGGTGTAGATCTCAAGATTTACCGCCTACTGTGTCTATATCATTTGTCAGAACACCAGCCTGGAAAGGGAAGTTCGACTTGCCAAGGGAAACCTCCTTCTAGGTACGACCTGAATACCCACGAACTTGTCTGCTGCTACATGGGAGGACTGCCAATCGTCTTGGCAGCATAATGTGAGCAATCTAGGGATATGGACATCCATGGCCGACAGATCAACATGCAAGCTTCGCGCTGCCTATTGCCCGACGTTGCATTTAACAAGTCGGGGTGGTGAGAGCTGTCGATTTGAGTATATATAAAGGTGGTATATCCTCACTTCATTTTTCCTTTTGATCTGCAAGTCCCTCAATCGTTTCTCCTCGTGCTATCTCTAGATCTTTGGCTAAGATGCTTTCCGCACTCTCCTTACTGGCTTTGGCCGCCGTTGTTGTCCAAGCAGCACCAACCCCGGCAACCGACTCAGCGGTGGTGAGTCTGGTCGGCAGCAAACAATTCTCAGCTCCAGCCGTCAAAAACCCCAATGCTATCCGCAATGGCACACTTGCTTTGTTAAAGGCATATGCCAAGCATAACTTGATCCCAACGCAGGACTTCTCCCCGGAGTTTCTGGCCGAGTTGAACCAACTCAAGAAGCGTCAAGACACCTCTACTCCCGCCGTACCATACCAACAAGTTGAGTATTTAGTTAACATCGCCGTTGCTGGCCAAAAATTGAACTTGGACTTTGATACCGGGAGTGCCGACTTGTAAGTGCCCAAACTCTACATTTATCTAGAGAGAAGGTGGAAATTGACATTATCTAATAGATGGGTGTTTTCCGACTCATTGCCAGCCTCCTCCAAAAAGGGCCATAATATTTACACTCCCTCATCCAGCCCGTCATACAAAGTCCTGAGTGGTCATAAGTGGTCTATCGCGTATGCAGATGGCTCTGGCGCGAGTGGCACCGTGGGCACCGACACAGTGACAATCGGCGGAACATCTGTTACCAATCAAGCCGTTGAGCTTGCTGACCGGATCTCTTCCTCATTTGTGACTGATGGGTTAGATGGACTGCTCGGATTGTCATTCAGCAGCATCAACACTGGTACGTTCAGGTGCTCCCTTAATATTGTATCCTTCCCTTCATGGCGCCCATTTTACTCCACCCCATTGTACCAAATATCCTTGGTACCACACTCTGACAAACACCGTAGTTAAACCCACACAACAAAAGACCTGGTTCGACAACGCCAAAGCATCCCTCAGCTCCCCCCTCTTTGCCGCTTACTTGCCGTTCAACGCCAACGGCGCCTATGACTTCGGCTACCTCGACTCTGCCCACTATAGTGGCACTCCTGTCTACGCACCCGTTGACGACACCAATGGATTCTGGGAAGTCGCGTCCACATCCTACAAAGTGGGCGGTACCACCCACTCCCTACCTGGTAACACCGGCATCCTCGATACAGGAACTACCCTTGCCCTCATGGTCGACTCCGCCGTCTCTGCATACTACGCGCAAGTTTCCGGTGCAGTAAACTCCCGGAGCCTCGGCGGATGGGTCTTTCCCTGCAAGGGTACTACCCTTCCTGACCTGTCCGTCCGCCTCGGCCCCACGAATTATGCTACGATCCCTGGCAAGCTTTTGAACTTCCAACCTGCTGATGCTAGTGGAACGCAGTGCTACGGTGGTCTGCAAAGTGTTGGTGGTGGAACCATGAATGTCTATGGTGACGTTTTCTTTAATGCTTTCTACGGAATCTTTGATGCGAATGGACCGAGATTTGGATTCGCACCGCTTAAGTGAGGCATGAAAGAAAATAAGGGGGAAGCGCTAGGTCATATCCAATGAATACGATGGGATAAGTTGGAAATAGGTCATGAGAGTATTATTGAGAGCTATGATACACCCATCTAGCGCGAGAAATATAATTGTGAAACATTTATATAACTATACCAATCTATCGGTCTTATGGTGACATTGTAATACCACACTTTTGCAATCTAGTAATTTGGTCCGGCACCACGCGTCACGAGCTCCGGGTTCCGATAACTCTAGTAATCCTCAGCTACCGGGTTACATACCACAGAAAAACGGGCTCGATACAGATAACCACGTCTCTTTAAATATATGAAAACGGGGGTTAGGGGTGCTGAAATGCGACGCAAGTAACTGAGAGGAAAGGCAGAGACACCGAATGATGTGATATGTTCGGTGTGAATTTACCACGTTTGGGTGTGAGGTCAAGTTTAGAAGGTGCATGAGCACAATCGCTTCCGAGCTTGCTTAAAACTCTATATTCATGGGGTATAGATTTGGTATAATAACTGAGCTAATTGCTGAAGAGCGCATATAAAACAAATCCGTTGCGTATTTAAGCCAGCCCACTCATCAAATGTACGTCTAGAATCCTTCAGAACGCCGCTCCCCCAAAAAGTTCACTAAGGTATATAATAATCGTCACAGAAACATCTAACAGTCCTTCTTCCAATTCTTCTTAATCCACGCAGCCATCAATTGGGTCAACGTTTCCTCCCTGTAAATGCTTACATCAGTCTCCTTATAACTCTCGCCCACATATTGCAACGCCACCAGAATCCAGGGCTGTATAAAATCCACGAATATCAGATCCACGGTTTCAGGGTCACTGCCATCATCGGGGAATGATATCGTGCTTTGGATACAGTTCGGCACGCGGTAGAAGGAGATTTGTTTATGGAGCGTATCATCTCCATCATCTCCACCATCGTCTTTGGTTGTGTAGCCGGGGATTAGATCGGGTTCGTCGTCGGTGGCGGGTATGAGAGGGGATTGCCAGCCGTTTTGGACGAAAGGTTCGGGAGAGAGTACTTCAGGAGCAATGATATCAGTGAGGATTGACATTTGCTCGGGAGGTGCAAGCTCCCAGTGTTTCAAGCTAGTAGTTTTAAGGATAGGCCCTCCGTTGTTGAGTAATGGTAAAACCTGCTTGGCTGATTTGTATGGTACATCTCTGATATAGCGAAATTGGCTGACGAAAGGAGATATGATGTAGGTAGTATCGTGAGTAAAAGCACCCTTAAAAATATCGAATCTTAGGGCGCCGGTGTTAGTGATTGCAAGTCTTGGTTTATCTTTGCGCTTTTCCGTTACGGCGGCTTCAGGCATGACTTCTTCCTCGAGCCATGTGAAGATACTCTTATTGCCCGGATACGGTGCTCTATTGAGCCAAAGGTCTCTTGGTGCACAACCGTAGATGCGATCAAGGTCTAGGGCTTTCCTTGCTTCATGTATCATGGACGATACGTTCTTACCATGATCGGTAGAGAATGTAGATTCGTTCAAACCGGTATGGTAATGATACCCGAATAAGTTATTGTCGATGTACCTTCTCTTAAAGGACATACTGGCGCGTGGCCCAAGCTGCTTGGATCCATCTTTTTTCCCTTTCCCCTTTATGCCTTCTATAGACATCCAGCCAAGGGTTTCCATATATCGGCCACTTTGTAACGCATACGCTTTGGAATCATATTTTGCAAAGTCCCGGATATGGCTGTGCCCACCGAAAAACTGAATCGGGGTGTCCCAGTTTTGGCCTCGGATAGCTTTATAAATAGCTTTGTATTCTGGGCCGTGGAGTGTAACATGTCCAATAATGACGAATAGATCGGCCTCTTCCCTAATTGCATCCTGGAACCACTCCTCTTTGATGGTCTTTTCAACTGGCTGGACAACGGTATTGTCTGCATTACCTGTAAAATCAAATAAAAACCCAAATGCCACAATCCGGATTCCCTTATTTTTGGTCGTGAACTTTCGATACCGCTGGGCCATAGGAACTTGCTCCCCAGTTTTCGGATTTATGTAGTCCAAATTCGACGCGAGATATTTCCCCTTAAAATTTGGAACTGTTGTATTGTATTCGCGAGCCGAGGCATCGGCTTGATATAACTCGTGATTGCCCGTGCAAATAATATCAATGTTCTGTTCCTTCACGATGTCGTAGAAGTATACGCCCTTGGGATCGGAAGCATCATATAGGCCGTTGCCCTCTATTCGGTCACCTGTATCAACAAGTAGAAGATCCACGCCAACATCATCTGCCTTCTGGCGCATTCGTTCGGCAAAAGATATATAGTCCCCCCAATCTGCGGAATATTGTGGCCTTTAGGGAAGTTAGATACTAATTCGTCTGAGGGATAGTAGGGCTTACTCTTGAAGGTGTCCTGCATGCCAGCTATGTGTATCCGTGGTTTGCAAAAAGTTTATATCGCCCCATGGCAGCGATCTCATAGGCGCAGCGACGGGCTTTGGAGCAGAAGGCTGCTCAGCAGCCGTCAGCGAAAGGAAGAGGCCGAGGCTCGTCCATGTCAACAACTGCCTAGTCATCGTGGAGTGGCGGGTTGAATCGGTGTCTCGAGGCTGTTGTTGTTCTTGTTGCTATTTGAGAGGATTCAGCTTGGAGGCATACGGCAAGCTCATGAATGTGAGCTTCGGGGTTTGAGGAGGTGAAGTGTCAGATCACACGCGGTTTGGTATAGCTCTATTCCATTGGTGTTGTTGGAGACCACGAGGCTGCTGTGGAAACCGAGGTCCCCTGCAATACAGTGCGATAAGTAGCGCCAAGCCCGCTCAGCAAATCGATAAGGAGCTCCGAATTTCAACCGTCGTCGGCCATTATATTATTACGAAGATACCACATCTCAATCCGTCCCCATTACCCATTGTGCCTTCAATAACAAATGTGGCCGCCGGCTCCTGTTGTGAGACGGGCAGCGCGATTGGCAAGAGTGAAAGCCGCAAATGCTACACAAGCAAGCCGACTCCCCGCTCTCGATGACTTGAAAAACATAACGTCAAACTCCTTTATCTCATTTCCAAACAGTAATACCAATACCAAAAATGGGGATCTCGCTGAAAGCCCCTCCGATGCAGTGGAAGGTTTGTGAATACTTCTGTCCCCAGCGCTACAATTTCTGAGATATAGCTGACGCGTAGATAGAGAGTGGCCCTGAGAAAACCAGTCCCTCCTTGGCAAGACCATTGCCCAATTCGATAGCAGTGAAAGATAACATCGCTACGGCTGACCTCCCGACAACATGTGGATCTGGTATCCTTCGTGGGTATCAAAGCCCATTCCAGGCATTCGTAATAGAGCAAGCTCGCGCGTATGGCGGAGAGGTGACTGGGAAAACAAATCTGGACGAGTTCGGAATGGGTTCCCATTCGACACATTCATTTTTCGGCCCTGTTCGCAATAAACCCCCATTCGAGGACTTCTCTGCCGGCGGAAGTTCAGGAGGAAGTGCCGTCGCAGTTGCGCAAGGCCTGTGTGAAGTAGCGCTGGGGACTGATACTGGAGGATCAATCCGGCTTCCAGCAGCGTACACCAAAACCATTGGGTTTAAACCATCCTATGGATTGTTGTCTCGGAGGGGTGTTGTACCATATGCTAACTCTCTCGATACCGTGGGCATTTTATCACAGTCTACTAAGATAATTCTCAAGACTTTTTTGCAGCTGGGGCAGCATGATATTGCGGATCCATCCACTCTCCCACCAAAATCCCGCAAGCGGATAGCTAAATGGCACGCAAAGATGACGATGGAAAGACGAGCAAAAGCTGATATCTCTAAGCCTGGCTTTGCTAATTTAAAAATTGGAGTGCCTATCGAATACAATATTGCTGAGCTAGATCCCGCAATACGAAGGGCATGGCAGAATGCACTGACACTGTTTCAAGAGCAAGGATGTACTGTTGTGCCAGTGTCTCTTCCAAATACCAAGCATGCCCTGTCTGCATACTACGTCCTTGCCCCGGCCGAAGCCGCCTCCAACCTCTCCAAATATGACGGGATCAGATATGGAACCCGCAGTCAGTTGAGTGATGGGGCAGGAGATGTTTTGTATTCGTACAGTAGAGGTGAGGGTTTTGGCGATGAAGTCAAACGGCGGATACTCTTAGGATCATACACCTTGAGCTCCGAAGCTATCGACAATTACTTTATCAAGGCCCAGAAGATCCGAAGGCTTGTTCAACGCGATTTCGACCGTGTCTTCTCAATTTCAAATCCGCTCCGGCCTCCCCAGCAGTTTGATCTCTCTGATATGGATGATTCGGTGCTGCTTCCGGACAAGCTGGGCCCTTGCGACGTGGATTTCATTGTGTGCCCAACAGCCCCAACAACACCACCTACTCTAGATGATATTTCGAAACAGACATCTGTTGATGCTTATATGAACGATGTGTTTACTGTCCCAGCAAGTTTGGCTGGTCTGCCCGCTATAAGTGTCCCATACAAGGGATACTTCCCATCTGGAGCGTTCAGAAACCCAGACGCTCCAAACTCCATCGGGATACAAATCATTGGGCAGTACTCGGATGATGTTCGGGTCATTGCTACGGCACACAAGTTCTTGCAGCTGCAAGAAGACAAGGCCAACTCCAGATTGCGTGACAATAACTTTCGCGCACGGGATAAGAAACTGGCCATAAAAGAGCATAAGGCTAGTAGAAGTATGGTAAAATTTACACCATCTGAGGAGGGGATCCTTTCGCGAAATGTGAAGATTTCGAAGCACTTTTCGGGAAGGAGCATGCCTAAGTCATTGGACTACTTATTGATAAGGAAGATGCTGCAAGAGGTGAAGATAACGAAGTATCCCTCGAGGAAAGGGCTCATTCTGCAACAACAGAAGTCTAAGGCACAAACAGATCGAGAGTTTGCTGGCGCTCTTGCTGCCTGGGATCAGATTATGCATTGATTGGTCAGAATGATGCCCTCGTACTACGCCCCTACTTTACGACAACATGGCTACCAATGAGCCCGGGTTCCAATGAGCTCTGGTTTTGCAGCAGACTTTGGAGGTCATGCTCCTCTGAGCCTATTAAAATGGATATGGCATGGAATCAGCAATTATACCCGTTGTGCGACAATACCAATCCTAAATTGGAGCCTCGAATCTTGCTGAGATTCCAACCTACGGTGCATGGAATGCTTCACCGGTCTTCGTCACAACCTACACTGCTGTTACTATCAAGACTCTCCGCAATATCCATTCAGTATTTAATAGACAACTAGCCCCTTTCCGCAGGCTGCGGAACTTTTATTTCCATCCGTTGATATATCGATATATTTTTGGAATATAAAACTCTCGGCCGGGGTTGTCCTGCACCGGAATTGGATTATGAATTGGGACGGTATGCCACGGCAGCCAGCTGTAAGATTATCTGACGTTTGTACATTACTAGAAAGCTTTAGTGTTAAACTATATGATATTTTATCATGATACTGCATATAATTTCGGGACACCGATCATAGCTCACCTAAAACGGGTACCCATATTCGTCACTGCGCTCTTACCTACCTTATTATATCCGCATGGTACAATCGTACTACCTATACTTAAGAACCAATCTCAACCAAACGACGTATCATCTGACTCCAACATCAAATACCTACAACCAAATCCCATTAATAACATTCACCATAGTCCGAACCGGGGAATTTAAGCAACGCAGCTTCTCAACCATGTATCTCAGATCGAGTTTGGGGTCATTCATGTCACCGTTAGCCTTTTCAGAATCCCATGCAGGTCGCTGATTAGGTGTCCTGAATGCATACATCTAGTATGGAAACATGGATGTCATTCATTAGCAAGAAATTGCATATATCCATGGAGCTGCATCGCATGACGATGAGAAGCATGAGCCTCCTTGCACTCAGTGAAAGTTCGTAGTCGAAACAAAACACATTCAAGCCTTTATGAAACGACATCACAAACGACGAAACAACTCATTCATGCCATTATGAAAGACATCGTAAATCACAGCAGGGCCATTGCCAACCTTAAAACCAGTATTGACAAGATATATTGTATATTGCATCGTCAACATTACTCAGCACCCGTTTCACTCCATTGGGTGGAGGACTAGCAATTTTTATCAATGCTGTATTTCTCGTCGTTTTTCCAACTTCACTACACCCTTACTGTGATACTCTTAACTAGCTGTTGTGGTATAAACAAGGTTGGTGCCATGGGAAAAACATGACAAACGATCCCTTTGGAACGGTAGCACATTTCTTTATAGACAAACCAATGAGGCGATGTCGACTCGACCATTAACGTTCTTTTTCTCCTCCAAACTCCTAATTACGTTTCCAACTCATCAGTTCGCACTGAGTCTCATAATAAACCCAAACCACACCTGGGTGCCAATCCACTTCGTCCCCCGCTCTCCTAGCAACCTCCCCTCCCCAACGTCTTCCTCTCGAATAGCTCTTTCTATTACATCGCCGACAGGAACAAATCCTTCCTTCTTACCAGCATCCACCACCTCTTGCACCTCATACACGTAGCTCTGCCCTCGAACCTTAATCCCGCCTGCGTTCTTCTCCCCATCCAAGAAACCAGCCTGGCCCCGCCTACCCATTTCAGCGTGCATATTAGTCAGTACTAAAACCCCCCCAGGCTTGAGGAAACCTTGAATAGTACGGAAGAAAGTCGAGACGGGTAGGTGTTCCAATACTAGTGTTGAGAGGACTAGATCTGCCTGACCCTGCAGTGGTAGGACCGAAGGATACAATTCGGGTGCAAGGGCGTCAAATTCGTGGTGAGATATTTCCGGACGTTGTATCGCTTGATTCTTAAAAATAGTGGATGAAAATAAATCCTGGCAACGACCCCGACCTACATCCAACATTAAACGGGAGAGGTCGAGAGCGTGGATTTGGCTTATTGTGGGGCTAGGTGCTTCGGAATCTGAAGTTGTGCTCGGATACCCATGGGAGGTTTGAATGGTGGGGAGAGTGAGGAGTTTGACAGTGTTCCGACAGGTGCCACAACCAAGCTCTGTAACGACGATTCCTGCTGGGGAGGAGCTGCCCACTAGAGCGAATGCCTTCGACAGCAAGCCAGGCACTAAAGAGTCGTCGACAGCTTGGAGGATGTTCCCATCCGTGTCATATACCTGGGAATAGTAATCAGCAATGTCTTGGAAGGGAATGGGCCGTGGGATATACTTTTGCCCATCGATTGTAGAGTTCGGCAGTAGAGACCGACTGGATGGGATGTGGTGAGGTTGAAGATGCCATCTTGGAAGTCAGACGAGAAAATGGGCGAATGAAAGGCTTTTAAGAAATAATATATTTTGCGAAACCCTCAAGAACCCTAGATACTGAAACCTGGAGATACACGTATATACCACCTTATGTTGAAATGATCGACACCCCTCATGACTCACCACAAAGCCACGCCCTTCGAGATGCATCGTAGGATAAGCCTTTGCCCCCGACTCGGAGGGAATAACTTCTCCAAACTCCGATCATCAGACCACAGCGCTCGTCTACTAGCAAACGAAACCTTAAACCTCCATATATTGTACACTTGTACTACGGACCTACTTCGAACTGGAGTGCCTGGAACCATGGTCATGTGATCCAACCCCCTATTTCCCCTGGTCGTGTACGCTTCGGCCCGCGCAACCGGTCTCCGCAAAATCGCCCTATGAAGGGAAGTATTCAGAGTATTGCAGTACGAAGTTTCGCTCCGTTCGCAATTGGAAACCCGCGAGAGCCTGTTTGCAACTGCGCATTGTTTGGAGTGGGTGACCAGTTCATGCAGCGCGTCTTCTTGTTGCTGGGACCAAAACAGTCCACAACAGCCGTTGTACTGTACTTCGCAGTTGGGACCGGCATTTGATCCTCCTCCGCTCTGAGCCTCCCCGTCTGTCGATCCTCACTTGCACCACCGTAACACCCGCCAGGTCTCCCATGTCCCAATCCTCTCAAACGCGCCTTTCGAAATCGAATTGTGTAAAACATCTGCCGTGAGGTCTTTCTAGCAACCGTCAATGCGATCGCAAGCTCCTGAGAAAACCCCGAGTTGTGAGTGCTTTGTCCAAAGGATAGTGAGAGCGCACAATCATCTTAAGGCAACTCCAACGCCAACCCTCCACTTGTGGGCACGAGCCACAGTGTAATCACGGAACCCCGAAAGCAAGGGCCAGACGACGACGAGCTTCAGGGTATCATCGAGATCCAATTGTTTGCTGTTGCTTTGTTGTGATTGTTTGCGTCTCCAAAACCCCCCCGAATTCCTATCAGACCTTCCTATCGCTCGTCCCTTGCGCGGAGCCGGATACAATCAGTCGCTGCCATCCCGCATAACAGAGGATCAACACACGAAGAATTATGCCGCCCAACGGCAAATCAAATGGTCGTTTCCAGCTGCCACAGCTTGCGCCGGTCAACTTCTCCCTCACAGATGGCACCGATATCCCTCCTCCTCCAGACTCCCCAGTCGAAGAAAAGCCACGGCCTGCGACCCATCTCGCAATACCACCATCCACGACCACTACAACCATAACCACGAATGGCCCTCTGGGCGTGTCGACGAATGTCTTAGCAGTCGGTAGCAAACGTGGCCGATCGGATGATCCTCCCCTAAGTCCTGCGTCGACCAGGAGGCCGAGCAGCATCCGGCGATTCCTGTCGAAAAAATCTCTCAATGCGAATTTTGTAGATGGGGCAAACAGGTCACAAGAGGATTTGGCGACCATAGGGCGACCGGATAGCCGGGCAAGTGTTATGACAGATGTCAACAAGAAGAGGAGCAGGAGTTGGTTCCGACGGTTGTCTGGCAGTAATCTTGGGCGCTCCAACTCCATTGCGGTATCAAAGCCTCTACCGGCGGAGAAGAAGGGACCTCCACCCCCGAAATTACCGGAATTAAATCAATTCAAGGCCCAGATACCGGAGGGCGATGAGGGGAGCTTGGGCGCGGAGGATATGTTCAAAAATATCAAGTAGAGGTGATGGGAGATTTCGCCGATATTGGAGCATGCTCTGCGATTATGGTTGGATGTCGACATGATCACCGATATTGGCGCGGATCACAAAATTTGAATTGGATGCTTGGAGAGAAAAATGGCATGGTCAGCGAAGGCAGAGCGGACTGCTGATCGAGATACCCGGCTCGAACTGAGCAACACAATCGCACTCTTATTTATTCTAGGGGGGAGCGCCTGTATCGATATTTCTGGGCGATTCGACATATAGGGCGACCCGTCTTTTTTCACATGGTAATGCCTATTTAGATGGCAGAAAGTTGAATTACCATGGGATAGACATTTAGGGGATTTAAAATGTTCCTTTGATATTAATGCTGATATGGAAGCATGAGGGCGCTGGGCCTTTACTTTGTCTTATGTCCCATTCTTGTGATCGGCTTATTCGCGGTGCATTTTTTGGCTGCCGTTACATTGCAACCAAATTACTACTAGCTAATGCAATAATCTCCTTGGCTCATGTCTACTCACGGGAGACTTTAGGATATTATTTACTATCTTAGGTCAAATAAGGAAGTCTTTCTTTGTTAATAAAATAAAAACTCAATTCTTGAAGTTTAAACTGCTCTCTCTATGCACTATCTTCGAACCAATTTTTATTGACTAACGAAAAACAACTTAAGTTTGAAACTCATCTCAGCTTTAGCTAACAGAAGAAAGAATTTGTGTTACTGTTCCGCCTTCTGATAGAAGATATTGGATTGCATGGCTGCCCCGCCACGCGAGGCCCCTGCATAATATTCCTTCCCGAGGTTGAAGCTACCGTAACGTCATTTTGTAACACCATGGAGCTCTCCGGCAACCCTTCCTCTCTACATCCTAACCACCAACAAAACGGGCACAATGTCAATGTCACTTCCAAGAAATATTCGGATAGGGGGGGGCTTAATCCAAGCTCTACCCAGAGCAGTGGCACCGAGATTAGGGCCGGCAATCTGTAGGAGGCACAAGTCGGGGCCCTATGGATATACACAAGCAAAAGCTCTCGTGTACTCGAAATATGGAGATCCGGCTGATGTGCTCTCGTATGGCTTCCCTTCTTTCCCCCGTTCTACTTCCTCTCGACAATTGAACCCAACCCTATATCTACCTCCAAAGCTAACACTGACCTTAATAGACTCCACAACCACTCCGTCTCACCCTCTCTCCCATCAAACTCCATCCTCATACGCACCCTCGCCACGCCTATAAACCCAGCAGACATAAACCAAATACAGGGAGTATACCCCTCCAAACCGCCATTCAGCTCCTTACTGGGAACACCCACACCCAGCGCCGTTGGCGGTAACGAGGGCTGCTTCGAAGTAGTATCGATAGGATCATCAGTAAAGGGCCTGCAAAAGGGCGACTGGGTAATAATGCGTTCTACTGGTTTCGGAACATGGCGTACACATGCCCTAGCTACCGCGGACGATGTGCTCAAAATCGAGAATAAGGAAGGTCTCACACCCCTCCAAGTCGGAACCGTGAGCGTCAATCCATGCACCGCCTACCGCATGTTGAAGGACTTCATCCCGCTGGAGCCCGGAAAAGACTGGTTTATACAAAATGGAGCCAATTCCGGTGTTGGCCGGGCTGCTATCCAGCTGGGTAAACAATGGAACTTGAATTCAATCAACGTCATCCGCGAGCGTCCGTCTGCTTCCGAAACCGAGTCTCTTAAGCAGGAACTTCTGGATCTGGGCGCGACGAAGGTAATCACCGATGGGGAACTACAGTCTAAAGGGTTTTCTTCGCAGATAAAAGAGTGGACCGCGTCCACAAAAGGCGATCTCAAACTAGGCCTCAACTGTGTCGGCGGCCCGCCCACACTCGCTATGACAAAAACCCTTAGTCAAGGGGGTCATCTTGTTAGCTACGGTGCTATGTCTAAACAACCACTTTCCCTCCCCACCGGTCTATTGATCTTCAAGGACCTGCATTTCAGCGGCTTTTGGGTTAGTAGGTGGAGTGATCAACATCCGGAGGAGAAGAGGAGGACTGTAGAAGACATTCTGCAGATGACGAGAGAGGGGAAGTTTAAAGACATTCCGGTTAAGGAGCTAAGGTGGGATTGGGGAACTGAGGAGGCCGTCTTGAAGGAGGCCGTGCAGGGAACCTTGGAGGGGTTTAGGGACGGCAAGGGAGTGCTAATGTATGGTGATACATAAGACAGTAAGCTGAGGAATGAACCGGTAAATAAAGCGGATGCGAAGTTGGTATTGAACATGTAATTGTATAAATGATATGGCTTCGCTGATTTCCAGGGCGGAGATTTGCCTACGAGATACATCAGATGTGTGATATTCCTCATAACTTGTAAAACTACTGGGGAGAAAGCGCGACTGTGATTGCTATCTATGCACCACGGCAACCCGGCGTGGGTTTAATCCCACTACACTATTTTTGCATTGTAAATGAGATAACCAACGCCACCCACCCATCCAGCAACCAACCCCCAATCCATTCCCAGGGACAATGCAACGCAACTAAAGAGAATCCATGCATGACGGGAAAGCCCACGAAGAGTAAAGGAGAAAGTCTTTATCCATGTCTCTGCGCCGCATCCCTGAAAGCCGCCTCTTGCATAGCAAGAAGTTCCTCTGTGGATAATCCGCTTTGCTCGAGCTTGTTGGCTTTCTTCTCACGGCCCTATTGAAACGGTTAACCACGAGCCCTTAAGGAAAGGGATTCGCAACAACGTTAACTGGTATATACATACCTTCAGTTGCTCCTTATGCTCACTAGCAACGTCCATGATACCCTGCACGTAGTCTCCGAATCCCAGCTGCTCCAACGCTTTGGTAATGTGTTCACATGCGATGGTTTTCTTGCTTTCCTTCTCGCTGATCTCGTTGGCTTCGGAAGAAATCAGAGTTATGAATTCCACGCAACATTCGATGAGGAGATCTCTGGCATCTTTTCCAAATGCTAGGCCAGATGACGAAGGAAGAATCTCCGTTACGATTTTCTGGACAGTTGCTGGAGAGGAATTGTTGGTTAGCAGAAGCATATTTCATAACAGTAAGCTATCAAAAACAGTGAAAATAGTGATGGATAATAAAATGAAAGGGTATCGGGTTGCGCGATCTATGTATTATACACGAGTTTTGCTGTAGCTCTAGGAGGTTGCGAACTATACGCGTATGGTATCTTTCCCAATTGCTAAGGAAGGTGGTCCTTAGCGCTACTTGTTATAGGCCGTGTGTTTCTACTCGTTTAAACAGTTGACTCTAAGCCTCTCACAGTGGCCAAGGGAGAGGAAGTGGGCGTCCTTGCCTGGCGGCTCCACTTCCAGCAGTAATGTGATTCGACGTGCCTCCTAAGAGTGTCTGAATGTATGTTTTTGAGGGAATAATGAACCCTAGACTGGTATTTCTTTGAAAATATTATTGAGCATCCTCTCAAGGGTGTTATTGGTCTATTGACTTGCCCGTACCTGCAGAACAATAGCCTCAGAACCCTAACACCCGCTTGAGTTACGCTCCGAAGCTAGTCTCGTAGAAGACTACAACCTAGGAAATATGGCGGACTAGACGCGACCTTGCCTCCGTCGTACGGTGAAAGAATCTATGTCCAACCCCCAAATTGAGGTCGCTTGTTGCAGCGGCTCTTTGCGGTGGGTTTGACTAGTTCCTAGAAAGTGATACATGGGGCAGGCAATGTGATGAAAGCTCTGAATGTGATGGCAGTTGCAGATAAGAATAATAATAACGCGCACTGAAACCTCAGACACAAAACGCCATAAAAATGAAAGGCAAAAGGAACATGTCAACTTTACCTTTTGGAAGAGACAAGTCATCGTTACCTATGAAGAAACAGTCAGTTTTGTTATCTAAACAAAGATAGCGTGCAATAGAGGAGCGGAGGTTATATGGGGTATGTACTGTGAGACATAGACAGCGAGCAGCTTTAGAGCTCCTTTGGATTTTTAATGATGTTTCTGGGGATGTGGTTCCAGGTGATACTGGCCGATTGAATGAAATTTATGTTGGGTAGATGAGAGGGGAAGTAGTAATAAGTGAACTGTCACTTTTTGGTGAAGTCTCCATGATTCATCGCGTTGATTCAGGAAATATTGACCGCACACTTGTGCCTTTGATATGGGCGGGATAGACAAAGAGCCGGACTCGGCAGGAAACTTACTACCAAATTCCCTATCCGACATCTTCCCTCGTAGAATCAAAATATTCTCGGAGGCTTATGCTGGAATGTAAATTCCGGGTGTTGGAGTATTTCTTTATCGTAATTTTGGCGTGGCGATATGGGGCACTTTGTTGATAGTGAATGGATGTTTACCTGGTGGCCTTGCGTCGCAAACTGCTTTTTTGGGCGGCGCCCGAGTCTTTATTTATGCGAGGCTGGGGCTTTAGCAGTGGTGTCGCGCTAGGCCAGAACCAACTGTTGATAATCACGTGAGGAACCTAGACGGCGCTTTATTATTATGGTTCATTGGTGATGACTAGCACACCAGCCCTTTTTGATATTTGGTCATTGTAGAATGCCCAATATAACCCTACGGGTCGTCCAAAGGGTAGACCAGTAACCATACAGCATCTCACCACAATTACTTAATATGCACCTTTGGAAATTTATGTTGAATTACGAGAGGCATTATACGGGTCTGGATCTCAAATAATGTGGTATGACATATTTATCCATACAGTATGATACAGTGCCCAACACCATATCTAACTCCGCCAGCCCGTAGGCATATAGTACAAGCTCAAAAACAATTGCATCATTCCACACTTTGTGGTATCTTGACCTGCCCTCGAGCACGATCATAATGTGGAGCGCCATACCGCCAACCAACGCCGTTAGGCCCTCTCCCATCCTTTCCAGCGTCATCAACATTAACATCAGTGAACCTGAACTCCCACCTACCAGTATCAACTTTCTTCACTGCAGCCTCTTTCTTCGCCTTGATATCAGCTTCCCTTTTCCTCTTCCACTCAGTAGCCTCCTCTCGTGCTCGAGCTTTCTCTTCGCGTTCGGCATCTGTTAACCCCTCTAAAAGATCCCGATGTTGCAAGACCAACTCTGGATGTGGAATGCGGTCATCGGCGGGGAGAAGTCGTTCGTTGAATACCTTAGCAGCATCCGCACGTGTGAATTGCCTAGATTCAGAAGTGGGGTGGAATATTTGCTGTCCTGTTGAAGCGTGGACTGGCAGATCATTAATCGATTCATGCTCTACGTTGCCTGGATCATACGGTGTCTGAGGAAGCATGGACATGACTGCATGGGAATATTTCTTTGCCAATGGTTTTCCCTTGAAATCAAATTAGCTGGTATTCCTGAACATAGTCAAAGTTGCATATTGAAAAAATAACAGGACTTTCAGAGAGGCTCGCATGCTAAATTTTGTAACCATGTAGGTGTCTTAAAGACTAATCGATTTTTTAAAATCATCATAAAGTCGGGGTAAAAGGAACACTTGAAGAAACTGGAGAGGCAACTTACTATACTTTTCCACTGCTTCTCAACCTCCTTCAATCGGACCACCGCTCCCACACGGCTCATTTCAACTCTCATTTCAACGCTGACTTCTCTAACAGACTTCCCTTGCCTCATGATAGACCGCCATATCTCTTCGCGGAGCTCCTCACTCAGAACAGGCTGACTGACGAAATTGCGATTCAACGGGAACGGGACTCTATCCCTTAGAGACTCTGGTGGGAGACTCGGATTGTCCGTCTTTGGGCTTGTAGATGCTACGGAATTTGCTCCTTCATCTACATTCTTCTGGCCCCTAGCGGCGTCAAGGACTCTTCTCAGCTCCCCTTGTGCATTGTAGGCACCGAGGTAATTCGTAGACCCTGGCAATGGGTTGCGAAGGGCCTCTCCTTGTGTTCCTAGCCACCTAAATAGCCCTCGTCGCGCCCGCGTCGTCCTTTGTTGATGTCGAGGAGTGGAGGAGAAATGGCGCGAGGACTGCTGCTTCTTACATAGATGTCTCGCGCAGGACGAGGCTGAAGGAAATGCCGATGGACATCGTAATGGGGGTGGCATTTCGAATGCCAATCGAAGTTTTGCGACAGGTGTCGCAATGAAGCGTTCTGTGTGGGATTTTAATATGGAGGTGTTTTACACTTCCTCTCCTTTTAAAAAGTTCTCGCAAGCTCCGGGAGCTAGCGCGAATACGAATATCACGTGACAGCGCAATATGTTCGAGCCCTTGGGCTGACACGGGCTGACAGACAACACAAATATTTAGGAGTGAAATTTTTATAGCTTTATAATATAACTTTGCTAAGGAGCCTACCTAATCGTACTCGTATGTCATAGACTTTACAAAGTGAACATCGGATATCCTACATGCTCCTAGGACAGGGTGAAGTCCTTGAACTCCTATGGGTTCATAACCATAGTGCTCATCAAATGTTTTGCCGTATAATTAAACCTTCCTTTCTTACCCCAGGCCCAAATTCCAACATTGTCCCGTCCAATAGCTCCACTCCAACTCCATCAAAAATTTCATTATTCATGCCCAACATAACTTCGTAACGTTTCACTCATTCTTAAAAGTCTTGAATGCCCGTCTCACTACCTGTCCCCTCCCCTTCAACCCAGCTCGGTTCCTCGTCTTCAAACCATCTCTCTTCCTCCTCTTTCCTCTCAATTACATCCCACTCCTCTGTCTCATCAATAGCTCTATAGTCAAAATCCGGATCCTCGCCCTTTAAAAACCTAATCGTCATCTCAAACTTCCACCTCTCGAAACCCTCTTCCTTGGTCCTCGGACTGTCGACTTCCTCTTCTGGAAGTTCTTCTCCATCCTTACCTCCGGCATGGCCCACAAATGGTAAATGAGGCTCTGAGGACGATGACCATGGTTCTTGTAAATCTTGAGAGCTTGATGTAGACGGAGATGAAGCTTGGGCCAGACTTTTGTGAACCGCTGCAAGCTTAGCTTCCGAGCGGTACAAATCCGCTTCTAAGACGCCGGAATATCCTTTTGCACGCCCATCTGCTTCGCGTTCAGTAGGTGTCTGGAAACGTCGCACGCAGCGGTCGTAGAGAAGGGGGTCTGTTTCAGAATGTTAACTTACTACCTGACCTGGGGTCGGCAAGGGGGATAAATATGCCGGGAACAAACCTAGGAGTTCGAGGTCGGGTTGTGTAAAATACGAGGGATTTCTCTCAAGGTATAGAATTCTCCGGTTTTTAATCCGAATTTGAGGGGATATTGCTGGAACAGGTGAGGGTGAGCTGGGTTCTTGCATTGGCGGCTCGGGCGAGTGCATAAGAGGCATGACGATGTACTCTATCCGCTTTGAACCAAAATATGATGCGGGTGGCTTCAGCCCCAACGATTTGCCTTATTTTTGTGACCCAGAAACTCTCATTCAAGTTCCCTTACTAAATTGTGCAATTCCTCGGCGGTGGGATGGGTGTATGATGATGATATGTGATGCAAGTCGATGTTGTGGCAAAAGCCCGCTTTAATTACTGCTGAGTCAATCCCGTCGCATCTCCGTCCATACCTCGGCAGCCCAGACCCCGCGAAGTCGCACTGTTCATGATCGCTGGTGACTTGCGAAGTACTTCCAATATTATAATTAAAAATCCGAACAGTTATTATCAGAAATGGGTGCGACTACTCAAGCTGCCAATGGAGCAGCCCTCCCTTCACCACCTTTCGTCACTGTTGTTGGAATCCAGAATTTCCGCGACCTCGGCGGATACACCGTGTCCTCACGCAGCAACCACTCCGTCCGACGCGAAATCATTTATCGATGCGCTGAACCGTCAGGAATCACCAAAGATGGAATTGCCACCATACAGAAGCTGGGGATTACTCATATGTATGATCTACGATCTAACCCCGAAATTGAGCGTGCTCAAGCGGCCGGAAGAGGCGGGATCGTAACGCTATGGGATGGCTGTGAGAGAGTGTTTTCACCTGTTTTTGCGGATCAAAACTACAGTCCGGAGAGCTTAGCTCTGAGATTTCGGAATTATGCTTCTAGTGGCACCGAGGTTAGATTATCCCGGGATTTTGAAAGTATCAAGACTAATGACTTCAAAAGGGGTTTACAAAAGCTTATACTAATATTTTAAATGCTGGGCCGCCTTCTTTCAAGACTATCTTGTTGCATTTAGCGTATGAACCCTCCAAACCCATCATCGTGCACTGTACCGCGGGCAAAGATAGAACGGGGATAATTTGTGCTCTGATTTTATCTCTGTGCGGTGTGGATGATGAAACTATTGCTTATGAGTACTCACTCACTGAGGTGGGGCTTTCAAACGAATGGAAACAGGACGTGATTGAGCATTTAATGGACAACCCAGCTCTACACGGAAACGTGGAGGGTGCTTGGAACATGATTAGTGCTAAGTAATGCCCCTTCATCCTCATACAGGCTTTTTGCTAACAGATCATCAGAGCGGCCAATATGTTAGCCACATTAAAGGTCATCAAAGAGAAATTCGGCGGTGCTGAGCGGTATATGATCGAAAATTGTGGCCTCACCAAAGACGAGGTGGAGAAGATTAAATCAAATTTGATTGTTGAGACCCTGACACGGTGACTGGAAGGCAGCATCTTACGGTCAGCCTCAACCTCAAATCTCGCCGGCGAGAACGGGTTGTGGAGGATTGAGGGTACATTGGATATGGAATCGATGGTCCTGAATTGAGCTGCTGCCTCAATACCATAGCCGAAACTAGGGCAAAACTAGCCACTCCATATAAGGAAAGATCAATGTATAGACTCTAATCTCTAGTGCGAGGACACCCAATGCAAATCACAAAGTCGTTTCAAAGGGGGCCATTACTCATGGCATAGTCCGGACTCTTCTTCCCCCTCAGCGCTTAGGGTTTGATTTTCTCCTCTGCTGCTCTGCAGTATCAGCCTTGCATGCTAGTGTGGCAGTGCATAGGAGAATATCTGGGCGTAGCGTTCCGGGGCGCGTTCCGATCCGTTAAATGGCTATATTATTGCCATTGATTGGGCTCCAAGCGGAGTTTTGTTGCATCTATATCGAGGCGGGGAACGGCTGAGCGGCTTGCCCTGGCGGTTCCGGTTGCTGTTGATGTTGGTGTCGTACAATTTTGGGCGGACCAACAATTGGAAGCTGGGGTCTCTAGAGATGACCCCGCGCACAGCCTCCATGTGTTTGGCTCATACAAATGAATACCGCCTTGATGGCCTGCCTTCGTTTTATCTTCAATCTTCGCAATCAATTCACACCGTATGTCTCCTGAAATCTGCATTCTTCTGCATTTATTGCTTCGTCGCTCGACCATTGGATAACACTATAACACGCCCGGGGGAATCATATACTACCATGATGCGGACCAATGAGCCTAGTGCTGCGTCAAATTCTCTCCGTGTCTCGTTGCCTGTTAGACCTGCAGAGCCAGGTTCCTCCCCGACTGTGGATGGAAGCCGCGTTGAGTGCATCCGGAATGCCGTCTCTACGGGGAAGACTATCAGTGGCTTGTTGGCAAATACATTAAGGCAAAGCACTTTGGCGAACGACGAGGAGTCCAATATTCATCAACTCGTGGCCCGTGCAGAGGAGCTTCATAACTATCAATCCCCAGTTGAGTTCACCATAGGCTTAGTCGGTGATTCCGGGGTTGGTAAGTAGTACCTCATACGAGCGGTACAGCTCTAATTAATTCGCAGGTAAAAGCAGCCTGATTAATTCATTGCTTGATGAGGAAAAAATTGCAAAAACGGTATGTGCCTGCCTACTTTGCTAGAAAGTGCTCTGATAAAGATAGGCTGGCGCTGGGAGTGCTTGCACAACAGTTGTGACAGAGTACCGGAAGAAGCGTGAAACTGATGCTGCTGCTTATACTGCCGAGATCGAATGCATGAACGATGGAGAGATCGAGGACTTATTACGGCAATGTGTCGTGGATTACAGGCGATACCACCTTCTAGAGCCAGGCAGCGTTGACGGCCCAGTGGAGGAACAACTTCGACGAAAAGCTCAAGTGGCGTGGAATATTTTAGAGACGGCGTTTGGGGATCGCCCGCCGTTCCAAATACGATTTCAGAGTCGAGACGTCGACATCGATGACATACATCGAGTAGTCCTTGGATGGAAGAACGAAATTGTATGGCCAGCCAACTTTAATACCCAAAGGATTGTCATTACGACTGCGAACGGTGATGACTGCGTACTTCAAATCAATCGATATTCAGGCGGACGTATATGGCCATTTATTAAAGTCGTGCGGTAAGTAGAGACATTTTATCATTGTAGACATTTACTGATAGTTGCACGCGTAGTATTTACCTTGGTGCTCCGGTTTTGAGGAACGGCGTTGTGCTTGTGGACTTGCCTGGTATCCCATCTTTGGCGCTATGAAAGTATAGTTTCTAACTTTTACAGGTTTCCGCGATGTTAATTCTGCACGAGTACGGATAACAGAAACAAGATTGCACCAATGTGACGAAATATTCATAGTAGCTGACATTGGCCGTGCCGCTACGAACGTAGGAGTAGAGGATCTCATCGTTCGACAGGTAGGCAGGAACTTTGACGGTCTTAGACGGTCTCAGGGAGTTGCTATCATTTGTACTAAATCTGAGGTATGTTAAGTCTGTGGCATATCTTCTTGGCCCTGGTTGATGTTTCCAGGATTTTGGACAAGAAGCCGAGATCCTTAGAGATGTCTCACACACCGACGAGTTCAATCCAAGGACCGTCCAGAATCTTAAGAACCAGATAGAGGAATCCGAGGAAGATGGTAGACTAGAAATGAACCTTCGAGCCAAGTACTTTTTATCCGTGGAGTATAAATTGGAGCATGGCCTAACCGAAAGCAGACGAAACCACCTATTCATATCAGCACGAAATCGTCACGTAAAACTTCGCCTCGAAAGGCACTACGAAGCTCATGCCATCACTCGAAGAATTGAAGTATTCTGCGTCTCTAATACTCTTTATCGCGAGGCTTGTGACCTAAGAGCTCGGGTTGAACAGGCCATGCAGACTCGCCGACGCTCCTTAAACATCATAGATAGGAGCTTGGCTGCGGAACAACAACTGGCAAGTTCAGGAATCTGCGAACTACGAGATTTCTGCGAGGGGATTCCTCGTAGCTCTCAAATTGCTGAGACGAGACATTTCCTCGACACGAAACTCGTAGCGCTGCTCGAGCAGACTGAGATGTGGCTCACTGCTAGCGTTGCTGGAGTGGCTGCTAATCGACAAGATGCGCCAGGATTTGTGGGCGAGCTCCAAGCAGAGCTTCAAGCTGTAAGCGTCTTTGACTTCTGTAAAAACTAAACTAAATAAATTTAGAATTTCAATGAATCCCTGGACACGACCAATGGAGAGCTAAGCGATGTCAAACTGGAAATGCTCCAACGACCTCTTAGTTCGCCCCCTTGGTAGATCCTTATAGAAGAAACACGCTAATGATGCTATATAGCCCGAGGCAGGAGCAGATGGGAGCGGGAGGCGCTCTCAGCTGTGAGAAGGCTGGAGAGAGTAAGTCTCTCAGATATTGGTCAATAAAGAGGTATAGCTAACAATTATAAAGTGGGATGTTCGTAGGGCAACGCTTCAAATTAACCAAATAGGAAATACGCTGACAGCTGTACAGGGAGCTTGATGGCATACTGGAACAACGATGGGGCTCATGATACCCGTGCACAGCCGGATACTGACTGGAACGCGGATATTATCAGGGCGATGGTAGGTGACTTTCAACCATCTGAAGACTTGTTCAATTCTAGGAGCCAAGTGCTATTCGATAGTTTGAATAATTCATTCCGCGAAGGGCTGTCAGGACTGCTGGCAAGTTTAGGTGGTATGTCATAATACAAGTCCAGCTTTTAGGGGATGTTTTATAACTAACTGAAATATAGACCTTCGTGAAGTGGAAGCTTTTAGGCAAACTTTCCCCCGACGACGCCGAAATCTTTACTATGATGTCAATAATGTAACCACTTCGTTCTCCGAGGAACTACAGTATATTTAACCATCCTCTGAACACTGTCGCTCTGGCTAATTTGTCTTACATAGGATCATCTTCCATGACCTTTTCAAAACCCATGGCACATCCTACGTGATGCGTCATATGCTACCTATGTACAGCGAGGTTCAGTCCGGAAGCGGTACAAAAAACAGGATACTCACCCGTCTTGACTTGCAAGTCAGGGGTGATCGCAATAACGCTGGAGTATTCAAGGCTATCAGGGATCTCTTCATTTCAGAAATCAACTCTCTACTCGAGGAAACGAATGAGCAGCTCCAACGAGCAATAGAGAAATGTGGTGAGGATATTATGAGTGATCTTGAACTGTTAAGGGGTGAGGATACTCCGGGAGTGGAGCAAGACGGTGTCCTTGAGACGATGTTTACCGTATTAGGAGAAGCCAGGACGAACAGAGATGAAGCTGTTAGAGTGTTCGAGGCTGGGATTGTTGAGCCCGTTGTTGTTTGATTCCTAGGGCATACGGCTAGGTAACGGGGAATGCAAATCCCTGGCAGTAATAGTCCCAAGTACGAGACTAGATTACTTCCAGCTTTACTATTTGCATGTTGTGACAGGTATTCTTGTTTGGGGTACGTAATTACAAGACGAAAGATTCTGATTTTATTGCTATAGCATGTACCGCCTCTAAATACTATTACAGAATGTTCCTACAAAATTAACCAAGCCACTGACCCTAGAAGAGCTACCACTGGGCCCGTCGTATAAATCGCGGCTCCAACAATAGATCCAGCATTCGCTGTAGCAGACGGTGTCCCAGTACCGGAAGTCGTAGTTGTCCCACTCGTCCCTGGCCCAGATCCCGTACTCGTACCTGTCGCATTGGTTCCTCCGCTGCTCGCTGTCACAGGACCTACAGCCTCCCCAACCAGCAGTCCTTGCACATAACTCAAAGCACTAATTTCATACCCAACATCCGTCTTGTTCCCTCCCTTGTCACCCGTACTCCATTCAAATCCACAAGCTCCTTCATTGCAAGTCGCCGCCGCAGCACTGGCTGTACTCTTCAATTTCGGCAGGATTGCATCACTAGTATATGGCGCCATTTGAATTGTGTCGACAAGCCAGTGAGCTAGCAGCCCTTTCATAGCGTGCATATCTGTGGTGCAGGTGGCTCGCTTTTCACACGGAACTTCGTAGGCGATTCCGTCGGGAAAGAAGACCGAGAGGGTTTGTCTGAGCAGGCCGTCGAGGGCGGATTTCCATTTATTGGAGCGGTTTATGTTATACATATGTGCTGCGCCTGTGACGAACGTGCCTGCTACGTAGGAAAATTGGACATGGTCCATTTCGCTGCAATTGGTGCTAGCCTGTGCGCCGTCGAATACGTTCCATTTGGCATCGATGAAGCCAGCTGCGGTTGTCCAGTCGAAGGTCTTGGTGGCCCAGTCCGAGTATGTCGAGTTCCCCGTGTAGCGTGCCAGGCGGGTGGCGAGCTGGAAGAACATTCCGTTGGTGATACTGTTTTTGTAACTGTAGCCCGTGTTCAATGCGAATATCTGCCATCGTAAACCGCCATTGCAACTCGAGTTGTCCCACCGTGCGACTTGGTCATTAAACACTGCATCAGCCAGCGAGATCCACGTCGGATTTCCCTGCGACTCTGGCAACTTTGCTTCAGCAGCTGACATCGCCGCAAGAGCCCAAAAAGCCTGGTCGTCATTTCCTATACTTGCAGACTGATTTGTAGGCATGTAGTTTTCATTTGGCCCTATTTGAGCTTGGAGGCCTTGGCTGACGATGTCATTATATTGGTTGTCGCCTGTTAGGTGCCAGTATTGGATTAAGGTGTCGAACATGGCCCCAGATTCCCAGAAATAGTAGGGAGGGCTGTCTAGGAGGCCTACGGTTTTGCCACGCTGGTTGCCGTGGTAGTAGGAGACCATTTGCTGGGCGATTGTGGAAGCCACGGATTTGATAGAATCTATTGCGTCGTAAGTACTTCGCAAACGATAGTGACATAGAGCCTGTAATCTTACCGGAGCTGTCAGCTTTTAAATCGAGGCCGTAAACTGAGGATGTTAGTGCCGCAATGGCGGCCAACCGTGTAAGGCGGGCCATAGTGAAAATTGATTAACGACGAGGAAAAAGTGAAAGATATCGAATAAATGTTCAACACCGAGCAGTAGCGACAGGATGGAATGAAATAAGAAATATTTGCGCAAAACGTGAAACAGATGCTCTTCCTACGACTATGGAGTACATCCAGAAATCCAAGTTAAAAGGAGGGTGACGGTTGAAGGACGGAGAAATGAGCATTTGGCACCGCCCTGAGGCTAATCAATGTCATGGTTCCCGAACCAAGGTGGGAAGGCGTTCACGATGTTAATTGGCTGCTGTGCCACAAAGCATTGATACAAACACGTAAAAATCGCTTGGGTTCCAAACTTCCATCGTCCGAAATTCCATTCATTACCGACTCGTCGAGGCTCCCGCTTCGTATTCTGCCTAGGTAGGTAGGTACCGGAATGCCAATGTCAAGTGCCAGCTCGACGAATACGAACTTGGCGATTGTGATGGACGTTTTATTAACTCTCCAAAGGCGATCCGGATAGCAGCTTCATGAGGTCGTGTTTCTGTACCTCGATGATACTTTGTAGGGGGATAGGCAAGGTAGTTAAAGGAGCTCGTGCTTCAAAACTTGAAGACCCCTTGGCAGCTTTGCTCTGCGGTGGCGAAGAGCCAGCAGCCTACGAAGTACATGAACGCCTCGTATCACGATCTGCTTTTGTTACGAGCTTATACTTGGCGAGTCATACGAATACTTGCCGTACACGCCTTCCTACGGAGTAGGTAATGTAGACTTTCCACACGGAAAAGGGTGAACAATTGCGCCTCTAAAGCATGAAACAAAGATGCCAGGACAAACCGCGAAATTCCCAGTTGCATATGAGCTTGAAATATAACTAGAAATCGGATTCGGAAACGCGAAAAGAACTCGGAGGAGGTGGGAAAGGGGAATTCAAAGTCGTCCTCGAGTATTAGATGGAAATCCCAGAATGTAGAAGGGGCCTAAAGGATGGAAAACTCAATTACCATTTGCAGAAGTATCTGCATGAGCGCCAGCAATGAACGGTCTGGTTACCGCCGTGATATGGGATTCGATTCGATTGCTCGTCGTCGTACTTCGTAATCCAATACTCAATTGCGCTGAGAGATGATATTGCTTACAGCTTGTAGCTGTCCCAACCAGCGTTCCCGAAGGCCATTCAAGCGTTGAAGACTCTAGGAACGACTCCGCAAAAATACAAGAATTGCGAAGAACACTTTCCTATGACGTCGGCGTTGGGCAACGGTCTTCGTGATGTCAGCACCGGTATCATAAGGTACTGCTTTGTGTGCAAGCAGTCACTGTTTTGTTTGGTAACAATCCCAATCGCGCTCGACCGTGGACGAGCAAGCCGACATCACCCGTGTGATGCGCGAAACAAATTTAGCGGACAGCTTGAACGTCATCGCGAACATGAATGGGTTATTGAGCGATCAAAGACACATTCCTTGACATATATTACTATACGGTCTGAATCCCCGGCCCTAAAACGATTAGCAGCCTCGTAAGTCATAAAACCCCAGATTCTAGCTCCATAGCAGATTTAAATGAGCTAAATGTATCGGCTATGCTTGGGACTAGGAGGAATAAATAAGTCGTAAGTTGCACTTCTATACCTAAGTACCTAAGGTACCTAGGTAGGTGGCAAGTGACGACTTGATGCTCTTATAATTCGAGGTATGCTTGGGCCAGACGACGGTAAGGTAGTTAGACGGCATTCCAGTCTGTTCGTCAACATAGGAACCACTTTACCCATATCCTTAGAGATTAAATAAAAATCTACTGAAAAGTTCTCATCGAATTTATTTTGCCCTCTTAGTCTTTGTCGTGATTTCAAGGTCGAAAAGTTTGGGGGCCAAATCAGTTGTCTTTCGCACAAACCACCACCTTGGAGACTGTAACTGCCTCGCGGCGACATCGCTTCAACCTCGGTTCTTTAATTATGAATCGCCAATGTAAGGTACTATCGAGGCAAACTTTCGGCATCATCGGAGTAATAAATTTCATCGCTCTATTCGGCCTTTTTGGATTCTTCCCTTTCAGTAATCCCAGCCCCACGCAGCCCTCTCTCACCAATTCCAAAATGGGTATCATCCACATCGTCATGTTCGAGTTCAGGGAGGAGGTAACGACCGAGCAGATTGCAGACGTAAGACTCCCCGTCCCAGAATGTCTCGCGATGCGACAGCAAATTATTTGAAGGGTGCTGATCAGATTTAGGTATGCAACCGAATGCTGGCGCTCAAAGAGCAGTGCCTACATCCAGTGACAAACACGCCATACGTCAAAATGGCAATGGGAGGCAAACAGAACAGTCCCGAGGGTCTATCTGTAAGCATCGCCAACTCTCTCTAATTTCTCAACCTACATGCAAATTTAATTGACTTGCGGTTCTGCTAGGGGGGGATCACCCACGTGTTCGTTGAGGAGTTCGAGAACGAGGAGGATAGAAAGCACTACCTGGAGAAAGACCCTGTGCATCTAGCATTCGTGAAAAGCATTGGAGCTGTAGTTAAGAAAGCGCAGGTTGTGGATTTTACTCCTGGGGTTTTCTAGCTACATGCCTCTTAATTCCTGAAACTGCAGAACTCTTCGGAACCTGGGTGGATTGTGAACCAAAAGGTTCAACAAGGCTATCTAGTTGAGTATCTAAGTCCATTTTTATGATGCATTCGCAGGATGCTTGGGCTCTGGTGAAGAATGCTTGCTCTCGGCTCAAATTAAGGTGGCCGCTGCTCGCGCCCTTCCTGGCAAGCAGTACCATCATCACAGACAATCCTACATTCTTGCATTGGATTCAAGCGGTCCATGCCTTAAAAATGGTGCCGAGATTCTCGTCCATTATTGCAGTAATGAGTTTCGAGTCCGTTGGGTGTTCTTGTCTAACTCCGCCATTTTCTGCCTCTGGGAACTTGTGGCCGAGGACTCTGTTATTGCCCGCCAGCCCAAAGTATCATAATCAGACCAAGGCAGAAGTATTTCTGTCATAATCTATATACATTTGACTCCTCCGGAATGTCTTGGCATGCGACATGTCAATAAGCAAGCACCTGGTGTCATTGTCATCGATATGATTTGTCACTACACCTTTGGTCGTTTTACCATTTTCATCTTATGAAACATATCCTCTTGGATCATATGCGGCATGTCACCGATGCTGTGCTCTAAAAAGTGGAGGCTGTGGAGCTCAAAAGGATCGTGCACCTCATAACGATAAAAATTAATCCTATTTCTGATCATCTGTAGTAAAGGCCAAGAACATTTTTTTTTATTATGTGTAAAAATTGTAGATATACCGTGCAAGAGATAAGTCCTGTCTACAATCCCTCTCTCCTTGGTACGTAGTTGATTAGTGGTGTTCTGTATAATATCTCGAAAATTTTGCTGCTTCAAGGGGTTTATTATTACACGCAGAACAAACAAATGTTAACGGGAAAAAAAACGAGGGAGGGATTAAAAAAAAGAGAAAAAAAATTAGATGTGACTCCCTCGGGTGGGCTTGAACCACCAACCTCTCGATAATCGATTGTATTTGAATACTCTTAACAGTCGAACGCGCTAGCCAATTGCGCCACGAGGGATTGTTGTTGTTGGCTTCTTTTACTATTTAGGATTAATAAGTCCCACAGTATGAAACAGAAATCTTCATAGACTCACGAGATCCGGCCCGGCTCGCACTTACATTTAGCCGAGCGTCGGTTAATACTAGTGGCCCCGACCCTGTATCTGTCAAGTACTGCTAGGATTATGAGCAACGAATATGCCGAAGGGTAGTCATAAGTGATAACTACCTACCTACGTATGTAGTCCAGTAAGTGATAACCCAATTGATGGACTAATCTAATTACACGAATATAGGCCCTGTGGGCGGTTATATGGGCGCGCTTAAGCTAATCCTAACTCAACAACATTGATCCGTATTCTGACAACTCCATCCTGGTACTTCGGACAATGGCCTTGTGAAGATTTCCTTTGAAGCGGAGACCCTCCATCTGATATTTCATCTCGCCATGGGCATCTAAACAACACCATGTCTGAGACTGGTAATGTCGTGCGACGAGCGTAGTCTTTAATTTTTGAATTCTTTTTTATGTCGTACACTTTTCGTCGCGCGAGCAACGCAGATACGGGGTGTTAAAATAGCAAGCCACATAATAATTTATGTCGTTCATGTGTCGAAATCCGAATTCGGAGTCTAGTCAAACAAGGAAGTTTCTTGAATACCTATGTAGGTATTAGCCAGATAATGCACCATGCTGCCATAACCTCGTGTGTGAACCATCAGCTTTTTAATAAACTTATCCTTCAACTTCCGGTTACGAAGTATCAACACAAATATGGACAACTGACATGGAGAAAACACCCTGAAACCTGGCCGGATTTCATCAATACTAGAACAGAATTTATAGCTTCATATCAAGCTTTATTACTATCTACTTCGATAAGTAGGCAAAGTAGCAATATCCTTTGTCTGGACGCCTTTAAACTCAGAAATCACATGTGTATCGCTCGTGATCTGCTGTGATCACGTGCGGCAGCCTAGTGATGAGGGGTTCGAGGCTGACACTCTCGACCCTGCATCATCGACCCTTTATCTACGCCATCCGGTTAACACCTGGATTACAACATTCTCAACTCACCTCTATCTTTCGCCACCGTCTCTAAATTCACCACAAACACATTATTCGGTACTGAAGTGCTAGTATCACCTTCGTCATCGAACGAAACAGATCTGATAGACAACCCCGCCAAACGATGAACTTCCTTCACAGCACCCTCGATAAGGTGCGGGAGTGGGCGCCTGTGTCGCACACTTCGACCTTCCGTCAAAACGGCCAAATCACCCCGGAAGAGTTCGTCGCTGCTGGAGATTACCTCGTTTACAAGTTTCCGACCTGGTCTTGGGCCGACGCATCTCCCATCAGCAAGCGCGCCAACTATCTGCCTCCAGGCAAGCAGTTCCTAGTGACTCGAGGTGTACCATGTCATCGACGACTCGACGAGAACTTTGCCGGGGATGCTGGGCATGATGAGGCTATGGTAGGTGATGGAGAGGACTTCAAAAGTGCGGGTGGCCATGCGCCTGGTGATGATGAGGATGGGTGGCTAAGGACCGGAGGCCTAGCCGCAAGCCAAGAGGCACGCGTAAGAGATGTGAGAACAGTCGACGAGAGTGGAAATATGGGAGAGAGGGAAGACGATGACGACGAAATCCCTGACATGGAGGACGAGGAAGATGATGAAGAGGCTATCATTCGTGATCCAAAAAGTGACGGCGCTGATTCGTAAGTTTTCCTGCCTACCGGTGAGCTTTAGAGATTCAAATGCTAATGGTGGGTTTCTACTAGATCTCGTCGCACCTATACACTCTATATTGCGTACACACCGTACTACCGAACTCCTCGACTATACCTCTCGGGCTATCTCGCAAACTCGCAGCCCCTTGCCCCTCAACTTATGATGGAAGACATCGTCGGCGATTATAAAGACAAGACAGTTACATTAGAAGACTTCCCCTACTTCAGCAACAACATAAAGATGGCCTCTGTACACCCTTGCAAGCATGCTAGTGTCATGAAGACACTCCTTGATCGCGCGGACGCAGCACTGAAAATCCGACGAGAGAAGCTTAAGTCAGGAAAGGCGGTTCCAGGTGCCAAGGACGTGGGGATGGAGGGTTTAGTTGACGATTTCAGCAAGACCGGCTTAGGAGGCGATGACAAGAAGGCGGTTATGGAGGGGATGAAAGCGGGTGGGAATGGAAATGATGAGTGGGAAGTGCTGCAACATGATACGGACGCCAATGATGAGGAGGTTGCTATCCGTGTTGACCAATATCTGGTTGTGTTCCTCAAGGTATGTACCATGCTTGTAATTGGACCCAGAATGCTTTGCTAACACGAGGATAGTTTATGGCAAGTGTCACGCCGGGTATTGAGCACGACTTCACCATGGGTGTCTAGGCAGTGTTTCCTGAATGAGATCATGGACAGCGAATTGGATTATAATATGTTTTTGGGCTGGTGGCTGCTCTCGGGAAAGACGGCGTTTGGATAAGGCGTTGATGGCAGCACGATATACATGAATGCATCCCTTTAGAACGTAGCACAACCCTATTAAATTAATGGAAGAGGCGCTGTTTGAGTGGCCATTTTAAACCTTTTAAAACAGGCTTAGTTTTGCTGTTCAAGTGCATCATCTAAACACGCCCTTCTCAAAATTCATTTCTCTACGGTTAGCTGGCCTAAACCTACTTTCTCCTCGCGCTATGTCATTGTAGTTTCGTAGATACGAAAATGTTGAATAATGAAGGAAGAATCACCGAACAGGTGTGCCTCGTATGCAACCCATTTTGGGCGGTCCTGAGTGGTGGTAATTCCCGCCGCTAGGCCACGAGCGGCTTAGGGGACCTTGCGGAATTTGGTTGGAAAGCTTCGGATCCCAACATCGCGAAATAATTCCTGTGAACAGCTTCAACGGACTTGAATCTCGTCTCTACCACTTCCCTTTTCTCCATTTCCTTTCCTTCAGCTGCGGCTTCATTCCAAAGATGTCCCGAATCCTGCGCCCGGCTTCTCGATTCCTTTCCTCATCCGCAGCCCGGCCGCTGGCTGCTCGATGTGCGCTCCAGCGCTTTCCCCGAGTTCCGGCGATTGTGCAAAGCAAAGGATATGCGACAGAAAGTGGGGTGAAGGAATACACAGTTAGAGATGCTTTGAATGAGGCTCTTGCGGAGGAATTGGAGTTGAACCCCAAGGTCTTCATCCTCGGTGAGGAGGTTGCCCAATACAATGGCGCATATAAAGTCACCAAGGGCCTACTGGATCGATTCGGTGACAAGAGAGTCATTGACAGTCCTATCACCGAATCTGGGTTCTGCGGACTCACAGTTGGAGCTGCATTGGCTGGTCTACACCCCGTTGTAAGTGTCAAACTCACCATGAGAAAATGGGCAATTGCTAACCTGGTACAGTGCGAGTTCATGACCTTCAACTTCGCCATGCAAGCCATTGACCAAATTGTCAACTCTGCAGCAAAGACTCACTACATGTCTGGTGGTATCCAGCCCTGCAACATCACTTTCCGAGGCCCCAACGGCTTTGCCGCCGGTGTCGCAGCACAACATTCACAAGATTACTCGGCGTGGTACGGAAGCATACCGGGTCTCAAGGTCGTCAGCCCATGGAGTGCGGAGGATGCGAAAGGATTGCTCAAAGCTGCCATTCGGGATCCTAACCCCGTCTGTGTGCTCGAGAACGAATTGCTATATGGTCAAAGCTTCCCAATGAGCGAAGCAGCCCAAAAGGATGATTTCGTCATCCCATTCGGAAAAGCGAAGATTGAGCGTGCTGGAAAGGATCTTACCATTGTGTCCCTCTCCCGCTGCGTTGGACAATCCCTTATAGCTGCTGAGGCTCTCAAGAAGAAATACGGTGTTGAGTGCGAGGTCATTAACCTTCGCTCGGTCAAGCCCCTCGATGTTCAATCGATCGTCACCTCCGTGAAGAAGACCCACAGACTGCTGTGTGTCGAGTCCGGATTCCCAGCCTTCGGTGTTGGCGCCGAAATCCTTGCGTTGACGATGGAGTACGCTTTCGATTATCTGGATGCTCCAGCTCAAAGAATTACAGGCGCGGAAGTGCCAACCCCATATGCGTTGAAGTTAGAGCAAATGGCCTTCCCGGATGAGACACTGATTGAAAACTATGCGGCGAAGATGTTGCGGTTGTAAAGGACAGCTAGGATGCAGGTCGGGGAATTGGGATGTGTACTTCTAGAGCGGCCCTATGTGAAATAATCAACGGATACCTTTTATTTAACATGTGAAACTTTGCATTTGTGGATCCAACCTGGATTGTGCTATAGATCTCTTCTACATAACTATGCTTCCCCTCCGATATCGGCTGATTCGTTCTATAATTCAAATCGGAAGTTGTTCAAATTGCACTCGGCATAAATTTTCACGACATCAGACGTATATTTGGGGATACTGTATATACCGAAATTTAAACCGTCTTAACAAAATTCAATATCCTCAACCGCCATACCACCACAGATAAGCTTGCCTTTAAGACCGAAAGACGGTTGATGTTTACTCTGTTATGTATAAATTCATGTAGTAAGTTAAAAATAAAATATATATAAATTGCACGTATCAATAATTGTCCAGGTGATTTAAACCAACATTGCCAAGCCTATACCACAGAATTTAAAGGCGCTAGTAACCTTAAACGTATTAAAACATAATGTTATAGTGTGTTATTGGGTAGTTGATATATCGTTTAGGGACTCTATGAAACATGGGGATCGATTTGTGTTCGGTATCTTGATATATAGTGAGCCATTCTGTTATTTAATACTCAGCTTGACTAGTACATATCATTTTTCTAATCCGCAAGGCGGACACATAGAAAATGTCGTCGAGGCCGAACAGAAGGCTGCCGAAGAAGCGAAGCAGAGAAAGCCAGAAAGAAGAAGGCAGACAAGACGACACCTCCTAAAGCCCAGAACAAGGGAAATAAAAAGAGGAAGCATTCCGAGAGCTCAGACGATGACGACGGACAGCCAACCAAGAAAGTTGATTTCTTCGCCGAACTACTCAGAATGATCCGTAACAAGGAACCGGAATCAGTTGGGGTGTTATGATCATTGTCATTTCTAATAGTATTGCCATTTATACACTTGTTGTCATTTAAACTATTATTACACTAGACACGTTTGACCCTTGTGTTCAGGGTAGCAAATATTCCAGGATTGACATGTGTTTTTCCCTCCACAACCAAGAGGGTATTCAACACTGCTGTTGAAGATGTACCGCCACCAGCCCATCCATGAGGCTTAAGACCTGCTGTTATTTCACTAGTCGGCAATCTTTCCCACCACTCACGGATACAGGCGATCAACTGATACTCTCAAATACAGGCGAAGGTTTGCCATCTGCCGATATATAGTCATAGCGTAGAGAGCTAGCCCACGTGGAAACCAACTTAGCTTTTAGCCATTGACTATAAGGTTATATCATGGCTACCACCGAGGCAGAGAGAATTGTATCAAGAGACAAATTGCGAAGGTCCTCCACATAAGCAAGAGGAGGTTCCGCACTCAAAGGTCTTTGGTTGGGGGTTATTCTTGTCTAGTACACCGGATGGTGTATCCAGCTCAAGACCAGCTGTGAGAAAAAAGCTGGCCGAGCGAGGCAGAAGACGTTTTTGCAGAGTTTAATAGCTGAAAAGTAAACAGAAGAAAATTCAGGAACGGGATGGGCCTGATGAATTCCGTAATTGAATTGCTGATTTGAAGATACAGCTCTGGCTACGTAGTAGAAAACCTGGGTTGAGCTGTTATCAAAATGGCAGCTTGGAAGGGCGAGGCGCGGCCTAAAAGGCCCTATACCTCTGCTGAAGTAGCTTGAATAGCGCAAATGCTCTTTTTGGTAGGTTATTGGTCCTCTCCCCCTGCTCCGTAGTAGTGGAGAAGGCACTGGCTCGGGAGCCGACTTGCAGCCTCGAAGGCATACTCTCAAGACTTCTGAGAGGTATGCCTTTAGATACATCCTTGGGATCCGCCACTTGGAGATCTCGGTTGTAGACCGTATGGGACAAATCCCGTTTATATGTCGATGGAATCCAAAGGACTTTCCATCAACTTCAATCCGTAGGATGTCTTGGGTCATACATGTCGCCCGCCTCGTCCTCAGTATCGCTCTCTACCCCCGCTCCTTGATCAACAACCATCAAAGGCTGTTCTTTCTTTGTGCCCTCGTCACTCTTCACCTCCTCTTTTCCAACTACTTCTCCGTCCGCCGGGGCAAATGCACTTTTAAACCCGGCCTTTTTAAAGCCGCCTTTTTTAAATCCTCCTCCTCCACCACCGTTCCCACTTCCCCCACCAATCTGCCCAGTTTCTCCACCTAACTTGATAGAGATCAATCCCGATTGTGAATTCGCCTTCGCTTCCGCTTTCCGCGCCTTGGACGAGGCGAGTGGATCGCGGCTGAGTTGGCGCATGTCCTTTAGGCGTTGCTTATGCGAGTGGTCATAGGAGGAGAGATGGGCTTCGTATTCATTCATGCGCGCGTAGCCCTTGCTACATAGTTCGCCTGGTGTTTGTAGTGAGCGGACGGTCAGTGAGCGGACTGAAAGAAGGGAGGCGAACAGTAGAAAGATTTTACTGCCTCGCGGGCACTCTCTGTCTTCGGAGCTGGGTTGGTGAATCCACGCTGCGGGGGTTAGAAAGCTATATAAACCTTGAAGAAAGTCCTGTCCTTACTGGAGGCATGATTGTTAATGTGTAGAAATCTGTTGGAGGGATTGCGAGGGAACAGTTTGTTTTTGTTGTGCGAAATTGATGAGAAGAGAGGAAGCCGTGGCCCAAGCTCAAATAAGCTCGAGTTCTGTGTGAACCGAGGAACCTCCAACATCTTCATCTGTCTTTGCCTGGCCACGGAAAGCTGAGCAGCACACGACTGAGCAGCAATGGATCGCCGCGATTCAACGGCCTCGCAAGACACTTTTGTCTCATTACAGCAACTAGATCCCTTCCCTGTCGAGTCGCCTTCAGATATCAACAAGCAACTCCCCGATCTCCCCGCATCCGCATCTCCATCCCCCCCAAGATCCAACCCTCTTGGTTTAAGTGGGAGCCATGGCACCGCATACTACTGTAAGAGCTCCTAGACATTTTCGTCCTTTATATGAATGTATTCGTTCCTAACTATATTAGTAACCCGCCTCCAAAAATATTCTTCCTATGTCTTCACAATATACACCTCATTCCACATCGCGAATACCTCGATAATACCCCTCATAACTCGCTCCGTTTCGGCCTCTGAAACATACCTCTTGTTAACACGCCCATACTACCAATCCTTCCCCTTCGAACATCTCCTCGTTACACTCCCAGTCGCGACCCATATTCTGTCTGGGGTGGCGCTGCGAATCCACCGCCGAAATGCAAATCTAGCCCGCTATGGCGCCGCCAACATCCCTATATCTGCACGCCTTGAACAAAGACTCAAGGTCTGGCCATCTGTATCATGGGCTAGCGTTTCCGGTTACGTCCTTGCGCCCTTAGTGCTAAGCCACGCGTATGTGAACCGCTTATTACCTTGGGTATATGAAGGAGGGTCTTCGGGCGTTGGATTAGGTTTCGTGAGCCATGGGTTTGCGAGGCATCCGTTTGTGGCCTGGTCGGGGTATCTTGCATTGATCGGCATAGCTGCTGGGCACTTTGTTTGGGGGGCGGCAAAGTGGAACAACTGGCTGCCAATAGGGACGAGTAAGAAGGCTAGAAGGAGGTGGTGGACGATTAACGGGGCCAGCGTAGCACTTGCAGCTTTATGGATGGCAGGTGGGCTTGGCATCGTTGGAAGAGGCGGGAAGGCGGACGGGTGGATAGGGAAGAATTACGACGTGTTATATGAGAAGATTCCGTTTTTGGCGTTATAGGCTTGGTGAGGATAGAATCATTAGGCTGGTTTGATTATGGATATGGATCAATACCGACTCGGCATATTATGGTGTTAACGTGAAGTTCGGATGCACCGGACCTCGTATTATGGACTAGAACGAGGAAGCTATGCGGTTGCTTATAGATCCCTTGGTACGTCGGCCACACACCATCTCGACCTTTGTCCGTTTATCAGAACTGGTTGCCAAACACTAAATGGAAGTACAAGAATTCAATAATAGGGCACTACATGCGATTAACGACGGTACTCTCTAAACAATTGCGCGTATATGGAACGGAGTGTCATAACAGCATTCAGATTGACAGCGGAGCTACATTCAGCATTGAAACTCTAATTGATACGCCCTGAAAGAAATAATACTTTTGCGGCTTTTTATGTTGTTCCCACCATACTCGGCATATGCCCGCAGTTATGACTGTAGCGCATTACCTGGCTTGTTCTTTACTTAACTCGAGAGGGCCAGCGCCCTCCCCTTTGCCTAGCTGTGACTTCCAGCTTGTAGCTCCAGGTACCATTCTATTAGTCTAACCTGATCACTGGATCCACATCCTTCCTTCGAAGATTGAGGCCAAAGGCATCGTTAACTTGGACAAGGTGATCGATTGCGATCATCCCAGTAACGCCCTCAAAGTCGCAAACTGGCAACTTGTCATTTTTGCTTTGCAGAGATGTGACCCTCACGATCTCGTCTTCGAGGAAATCTGATGTCGATTGAGCCGCTGCTGCAGTGTATTTCCGTGCTACACTATACAATGGAAGCGTGATAATATTTTCATCTTCCCATTTCTTTATGTTTTTCAAGAGAGTTCTTTTATTTTGGGTCACCTTGCCTCCCATACCCTCTATCCTATCTTGAAGTTCTTTTAACGTCATTTCGTCCAAATTCTTTGGGTTGGGGTCATGGAATATCGGCAATACCAAGTCATCTGGTAAGTCCCAGGGTCTCTCGATCCACTGGAGTCGGCGGATATGGGCCACACCTGTATCGCCTGAAATATCTGTAACCATGGGGCGTTGAAGTGTTCCTAGGGAGCTGCCGAGTATGAACTCGCCAGTATCGACTTGGAAGCCATCGATATCGGCCATGTCGAAAGGGTTTCCGACTTTATCAGTTGCCTCTATTCCTCGATATACTTTGAAAGGGACTACGCCCGGTATGAACCTTTTCTGTAATTGCGCCCTGGGAAGCTTGGGCTTGGGTTTGTGGGGTGACGTCTCCGGCGATATCGAAGCATAAAACGCAGCCACTGCTTTTGCTAAATCGCCGTATTCTTCTAGCATTTCCCGTGCAAGTTGCTGACTCTGGCCTGTGTGTTGAATAAATTTCTCAATATCTTCTAGCAGACCTGCGTCCAATCCCTTGTCCCGTTCGTCAGCCTTGGGAGCTCTAGGATGCAGTTCGATCTTCCAGAGTTTTGCGTTTGGTACCAAACCACAAGTTTGATTACCCTCCGATGTACGGCACAATCTCATGTATTTGTAGTCAGGTGGAATTATTATGTCGTCTGGCGGGGCTACCTCTCGGACGAAATGGCCTGGCTTGACATCCAGATGATTTACTTCTGGGCCGACGGTTTCTGTAACTGTCCAGACTCCTCTCTGAACATCTTCTCTTATCATTTGCCCCAGTCTCCAATCAGCGACCGTTTGTCGATGAGCTGCCCTGACGCGGTCTTCTTTCTTTGTCGGTGCTCCAAAGCTTTCCCAGTGGCCCCCTCCTTCTTCGGCGCCCCAAGCCTCCCATCGATCTGAGCCACCATCACTCCAGATGAAAATAACAGGTCGATTTATATCGTCATTGTCGTTACCCATTCTGTTACCTGTTGTATTCCGACAGAAGGCCATATCCCATTTCCCGCTATCGGGGTCCAATTTGCCCCTATACCCTTGCGTGATATAGGCTAGGTCGAATTCCGTTCCATACTTCATGTTCGCTACAGTCAGCAGCCTGGCAATTTGATCAACGCTCAAATAGCTCGTCTTCGTTTGTTCCCCTAGCGCCTCCTTATACATTCGTTTCTCCTCTCGATTTCCGTTCTCGAAACCCGGGAATATTTTGTTGATCTGTGCCTTGGCTAGATTCACATATTCCTTGCTCTTCAGCAGAAGTTGGAAGGCCTTGAAGTTAATGGTCTTCACGTCCTTATTACAGGGGATATTCAAAGCTGTGATCGCTGTCGTGTAGCTGTTCACTATGGCATGGATCCCACAGTAATTGTTTTGGGCGGTCCCTTTCGTGAACACAGGCGAAAATCCCATTGCGAGCCATGGCAAGAGAGTGTCCTGGATTTCAGGGATAGGATTGAACGGCGCGGGGTCCTTGAGCTGTCTAGGATGGCTGACCTTTTTACCGTCAGGCGATACCGTTATTGCTGGCTCCCCACCAGGAGGCGGAGTCTTGGGCGCTTCTTCGGGGTTTGGCTTTGGCTTCTTTTTAGCTCGTCCACTTCTTCTGGTGCCTCTTCCCGTCTCTATTTCTGATTCTGGAGCTTTCCGTTTTCTCTGAGTCTGCGCTCGGGATGTTCCAGTTACTCCTGGTACTTCAGATCCCTCAGATACTTCAGATCCCTCAGATGCTTCAGATCCCTCAGATACTTCAGATCCCTCAGATGCTTCAGATCCCTCAGATCCCTCAGATCCCTCAGATGCTTCAGACGCTTCAGACGCTTCAGATACAGAAGGTCTTCTAGCTTTGCCTTTTTGTGTCCTTAGATTTGGCCGTGGATGCTCGCCCGCCCTCGGCTTTTTCACTCCAATTGTCTTCGAAGGCTTCTTGGTGGCGACGCTGCCCTTCCGTTGGCTTTTAGCTGGCGCCATGGCGGAGGCAAATTTCAATCAATCAGGTGGGAAAGTTGGGAGATCTTGGGCGAAGGTTTCATAAATAAATGGAAGAGTGCAGAATCGATGCGTTGCGGTGATGTTGCTAACTGGTTGCTAGTGATAGCAACTCTTAGGAGGTTGCGCTGAGGTTGCTTCTCGAACTAGTCAATTATAGTGTGGAGATTGGAGACCTTAGAAGTTGAATAAAAAAATTGGGCTTAGAGTTGTGGGATATTGGTCAAACCAGCGAGAAACCTGGGCTGTATTGTCAACAATATGCGGTAGTTACTATTGTCAACGGCAGTATTGTGGAGGACGATCCGAAAAAAAGGGAAACTTATTTCTGCACTTTTTGTGACAAAGAAAATTAGGCCTTCTGTTGTATCGGGAGACCAACTTGTAAATGATAAAGAATATGGTGTGTGTCCGATTTTCATTGTCGTGGTGAAGAAGATAAAGGAGTTGCCCCATTCGGCTTTCTCGTTGAGAGGACGGAGGGAAAGGGAAGCAAGAGGGCATTTCGATCTTTGGAATGCACGCGTCTTTCACTTATTCCGAATGAAGGCTACTTTCCAAGATCTTCACGAGACAGAACGATGGGACGTTTGATGTCAATGTTAGAGACTGAAGGGCAGCACCGTAACTGACCTCCGCGTCTTGAGCCGTTCGTCTTCTTTCTTTAAGTCAAAAGAGATAGGTTTCATACTAAAAGGGGATATATGAATAACTTGGTCACATATCAGATATATAAAATGCTGCTGTATAGAGGTAGAAAGAACAGCACAGATACTGGAAATGAGCGACAGAAATAGCCCTGACTTAGGGTACACATGAGTAAGAGCGACAACTCGAGCAAACATTTGAGTGCCACGTATGGCGTACGGAGGGCAAGCATGATACGCCCGAAGGAAGCGCAAAATGTATTGGGGGAGACAAAGAGCGTAGTGCAAAGATTGGCTGAATAAGGGGGGAGAGGCTATGTTTGCTGTTTCCGGCGAGGTTGCTTAACCAGCTAATAGTAATCCCGAGTTCTAAATTTATATGCCCAGGACTCATTATCTTTGACTTAATTCGCAGGCTGGACTCAGTAATGCGCATTATTGCTCTGCCTCATTGGTGCTAATTTGATGTCTTTGAACTCACCTATCGAGACTCCCATGTGGCGCCCCCTTTCAAGCCCTCTTTTCCTTCAAAGCCATCAACTCCGCCAACTCACTAAGGAGTTCTACCGTCTCAGCCGGATTGGCAATCCAAGCCGTAGTTCCCACATTCCTTGCCTTGAAGTCGTTACTGCCCGCGCTTAGAAATTGATCTCCAACATGCAGAGTCCTCTCCCCTTTTATGCTCCCCCCTTGCGGCCCCATCCCCTTACCACCAAAATAGTTCTGGCAAACAAGCACACCCCAACTCTTATCTCCGATATCAACAAAGACATCATTGCCGCCGTTAAATGCGCAGAATGGAATTGCCTTGCCGACCTCGCTCATTTCTAGTTTTTTCTGAATTACTAAGACTGTTTCTTCGAGGGATTCGCGGGCGAATTTGTAACCTGGGACTGAGGGTATAATGCCCACTGCGCGTTCTTTGCGCAGGATAGTTGCGGGGAGTGAGAGGTTGGTCACGCATTCGCGGAGGGACGACTCAGCGGCATCTAGAAGCGCCGTAATAGTGGGTTGAGTCCAAGTGGACATGCTAGGTAGGATCCAGTTGCGGCGCGAGAGGTGCGCTAGGAGAAATGGCGACGTGGGATCGTAGGTGAAGAGGAAATTGGATTCGCCGCCTATGTGGGTGATAGGTTGTTAGTTGGCATAGATAAGAACGCATGGCATCTAGGATACCTTAACTAAGGCAAAGAGGGACTTACCCATCACCATGATATTGTGTTTTTGGGCCTCGGTGAGAATCGTGGATGCCTTGATTGCATCCAACAGGCCGTGTAATCTGTTATAGTATTTCTCTGCTTCAGTATAGCCGGCTGCTGTGACAATGCCAATTTTCGTATCGTGGCTCATGAGATCTATATAAATAAACTGCGTTAAGAAAAGCGTTTATTCTATATTTAACGATGTGAATCTGACTCACGAATAATTTTCTGGGTCACCGGGTTCGAAGGCTCTAAGCTTTCCCCGTCATCGTATCTAAACAAATTAGCCAAACTACACCGTACGAGGGTATAGATATTTGTACAATGTAACATCACCGTCGAATGTGGCAAGGTCCAGCGGTCCAGCCTCAAGCACTCCCATAAGTTGGGCAGTGTTTAAAATGAGGCGGATATCGTTAAAAGACGGCGGTACAAATCTCCTAGATGAGATAAAGCGCTTCCTATCCTGATACCTGAAGGCATCTGCTAGATGGAGCCTTGTGAAAAAACTCCCTATGGTGGGAACGAGGAGTTTGAGTTTGGATTGACCTTGGAGGCCGACTTTCTGATGGGCGACTGAAGGTGTTAGTAGCCTTTGATAGAATTTCAATATAAGTTGATCTAAGAAAGGACCATATCTGGACAATCTTTCAATCTTGTAATTATTGTTTGCAAGTCGAGCTACAGAGTAGACTATCCACTTGAGATGCCTAGTCTCGACTTCAAAATTCCGGATACATCATTCAGAACATATAATAATGGAAGCACCGAAGTAAAACGCGAAGAATACTCGGCATGACTTCACAAACAAAACCCCCGCACTGCAGCGAAATAGCAAACTTAAAAATAAAACATCTAAAAAGACTCACTATGATCATCGACAATATTCTCCACATCCTGCATAATCTCCGCGTACCGCTGATGGGCCACCTCAGCCATCTGCTCCACCGAATGAGCATTTTTCTCAAACACCCCCGTAGGCTGAGAATGGAGGACGAATGGAACAGCTAGGAGGCCTTTGATCCATTCTGCTTTCGTATCAGTAAAGTAGCAGAACATTAGTATGCGATATGTGCGATGGAGCCCACGTCTGGGAGCGGTGAGATGCGGGGCAGGGAGAGAGTCAGAGGGGCTAGGTGGTCAAGGTACCTATAAATTGATCTCGACGATGGGTTTTAAGAGCATCTATACGGTGTTAGGGCCTGAGAGAGTAGCTTATGCTAGGGAGAGCTCACATTCGACGCGGTAACGGGTCGTCATCTTGAGGATATACTAACCCCGCTTCTCTTTCTACCTAATCTCAAAGTCTGCAACGGTGACGATGCCGTTTCCTATCTAGCTGCGGAGAGTAGCTGCACCAGGTGATGATGATTGTTTAATTTGGTTTTGGTGTGTAGAGGATTTGGTTTTGTAATTCTAGACGGTTTGGAACTACGTTGAACTTGGAAGGTGGTTGCTTGGCCGCCACAGCCGGCGTTAGGCAAACTTGTTTGGTGCTTTGTGGGAACAGTAGTCACGATGGCATGGCAATTTTGCAGCACAACACTACCACTTGTGTAACAACTTTTTATATGGTAGATATAGATATAGGTTTTATCTTCTACCTAAGAGCTTCATTTTACTCGAGCCTCATGACCCTTGTTTTTCGTACTTTTACGAGTTGGCCAACCGGGGTTAGCTGCACAGCACTTCAACTCACAAAGAAATAACGAATCAGTTCCAGGTAACACTTCTCATGTGATAGTATAACTACCCATAGAGGGACCGCTCAACTAATGAATGAGTAGGGTCTGATTTTCCTAGCCTTCGCACTACCACAACTCTATATCCTCTATATGTATATTCAAGTTCCTCATAATATCGCCTGGTTTCCCCTCGCCTAATCGCCCATTCCACTAGATTGAGTACTCCTCTTGAAAATAAATTAACTTTATGGCATCAAGCGCCTAAGAAAGACCTCGTTTCTTATCTTTCGCTTTCCAACCGACCAATGGAGATTCCGGCCGCGGGACGTCCGGTCTACCGCTCAAAGTATCCACGATCCCTTTCAATTCTAACCAAAATTCGTGATTAGGCCTCCGATTTGGCCAATCGGTCTCATTCTCCTCCACTTCCTTCATGGGGCTGAATACTACGCTAGCCCCCTTGATGCCAATCACGGTCGCACTCTGCGGATTGCTCAGAATCGCGCTGTCGGATCTATCTTCGAACTGCTCTAGGTGCTCTATACATTTGATAGCTAATCTCACGGCGCGAGTGCGATCCATAGGTGATGGTACTCCGCCTTGTTGGACGTGTCCTGGAATCGAGTCACGAGATTCAAAGCGCTCGTGTGCCTCCTCACGAATCATATCTGCGATTAACTTAGCAGAATAGACTTTGCTTGCCTTCTCATTGACGAGGATCAGACGACCAGCCCGCGATTGCCCGGAATCTCCTGCAAATACTTTGCGTAGATGCTCAATATCTGCTGCTAGCATGGCAATACTGATGCCCTCTTCGGGAGTGTAGACTGCTACGGCACCGACGGCAAGACCGGCGAGGGTAGCGATGTAGCCCGAACGTCCTCCTTGGGTTTCGATCACGAATACCCTGCGTCGGGATGCGGACGCGGATTGTTTCACCTTGTCGCAGTATGCCATTAACTCGTTGAGGCAAGTATCGGAGCCGATGCTGTATTCGGTGCCGGGGACATTGTTCGAGATTGTAGCCGGAAGGAGTGTCATCGGGATGCAAAGAGAAGAGTATTGCTCTCTAGCTTTTCGCAATTGAGATAAGGATTGGAATGCCTCGAATCCACCGATAATGAATAGACCGTCAAACTTATATAGTTTGAACAACGAAGCGATTAACTCCATGCCGGATTCGACAGGGGTTTCACGGTTCATACCAATCTCTGAACCCCCCTTATTCGCCCAGTTATCGACCTCGAGCCAGTCGAATTCTCGAACAGCTCCATCAGGTTTATCACCGTGATGCCGAGCAAATCCAGCAAAGCCGTTATGGATTGCAAGGGGGGTATGCCCTCGAGTCAAACAGTACGCTACAGCTGCTCGAGTTGCTGGGTTAACACCTCCAGCTGGTGCTCCCACATGGATGATGGCGATTCTCATGCGCTAGGGATTGTGAGACAATGCATCACGGAAGGCAAAGGACAGTAAACTCACCTTTTTTGGAGGAAGATGCACGGAATTATCTATAGCTGTTGATGTTGTGGTCCTGTAGGAGTTATACATATCCGAAAACTCGGTATCTCTAAGTGACATTGCTCTATCGAAGTCTTTCGCCGCGATGGCGTTCGCCACCTCTTTTGTGTCTAGAACTGCTTGCATTAGAGGTTTCCGCGTAATTTTGTTCTCGTTCACGGCAATGAATGGACTGGGTGTGTCGGGCGTTGCATCTAGAACCGCCCTGACTGCCTCCACACCTTGTAATGTTCCAAGGTAACGATCGTATGCACACGCTGAGCCTCCTCGTTGGACATGACCAAGAGTTGTAATGCGAGTATCCAGTGCAAGGCCTTCTTTGTCCGCGAGGAGGTCCTTGATCATTTCTGGGGTAATCTTGTTTCCCTCTTGGTCATATGCGCCTTCAGCAACAATAACTATAGTCTTCCTCTTGCCATTTTGTCGATGCTATAATAGTATTAGCATTGCCTATCCAATGTATGTTGAATGTCTTACATGTGCCACAACTGCACACATTTCTTCCCGCCATTTCTCTGGTCTCGGTTTCTCGGGGATGAAGATAAAGTCGGCACCAGTTGCTACACCCGCCATCAGAGCTAGCCAGCCGCAGTGTCTGCCCATAACTTCGATGACGAAAGCTCGAGAATGTGAGGATGCCGTAGCTTCGATATAATCCACCATTTCGCAGATTCGACCCAAAGCAGAGAAGCATCCAATCGTAGCATCAGTACCAGACATGTCATTATCGATGGATCCAACTAAGCCGACAATGTTGAGGTGCTTGTACGGCTTGGTCTGCTCTGCAGTCAATTGCTTGGTATCAACCAATTCCTGTACCAAGTCCGGCCATTCTGAACGAAACTTATCAGCTCCGGTTAAGGAACCGTCACCACCGCAGATGATGAGGGCATCAATGCCATGCAAGACCATGTTCTTCGCCGCCTTGAGCCTGCCAGCGCGCTCGTAGAAGGCCATGCATCTTGCAGTGCCAATCAAAGTACCTCCTTCAGAGAGCCATCCGCGGACTTCGGACCATTGGAACTGTCTGATGAGATCTCCGCCCTGGACGAGACCCTCGTACCCTTCATAGACGCCGTATACGTCGCAGCCCTTGTCAATTCCCATTCGGACCACTGCTCTAATCGCGGGATTCATGCCAGGGGAATCACCACCGCTGGTCATTATCGCTATGCGGCGTTTCTTCTGCCTCAGAGGAGGCGGGGGAGCTGCTGGAGACATGTTGGGTGGTGATGGCGCGGTAGGCTAATTGAACTGGATCGGAAAAAGGCGGACGAAAGAAGAAGAATAAATATATATTTATCTTGCTCTTCCTCTTCCTCTCATGCGCGTGGGAGAAGTTTGAGTTGAGATGGGATCGTGTTTTTTGGGCGATGACGATGGCGGTGTCGGGAGCCCGGGGGAGGTGCACTTTTATAGAGGGGTTGATATTGAATGCGATAAGAGTTCACCGCAAAAGCAAAGAGGGCTGGAAGCCCCGAGCGGAATGCGGATCACCTGCGCCGATTGGAGCTTTAATAACGCTCGTACGTAGTCGTCGAGTATCAGTCTTCTTATCGCAGCCTTGCATTCGCCAAACAATGCTTCTTTTGATGGTTCCCATACGCATAGGTTCCTGCGGTCCGATTCGGTTTTGGACGTGATTCTTGATTCGGCCTCCTTCAAACTAAAGCTCAACTACCTCGATATATAGCAACATAATACCAATTGCCTCCACAATCCCACCGACCTCAACAGCGACATCTGGGGTGTCTTGGCAGTTATTGCGCAGCGAACCGCGACCAGTACAGCACAGCGCCAGAGCACAAGTACGGCGCAAACAGCTGCCAGAGGATTAACACTCGAAGCACTTATCGTACGAGGAGGAGCGTGGTATGACGCCAAGTATTGAACGTTCTGCGACCGCCAATAGTTGACATTCTGAAAGGCATGTGAAGTGCAGGTCAGGCCCAGGGCGCATATACGACCACATCCGACTTGCTGCGGTGACTGCGACAGGGCTTTAGCCTCAATGAGACGTTAAAGCAAGGCTGCCTTTACATCACAGTACAGTACTCGGCCAGGCTGAGGGAAGCGGCTTCCGTGTGCCCTTCAAAGGCTCAAGCTACGAGCATAGAAAGTGTGCCTCGGGGATCCATTGGAATCGCATGCGAAGCCGTCCCTCGACCCTGACACAATCGAAACCAGCTTGGAGACAATAGCTGCCGATAATGGCGTCAATTCCGAACGAGTTCCCTATATCCCTCAAACCGAAGCCATTGAGGCCCACCGAACCTACCTTACCGACCCTCATCCAGCGCATCAACTTTGAGCGGGGGGGTTTTCACAATATCAGCGAGGAGAGTCTGAGGCAAGAAATTGCCGAAGCTGGGAGGACTGGCAGTCGGGGTGGGGAAAAGGGAACGACTGACGAGGAAGAGGAGGACGAGGAGGATGATGACGACGATGGCGAAGATGGCGAGGAGGAGCCTGATAGAATGAAGGAGCTTATGAAAGCCAGGGAGGAAATTCTGGGTCAGATTGAGTATGTTCGCGTAGTATGTTTTACAGATTACGTAGACTAACGGCGTTGCAGCGGGGCCTATCAATCTGCTGCATATGCTCTGGACTTCGTCTCATTGCTCCTGTCGAAAGATACGCCAGTTCAGGCCAGTTTGTCGATGTCGCCAGCGTTGAAGGAACTGGTCGGAACAGGTACAATGGGCGCAGACAAGATACAGGCGTCACGAGTTGACGCAAATCAGAAGGCCGATAATAAACGCATTGCAAAGGGATGGAAGGTTCAGAACCTAAACAAGGCGGTAGATACAATCGTGGACTCTGCTACAAGGCTGGAAAAAGAAATTGAGACCGAGACAAAGTATTGGGAACAAGTCCTTTCTGTTAGTAATAAAGGATGGGCAATCTGTCGAATACCGAGTGAGAAACAAACTCTGGGAGTACGTTTCGGATTTCCTGAGGGTGAGTCCAATGCCATTATATTTTTATAATGAGACTATGTGCTAATAGCTGTAGCTGCTCCGAACTTTAGGAATCAAAGCCTTGCCGCCCTCCGGAGAAACCCAGATGGCACGATATATATCGAGCAAGGGATAACGAATGCCGAACCTCAAACTTTACGGGTGCGGATCCAGGTCAATCAAACAGATACGGGGTCATCAAGCCTCTCAAAACCTGCTGCAGCCGATGCTCCTGTGGAATCCCTAATTCTGCAAGCCCGCAATACTATCTTCAACACCGAGCTATGGCAAGAGCTCAACCGTGAAGCACGCGGGCTGGGAGCTTTTGGTGTGCGAGGTATCGAGGATACCCTGACCCTTCCCCTATCTCCTAGCAAGACCATTGTATTGGACTTGGTCCCGCTAGCAGACTCGTCCACAATCCTACCCCAGCCGGACGATTCCATTGCTGAAGGGATCTGCCTCTCTCTTCATATCCTTCTAAGCTTTGCCCACCGGCATAATCACCGGCGACGCACACAACCCCCGCCGCCAATATCCAACCAGAAACGGCCCAATCCACCCTACTCTCTCCTGCGGCCGCTTATCACCAGGTTAAACCATCAGCAGAGCAATAGTTCTCTCAACTCCCTCCTTTCTAGTCTCTGCTCAGCACTTTCCTCAACAAAGATATATCCCGCGCCATCCTACAAAATCACACATTCTTCACCACAAGCACCACCAATCCCCAATGTTTCTACCTCCGAGCTGACAGTAATCGCCCTAACCGACCGCCTGGAATCCATAGCAAATTTCGTCATAACACCCACCACAACCATAACCATTGCCTGCAGATCACTTCAAGTGCCACTAGCAGGGACGAGCTTCCACCTGTCCCTCAACGCCGAATCCCCACTCACCACAACATGCGTCGCGCCTCCAGTTTTAGGCCACATATCCGCTGTAGAAGAATACATCCTGTACGCCACCTCTTGCGCCCTCGCTTCCAACATAATCTCTATCTCCGAACAGCAATCAGAAACCGAAGAGACCGATCTGTCTAAAAATGGTAAAGCAGGATGGCACCTTACCGCACAACCAAACGTGCTAAGAAAAGTATTCAAAGGTGGGAAGGGCAAACAATTTATTTCCAGTGTTAATAATGAGGATGGGAAGGGGTGCAAGGTTAGAGTGGCGTGGAATTGGATGAGACATGATTTTTATGGAATTGATAAGGAGGGGTTGGGGGCTGAGGAGGAGAGGAGGATTACTGGCGAGGGGATGTATGAGTGGAATAGTAGGTTAGGAAATTCGGCTTGGGCGGGTGGGGAAGGGGAAGTTGTGAGGAGTTTGGTGGATGTGGTTGAGAGTGCTGGGGTTTGGCTTACGTGATGGGCCCTGGGGTTACAGGATGGTTGGAGTGGTTCAGAAGACAGACATGCCCCTTTGTTGATGGGGCATAGAATTTTCAATAGAAGTATTTTCAATAGAGGTTATCAAGACACTTGGGAGCTCCTTCCCCCTCTCACTATAGTTCCCGAGAGCAGTGCTTCAACATTGGCCTACGATATCACCGAGTCTGCTGTGGAAATAAGACAAGATGATAAACCCAAATTGAAAAGAGAAAGAACCATTAGATTAGCGTTGCTTCGCTTGTGTTGTCGGATCCCATGCCATGAGTCTAGTAACACGGGTGACAACTAAATAAAGAGGAAAGATGGAAATACGCCAAGCACTGCACTGTGTGGGAATGGAAAAGGTGAAATGTGTCAGTGAAGAAAATCGATCCGTAGTAATGCCATTGTCATCTACGAAGGTTAAAAGCTCGAATTCAAAATCAAGTAGCATATTAGCAACACTACCAAATACCACACCCTTATACTTACTCAGCCTACTAAGTTCTAACTATGGAGTAATACTTCTTCGCTACTCGCCCTTTAACGACATTGTATAAAGCTAAGTTCTTTTTAAGTTAGCACTTTGAGGCTTATATTTAAATTTGCTCTATTCTATCTAAAGCTATATTGTTATCAAGGTAGGAGGTTTATAATAGTTGTTAAAGTGATCTTACTGACTTTACATATGCTTAAGTTTAAAGTAATACGTGCTTAAGTAGGATTTAAGGTATAGATTCGATAGCTTTTGAAATATTATTACTCCTTTCCTTGTTTCGCCTTTTAGTACAGAGTACGCCGTTTAAACCGACTAGCTCTTCCCATCGCGACCATTCCATATGACCGCTGGAATATATACATTTCCGTCCATAATCCTCCTCGCAGTCCTCACAAAAGCTAAGACCCTGAACTCAGCCGTCGTCGAATCTTGTTCTCGGACCATCTCATTTTGAAATACCCCTCCCAGCTCTACCTGTATAGGCATTATGCCTAAAGGATGAGCAATTCTAAAGACATGATTCGCCAGTCTCGTCTGTCTGCTTACTTGTGCCACAATAGAGTCGCTGATTTTACTACAAGCAGCAGTACAAATAGCTCCAGTACCAGCCATGCTATCATGACATCTGTTGTGGAGTAAAAGTCGAGAGGTCACATCTGCGTCACCACTTGCTGGAGGGGCGCTGACAAGTACCAGTAACGGAATAGCACCTGATTGTTCGTCTGCCAGCTTCCAATTCTCACACATCCCGAGCAATTTGGCGGCCCGTCCTCGAAGTTCTTTGCATCGTGCAATCACCGCACTGTTTTCATTAATGGCATCCGCAGTTTCTAGACCTGTAAGGCCGACGTCTGAGGCAGCTGCAAAGACGCAGATGTTCCCTACATCGCAGATAGTGACCTGGATAGCTTTGCCATCAAGAGAAATCTCATCTATCGCATGCCCGGTAGGAAGTATTCCGCTCTGTTTCGCTGCTCCCACCGTCTAAGAATATTAGAAGCCATTCTTTGCCCCCTTTCTTAAACACTTACGTTTCGATAGTCCATGAGAATTGGCGCTCCAGTACCTGGAACAGCGGCAATGGCAAACCCCCCTTCGGAAACTGACTTGCCCGTTTCAGGATCGATAGGTACGTGGGATATAAGTATCTTCCGGGTGCCTGTGTTGTAGATTTTTACTTCTCGTGTCGCTATTGTTGCATCTGCGCCGATTCCAGGACGCGAGGGGCCTTTGATAAGTCCCTCATCAATAGCAAATGGACCCACAGCAGCTACAGATACAAAACTCATCAGATTCTTTCTCCTCTCGCCGTGAATGTAGGTATAATGTGGGAATTGGACCAACCGCTAATGTTCCCACAATTGCCTCCATACTCTATCGTATCAGTATCTATTCCTACTTGGCAGAATGTATAATCCACATCCGCATCGTCCCGCTCCGAGGTGCTGATGATGGCAATTTTTGAGGTGACAACGCGCGAGCCGCCCATGCCGTCGATTTGTATGGGATCCGGAGTTCCATTTACACGCTTAAGGACTTTGTCCGGGAGGGGTCCGGGAGGGGGGAGATTACATGAGAGGAAGAATGTTGCTTTGCTGGAGCCGCCGCGGAGGTAGGCGCAGGGGATGAGAGTTTGTCCTTGTGCCATTTTCGTTTTGGCCTGAGTTTGTGTTCAAATGAGGCAGATGTTAACAGCTATATACGAATATGGACTTGCTTACTTGTGCGGTGCTTTTTCTAAGATTTTCAAAGTGGCTAGCCACTTTTAGGGGAGTATCTATCTAGATGCCGTATTACCGTCTGGAAGGAGATTGAAGGTGGGAGTTCCCAATCTTGGACAAGTGAGAATGCGGCCGGAACGGAACGCAAAGCGGAGCGGAGCGGAGCGGAGAACTCAAGCGCGAGCTTGTAACCAGGTGCATGAGTGACGTGCAGAGTGGGGGATTAGAGTGCAGTACTCGTTATTCTCAGGTTCCTAGGTAGGTAGTTAGGTTATTGTTTGAAATTCCTTCTATCGATTTCTGTATAGTAGCGCATTGATTATCGTCCTGCACTATGATGATGCATTGGTGGATCGGTATTATTGTTGCTTCGGAACAGTCGTGCATTCCCCCCTTACTGCTACCCGTTGCCTGTCCAACCACCACGAATTGTTTACACCTCGTTACCCCTGATCAACTCCAAAAGTTCTCCAAGATCAGCCTGCTCTTCAATGCGTAGCACCAAATCTTGAATTCTTTTTGCTTTCCCATCTCCATAAACAGGAACTGCTAACGATAGAAATTTCTCTTCTACTTTCTCTATCGTCATTGGATTCGACGGTTCACCAATCGGGTCGACAATCTCGTTAGTGGTCGCGGTCCCATCTGCCCACACCACACAGCATCTTGTAGCAAGTGTTTTCATAGATGGGTCAGTCTGGATGGAAATCCGTCCAGAAAGATCGTAGACGTCCCTATCATGTAACCGATCATAGATGGCCCAGCCAGTAGCGCCATCTAACCAATTGACCGCCAGCTGGTAATATGCACTGAACTGTGCGTCAACAATGTTCTTCGGATGTATTTTGTTGGCATCCGGTCTGCCAACCAACTGAAAAGCAGTCGGAGCCATAGCAAGTGTGATTTTCTGGACTCCTCGACGAGCCTTGTCGTTTTCGTTCCTCATCTGAAGCGCAAGATCGATTGTTCCATGAGTAGCTCGACATCCAGGATACGGTTTAATAGCTGTGGCCTGCGCAACCCACTCACTTCCCAAATCTGTCGCCAGGCTTCCCACGACTGCGCTCTCACTGTAACTATGCAGCACTCCATTACGGCCCTCGATCGGCTCTACTGAGGCATGGACTCCCGACATGCCAAAAGCCAACGCCATCAGTGCATCATGAGCAGCAAAGCCAGGGTGTAGGCGTTTATTCCAGGATCCGTTCTCAAAAAACTGCATCGATCCCGCTGCTTTAGAGCCCGCTATTCCAAAGGCACTTGTGATGATGGCTGCCTCCAGGCCACGGAGGTGACCTACTGCTGCGACTGCGCCGAAAATGCCTGCCACGCTGGTGTTATGAAACCCCCGAGCATAACTGCCTGGTCCCAGAGCTCGACCGATTCGACACGTGATTTCATAGCCAACTGCAATAGCGGATAGGAAGTGCTTTCCGGAGATAGCGCTCCCTTCCGTAAGCGCAGCAGAGATGGTAGATACGCCTGGATGAAGCGCTCCTGCTGCATACGTGTCGTCAAAGTCGAGGGAATGTGCAAAAGCGCCGTTGAGAAGAGCTGCGTAATGTGGCTGGTATTGGCTTCCTTTGGTGATGACTGTGGAAGAACCATACTGGTGTCCATTTAATACTTCAATGGCGTGGGAAAAGGGGGCGGATGATTCTGCGCTAGCTGCTCCGTAGGCGGCGACGCCGATATAATCAAGGAGGAATAATTTGAGGCTTTGGATAAACTGTATGGGAATGGATTCATATGTGATATTTGTGGCGAATTCGGAGAATGCTTCTGTGGCCCCAAGAAGGTAGTTTCTGTCGGGGTTTGTCATTTTTGGGGAGATTGTCAAAGGCTAGTTTAGCGGTGTATGGGGAGTATTGAGGGGTGCGATATGTGTTTACGAATGAAGTGGCTGTGAACTCCTTAAATCAGTAGGCGAGAGGAATGCCTAATAGAATAAGTCTACGATTGTGTAAAACGGAACGGTGTAGGAACGGAGCGGGCCCTGTTGGGAAGCCAAGTTAAACCTGCATTTGAGCTGCTGAGTAGCGTCTCGCACCTAGAAATTTCTATTCGGAGTAATGGCATATGTCTGTACCGAAGGCCATCTGAATAGGTGGGTAGGCCGCAAAAGGTGGTTGCAGGTGGCGGGAGGAAAGCCGTAGCAGCTATTGCAAGTTCTAACAAGGTGGAAAATCTTTGGGTTTCTGTAGCTATGATAAATACGCTAACTTAAGCAATAATTATAGAACAACAACAGAACACAACTGTCAATAACCAGAATTGTCCAGTATGAACTCAGCGTCCATCACATCACATACCGGTAACCTGGATGGTAGTCGCAGAGCTCTTCGTAGCTATTTGCCATATCGGGATCTAGTTCGCCCCGCCTCTCGAAGTCTGCAGCTCTGGCATCTCGTTCTGCATTCCTCTTTTTAATAATAAAAAGATTTGCAACTGCGGCCAGAAGACCCACAGTCACCAGGGCAAGTAACACGCCATGGCCCAAGAAAAAGCGGGGTGGTTTAATGTAGATTTGCGTCGAGATAATGCTGTAGCACTGGATGAAAATCTGCACTATGGCAGCCGACACAGCTCTCTTTGTGTAGCCGCCGTGGTTGGCGATGTTCCAGGTTGCTGCCAAAATGACGCCGGCATAGGCTCCGGATGCCACAAAGCAAGCGCCCGCCATTAGAGCGACAGTGTTGGTGGTAGCTAGAAGCAGCACGAAGCCTGTCACCGAGATGGAAAGGCATCCTATCAGGAATAATCCTTTTTGCCTAAAGTGATCTGCACCCCAACAAGCAATAAAAAGGGTCACTGTAGCAAAGGCGTAAGGTATGATTGAGTAGAGTTGAGTGGCCACTGTACACCAAATAATTAGTATTCGAGAAATAGAGAGCTGCGCGAGGGGTTTACTCACAAGGATCGAAGCCAAATTCCTTAATAAATGTTGGCAAGAAAGCGCCGTAAGCAGCGACACAAAGTGCTGGTGCCGCGACATATAGACCTGCTAGCCATATCCTGATGTCTTTCAAAGCGATCCATATCTGGAATGCTTCAATCTTAGCATGAGCCACGTTCCGTCCTAATAGTGGTTAGATATTGCCTCTCCAATCTGAGGTTGGTAGACATACCTGCGATGGTTCTCTGTAGAATGAGTCTCCGCTCATCCTCACGCTTGAAAAACATGCTACCATTCTTTGCCACTGTTTCCGGGAAAGCTGGGCATACAAGTGCCACCAAGATCCCCCACGCCATTGTCGGGATACCTTCGATTACGAAAAGCCATTGCCAATTGAGAAGGCCTCGAACACCGTCGAGATTTCGCTGAACTCCATATGAGATGAGTCCACTAAAGGCGCCAGCTAAGGGTGTAGAACCATAGAAGATGGCTAAATCTGTCAGTAAGGTAATTTGCTAATATGTATATGATGTACATACCGGTTCTCATTGCCAGCTCGTCGGGTTTGTACCAAAGAGAAAGGTAGAGGAATGCAGTCTGTGCAGCAGCTTCTGCAACGCCAACAAGCAATCTCAGCACCAATAAGGCAGCATAAGACCTTGTTGCAACACAACACGTGGCGAACAATCCGAAAGCAATAATTGTGAATCCATAGACATAGGCCGGTTTTGACACGCGGAGAAGGAGAGCAAACGGAAACTCTCCGACCATGTATCCAACATCTGTATTTAGCATTAGCATAAGAGGCTAGAGAGATGAGAGCAAAGACCTACAGAACATCATGAGAACATTGAAGTATTGTCCATTGTTCATTTTGTAGGACGCCTGAAGTCCCATGAGTCTTGCATTTCCGATTTGACCACGATCCTGATTACTTGTCAGTTATGCATCGGAAGGGGTGATATGTAGTTCTCGTTACCAAATATGCAAAGAAAAACATGATGGATAGCAATGGTAAAATGATGAAATCTTGCTTCAGAAGTAGCCGTTTTTCAAGCTTGGATCTTGGCCCTGAATCATCGTAGGGTCGATCCTCTTGGTCAGCCGACTCAACGTTCTCAACCTTCTCGTCTGTGACTTTGGCATTGTGCATGCTCGAGTCGTCAGTATCCATGATGGTGGCCGTTAAGTTGTGTTTGTGTGCGCAGGAACTAGTCAAGACTGCATCGATACAGCACTTGTTGGGGGAGAGTGTCCTGGGAAAGCATCCAATATATATAGAAACTCCCGGGCAGAAGAGAAGCAGAGGAAACGACTGCCGAGCGGGGATGGAATGAAGTATCAAGAGCGGAATACCCCAGATCCCCAGATCCCCAGATATCTGGACTCTGGATAGTGGAGCTGGATCCGGGGCCCCATTTCGTACCTAGTACTCTTTTCTTCGACGTCGAGGACATATCGAACTATCGGCTTCAGTAGCGTTGTAGTTAGCCCCAACTTGTCCCCGCAAGCGGAACGGCGCTCTCATCGGCAATGCACGTATAACTTCCTCGGCTACCAAGGACAGGACCTTCAAACTCCCGTTCCTAAACTCTGGTCCTCATTACATTGTCCAATTCATCTCTCTTTATTTGAAATCTCCCGTTCCGTAATCATCAGCTGGCCGCTACGCACTTGGCGCCCTGATCCCCCGTTCCAGCCCGTTGCTGGCAAATGACGACCATTCCGCTCGATCAGCCCCGGCAGATACCCAGAGGTGATACTGTGATACATCAATTGGATACCAATATGCCCCATGAACCTTCGTCGGGAGTTGAATCGACTGGGAACAAGCGAAAGGCCAATCGCCAGGCATGTGCATCGTGCAGGCAAGCAAAGGTAGGGAGGGAAGCATCAATCTGACTGCGTCTCAATTATGTACATCGTATTGGACTCTTGGAGGACATTGTTGCGCATGAAACAATTTCCTGATATAGCTACCTGCTCATTGGAAAACGTTTTGACCTTTCTAACAGTCACGGTGCGATGGGACAAGCGACCTCACTCAGCCATGCTCTAGATGTTCGAGACTGAATCTTGTCTGCCAAAGAGCTTCAGAGTATAAAAGGATATCCAAAAAGGCGTGCGTGATATTCTATTTGACCTACAAGTGCTCCTTCCATTACTCTTTCCTCGGCTTACGTTGAAAAATAGTAAATATGATGAGCTGGCGCAGCAGGTACAATACTTGCAATCTGTCGTCAACGCAAGCAATCCCCAGTCCACTCAGTTAATCGATGGCCCTCCTGCTGCCACTGAACTTCTTGACCAACCTCCAGGTAGTCCAGGATTGGTACAATCGGTCAGCGTGCCATTTTCTGGAGGACCTCCTCACCACATGCCAGTTTCTCTCCGCGCGGGAGCTGGTCTGCCCGAGTCGCATGATTCAAATTCAGTATCATATCAAACCGAAAAATTACCAGAGTCACCATATCAAAGTGTCATATCGTTTCAAACATTGACAACAGGACGGTCGATACCTGAATCTCGACCTACGTAATTTGTCCGAGATGGAACTGTTGACAGATCATACGTCTATAACAGCAGTCGGGAACCTCTTACTCCTGCATCAGAACAACAGGTGTCGGCGAACACATTTGCACCAACGGCCATATCTTCCCACAGCACCTTCCACCAGGGATATGCAGAATATCAGCCTCGCTCAATAGGCTCTGTATCTTTGACTTCGGATCAGATCGGTCGTTTATTCAAAGTGTATGTTGCAAAAACACCTCTTATTATTTTGCTAATTCCTTTGTTTATTCAAGATACTTCGAGAAATATCATCCCTATTTTAGGCTCCTTGATTCGACTGTCTCGCCTGATGACTACTATGCGAGGTGTACACTTCTGTATTGGGCTGTTATTAGCATTGCTAGTCATCGGTGTGAAGATGATCCTACTTTGGTAGGCATGCTATCACAACCAGTGGAGACTTTATTGTGGAATACTATTAGGAAGCTTCCTCACTCACCATTTGTGGTTGAGGCTCTTATTTTGCTGTCTATGTGGCCTTTCCCAACCAGCTCGATGTGGACGGATCCTTCCTTCATGTTAATTTCTATTGCGAAAAGCTCAGCTATGCAATTGGGCTTACACAGGCCTGAATATATTCAAGACTTTTCACGAGTGGAGAGGCAGTTAAGCGTAGAAGGTATCCAGGATTCGGTACGGATATGGGCAGCTTGCTACATTGCAGCCCAGTGGTTTGTCGCCTCAGTCCGCCAGTGAGAAGAATATATCGGAGACTGATATAGATACCAGCATCACCTCTTCGATAGGGCAGGAATCAATACTGAAGCCAGATCAAATGATCACCCGGGCTTGTGAACCAAGCAATATTTATCAACTGCCCATCGGATTGCATCAACATTTAAGATTGATGAAATTCTCCGTCCATGTCAGTAAGATTCTGTCAGAGAACTCAAATACCGCTTCTGGGCTTCCGGATGAGCGAGATCGCGTCCATATAATGGACCGTCTTCAGCTTGAATTTGATGACCTGAAGAGCCAATTAGAAGTCAATGCCACAAGTAAGTCCCCCATTGGAACATGCCCGAAAGGGTACTGGGGTATTAACAATCAAAAGTTGTTGAAAAAGTATATATATCTTGTACGCAGCTACAGTTGCAAGTGTTCTACTTTTTCGAAGGAATCCAGCCAGAAAAAAGGAAGGAAGGTCTGCTGAAGTGTTACGAAACAGCATCAACCATGATCGAAACAATGAAGCGCGCCGAATTAGAAATAAGCTCTGTCGTCTATTCTCCATATCAATCGTACCGACTAGTGCTCGTTGCGGGTATTGTACTCATGCGAATACTCATCTCTAGTTACTCAGACCTTGTCGATTTCAAAGTGGGAAAACAGAACTTCAATACTTCCATCAGGCTGTTACGTCGGTTTTCTTTGCAAGATAATGACACTGCGGGGCGAGGCTCCAAAATCCTAAGTCAACTATGGATTCACTATCAAAACTCGCCTCATATCAGAGAAAGTCCACCAAGTTTGCAGATCAAATCACGTCTAGGAGGAAGTCTATTACATGATTCTCTTTGGATCTGGAGGCGAGAGTGCGATGACCAGAAAGCCTCACACCGTGGCACACGTCAGAATTGTGAGTACCCCGACCGAGGAGCGTGGATATAGATGCTAAAACACCTTCTAGCTCCCCACAAATCATCCCGACAAGATTGGGCGAACCAGCCCCTAACAAATCCACTCCAGAGCAGTAACAGCAGCAATGACAGCAACAACAACGAGATGAATGATATTTTGAATTTTAGTGGCATCGAAAACTTGGACATTAGCTGGCTCGACGGAGCAAACTTGCTCTCGTGGCTTCTGCCGGGAACTGATTTTAACCAGCCTACGGGTGGTCCGACAATTAATGTAACTTAAAATATACTGCTCTTGACCATCTGCTCTCCTGCGGCGGTAGTGACATTTCTCGCTGATCAATCATGATGCTAATTCTCTTGACCTCACCAACCATTATTGGGATGAGCTTCCATGAGAGGATATGCTTAATCGATCGAGAGATCAAACTGCATGTACTGTACAATCAAGGTTAGTGGTTTAACTTAGTAGTTTGACAGTTACAGTGATCAGTGATTATATTGACCACCTATCTCTACATATCCACAGACCTCAGAATACTGAAGTTACTAGGCTTGTAAAGTTTCCATGATACTAACTTGTTCACTTCGCCTTGACTTGACTGGAGTCTGTTAAACTGAATGCTACATGAGTCTGGGTAAATTATATTGTGTTCTTCAGACTCCATTAGCATACATCGTTCCTCCCGCAGCCACATCAAATTCCATAGCTTCCTTCAAACCCACCGCCATAAAAAGAGCTTTTGGAGAAGATTCTGCTTCGGCCTTTGCGTCTGATTCCTCAACTGAGCCAGTCTCTTTAAGCTGCTTCGCTGCTAATACAACAGATTTGAACACAGGGCCCAAGGCAAATCCTGGAAATATGATGATTCTGAACCCAACATCTTGGGCTTCTTGAACAGTAAAAGCAGGTGTCACCCCTCCAGCAACCATGTTCAGTAATACTGGGGTAGGTGCAAGTTCCTGACACACTTTCCGGCCTTCTTCTTTCGATGTAAAACCTTCAAGGAACGCAACATCAGCTCCAATAGCGATGGCAGCTTTTAATCTTGAAACCGCGCTGTCGAATCCCAAAGACTGTAACGCATCTGTTCTCGCAATAATGACGATATCTGCGTCTGCTTCAGCTCTTGCATTGACAGCAGCTCGAATGCGACTAAGATAAACCTCCTCGTCCACTATTTCCTTGTTCCTTAAATGGCCACACCTTTTATTCACAACCTGATCTTCCAAATGAAATGCCGCGACTCCGGCTTGTATATACTGGTGTGTTGTTCTCCCAACCATGAGGGCGCCTTCATCTGTTAGCAAAAGCACGAAACGCAACCTCCTAGACACTTCCCTACACACCTCCATAACCAGTATCGGCATCTGCAATGAGCGGGATCTTGCGATTCAGACCTGCAATCATGCCTGCATTTTCTCTCATATCGTTCAGAGTTGCGACTCCGAGATCTGGCATACCAAGTCTCGACATTGTTGTGCCAGCTCCAGTCTAAGAAGATCAATATGTCAGAGAAACAGTTTTGAGTCTCCAGACTGGGTTTTTACTCACCATGTAGAGACATTCGAACCCGGCATTCAGTGCAATTCTAGCGGTAAGTCCATCGTAAACCCCAGGGCATACGATAATCTTGCTCGGATCCGCCAGCAGTGCTCGCAATTGTTTCGCTGAAGCCATCATAATGAGTCTTGAAGTTAGAAATCTCCGGGATGAGATAGAACGGCAACTTAAGAATTTAAGAGCGGTTTATAAGATCACGATTAATTGCGGAAAACTACGTATTATTCTCATCAATTGGTGAGATCGATGGGGTGTTGTTGGTGTCATTGGTGTCGGCCCTGAAGCGGAGCGGAGCGGCCAATGTTGTTCTTGGGCATTGGAGATTCCCGACCACTCGGCTGTTCACTGCCAGGCCGCCCCTAATCAAGAACTCCGGCTTCGACAAATAACAAGTTACCAATAAGCCAACCACCAAGCAGTAGCAGTAAGCAAGTGCCGAACAAGGTGACGGGTTCATGCTCGAACGGAGCCGGCATGGCCGCACCGTACTCATCACCTCGCAATTGTCCCCACCCCCGGCTCACCCATGCAAATCGACCTACCTTGATATCATATATTCGCTTTCTCCAACGACCATCCCATCCTCTCGACATGGCATATTCTTAGTTAAACTTTTCATATTGTCCTTTACATATTATCATTACCCCCTTCTGCACGATGCCACCTACAATTCCTGTTCGTTTCGGGGAGACAGCCTCGTCAAGCCTTCATCAGCTTCTTCAGTACCTGCAAGAAATACGGCAGATCCATATTATTAGGAGCGAGAGTGAAACTGGTGCGTTCCTACCTAATTTACGGGGTGCCAGAAACTAAAACTAAAGCTAGATCCAGAGCTGCTCGGCGAATCACTGTTAGAGCAACTGAAATCTGTTACTGACATCTTGCACACCAAAAGTCAAATCAGAGAAGCAGAGGCATTATCTCATGTCTCCTCTCTCACAATTTTGAGTTCCGACTTTGGTGGCCTCGGGTACTCTGCAGACATGTACTTAGACACCCAGCAAGAGGCGGAAGTCGTTTTCCTGGTATCAGCATGGCTCGAATCTCTCAACTCAGTTGACAGAAGCCAGTCATTTCCCAAGCCACTTGCTTCTCGGCCGGAGGGTCGAAGGGGAATGACCTTGAGCGAAAAGATCTTCGCGGCGCACGATCTCGAGCAAAAGGGAGTTGTCACGCCGGGGGACGTTATCAGAGTGAGCGTGGACTGGATCTTGGCTTCCGAGCTATCATGGAATGTGAGCCTGCCCTAGGAATATGATAATATGACTTACAAATCCTGATGATGAAAAGGGTATGGAACGGGCATATAATTCTCTTGGGAAACCAGGCCTGTTTCGAAATGACCGCTTTTGGCTCGCTGGTGATCACGTTGTGGAGCCACGGGTCAACCACCTACCTAAAGTCCAAGCTCTCCTTGCATCTAGCAAAAGGGCCAAGGAGGACTTCCGAATGACTGATTACCAGGGAAACAACGTGAGTCGGTGACTTGTGTATTTCAAGTGTTTTGATCCTAACGAGATTAGTATACAATTATGCATACTGAATTTTGCCGTGAGAGAGTACAGCCAGGGATGTTAGTAATTGGCTCAGACTCACATACTTGCTCTGCTGGATCTATGGGAGCTCTTGCAATTGGACTAGGTGTTGCAGATGTTACAATGCCTCTCATAACCGGAGAGTCCTGGTTCAAAATTCCAGGGAGCGTGAATATTCAGCTTATTAATGCTCCACGGCCCGGAATTGGTGGAAAGGATACAATCCTATACATCATGAAAGAGCTGAAGAGAAACACAATAGCTGCAGACCGGGTAGTTGAATTTACTGGCCCGGGAGTCGCTCATTTGTCTTGCGATGCACGCTTTGCGATTGCAAATATGACTACAGTAGGTCAAAATCACTTCGATTGGTGGTGCTAGAAGCAGTATCTCACAGCACTATAGGAATTTGGAGGAATCAGTGGGATATTTGTCCCTGATGAAATCACGGATCGTTTTATCCAACGCCGCAGAGGACCTCGCAACAAAATCGGGGCTCAATACTTCCGCCCTGATGAGGATGCTGAATACGCAGCAAGCCATCTGATCGATCTCGCTCAAGTAGAATAATTCATTGCCCGTTACCCTTCTCCCGATGATGTTGTTCCGGTGAGTGAACTTGGTGGTACTTTACTCAATGGTTGTTTTATTGGAGCATGTACTACGGCTGAGGAAGACCTGATCATAGGTGCCCTGGTCCTAGAAGCCGGGTTAAAGCTAGGCCTCGTCCCTGCCAGCAACGGAAAACGCAAAGTTGTACCTGGTTCCTTGCCAATTCTCAACCGATTAAAATCACTCGGGCTTTCAGAAATCTACGAGCAAGCAGGATTCGAGATCGGTGTCCCAGGATGCAGTTATTGTGTGGGTATGGGCGCAGACAAAGCTGACGCTGGCGAAGTGTGGATTTCTTCACAAAATCGGAACTTTGAGAATCGAATGGGGCCAGGAGCAATTGGACATATCGGATCTGCTGCAACGGTTGCAGCGTCTTCATTTTCAATGACCATTACAGACCCACAACCACTACTCGACCTAATATCTCACACCCGGTTACAAGATATTCTGGAACATCGATCTCCGACAACTTCAGTATCACCCACACGATCCTCGAGGAAGCCAGTTTCTTATGTAGAACCTGGTTCCTCTACGGTTGCAACCAACGGTGCCGAAGGTGTTTCCAAGACCCCAAAGGGTCTGGAGGATGGCATGCCTGAGCAAATAAAGCAAGTCGTGAATGCTCCCCAGGCTGCTTCCGTGCCTTCAATTGCAAACACTATCCTTGATGGCAGGATTCAGCTGCTGGGAGACTTTATCGACACTGATGCCGTAAGCCTTCAAGACCTAAAACTTTTACTCTGCCAAATCTCACACTGACCCTTCCCAGCTGGCTCCTTCTGCAGCGCTCACCACCTGCATCACCGACGAAGAATTCGGACGACATTGTCTCGAACATACCCATCCCGGTTTCCGCGAGAGAGCAAAAGAAGGATTCAACGTCGTAGTGGCAGGAAACGCATTCGGATGCGGTAGTTCTCGAGATTGTGCTGTTTCGGCCTTGAAAGGCTGCGGAATTGTCTGCGTGATAGCAAAATCGTTCGCTTTCATATACGGTCGTAATCAGCCTAACCTAGGCTTGTTAGGAATCACAATCACGGACGAGAGTTTCTACGATGCCGCTATTGATGGGGAGGATATTAAGATTGATCTCGAGGCAAGGAAGATAACGGTGGGGGGCGGAGAGTGGGCTTTCAACCTAAGTGCTATGGAAATGAAACTTATTGAGATAGGAGGTATCACTGGGGCATTTAGGAAGTTTGGGAAGAGGTTGTTTGAGGTAATGTGTGCACCAATAAAGGAGGAAAAGAAGAAGCAGTCAGTGAAGAGTGGAAGCGTCTGCGAGAGTATCGTGGAGATAGAATGGTAGGGCTATGATGAAGACGGTTTGTCAGAGCTGGTAATCGTGAAGTAGCTCAAAATGAAAGCTTAGGAGAAAGCATTTATTGGAGCAGTACAGCCAACATTAATTAAGCAAGCTTTTTCATTGCTAACTGGGCCACCGAATCGTTAAAGAAGAGCTCTCAACAATCTTGGGCTACTTTTTGAAAGGGATGTCATTTTACTTCGTACAACCTTTAAGTTGCTAATGTAATGCCTGCAATTGGATGCCTGGAAAGAAATTTTCAATGGCTAGTGAAACATGGAATGAGGTGCAAGATAACAAACTTCGGTTTGTGCATCCCCTACTTCGGCCATGGAAGTCCCGATAGGAGAACAACGAACCGCCAAGTCCGCCCAAGATCATTTGAAATACAATATTGGCAGCATGGGCCAGCGGCAGAAGCAGGAGAACACGCATAGCAAAACGCAATTCATTTAAGAACGAAAGGGCAGCATTTATGAAGAGGTTCTCCCAGAACAACTTCCTTTTAAATGCCAGCCGTCAGCCTCCTGTCCCATGGGCAGGAATGGTAATCAATAGCAAGAGTGCTTCGCTCTGCAGTGTTGATTGTTATACGGTATACGGGGGTGGGACTCAGGCTTCGGCTTTCGAAGCGGTGCGGCTACGATATGTGCGAGTCGACTTTGCGGCGGGAACAGCACTGTGAAAGCTTGTCAGTCGGGGAATTTTATTGTGAGAATAACCCACTTACGTCTTCTTGCCACGAACACCCTTCTTCTTAGACTGGGGTTTAGCGTCCTCGGCTTCAGCAGCTGCCTGAGTTGGCGGAGAGTCATCATTGCTTGCGGCGACAGATTCGGCAGCTTCAGGGATGGCCTTCTCCTCCTCCTCAGATGATTCCTCTTTGGCAGCTGGCTTGCGGCCTCTCTTGGTCGGGGCCTTCTTGGCGGGTGGTTCACTGTGATCATCGTTTGCATCGGAAGGCTCCTCCTTCTTGGTAGCTGGCTTGCGGCCTCTCTTAGCTGGAGCCTTGGTGGCAGGTGGTTCGCCATGATCGTTTGTTTCCTCAGTCGGTTCTTCCTTGACGGCTTTGTTGCGGCCTCTCTTCACAGGGGTTTTCTTGGCGGACGGTTCACCGTTATCATCGGCTTCCTCAGAAGGTTCTTCCTTGACGGCTTCTTGTTTGACAGCCTTTTTACCACGGGACGCAGCATCCGCGGGGGCGCTTACGATGGCTGGAGAATCGAAGTCATCTTCGCCCTTTACAACATTGGCATCGGCGTCTTCTTTCTTGACTGCCTTCTTGCCTCGGGATTTCTTTGTAGCTGGGACGGGTTCCTCTTTCTTTTCACCGAATTCGCCCATCTATGACACCGAAAGTCAGTAGTTGTTCAATGGTCAGAGGTCGGCTGTAAATATATAGTTGCTTTCATAGAAAGATACAAAATCTCTCACCTCTTCATCTTCCTCCTTGACGGCCTTCGTAGCTTTCTTGCCTCGAGATTTCTTTGCGGCTGAGACGGGCTGCTCCTTCTCCTCGCCAAGTTGGGCCATCTATTGTTCGGAAAGTTAGTAATTATTTGATCGTCGGAGCCCAGTAATAAATATGTAGCTTCAACGAAATTATAAGAAATTCCTCACCTCTTCGTCTTCTTCCTTCACGGCCTTCGCAGCTTTCTTGCCTCGAGATTTCTTAGCTGGCTTCGCTACTTCCTCTTCATCAGAAGCTTCTTTTTTAGCTGCGGTGGCACGCTTCTTCTTGGCCGGCTGCTTCTTTTCAAATTCCTCATCATCAGCCTCATCCTTGACGCGCTTGATTCCAATGACCTGTTTCTCCTCAGATTTGGTTTCGAGTTCGCTCTTGACCTCTCCGATCTCCTCGCTCAGGCGAGAGGTAGAGGCTCCCGTCTGATGCAATGCATCTCGTTCTGCGGCCAGAGTGGCGGCCTTTTCTTCCAATTCCTTGATCTCGTTGGCTCTCTGCTTCAGCTCTTCTTTCATTCTCTTCTTAGTGGCAGCGGTGCGTAAGCCAGATTCTCCAAGCTTGTTCATCTCAGGATCCTGAGTCCACATCAGCGTTGTCTAACAGAATCATAAATGAATATTTGATGAAGATAATTCGTGACTTCCTGGAAGTGAAATGCAAGATTGATAGACATCATCGACGCAGCATTAAGAAATCACTTACGCCATTCCAGTCCTCAGGATCGATGAACCCCTGGGTGATCACTCGTCGAACCTTTTCCTGGAGATCAGGATGACTACTAAGGCTGCCCTTGTCGTCGCCATCGTAACCATCCAAGAAATCCCATCGGTAAGTACCTGGCTTTGCCGGATCTTCGAGACTATTTCTCAAGTTCTGCAACTGCTTTCCGCTGACGCATCCCCTAAATATACGTTAGCTACATTTCCTACGCAGATGTGACGAGAATCGTCTAGTTTTCGATATTCCGATGCGTACGGGGATGCTTACCAGTGTCTCCAAGCCCAGCTTCCACGATCTTCAAAGGGAACCCAGGAACCCAAGCGGAGCTCATCCTTATCGATCTTGATCTTTGCATGTTTGCACTCGGTAGCTTGGCAACCCGCGCGCCCTGAAACTGAGGACTCTGCAGAGTAGGTTAGTGTGATCCAGTTGTTGAAACAGTAGATGCTAGAGAAGGTAAGCTTAAACGTACCAACTCGATATGACATCTTAATTAATACGAAGGATACTTTGTGTCCAGGCTCTTGACCTGATGAGTTCACCTTCGAAGTGAGCTGCAAGACTCAAGCAAGAAGACACAGATGAGTCTCTTGAGAGGGGTTCAGATATTTAAGAACACGGCAAATAGTCACAGCCTATGATAAATATCAACAAAGGCCGATGGATTCAATGAAGATTTGGAGTTTGTTGATGTTTCAACGGGGGCAGATCGATGATGATGAAAGGAAGTCTGAGCAAGGGTTTTGGCGAGATTTCGCTAAGAAAGCCACTTCGCGTCGCGTTTCGCTTTGTTGCTCTGCAGTCGCATTTCCTCTCACTTCCACCAAAAGCTTGGGCACTACTCTCTCAACCTATTCCCGTGAGCTACTCGATAAAATATTCAAATAAATAGCTTATATGGCCAATTTATATCTTGAAGCGCCCCCTGGGGAAATGCTGGGAAAGAGAGCTCTCTGTAGCCTTGCAGCATCGCTCATTGCGCGTTTCTTTTTCCGATGGTTTTAGTACGAGTACATCCTGAAGACCGAGAACATTCTACTCCCAGGCATTCGGTTCCCGTACTAATATACTACGTACCTACGCAGTATACGTAAGGTACCTAGGTAGGTAACTAAGGATCTAGAGACCCTTGAAATATCCAAGCGGAGGATACTCCTTAGCAGCCGCGGACTACTCTGCCTACGCCCAGAGATGCCAACATCCCCAACCAGCAGAGGCTTTCCAGCAAAATTGGAGGCGGTTTCTGTTTAGGAAGGATAGAGACCACTATTTTCCCTGACTATCAGCTGACAGCCTTGGCTTTTTTGTCCTATATTTGAATCATTTCGATCATTTGGATGATTTTCCTGGTTTGGTTCTAATCCTACGTCGGGTACCTGCAGCAGTACCAACGGCACATCCGGTCGCAGGTTGAACATAGGGACTTGTTCGCCGTGGCCCGGATAATCGAGGATCGCTAGGAACCAGAATCCGTGGGACAGGGTTAATGCCAGAGTGTATGTTGGAATTCTCGAAGGCTCCTGGGATTTGGATTCGAGTGCTTAACGTGCTTCACATCATCTGGGTATTTTGGAGATGCAGATCTTCGTGCATCCTCACGTATTCGATCGCCTTTCCGCTGGAGACCAAGACCAACCCTAGGATGTTTTTGGACGCGGGAATGCGCAATTCCGTATTAGGGCGCGAAATTGAATTTCATTCGACCAAAACCATCTATCGGAAAGACCAGGAACAAGTATGTATCAAGGCGTTATTCAGCATGTCGAGTGCTGAAAGGAAAAGAAGTCCTACTCTCGAAGAGCGACATCGAGAGTCTAGACCCTGAATTATATAAGCTCTCTGCTTTGGCGGGAATGGCTTCGGCTTACCCCATGGGGCAGTCCCGGACCCCACGGCCTAGGCCTAGCAGAAGGTGGGGGTTGGATCGTCGACATGGCCAAGATGGGGCTCATATACCGCACCTAGGTACTTATATGAACAAGACGTGTTCTCTGCATCTATAATTCCCAAGATCTGTATTCGCATTGCCTCTGGACCAAATATTCTCCTGGATTGAATCGCATGTTGGATACTCTGAAGACCCATTTGCCTTTTGTCAATTCCGGAAAGCACCCCTCGATAGCAACGGCGTCATCAATATCTCCGCTTGGCCGAATAACACTTCGTTTGAGTTGAAACTCATCTTCTCGACTTGTATTATTTATATCCCTTGTGTGGGTTAACTTTTCAAGGGTAGCACGCCCCATCAACGATTATAATCTGATACTATAATCTTTACTTCGCAATGTCAACAAAACACTACTTCCCCGAAACGCTGGTCAACTCGCTCGTGCCTCATGCTCTCCAAGCACTCGTAGCTGCCAATCCCTCCCTTGATCTCATTCTCGACCAGCGCGTCGTCCTCAACAGCACACACAAACCCTCCCAAGTTTCCCTAATCTCGGGAGGAGGGAGCGGCCATGAGCCAGCATGGTCGGGTTATGTCGGTGATGGCCTGTTAACCGCAGTGGCATGTGGCGATATTTTTGCGAGTCCCAGCATGAAGCAGGTCCTAGCAGCAATTGCTTCGACACCATCAGATAAAGGGACTATCTTGTTGATTACGAACTATACGGGTGATAAGTTGCATTTTGGGCTGGCGGCTGAGAGGGCTTTGGCCGCTGGCTTTTGTAAAAATGTGGTTGTTTTGCCAGCCACGGATGATGTGTCGATTGGGAGGAGTAAGAGTGAGAAGGTTGGCAGGCGAGGTTTGGCTGGCAATGTTATTAGTGAGTACCTGCCATAAAGATGTCTACTAAATTGCTGAAACTCCCAACTAGCTATGAAGGTTCTTGGCGGAGCGGCAGCAAAGGAATACAGCTTCGAAAAGTGTGTCGAGATTGGGAAGGCTGTGAACGATCAATTGGTATCGATAGGATCTGCTCTGGATCACTGCCATGTGCCCGGTAGACAAAACCACGAGCACATTGGAGACGACGTTTGTGTTGTAGGAGCTGGGATTCACAATGAACCTGTGAGGTCTATCAAACTTCCCCGCGAAATATTAAGCTAATGATGAATAGGGAGCGCAAAAATTATCGCCATTTCCGTCTGTCGAGGAGCTAATCTCTCGACTTTTGAGTCTGATCTGTGATCAAAATGATCCTGAACGAGCATTTGTCAAATTTAACAAGGGTGATGATACTGTTCTGTTAATTAACAACTACGGAGGACTCTCCAATCTTGAGCTGGGTGCACTCACCCACGAGACATTGGTTCAACTAGGTAGGTCCGAAATTGCGGCAGTGGAGTTAAATCAAGGGACTAATTTGGGCTCAGAAACGAAATGGGACATTAAGCCAACGATGATATACTCAGGATGTTTTGAGTCTTCGCTGAATGGACCTGGTTTCTCAATTACACTCTGCAACATCACAACTGCAGCAAAGGAGAGCAAAACTTCCGCCTCAGAATTGCTGGAATTATTAGGGGCTGAAACAAAAGCTCCGTCCTGGCCAAATGTCCTTTCCAATACCTCAACAAAGGTTGATCGAAAAGCCGTCCCAACAGTGGACCTAGAAAAACAAACACAGGTGCTACCCGAAGCAGATATCAAAGGTAAGTTTAAAATTTGATATCGAGTGTAATGGAAGTCGCTAAGTACTTGTAGTTGAGCCGAAGCTCTTGGAGGGAACTATTAGACTGGCATGCGAACGTGCGATTGCATCTGAACCTAACTTAACAAAGTGGGATATGGTAATGGGTGATGGAGATTGTGGTGAAGCCGTAAAGGGTGTTAGTGAAGGTAAGGTTTTCCCTCCTAAAAGTTCCAGTAGTAAATGACCAACTAATTCATTGCGCAGCTATCTTGAAAATTCTAGATAATGGCACCGCAAAATCCGGATCTGTGTTTGACGTCCTTTATGTTATAATTGACGCTGTTGACGATATGGGAGGTACTCTAGGTGCCATTTTTGGCATTCTTCTTGCCGCTTTTGCCACCTCTCTTCGTTCTCAGAAACTCGACGGACAACTAATGAGCGTTTTCGCGCCCGCCTTCACACAAGCGGTTGCGTCCCTGAAGAATCATACCGGTGCTCGAGTTGGTGATAGAACTGTCATGGATGTCTTGCTACCGTTTCAAGAGATGCTGGAGGAAGCACGGGACCTCGGGAAAGCAGTAAAAGCCGCCGAGACAGCTGCGGAAGGCACAAGAGATTTGAAGCCAAAGTTCGGACGAGCCAGTTACGTGGGAGCTGGAGGGGAGGAGCAGAGATTGCCAGATCCTGGAGCTTGGGCACTCATGGAGATGGTGAAGGGAATATATGATGCGAGCAAGCAGTGATTAGAAGAGAAGGATGGCCATATTTAATGTAGTTGAAGCTTTTATTTCAACGCTCTTCAAATCCTCGGACTGTAGCGTGTTTAACCTCGCCAAATTATCATCCCCGCTCCTATTCAAAGGTCGGGTAGACATTGGTATTGGCTGCCTTTCCTCCAAATCCAACGTAGTCCACACGATACTTTCAAAAGTTGAGTGGTGTTTGTTTCCCATATCACATGTAATCTTGGGATCGGCGTTATAGCCTTTCCTTAGGCTTCGTAGTCCTCAGACTATCACGAACGGCAATGACTTCGAACCAAATGGACAACCCTCATTATAGCACTCCATTATGTTCGCCCTTGAGTCTCTTAACGCGCTTCTGTTCCCAATCATCCAGATCCTTCGCTGCAAGTCTCTGTAAACCACAGGTATTAGCAGCTGTCGGAAATGCTCATGAGAGGGCGAAAACAAACATAATACTCCTCCTTCATATCAACTCTGCGGCCCCCCTTGCCAATACCCAGTTCCTCCTCCTTGCTCAATCTCCGCACCCGTCTATCGTGTTTCTCATATCTTATTGCTGTGGCGGGCGTGAGGAAGAATGATCCAGCTACCATGGTCGTAATGAAGGGAAGGCCGAAGAGGAGGAAAGGGTGTTTAGCTAGTAGTCCTCGATATTTGGCGGCGATTGTGTTGGCTTGAGCCGAGCCACGGAATTTCTTTCTTGGGAAGACCGACATGACTCTAGGAAGGACTGCGGTGTAGGAAGTTGATTATAATGCTGCAATAGGTATAATACTTCGTAGATAATCGATCGTCCCACTTGGATGACCATGACAGCTGCATAAAAGGCGCTTCGGCTAATCCCCGGAGCTAGATGGGGTCATGTGATGACGCGTCGTCCCCGCAAACCTGGAAGTCGCGTCAAATTGCGAACTGTCCAACTATCATACTTCCTAGGTACACAATGGCCGTCACATAATGACGATTATCTCGCGCAGCGGCGCCAGATGAGCATATAATGAATGTATACCGAAATCAGCACACGGGCGGACCCGGAGCCTTTGAAGCTCCTGCGTCAACGATGGCCTCACAACTCATCAACAACCTTGCAACCGCAAACAAGGTTTCGCGAGTACCTGAACAGGATGACTTGAAAAGGCTGATGTCCGAGGTATCAGATCTGGAGAACCGAGCCTCTGAACTCACCAATCCCGATGAGAAACTTGAGCATAAACATAAGCTGATCTATGTCTTTGCCCGTGCGGTTTTGGAGAGGCTCAGCTCCGATGATCCTTTTATGAACACTTCCCAACTAGTGTCTCAGGCCTCTGAAGCATTGGATATTTTTATGTCGGCAGTCAAAGAGACACCTGCTGTTCTAAGTTACGTTTTGAATGCGGAAGAAGTTCTCCAGGCTCGCGGTCAGGAGCCGCTCTGGAACTGGTTATTTCCACGAGTCTTGACCCTTTTGGGACGGCGAGAATATGATGCCCTGACTGAGAAAATCAAAGACTTTTTCTATGTATGCTTTCAGGTTGTCTCCCGATCACCTAAGCTATGGAATTTGAACCACTATTTCTTCTATTATCTCAAGGAGTGCGCATCAAGTACGTACTAGGTTTCATATATGGTCTTTGCTCCTTCAACTGCTTACTAGGCTCTAGCTATTTTGATCCACCTTCAAAACCCTGCTATTATTTCTCATGGACAGATACCTGAAATTATCACACCCTCTGGTACACTGGATAGCTCCATGTTTTTCCAGCAAAAAGAAGACTCGGCCAACGTAGCGCCCCTCTGCAAATATAGAGTCTATGATATCTCCCATGCGTTCTGGAATCTCAATAGCCTCTTAAATATCCTGGTTGATATATCTGTGGAAGGTGCAGCGTCTTTTGATGCAACCCCGGCGTTTCAAGACTATTTGGCATGGGTCTTGGACTCATTTCTTGCTATTCGCGACTTACAGAGGCGATGGCGGGTTAATCCGCAACTACAGCAGTCCTGTAATGGTGCTACTGCAATAGCCCTTTCTGCTGTGCAAGCGCTACTGTCATCACTTCGAGAGACTTTATCGGAGACTACCCTACGCAAGGGCTGCCTTATACTGGCAATATATTGCGCTGATCTCCTGGAGGAGTCAAGCGATGGCTTGAAGACATCAAGTCAACTCACGGTTTGCCGCAGCTTCTTGTATTTGAGCACTATCTGCACAAAGCATGATTCTGTTTGTCAAGCTATATCTCTGCATCTTGTGCCGACCATCAAAGCCGTTTTAAGCAACCAAAATGGGCATCCGGGCCTCGGAGAAGACTTCCAGGTTAGTATTAATTGCACCACATTGGAAATTCATACTGATATATTGAAGAAAATGGCAATAATACTCTGTGAGGCATGTCATATTAAACTACCTGAGGTACAAGGCCAAGTTGCCACAGGTCCCTTTGATAGTGATGAGCTAGATTCGGAATTTCGCTCTCTCGGCTTTCAAAATGAACCTTGTGGAGAGACCCACGATGTTCGGCCAGCTAAGCGTCGCAAACTGGAAGAAACAAGTAGCATTTTTGAAGAACTTGTAGGCGATCTCCACTCTCTACTTGGACTTCAAAAATCTATGAACTTGGATGGCTTAAGTCAAGCGATCGAGTATGTTTCTTCAGCACCTGGGTACGTTCAGGCAACTAGCTAATGGCATGCAGGTCTTGCTTTGCTGCTTTAAATGATGCCGACCGGTGCAGAGCCATCCAGTATATTTCTCTCATCCCATGTGCAGCTTATGGTTCTTTAAAATTAGCTCAGAATAAAGATGGAACAATTCGGGAAGCCACATGTTCCCTGTGCGAAGCAACCCAGGAAGCCAACTCAATCAACTTGGATAGTACCCGATGCCGCAATATCAGTGGCGAAGCTGTTGATATTTTTAATACTCTCGTCAAGTCGACTTCTTTTCTAGACTCAAGGCGGCCTCGTGTTATAGCGATGTATGCCCTCAGACGATTCACCGTACATTTTGACGACGCAAACTTTGTTGATTTAGAGAAATCTTCTTTAGGACAGTGGTGTTTGCAGTCTCTTCGGAGCTCAATCCGAGAACTCCGCATTGCGGCTGGGTAAGCTGCCCTTTGCCAAGGTCCAATTTATGCTAAGTCACTGCTTTCAGTCGAACTCTCCCTGGGTTTCTGAGCGGTCCAGGATCAATCGAAAGCTTGACGCGGAGGAATAGATTCAATGTATTCGAATTGCTACGTTCCTTTTCGGAAGAGGCCAATATCCATTTCCAAGAGACGTGTCTTCTAGCTTGGGGCCAGTTGGGACGGTATGCATCGCTCATGTGTTGATATGAGTGGTTGTGCTTACAATGGCTAGTATCTCGGACGGTGATGAATTGAACATCGTACTTTTGAGTCTAGTCAGGTATTTAGGGAGCAGCAATCCTGTAGTCTCCGGTGTTGCATTCAACGAGGTTTGCTACTTCTATTCATCCGAGGTATTTTTACTAACCAGCGTATCAAGATACTCAAATTATCCAAAGCCGGCGGGATCAGCACGAAGCGGCTGTTCAGCCCCTATTGGGATACCATAGCCATTGAAGCTGTTAAAGATCTCTTAGTCAGGCCTCAGACCACGCAATCCATAGCTGACCTATTGGGAGTTTCAGTATCCGAATTCCTTGTTCTTACTCAAGGGTCCACGCTTCCATGGCTTGTATTATTTGGCCAACCAGACGTTATTAAAAGGATAGCTGAGGCACGCAAAGACGAAGAATCCTGGCTCGCCTGCATGGAAACTTCAAACTTAGTAGCGATAGTCCCACTCTTGCTAATCCAGAATGTGCCAAACACCGAGGCCTTTGTTATGAATCGTTTCAAAGCGGCGTCTCCGAAATTAGATCAGATGGATTTCACAGAACTAATGAGAGTTGAGCCAGCTTCTCAGGCTTTCCATCTACTGAAGGCTGCGGGAGAGGCCGACGATACCAAGAAATCCAAGGTATATTTTGCCTACATCTTCATTCATCTAAGAGACAAGCTAACGGTATTTAGATCCATACAGCGCTACAATTCCTAGCTAAGCATGCACACGCCGCCGTCGATGGGAGTCATAAGAAAGTTTCTGTTGGCCGGTTTCTGGAGCAGCACCTCTTGGGCCTGGTTGCTCGCCTATCGGACATTGTCAATGATTCACGAGATGAGCACCCAACCAAGGAGAAAGAGCGATGCGTCAAGGCTTTTGAGGAGCTTGTAAAGGTTGCTAAAGTGCATACTAGGATTGCTCGCCCTCAGGTATGCCACCTTACAGATGATAGCTACCGTACCCCGCTTACAAATTTATAGATTTGTGCATGCCTTCAGTCGGCCTTGGCTCATAAAGAACTTCAAGCGTCCGCCTTTTCAGCCTGGGCAACTATGCTTACACATCTCGCAGACGATGACGTGGAGTCTATGTTAGAGAGTACTTTCTCTACCCTTATCCAGCACTGGGCGAACTTCAATGGTGCTACAAAACAGCGTGCAGAAGAGATTCTCCAGCATTTACTCAAGCATCGGGCACGCCTTATTCGCAATGCAATCGTCAATTTGCCGTCACTATCGCAGCTTCAGGAGCTTGCTGATGTTGAGGCTGCGATTAGTAAATGGAGGGCGCCCACTGATGCCAGCAATGCCTTCCAAATATTCAGTCGAAGGATTGGGCATGAGAATTCGGGCGTTGTTTTCCAGGCTCTAGTTGAACTAAAATCATATCTGCAGACGCACCAATCTTTTCTCCAGGCTTCGGCAATCAGCGAACAGCCAGACAACGTTGTTGGCCTGCTTGTCAGATCAATTCTGGATACCTGCGTCAAGTTCAACAGTTCTCATCTAGATATTGCTAGATTATCTGCCGAATGTATTGGTCTTATTGGCTGTTTGGACCCCAACAGAGTCGAGTCTGTTCGAGAGCAGAAAGAGATGGTTGTCGTCTCGAATTTTGAGGATACTGGCGAAACAACGGATTTCGTGCTCTTCATTCTAGAAGAAGTAATAGTCAAGGCTTTTCTGTCGGCTTCCGACACCGTGTGGCAAGGATTTCTATCCTATGTTATGCAAGACCTTCTCTTCAAATGCGACATTAGGGACGTATGTGGGCCCATAATTGCGGATAACGGAAGGGGTTCTGAGCACGAGATTTACCAAAAGTGGCTGAAGCTTCCTGGAACTGTTCGGGATACCCTAACCCCGTTCCTCACCTCAAAATATATCTTACACGAGAGAGATCTGCCGAAGTACACGTATCCAATATTCTGTCCTGAAAATATGGTTTCCGACAAAGTCTACAATGTCTGGCTTAGGGCATTTGTCCTCGACCTGCTCCAGAAACCGCTCACTCACAGCTCCAGTATTATATTTCCAACCTTGTGTCGTACGATTAGGATACGAGACACTTCGATTGCTAGCTTCCTGCTACCATATGTGGTTCTACATGCCATTGTGTTAGGGACCGATCAGAACAGACAAGAAATTGGCCAAGAGCTTCTTCGTGTCTTGACGTATGAAGTGAAACCTGATTCGAAGATTAGGAGAGAAGACTTGAAACTATCTGTTGAGGTATTATCCACTTATCCCTGGTTGTATTAACTTCTGCTAATTGGTCATAGGCTGTGTTTGGGGTGCTAGATTACCTTTCTCGTTGGGTACAGGAGAAGCAGGCACAGTCAAGTCGTACCCGGCATGACCCAACTGCGGCTACCAAGGGGATCCAACGAGTAGGAACCGTCCTATCCATGATCCCTCCTGAGATCATTTCCCAGCGTTCAGTAGAGTGTAAATCATACTCCCGTGCACTCTTTTACTGGGAACAGCACATCCGCCACGTTCGAGATGCCCAGGAAGGCCCAGCCTCAGACACACAACTATTAGAGCGACTACAAGACATATATACCCAGATTGATGAGCCTGATGGCATTGAGGGAATATCTGCGCACCTTCATGTTTTAGATATCGAACAACAGATTTTAGGCCATCGCAAAGCTGGGCGGTGGACAGCTGCGCAGAGCTGGTATGAGATCAAACTCGCAGATGCCCCTGACGATGTTGATGTGCAAGTCAATCTTCTGACATGCCTTAAAGAGTCTGGTCAACATGGTTCGTCGAGCCCAGAATAGAGTAAGGAACTTAACTAACATATCCCCTCTCATTAGATGTTCTACTAAACTATGTTGAAGGCATGCGAGTTGCCACAGAAACTGCTCCTCGACTCATTCCATTTGCAACGGAGGCTTCATGGGCAACAGGTAGGTGGCTGGCCTTGAATAAATATACATCCATGGCTTCCAAGGGAATGAGTGAAGACTTCAATGTAAGGGTTGGTCATGCTCTTCTTGCATTGCATAAGAAGGACCCCCAGGCCTTCCAGTCCACTATTCAATCTACTCGGGAACAGATTGCATGCTCGTTGTCAATGTCAACGACAGCCTCGATTGGGACCTGCCATGACACCATGCTTAAGCTTCATGTACTTACAGAGCTAGAAATGATTGCCGGGCTAGACTCTGGAGCTGTGGTTGACCGCCCAAAAGTCCTAGCATCTCTAAATCGACGACTTGAAGCCATCGGTGCTTATCTTAATGACAAGCAGTATCTGCTCGGCATTAGGCGTGCTGCCATGCAGCTCTCGAGGTTTGCGTGCACCCTTCTAAATTGGAATATCTTTCTAACTCTTACAGCTCTCATTTTACAGAAGGGGATGTTGCTTCAGCGTGGCTAACGAGTGCGCGACTCGCAAGAAAAGGAAACGCCATCCACCAGTCATTCAATGCCGTTCTTCACGCATCTCAGCTTAAAGACGAATCAGCAACCATCGAACATGCTAGACTTCTATGGAAAGAGGGGCATCATCGCAAGGCTATACAGAACCTCCAAGGTGCGATCGAGAGTAACGCCTTTATATCCCACGATAGAGATGCAGACCTCACCAACTTCACGGGCGTCGATACAGCAGATCAGCAGAACTTCCTCACTGCTAGAGCACACCTTTTGCTTGCCAAATGGCTAGACGCCGCCGGCCAAACCCATTCCGTGGCGCTTCGATCACAATATCAACTAGCTGCCAAAACCCACTCAAGCTGGGAAAAGGGACATTACTACCTTGGGCGTCATTATAACAAACTACTGGAGACGGAAAAGAACCTTCCGCCTAATCTTCAGGCCGAGACATACCTCACTGGGGAAACAGCTAAACTCGTTATCGAGAATTACCTGCGGTCGCTGAGTTTCGGAACCAAATACCTCTATCAAACTTTGCCACGAATCCTCACCCTTTGGCTCGATCTTGGTATTCAAGTCAGTCAGCCAGTTGAACCCCGCTATGGCGACTCAAAAGACTTCGTCACGAGAATTATCAATGCCCGGAAAGACTATCTTACACAGCTACACAACCGTTTCAGCAAGTACATCCAGAAGATGCCGGCCTACATCTTCTACACCGCACTACCTCAGATAGTTGCCCGAATTGCACATCCAAATGTCGACGTCTTTAAATTCCTCTCGCAGATCATTTTCAAAGTTGTCTCTGCACATCCGCAACAGGCATTGTGGAGTCTCCTTGCTGTGTGTTCGTCGAACCAATTAGATCGCAAGAGTCGAGGAGCGTCGATCCTGCAAAGTCTCTGTAACAGCTCTAGCAAGCGAGCTGAGTCTGGGGCGGCGAGCATCAAGTCTATGATCCGGCATGGCGAGCGTCTTTGCGAGCAGTTACTCATGGTCAGCACATATGGCGATTTCCAAGGCAATCGAACCGCTTGGGTCAGCTTGAGCAAAGACCTCAAATTTAACTCCAAAGGTTGTTTACCAAATTTTATGGCTGTCCCGGTTGAGCGTGTTTTGACAGCGACCCTTCCGACTCTCACAGATAACATCCGAACCCACAAGGCATTCTCTCAAGATATTGTAACCATTGATTCTTTTTCGGAGGAAGTTATGGTACTAAGTTCCCTTCAAAAACCTCGAAAGCTTACTGCTCTCGGATCAGACGGGAAGACTTACGGTCTGATGTGCAAACCTAAGGACGATCTACGAAAGGACCAGCGACTCATGGAATTCAACAGCATGATAAACAGATCATTGAAACGAGACGCCGAATCTAGCAGACGGCAACTGTATATCAAGACGTATGCGGTGACTCCTCTCAATGAGGAATGTGGCATCATTGAATGGGTGGATGGGCTGAAAACTCTTCGAGATATCCTTCTAGGTCTCTACAAGGCCCGAGGTATCTCGGTGAATTACAAGGAGATCGAGGCGTTATGTGAAGAAGCTACTAGATCCGAAGACAAGTTACCATTCTATACGAAAAAGGTTTTGGGCCAGTTTCCTCCTGTCTTCCACAAGTGGTTTGTGCAGCAATTTCCCGAACCTTCGACATGGTTCGCAGCTCGACTACGATACACCCGATCTTGCGCGGTCATGTCTATGGTCGGTACGATTCTAGGCTTAGGCGATCGTCATGGCGAAAATATACTTTTTGAAGAAGGCAATGGTGGGACGTTCCACGTCGACTTCAACTGCCTTTTTGAAAAAGGCCTCACCTTCCTCAAACCTGAGCGAGTGCCTTTCCGATTGACGCACAACATGGTCGATGCAATGGGAATGTATGGCTACGAGGGGCCGTTCCGCAAATCATCAGAGCTAACTCTCAAACTTCTCCGGCAACACGAGGAAACTTTGATGACCATCTTAGAGGCTTTCGTGTACGATCCTACACTAGATCTTATTAAGAAACCGGAGAAAAAGAGAAGAGAGGGTGCATCTGTGGTGCCTCCAACTGCTCAGGGTGTGCTTGATAATATCCGGAGAAAGGTTAGGGGCTTGTTGCCGGGGGAAAGCGTTCCTCTGGGTGTTGAGGGACAGGTTGATGAGCTTATTAAACAGGCAACCAACCAGACATTTTTGGCGGGCATGTATATTGGCTGGTGTTCTTTCTTCTAAGGCGAAGCTAAGTACTACTGTTCGTATGAAATGATGAAACTTTAGTGTAGATTTTTCTAGGAATATTTTGAGCGTTCTTAAGTCCCATTGTCATATTACCTAACGCTGTTAGGCTGGCTGGAGTTTCTATATCGATTTCATTCTTATTTATACCTACAAGAACCAAAGAAATAACCCCTCGGTATAGATTATGTAGATAGACCGAGTAGGTCGCGTAGAGAAGGTGAATTACAACTGTTACAAACATAGTCCACAATCAAAGCAACCGCAAGTCATTGACTGATTTTGAATCTGTGAATACCATGAAAGGCTCTCATAAATGACGCCTAACTTGTGCGACCATGTCGCTGCGACAAGGAGTCTTGGAGGAAACTACTAAATGATTGAAAAATGGTTAATATTTTAGAAAGTGTTTTTCAAAGTGTCTGCCAGTGGTAAGTAGGTAGTAAGTAAGTACTGCGCGATGTGAAAAGAAACCAAGACCGAGTTTTAATTATATTACCTCTATAATCTCAGAAAACGTTTATCTTTCGCTGCGTATCGATGATTAATTGGAGACTTGACAAATAAATATATGTAATCTAAATGTACGATAATATATATCTCGAACTCAAAGTTTTTGGTATACTTTAGGGAACGATGCGTGACTCCAAAGTCTTGCTTGCGAAGTGAAAAAATTCGGTGAATGCGGCAGTCCTGAGTTGTTACTAATAGCAACATCGAACTGAACCTATGGGACATCCGGTAAAGTCGGCTATACTTCGGTGGCTTATTTCGCACTCATATATTGAAATAACTAAAAGTAATCAAAAACAAGGACCGCTGGCGCAACGGTAGCGCGTCAGATTCCAGACCTGAAGGTTATCCGTTCAAATCGGGGTATGTTAATAATCCTCTCCTGATACAAGATCGCCTTCCTAACAGTAAACAGTGTGGTTCAATTCCTCGTGAATACATTTTTTTTTCTTTCGTCTTACGGACGACGCAGGTAGACCTCTGGTTTGGTAAGCGGTCAGGCTTATAAAGTGCAAAGGAATCAATTCGAATTAATTCACGAATTATTTCATGACAAAACGCTATGCATGACCTCGCGCGTTCTGAGAAGCGTCCTCAATCGCAGAGCCCTCCAGACATCACTCGCGATTTTGGTCGGCCCCAAAAAGAAAACTCTGACACTTCGCCACACACAGATGGCACGAGCTCCTTGGCGAGTTTTCGGAAGTTCGTCTACGAAGAATTAATGTCTCGCATGGCAGACAATGATATTATTGGAAAGCAGCCGCTTTCACCTGAGCTGGTGGAATACTGCCTCCCCAAGAGGGTTGATTACACTGCCTGGGACACCCTCCTCCATCAGCCATTAAGCCTTCCTGATAACCTTCTTTCTTCCATGTTCAGTCTTAAGGAAGATAACGGTTTTTCTAATTATGTCAGATCACCAGATACGCCAACCATATTTTACTTAAGATCGTTCTCAATGACTGTATCTCAGTTGAGGAGTATTGTTGATGACTGGAAGAATCGAAAATACTATTATGGCGAAGAAGCTACTACTTGGTTGGGTATGACTGCAGCAATGAGCTCTGAGGAGGTTGTGTATATCCGCTATATTGGCGCCACTGAAAAGAAGACCCCATTTCAACGCTACACAGCAGATTTTTCGTCTAAAACTGGTCCCGTACTGGCGAAATTCTTGGAAACAGTTGGTCGATTATGTCCAACCGTCCTAGATAGTGTTGCAATATATGAGTTTGATGAAGCGAGTCATCTCAGCGCCAAAACGTGCTCGCTACCTGAATGGAAAGAAAACAGGGCTATGCAAACCCTCCCAGAGCAAGCATTAATAGCATTATTTGGATTTTCTTCCCTACTTAACCAGGCGGTTGGTGGCTTCCTTCACACTTACAATCCAGATGACGATCAACGAGCTGTTTTCAAGTCTCTGCAAACTGGAAGTATCGAAGCCATGCAACAAAACTTACAGACTGCCCCTGTCGATTTAGTCAATAAACTCCGAGCGTGGGCGAGAAGCGTCTTCGAGCATGATATAGGGCGTCAACGATCGCTGCTGGCCGTCGAGGAAAGACTTTCAAAACCTGGCGTTCCTTCGAAGATTTATCAATTTTCCGAATCACTTCAATTGACAGTTATGAGTCAGGCGGTACCTGCACTTTATCTTGGCCAGTTCACGCCCGTTGTTACTATCGGTGCTGAGATGAGTAAAGATGCGTACGGGAAAGCCGAGCCATTCTACACCGGACAGAGTCGCTCTGCAGATTTGATGAAGAAAGTCCTCTCAAAGTTATACGAGTGGGAAGAAGGTCTCAAAGAGACATCATCATTTACCATCAATTCCTTGATTAAACGTCAAGGTTTACCTTTCGTAAACCTACTCCCATGGCTGAACTGCACTAAGGATGACATGTCCGCTGCCATCGGGATTTTAGAGCAGTACTTGGGGATAACTCGGCCATACATCATTCTCACCTTGGGAAAACGCCCTTCGTCTGTCGCTGCTTCCAATTTTCGGCATCTTCTCGGATACAAAGGTCGGGATCCATTCTATCATAAGGTTGGAGTGCTGGAAGTAGTAGACTACGGCGATTGGTCTAGCGTACAAATACCGTGTTTCCATCCAGGACAAGTTCAATACGTTAAGGACTCAAAGCTGTTTTATAAGGCAATGAATCTTACCCTCTCGATTCTATTACTTACGATTAAGGTTACAATAGAAACGCACTCTGCAATGCGAATGAGCCCACAAGCTGCTCGGTGTATCTATATTAAGAATACTGTCGATAGTATACTTCAAGCCAAAGGTATTGATGTCTTATTAGAAGACATAAAAGATGGCATGCAGGCTGTCAAAGATAAAGGAAACAAATTCCACACCAAAGAAGAAACTGCTGCTGCAAAGGGCAGTGTAATTAATATTCTCGGATCCAAGTCTCTACCAGTAGGTCTGAATAGAACTCCCCGCTAGTGGTTGTATAGCTGATAGATATTAGAACCCTATCATTTTCAGTGCTTTAGCCGTTGATGCTCCTTTCTCGTACAATAGAAGAGCCCAGGTCCATCGCCTATGGAAGCTTGACATTCCGGCCCTTCATCTTGTTATCTCTCGTGATCATCGGTACCTGTGGCATGCTTGGGGGAATCAGCTTGAAGAGGGAACTTCTTTCTTCGAAGATCGTTCTCTAGAAGCTAGTTGGCGTGCTACTATTAAAGGAGATCCATTAGAGGTTAGACGCAAGTTCAAGAAGGAGCGCCCTAAAAGACAAGGCGTGCTTGGGAAGAGGAAGATGTCGGTGTACGAGCTTGATGCTTTTGAAGTAGATAATAAGTAAATCAAAAACACTTTAATGGAGCTTACTAAATTACCAAAGAAGTATAAGTTAATAAGTATGGTATTGTAGTAGCTATTTATAGTACAGTTGTTGGGAATCGGCAATGGTGATATATCAGAGTTTATCACGGGTTTCAAGTATACCCACCGGTAGCAAATATAACCCACTTTTACCTATATATTATAAGGACATCTCCTTCACCTCTATTACTAGAAATAAACTAGTTCCATTTCAAGGCCTCCAAAATCCTTGACAGTAAACGAAACTACTAAAGAAAGGTAATACGAAGAACTAATGTAGCAGGGTGTTATATAAGTATAAATGTTTAGTAACTGTTGGTTCGATCTTCGCATTGGTCCGGAAATACAACGTAGTAATAAAGCTGCTCCTTATAGAGAATAAAGAGGAAATTCAACATATTGTACCGTACCCCGTATTATATACAAGTTCATACTCCCTTTGTTCAGGAAACCAATCTCCTTCCAGGGCTGGCCGGCGGGGTTCTCGAGGTGGTAGAAGCGGTAGGCGCGGTCCGAGAGCACGAGGTCAGCAAGGGCCGCCGCCATGTCGTTGACCGGGATCCAGTAAGCCTCGCTGGGCACATCGGGCACCTCCTCCGAGTTGAACGGATAACCTTCAGGTCTGGAATCTCACGCGCTACCATTGCTGTCCCGTATTAGTTTAATATTTCTAAACTGCACCGTTTATAAACTTACGGCAGCGGTCCTTGCATTTCTCAAAAATTGCTTATTTAAATATATGCCTAAGTTATTGACCATAAGTTTAGAATCCGGCATAAAGATCAATACTTTGGAGTTTACTTATATATATACATATATATCGCTGAGGATTAGGAGGGCGGCTATTTTGCGTGTTGTGCTCTTTAGCGAGAGGGCCAAATACAGCTCTGCCGTGAACCTTATAAGGGAGCAGCAACGGTTTCCCAGGCAAAACACGAGAAGGACGCGATAGTTGGGGCACACAGGGGCAGGCAATAGCGGCCGCTGCTCGCGTCCACGGACTAAATGAAAATTAAGGATGTGTCTCTAGTTAGAATCGCGGCACTTGTTCTTAATTTTAATTCCATGGTCACCGTCTGAAAGCAAGGGAAATTATACCTAGTCATATGGAGGATGGAGATCAACTTTAAGAGTTAGAAGCTGCTGTTAGCCTCTACGATAAATAAATAAGGGATGTAGAAAGTATATCCAACCCCTGACATCTAATAAATAAGTAGGAGAACCGATATACCAACAAATCTAAAATTAGACTAACAAGGGGTGGGTTTATCTACCTATCTGCGGGCACATCTAGAATTGAAATAATAGTACAAGGTGAGTGATTTCTGTCCTGATTCAATATTTGCATGTTGTAGCTCCTGTCGCCAACTTCAAACCTAATGGACATATGTTCGACATGTACGAAAGCGTATAGGTGTTTGCAAGGTGGACAAAGACGCCTTGCACACCAATATGCGGGATGACGATGATGTTTCCAACCTCGTCGCGAGCCTCGCGAGCCTCGCGCCTCTAATTGTCAATTACTCATTAACACATACCCCGATTACGCCTCAACATATAGCCCCTTGAAGAGCCCCTTAAGAAATCATAGCTTGCTGCTTCCCAATTGGATCGCTGCCTACCCCTCCAGACGCCACTCAAGGCAAGGTTGCGGGCCCAGCCTTGACTCCGTGTAACATTCGCCAGAACAAAGGGCTATGCGATATATACATGTCTTCCCGCAGAGATCCTTCCGACCACTTTCCTCCCTCAGCAGCTTCAGAAAGATGTCGACCTTCACTATCCCAGAAACAAATGTCTCCGTCCAACTTTGCGCGGGGCTTACAAGAGACCAACTCCTCGAATTCCCACCGTTCAAGGTACTTTATTCCCATATGACTCCCATCTACAATAAATATATACTTAGGACTGTGAAATCATGCTCACAAAGAAATCCAGGGCTGGCTCCAAAGACTCCAAACCAACTTGTCCCTCCAACATAGCAGCCCCTCCCACGAATTCCACACCGACCCATATATTCTCCGCCACATAGAGATACAATGCAATGACCGATTCGCCCATAACCGTCTCGGTTTTATAAAACTCACCGCAACGATCTCCAACAATGGAGGCGAAAACTTGCCGGGCGCAGTATTCCTCCGCGGGCCTAGCGTAGCCATGATGGTCCTGCTACAACCGGATGACCTACCCTCCGACTCGCAGGAGGAGAAACACGTTTTGCTGACGGTACAGCCGCGGGTTGCGGCCGGTGGGTTGCAATTCGTGGAGTTACCTGCGGGGATGGTGGATGGCGGGACATTTAAGGGAAGCGCAGCGCAGGAGATACAAGAGGAGTTAGGTCTAGATATACCGGAGGATGAGCTGATAAATTTATCGGAGTTGGCGATTCCGGAGGCGAAGATTGAGGGCGCTGGGAGGGCAGAGGACATGCCTCGGGCGGTGTTCCCTAGTGCTGGAGGCTGCGATGAATATATCCCGCTGTTTTTGCATGAGAAAAGGGTGCCGAGGTTGCAGTTGAGGGAATGGACAGGGAGATTAACGGGATTGAGAAGTGAAGGAGAAAAAATTACTTTGAAGTTGGTTAGAGTGGAAGATTTGTGGCGGGAAGGGGCCAGGGATGCGAAGGCATTGAGTGCGTTGGCCCTTTGGGAGGGGTTAAGGCGGGATGGGAAATTATAAGATAGAGATCATTCAGTTGATTACCTTTAGAGCGGCGATATAATGGCTTAATTATACAAATAAACGTGGTCTTTCCAAATACCACATGTCCGTTGGAGGGCTATTCAGAGAAGACGAGCCTGCTCCTAGCCAACTTCAACTTGGCCGTGCAGGCTTTCAAGTAAAATATTCTCAAAAGTGGAGGCTATAATCCTTTCGTTCAAAGAGTAAACTGAGATAGAAACTCAGAGCTAACTACTTAGCTTCGATTATTCGACAGAGCAACGCCACCCTCTCGGTTTATAGAGGAATTTTGGTGTACTAAATATATCTTATAAAATGTATACCGGGAAGTATGAACTTAAGCAACTATGACAGGAGATGATCGGGCGGTCAAGTGGTAATCCTTTAGAGCGGGGCTTCCCATACGGAATGCCATCAGTAGGAGGTAGATCTCCTTTCCTAAATCTTCTAGATTTGGAAGGGTGACTGGTTTGCACCCCGTGGGTAACCGATCTCCTTGTCGAGGGTGAGTTGATGCTCCGTAACATATCGGGTGGCTTTTTTTTTTTTTGAGCTTCGTCCTAGGGTTCTTGTCTTTATGGGAGTAAGGTTTTGGGTACAATACAGCGTACTCATATCAATGGGGAGTTGCAATACGTGCTATGTCCTCGTTTCTCTCCAATGTCCCTAGGGGCATTGGCAAGGTTACAGTATCAGGGATTTTGTCGGGCAGCCGTTTGCAGATTTATAGTTGAAGGGCGGATGTCGAATCAGCGCCTCCTTCAAATAACAGTTTGAATGTCTCGTAACTGGCCGTTTGTTCAGGGGCTAGTATGCCATGAACTAAAATGAACTTGCGTTTTTTGGCCCAGATGATGGTTAGGTTACTTAGTTTCTCCAAACCCCATTTCGTTATAATCCGCTCGGTGGGAATTGGTCGTGGGCCTAGATACTGTTGATAGGAATCAACAGTGTCAGAGAACCCCCTGTGGCGCAGAGCACAGCTGGCTCAACTGGTAGCGGGTATAGTATCTCGCTCTATAACTTCCACCGCCTAGCGATCTCGATACCTTCAGCTAATGTGCCCACTCTCGCATCAATCGCATATCCCTCGCTCTCCAATCTCTTACAGCCGTCCCAAAGATCCTCTAACTTCAACGTAAATACCTCGATGAACTCATTGTCCTCTAGCTCCGGCTTCGGGTTTTGGTTTTCAGGACGAGACATATCCACCGTGACGTGTACCATTCTAAGGTTGGTGTTGCAGAATCCGGGGTCTAGTATGCTTTTAGTAAAGAGAGAAAGAGGAGCGAGGGCAAATTAATGAACTAGAGGGCGATACCATTGAACATTATCGGAGTGCTCTCAGTCACAACTCCCACATACCCGGTTTCCTCCTTCAACTCCCTAACAGCAGCCTCCTCCGCAGACTCCCCCGCATCGACAAGCCCAGCCGGTACCTCAATAACTATTTTGTCTAGTGGAGGCCGGTACTGTTTCTGTAGGACTATCTCATTTCCTAAGACCCAGTGTACCGTATTAGCACATTCTTCGTAGTCCAAGTATAGGAGGTAGTCGAAGGATATGTACCCGTAGCCTTTTCCAAAATCGCGACGATTCCCACGCCATCAATATCAGAATCTTTCGGCCTTGTTCGCCGCTCTGCGTGTTCCCATGTTCGGGGTTTACCTAATGGGTCTGAGTAGGTTGTACTGCAGGGGTTGCGGGATTAGCGTTCTTCGAGCGTCTGTTTCGTGGTAGTATGGAAGGTAACGCGCACAGGATAAGCTTGGTCCATTTTGCGTCGCTATCTTTCTGTGTAGAAGAGGTGTTAGTGGTGTTGCTATGCGATGGAATGGGTTGAGTGGTAGGGATAACGTTGAGGTGGGGATGAAGCGAGAGGGACTGACCAGAGGCTCTGTTTTGAGCACTTTGGCATTGGCGTCTGACATCTTGATCTCAAGGATGCTATACTTGCAGAGCTAAAGTTTAAACTGACTTGATCGTGAGTTACGAGGCTTGTATCCAAAGTATTAAGTTGCAATAGGAGTTGGGAGGTTATGGGGCAACGGGGTAACGGGTACGGGTATTCAAAAGGCTGTCTGGGATACGCGACGCGCATTCCGATTTAATTGGATGTCAAAGCCTCGGTATGTCAGGTTGCATTGGCTTTCGCATTTAGGACTATAGATAAGCTAGCCTATATATTCTAGCCTTAAGCATCAGAAGTGTCCTGGAGAAAGAGACTTTCAGTTATGACATAGCTTTGTTAATAGGTAAACCAAACTTACTCAAAAATATGGGAGGGGAATGGGGGATAACGACCCTTGTATGTTCGCTAAAGCTGCCCATGACGTACTTCTATCTACGTCTCTTAACTTCTCCATAACCATCTTCAGACCTACACAACCCAATCCACGTATCTACAGTTTAGGATAATCATAGCTAGGAGAACAACATGTCTCCCTCCAGAGGACCGGCAAAGGATCTTACCTCGCCTTCTATCGACGCTTCCACGTCTGAGTCGAGCATAGATACCAAAGCCAACGTCCGCTCCTCCTCCGCCCTCAGATCCGCAAAACAAAACCTCCACTTCCTCTTCTCTCCCAACTCACCTAATGCGCCGCGGCCTGCACACCTCCGAACACGCGCACTCTTACGCTCTCTCCGATTCATTGGCATATTCGTATTCTGGCGCATCGTTCGATACGCAAAATACGCCTTAATTGGCTCGATCGCGGCAGCAGCTGGGGCCACGGCATTTGGAGGTGCAGTGAGCGGTCTTACCTTCCTACTTGCGCCTCCCACGTTGGCAACCAGCGTTGGTGTAGGGTTGATTTGGGCGATGGGTAAATGGGGATTTCGGAAGATGAGGGTGAGTAAGATGGCTGCGGTGGAGGTGAAGGATAGTCAACAAAATGTGGTGAAAGATGGCCGGTGGAGGGATGTCCAAGGTCCGAGAGCTGTGCCATGGTAGGTTCTGAGGGGTCTACTGGAAGGTCCACGATACGTTCAGATATCGCCCACGCGATATTCGGCTGGGCGATACTTTAAGGCGAAGAAGAGCTTAAAGGGCGATGGTGGATGTCTTTCGATTCGACTCATCCCGCCCTCTCAATAGAAATTTGGAGCATTTCAACCTATGAAACCTCCAATTGGCCTCATTGGGTCATTATACGGAGCAAGCATCATATTCGCAGTTTGCCCTAAATTGGCTAGTTTCCCTGTGGATTGATCACCACTACTATTGCCATTGTACTCTGGCGCTCCATCTACACAATTTGGGTTAAAATCAGTTCTGACTGCTTCTAAAACTCACCTAGACCGCTATGGGACCAAACGCCAAATCCTGCCACCCGATAGATAACCGTTATTATGCTCTACTAGTCACGCTTCTCGACCCCCTTCGTTAAATAACCTACGCTCGGGCAACAACTTGTTGGGATTGGCCAAACTATACTACAATACTAAGAATCACAAGGGGAGCCAACAAGTGGGCAGACTTCGTGCTCTCCCACTCGCACACCCTCATGTTAAGCCGGGCCTAGACGGGTTTTACTCCAGCTGAGCTCTTTGTTTGTGCTCTAGCACCGCCCTTAGGCGTCTTCATTGCCATCCGTGCTATCGCAGGGTTAGGCACCGAGGTAGTTCTTCACGGGACATTTTGAATGGCCTTCCTGTATACACTCGAGATGCCCATTCTCTTCTTGGCCATCGTAGCTAGCTTTTTTGACATCTTTTCTAGAGCCTCGCCCGGTATTGGCAGCGGTATTGGCAGGGCCTTGATGGAGCGAGTAGATTTAAGGTTGTACTTTTAAATACAGCAACGCCCCCTCCGCTTGTCACATTTCCGTGTTCAACTGTTTACGCCAAAGAGCTCCGACGTGCTAATGAACCTTCAAGCTAGTGCTATTGATGGTGCGCAAATCTGCCCCTGGGTTATCGTCTAGTATATATCTTAGCACCCTATTTCCCTCGCAATTCTCTGGTAGTGTTTCATGAAACATAATATCAGGGGCTCTAGAAGCGAAAAAGGGGTGGAGGTCACATGGCGGCCATTTAAAGTCTGTTACTCCCGCACGAGGCAAGTACCTCGCTATTATACTTGTAACATTGCTTCAGTTAGCTCATCAAACCCACTTTTAACAAACGAACAATATTACGAAAATATCTGGATCCTTGTCAGCTTTTAGATTCGTGTCAATCTCTCCTATATCATTTTTAATATTTTTCCAACGCAGCGATATGTTCTATATATATGTTCCCCGTATAATTGTTTATTAGTATTATCTTGGAGAGTTTAACATAATCGAAGTATTTGGCTTTAGAGATGTACATGTTTAGGTAGCTCCTGTCGATTAGGCTTCAGTGATCCTAGGCGTCTCCGGAAACGACTTGGTTAAAGTTGGCCTCACTGGGACTTGCTTCTTTATACTCTGGGCTTACCGAGGAATCAATGTCCTGAGTAAAGCCCTGGAGCTTAAATGGGGCTATTCGATATACAAGAAAGCGCTTTTTAGAAGACCGATAGCGTAGGCGCCTACTTGTGCGTCGAAATCGGCGTTTAGGCACTATCTCGATCCCTAGTTAGGTAACGTCTATCCCTGCGTGCCGAGCCGCACCCTATAACGAGATAAAAAGTAGGTACTTTGAGTTCAAGCTACTAAAAATCTGTGAACGTGTAAAAGTTTCTATTTATTTTTATTTCAGTTATATTATATACCTCTCCCGAACACTCCTAACCTATCAATTCCGAAAATTATGACCACGTCGTCGCTGCCCCCTTGAATTTACAGAGGGCCTTTCTTTGACACTATAATAGACCCCTCAACTCGTAATACCACTATTAAGCTTTTTCCACCTTTTAAACTCATAAAACGATTAAATTTATATTTCTCAGTCTAATCACAATACTAAGAAGTCATTGTTAGTCTTGTGGCAGCTAGAGCGCGCTATGTTATATGCCGTCGCTACATAGGCTGATACCTCCCCTAATCAAGCAATCAACAATCCTGTCAGCAACGGTGTAGTTATAGTAATCTCGATAAAATTATATATAAGAATCTATAGATACTAACTTAGAGGTTGTTCGCCTAAAGTCGCAACCTTAAAGCTTGAGGCGTTGATGTCATTCGACAGCATTATTGCCACTAACTCGTGAGCTTCTCTCATAGTGGCCATCGATTGCCCCATTGCGTAACTCAAAAATACAAGTTAAAACTTCTTTTAGAAAATGCTAGAAGACAAGTGGCAATTTTTAAGTAGTATGTAAGGAGATGGTTCCCTAGGACCCCCCAAGAAAGAGAGTATTCTTGCAATTTCATACAGTATGAAGCTTTGCTCTTTTTTACAGTGAAAGAATGAAATCCTGCCAGATAAATGTCATACTGTTTAACAATACTCTTATTCTAGTATCTGAATTACTTTCTCGTAATCGGGAGCAAGAGCCAGAGACAGTTTGCTTGCTTTCGGGTGAGAAGCTACAGACGTGACCGAGTCAGAGTGGCCCTCGCGTGTTTGCAGTCCCAGGGTTTGGACGTATATTTTCACTTATAATATTATCTAGATATTTCTTACTCTACCTGCCATGTACGTAATGTTTCAAGAGAAGATACCGTATCAGGGTGATCTATGCCAAGTATTTTCTCCTGCAAACGGACACATGTAACCATTAGCTCAAGACTCTTATCATGCTGGTCTTGACTTTTCCAGGTCCAAGCAAGATTTGCCATGCTCGTGAGCGTGGAGGGATGCTCCTGGCCCAGCACCCGCTTCCTCGTCTCCATCACCAGCACCTCCAAGTCCTCGGCCTCCTTCCAGCGGCCCTGGTTCCAGTACGTCGAGGCTAAGTTGGCTATGCCCGTGAGCGTGGCGGGATGCTCCTGGCCCAGCACCCTCTTCTCCGTCTCCATCACCAGCACCCCCAAGTCCTCGGCCTCCTTCCAGCGGCCCTGGTTCTGGTACGTCAAAGCTAAGTTGCCTATGCTCGTGAGCGTGGAGGGATGTTCCTGGCCTAGCACCCGCTTCTCCGTCTCTATCACCAGCACCTCCAAATCCTCGGCCTCCTTCCAGCGGCCCTGGTTCCAGTACGTCGAGGCTAAGTTGGTCATGCTCGTGAGCGTAGCAGGATGTTCCTGGCCCAGCACCCGCTTCCTCGTCTCCAATACTAGCACCTCCAAGTCCTCGGCCTCCTTCCAGCGGCCCTGGTTCCAGTACGTCGAGGCTAAGCTGGCCATGCTCGTGAGCGTGGCGGGATGCTCCTGGCCTAGCACCCGCTTCTCCGTCTCCATCACCAGCACCCCCAAGTCCTCGGCCTCCTTCCAGCGGCCCTGCTTCCGGTACGTCGAGGCTAGGTTAGCTATACTCGTGAGCGTGGCGGGATGTTCCCGGCCTAGTACCCGCTTCCTCGTCTCCATCACCAGTACCCCCAAGTCCTCGGCCTCCTTCCAGCGGCCCTGGTTCCAGTACGTCAAAGCTAAGTTGGCCATGCTCGTGAGCGTGGCGGGATGCTCCTGGCCCAGCACCCGCTTGTCCGTCTTATAGGCTTCGACAAACTGCTTTTCAGCTTTATTATACCATCCATCCTGTGAAAGACACATCCCAAATCTCCATGCTAGTTTGCCTCTACTCTCCAGATCTTTACAAACATCAGATTTTAGCACAGATTGTACGTGCGGAAGATATATCCTCCATATACTTCGGTTTTGGTAGTCATCGTCCGGGAAGACTTCTTCTAATCGCGTAATAGCCTTTTCGGTCCATTGAGTGATTAGCTCTTGCTTTCGAAGCCAGTTCCGTGTTGCGAGATGTACTAGCCGATGAAGATCAAGAGCTTGGTCTGCCGAACGCTTGGTAATAAAAGAGTATGCATCGAGAGTCCCAATTGCATCGATTTCCTTCTTCCTAGATGGGCCTGCGGGAAGTAGAGACTGTGGGATATCCTTTGAGTCTATACAAGCTATAAATGACAGATAGTCGGCCGCAAGAAAATCGCACTGCCGGATTTGCTCAAACGAGATCAGCCACGTAGTAGCTACTGGATTCTTTATATTGTGATATCTCTCGTCATCCTCAAATTCTTCGCTAAGCAGATCGATCACGTCTTCTTCTTGCTCTGCAAGGAGGGATAGATAGTCAGAAAGGGCTATCCCATTCTCATTGATATATGCCACTGCCTGAACAATAGCCAATGGAAGATAAGTAAGCTCTGTAAGTAAAGCTTCCGTATCCGGTCGGTTTTTGACCAGGTCTGGATTCACTAAACACTTTTGCAGTAATTGTGTAGCCACAGTTTCTTCCATCTCGGGTACTTCAACAATATTATTCTTTGCGAGCTTGACAGCTGTCTTGCGATCTCGTGTTGTGAACACGACACATCCATGCTCACTTTTTGGCAAGTAATCGATCAAACGACTAGACTGACTAATCCACATATTAATGTCGTCAGCGTTGTCAAACACAAGAAGCCACTGCCTGGTGCTTTCTTTGCTCAAGAACTCCTGCACAATCCGTTTTACATCCGCCTTCTTGTCTTCCCAACCGGGTATACAAAGCTTTTGGGCCACGTCCAGATATGCTTGGTGGAGACTTTCCATATTCGTTGCCGGTATCCAGATAATTGAGCGACTCTTATACTTGTCTCTGACTCGATAGACAAGCTCGAGTACCAATTGTGTTTTGCCCACACCGCCAAGCCCGGTAATGGCTAGTTTTGTAGTTTGGCCTTGTTTAGAGAGTTCCTTTTCAAGTTTTGCAAGCTGGAACTCACGACCCGTGAAGTTGGGATTTCTCTCAAATGGCACAATGAAAGGAGTTTTACTGTCTGTATAACAGGACTTAGTATAGATCGGGGCATGTTAGATCTAGCATACCTTTCAAATCTCCCTGCTGGCTACTGTTCGAGAATCCCCTTACTGTCATTTGGAACCGCTTTAGTGCGGCCTCCTTTCCCTCGCCATAGATGGCTGGCATGGACACCTCGCAGAGACCTAAAAGACAGTAGACTGAATCTTCTTCTTCTGTTGTCTGGCGTTGTGCTGCCCACCCTCTCCGCTCATCTATACTGAAATCGGAAACGGAATTTCCTTGCAAGGCCTTGGTTCGAATTCCGGTAATTTCGTGAATAGGCGTTTCTAGTGACATCCTATCACCTAGTCGCTTGCCTTCTTTTGAGAAAAATTCCACCACTGCTGGAGCAACAAGTTCTTGAAGTGTCCAGCCTCTAGTAAACCATCTGCTTCTCCGAAAAGCCCCTTCCCATGTGCTCTGGTTGGCCTGAGTATCTACTTCATCACCCGGTATAGATACATCTGCAAGATATACATAGCATTTCTTCGCATTTCGATACCAGCGAAACATGGAGTTAATCGCCGTTGAAAGCTCTGCAGGATTTGATTTATCAATGCAACATGTGTCTACCCAGAAGTACAAGTAACCGTCCCTGGTAGCCTGCTCTCCACAAAACTTGATCTTTTCATAACCGGTCTTACTTTTACCGCCGCCACTAATGAGTTCTTGATAGGTTACCTCTTGGCCAGGTGTCCAAGTGTGCGAGAGTATGGTATAGGGAAGGTCATTGTGGGTAGGAACTTGGACCAGGCTGAGGTCGCCAGGCCCAACAAGCTTTAATAGACGCATAGTACAAAGTTATCTGATCAGAGAGCACTGAGTGGAGTAAGAAGGACAAGTATAGCAGATACGTTATGCGAGGTAGTCAATAGATTATAAGGCATGAAGATGGCAGCTTCAGCTGAAAGGACGAGGCTGAATAGCGATCACGTGCAAGAGAGCATATGTAAAGATTCGAGAGTCTTTAAAAAGTTATCTTGGTAACAACTGGCCGGATATTGAGGAGTAAGCAAATATATCAAACTTTGTGCAGCTTGATAGGAAGATGTAGACTTGACAAGACGGAAACAAGTAGTTAAAACATTGCTTTAACGAATCTAAAAATATCTAGACCCAGCCAAAGCGTATTTATCGATGACCGCCGCGACTGCAGCATAACTCTTCATTAAGACGTCCAACTATATATTCGGAGAAGATAGGAAATCTGAATAAGATACAGAGGCAAAGTTTGCGACTAAAGAATTGACCAAGCCACAGTTCGAAAGCGCTGCGTTGCGGCACAAAGACACGTCACGTGTTGATATCTTCTCATCGCCAGTGTTAAATGGTGCTTGGGATCCTGAGGCACTGTTTGAGTCTGGAACTATCGGGTCACACACACGTCATCGAGAAACCTGTACTTATGCCACACATGTGACCAATTTACTCCCTACACGTGATCAGTCAGAGAATCTTGCCTAAGTAAGATATAGCGAGCCTGGGCGTGAACATAGTATATCGTAACTCGGCTAATGCACATTACTAAGCACCGAAACATGTGGTCCGTTCTCCTCGCACCGGCGAAATTCCCGGACTACATTCTTTTCTTCTCCAAATGTCTTTAAAATTTGGAGTTATACTGTTTTATTATATAACCTTCTCTAAAGTGCTCCTAATCTTAAAAAGACTTTGATAGTCGTGATGAAACAGGGGGAAACAGCCGAAGTAGTAATCGGCAATATAATTGAAACGATCGATAGTATAACTAACTATAGTCCTTTCTTTATTACTAAGTGGTCTTCTTAAAGAGAAATAGTTAAAGAAATTGGCATGTTAATAATAACTTCGTAGACTTGGCAAGAAAATTTTTATAATTCCAAAACTACATATTCGTCTCGTGACAGGGTGCGTCTCGGGACGCAGGGACAGACGTTATGTCAGTGTGGTCTATGCCGCCTAGGTTTTCAAGAATCAAAATTACCAGCGCTACAGCATGGGATTCGATTCTCGCGTTCATGGATCCGCTTAAGCCCATTGTCTTCGATACTCTACCACATACTTTAGGCTTGTATCGTCGCTAATGACAATATCAATACCGTCTGCTTGAAATGGCAACTTTCCCAGACATTGGGTGATTTATATGTATATGTTAAGATGGATGGGTCTCAAGTTAGGTCGTAAAATTGAGACTAAATAGGGGGTCTAATTCACACTATGTTAGTCTAAATTCCTGATCGATCAATCCTTGATCACTCTTTCTAGCTATTTTAGGGCTTCATTTTCCTCAGCAAAAGTTAATTAATTTCACTAATTTAGGAAATGCGGTGCCGAGTCAAGTTGAGTCATGAAGTTGAAGGTGTTAAACTAATCAGTTGCAACGAAGAAAACGAGTGGCGGTGGGCATATATAGGATATCCAAGTTCACAGACTAAAGAAAAGTATTGAGAAGAATAGAAATAACGGGATCCAGGTACCGCTCAACTTAAACCCCTAACAACTAGAGATTAATCCTAGATTAGATAAAGCTAGGAATAATAGGTAAAGCCAGGTAGTAACAGCCCTAGTAGTCTATAGGTGCACATCGATAATCGTGCCCATGAACATGGTAATAGCATCGCGGTGCCTTGTGGGGCATCATCGGGCCAATGGGTGGGTTGTCCGCTTCTATATTTTCTAGGATCCGGCCTTCAAGAGCAAGCCAGATATATTTAAGATCCTCCGGTAAAGAATCTGTGAACATATCTCGCTCCGTCCTTATGTAAATATAATATCGCAGGTAATCCTGTAACAAACGATAGAATAGTGTTTCAACAGCAACAGATCCTTGCGAGAGGATGATATCCTTTATTTCGATATGCTGCAGCTCCGGCTCACGGAGAATGTTCGCAGGCGGTGGACGTAGTGCGGCCCTTGCCGCGTCTGCTATTTGATCCATAAAGCATTGTGCCTTGAGCCAACCCCCCAACGAGTATGCGGCTGCGGCGACACGCAGATCTGGTCGGATCGGTTCATCGTGCGGCGCGTGTAAGGGCAATACCACGCCGCCCACGCGGTACTTATCCCCATAAATCCAATCTGAAAATACTCCAAACACTTCCGGTTCCACGTCTGCCATGGTTATGACGGCAGGCTGGCCCTGTGCAAATATCTCAAGTTTATTCGTCCTCAAATCTTCAAACCAAACACTCTCATTACACAAGAGGTTTAGGTGCATTGAGAGGCGTACCCCTGCCTGCCCTAATTCAATGACTACTATCTTATCCCCTTGTTGGAATGGGTATAAGTAAGCGGGAGGCGGTCCGGCCGGAACAATGCATGGCATCTCCATTATGGGCTTATTGCTTACCCATGTATTACCACGTAAATGCAATAAAAGGGTCTGCCTAAGATAGATCGTGTGCTTGTCTCTATAGTAAAAGTGTGTGGGATCGACTTTGAGCTTGTCAAGTGGAACCAGGCCGCTTAGCTTTAGGTTTTATAGAAAACTTTGAACATTGCACAAGACCTAGTAAGAAGGAAGATAGCTGTGGTTAGAATGACTAATCTGATCTAGGAATGCTACTAACCTATAGTTCGATCTTCTTGAAAGCTACGTTAAACAAGGGATAAGGATGAACAAAGCCGCATTGAGGTTTGTTGCTAGGTTGTTCTATATTACAATTATAACCTTTATTAAAGCAGAAAGCTATACGAAGAAGGGGAATGGCCTCTGTTAAGAAAACAACCTTCCTACCTTCTGTACCTTTTACTTCCCTCTTTAGTTGTAGTTTAGTCAATACCTATTGAGGTGACACAGCGAAGCAGAACGTGAAATGGATGGCGGGCCTTGGAATATCCCTGTACATATAGGGCCTGACTGTAATGTGGTGATGAGTATTATCTAGTGGACTAAAAAAGAATTCAGTAAGACTGCAGTAATTGTAAGGTTTGGTTATAAAAGTGTTAAGGTCGTTGAATAACCCGCGGGAAATTGGATGATATCTCTTTCAAGGGTTTGTAGACATAAACGCCCGTAGCTCAATAGTTTTGATGTAAACTATGTGTTCTAATTTGAAGAATGATAAATATAACATATAAGAGTATATTCTCAAACGACATATTAAAAAAAATCAATTTCTTAGTGATAAAGAGTAATAAATGAGTGTGTTGTACAGCCGAAACAATAAGAATCGAGGGTATTAAAAGTGCCAATACCACCAACTTAGAGAAACCAATACGGTACTTAAAGAGTGCATTGCTATTAGGGGTTAATTATAACCCTTATGCACCTTCCACTCGAAGGCAAGTAAACCGTGGTCGGGTTACACTTAAGCCAGACTCCAGGGGTGCAGGTGGTATGGCCGGAATTTTGAGAGAGGGAAATTGAAACGAGTACTTAGAATACTCTACGGAGGCAACAGTTCGAATCTCTTAGGTGTCGATATTCTTTTGTTTGGTTTTTTCGCGGTTATTTTGCGATATTTTTGTAGTAGTTCGCGGTGGGGTCACACAGCCGAAGAACCACGAGCTCGACTCGTACTTAGCAGCGCATCTCGCCTTGGAGTTAGACTTTTGAACAGCACGGGCAGAGATCCCGAAGCAAGTTGTTATTGTTCTTCGATTTGAGCAGAGCCGTCTGTAGGGTTCTCTGGAATTTGATATTTATATTTGCGAATATGGCACCTGTTACCCATAATAATACTTAATAAGGCCGTGACACTAACGAACGAAGCTTGGAATGAGTACGAACGCCATCTACAAATGAAGACAGTAGATATATTTACAGGAGACGATCCAGATAGACTTTAACAGGTGTATAATAAATTCATGGCTGGAGACAAGTAATTCGACGTTGGAATCTCGAAATGAACAATGTCAATTTCCGTCTTTAGCCTTAAGCCCATCCCCTGCCACCAGAGCTGTACCGACACCGTCATCTGGAAAGATCACCAACCAAAGAGTACTTGCCCCGAACTCCAGCGCACTGCCCGTAAAAGTCTCCAATTCAGTGATATACTCCTTCAATGCAGAAATCTGCCCGGCCGCACTGCGGTCCTCAGAGGCGAGCGCAAGAGCCTGCAGTCTCGTCACTGGCAAGCCAGCAATGGTCGCCAGCTCCGCTGTATCTACCAGCTGTGCTCGAAGCCCCCTCTGCCTCAACCACTTCACGTTTGCCGCCGCAGCATAAGCCGCAGCTCTCGCCCTAGGTGTCTGTGGCTTCTGTGACATAGCGCCGACGGTCGCGCCAGGTAAGCTCACCAGAGCGCCGACGGCCCTCATTGCAGTTCCGATAGGCAAGCTGATAGAGCCGCTGACGGCGCCCATGGCTGCGCCGACGTAGTCACCGCTCTTTGCAGAATTGCGGATGTTGTTCCCTACTGACTTTGCGGCCTTTGTGGTGTCTTGACCGAAGCGTTTTGGCACATCACCCACCTTGCGCCCTATATCGGCGGTGTGAGCCAGCGCTTGATCGGACACTTTGGCGGCTAAGAATGCCGACATAGTGGTGAGAAAAGCCCGCCAGGACTCAGGTGTAATGCCATATTGTAGAAGTAGGCGTGTATAGGCATCTAAGAAAGGGGCGGATTTGTGAGGGGTGATTTGGGGAATCGCGATGGGGCGCTGGAGTCTGGTCGGTGTTGACGCCGATGCAAATGAGGATGCTGAAGCAACACCTGGAGATGGCCCGTCAGAGGGAAAGTTCAAGGGCGACTCTGCCGTCGGTCCTTGTGATGGCATGGCTGAATATGCAGGGAGGGCATCGTCGTCGTCGTCACCGGCACCCCTTTGCTGAGCTTCCAGGGCAGCACTTCTTGCTTCTTCTTTTTTCGACACTTTTTCCGACATTGTCACGACTTTCAATAGTGATTACTGTATCAGCGTAGGAAGATTTGTTAAAAGGTAATGATATCCCCGCGCTGAAAACCTGAGCTTGCTAGTGAGGTACGTAGTACGTAGGTACTGAGGCTGAGCGAAGGTAGCTTGGTCGGGCACGCATCCTGGTTGGGAACTTGGCTTGGGAGGTGTCGACATTCCGGTGTTGAATATTATCTACGCAAGCGGAAGGTCTACAAAGAGTTCTAGTTAAAAGGGGCCAAAATAGGTAGGACTTGCTAGAGACAAGACGAGCAAAGTATAACCGCGCCTTACGAGCCCGAAAACAAACCCCTTTATGAGATGAATCTATGGATGAAGTCGGGAAATTGATCGAGGTACTTCTTATCTCTAAATGCATGATTCGCCAAGGCTAAGGGCTCAAGGCTCCAGACGCGAGACTTCCCGCTTCCTAGTCTAACGCAACGTCTCTCGCTGTACGGAATATACCAAAACAAAGCATACTATCGGTTCCTGTGCTATCTTCAAGGTAGACTTCCTAATATAATCAAGCAATGGCGTTTTAAACACCTCCCAGTACTTACACTAGATATGCAGTTGCAAAGAGGCAAGTGACGAGGTCGATGTGAAGGTTAAACCGTTCTACAACACTTTTCTCTCAGTATTTTCGTTACTGACCCTACTCAACCCCGATGGTGTTCACGACTTTTTACCCTCCTATTCGCCTTCCTTAGTGGGGCACTATGTCCTCTTCCCAGCCGTTCGCGCCCTCGTCGCAGTTCTCCAGCGAGTCCCGCAGCACGACGTCGCGGTTTACGTATAAACAACTCGCGCAGCTTGCCGCGTCTTCTACAGCATCCCCTCTCCGAGTGATTGCACATGTAGATCTGGATGCATTCTATGCCCAGTGTGAGATGGTGCGGATGGGCGTAGCAGAAGACCAACCTTTGGCTGTCCAGCAATGGTAGTAGACCTTTCCCACCAAGAGTTGTGGATTTGGAGCTGAAGGAACCGCACAGGACGGACCTGATCGCGGTCAATTATCCAGCGCGGGATTTTGGCATCAGCCGAATGGTAACCGCCACTGAAGCAAAGAAGCTCTGCCCGAATTTGATATGCCAGCACGTCGCAACCTGGAAGGAAGGAGAAGAGAAATGGGCTTACCATGATGATGCACCCAAGAATATCGCCACCCAAAAAGCCGCCCTCGACCCATATCGCCTCGAATCTCGGAGGATTTTAGCATGTATAAAGGAGACTCTACCAGCAAATTTGCAGAAAATTGAGAAAGCTGGAATGGATGAGGTCTTCTTGGATCTATCCGCCCATGTGCACTCTATCATGCTAGAGCGTTATCCTGAGTTGGCCGGGCCGGTGCCGCACAATGATCCCCATGAACAATTGCCACGGCCTCCTACGACGGCCTTGGATTGGCAAGCTGATGCTCTCATTGATCTAGATATTGACGAGACTGAGGATGATAATCCCGACTGGGACGACGTGGCCATACTGATTGGCTCCGAGATTGTCCGGATGGTTCGCGCCGCAGTCCGCGAGAAGCTCAAATACACATGCTCTGGGGGGATTGCGCAGAATAAGATGATAGCCAAGCTCGGATCTGCACACAAGAAGCCAAACCAGCAAACCGTCGTTAGAAATCGAGCTGTACAGCAGTTTCTATCAGATTTTAAGTTTACCAAAATCCGTGGGTTGGGAGGCAAGCTTGGGGAGCAGATTGCAGCTGCATTCGGCATCGCGACCATCGAGGAACTGCTACTTGTTCCGATAGAACAACTTCAGCAAAAGCTTGGGGATGATAGCGGTACGTGGGTGTACCAGATCATACGCGGCAATGATTCGAGCGAAGTGAACTCTCGCACTCAAATCAAGTCTATGCTGTCTGCAAAGTCCTTTCGTCCTAGTATCAATACGGCGGAACAGGCAACACGATGGCTCCGTATTTTCGTTTCGGACATCTACGCTCGATTGGTTGAGGAAGGGGTCTTAGAGAACAAAAGACGACCAAAAACGATGAATCTACACTACCGCCAAGGGGGCCAGACGAGGTCCCGGCAAGGACCCATTCCGCAAGGACGGAGACTGGATGAAGCAGGGCTCTTCGCCCTTTCCAAGACCCTCCTGGATCAGATTATTCTAGAGGGTCAAGTGTGGCCATGTGCACATCTAAGCTTGTATGTTGGAGGATTTGAAGATGGAATCGTTGGAAATATGAGCATCGGATCATTCTTGGTTAAGGGGGAAGAAGCCAAAACACTGGCCATGAATCCCCGAGAATCAGGCTCGTCCGAGACCCGTCAGGAGAGACCTGGGAAGCGAAGACGCAATGGGTCGACCACAGGCATTGGGAGATTCTTTAAGACGAATAGCATCGATCACCATCAAGATGAGCCCAATGCTCAATACTTATCCGGCATGGACACCACTCCGGCTAAACTTGGGACAGATTCTTCTGAAGTCGCCGCAATAGGGTCGAAGTTGTCTCACGAGAGCGAAGGAAGCGAAACTCCTAAGCAGGCAACCATATCGGGTCACATATTGGGCCTCCAACAGCAGCCCATCACGGATTATGTGTGTGTTCGCTGCAATATACCATTGGAATCGGCGATTGCTTTGCAAAGCCACCAAGACTGGCATTTTGCGAAAGATCTTGAAGATGAGGATCGAGTGCGAACAGTCACCAGACCTAATGCCACCACTCACGGCAAGAAACCCACAGGAGCCTCAAGCACGAAGAAAAATGGACGGAGTAACAAGCCGGAGAAAGGCCAAAGCAAACTTACGTTTGGATGATTCGCTTTAAGGTTAGAAACGACGATGGATAGGTTGAGTATTCCCGCTCACAAGATTGGGCTGTCCCTCAATATCAATTCCGACAGCCTCACCGATATTATTTATTCCCCGAGCCTCCTATAAGGAGGTGCCACACGATTGCTTAAACTCATATCCCACGGGATCTTCCGGGGGACGGTTCCGGATCGTCGGGTAAGAGAAGTTGCAGCGATTGAGCGGCGCAAGTTCAGGGTTCGGTGAGGTCCCAAATGGCGGAGCCCTGTCAAACCTTGTTCTTTAGGGACGACTACAGAGCCGGCAAACTTAGCACGTTATATCTTACAGGTGTTGGGCAAAGATTGGTGATTCTGATAACGACCTTCACCTGAATGGGGCTAGGGCCCAAGAGCCATTGCATCTGCACGTCATGGGTTCTTACATTTACATACGGAGCAAGAGATGCTGCAGCTGTGCGAAGTATGCGTTCTCGATGATATGTTGAGCTCAAGTAGTATCCCCTCGCTTGAGGCGGGGCAGGTCGAGAACCGGACCTTTCTAGGGAGCTCGCCTCCGAACAACGTAGTCATTCGCAAAAGGATATGCCCCGTCTATCCTCTGCGAACTGTTCAACGTTCGTTCTATTACTAAATGAATGTTTGTCGTCACTATAGAAAAAAAAGAATACTCCGAGCTCTGCAGCCATATGCCCAAGCCACAGCCGCACCAGTGGTCGTCGGAGGAGGGCGGGAACTGGAATTTTCAAGGCTCCCACGAGTGCAAAGAAAATACTGTGGATGACGCAGGGGAGGTAATCTGGTGGATTACTGCATTGGCTGCAAAAGCCCATGATCATCCAACGAATGAGACCCGGGGTAATACAAGCGGTGGTCGTAGGCAGGGTTAGGCATGATTAGGCCGATATGTTCTTAGGTGTCGATGCCCAACCCAAGACCCGCCACAGATACCACCTGCGACCATTGCGATCGCTCGCTGGCTGCTTTGAGCGTGCGCTTTATTAGTCTCCGCCTGGTCAGAACGTACGATGGGTGACAGATGGGCACGAACTTCGACGCAAGGCAGGAAATCCTGTACTGTCATGCCATGCCCAAGGATCCATCAGCAAATGCAAATGCAAGGCGATCTCCATTTGACCACTTGACATTGAGTGGCCTCCGGCGATGTCGCTTCACCACCTCTTGCGTATCTAGGTACATATACTGTGTTCCTCTGACAGGCTACCACTCTCGACAGCTTCTGACATCTGTGCAATAATGGACGCTCGAGCTCCCAACGATCCACCAATTCCGAACGTCGATCACCACAGTGGCGAGTAACAGGGCGAAATCTATCGGTTGGGAGTCGAAGCCTCGAGGGAAATCCTGAACATCGAGCCATTGAACTGTAGATCGCATGGCCACTCAGTCGCACTTGATGCCCCATCTCGATCCCAATGCCTTGCCCTCCGTATAGCCTCACGGCACTGCGTACCTATCATGATAAGCGTCGAATAAATAACCGTAATGAATAAAACACGCTGAAACGCGCCGCTGACATTGGATGGGATGATTGGAATACAGGTATACAAGTTGCAGATATATATAATATATAGTATATACAATATATACAACAATTGGCATCACGAAGAGAACCCCGAACTGGCCAAATCCGCCCCCGCGCGCCTAAAAGCAGCGTCGGCGGCGACCGAACTGCGACCACGCCCCAAGCGGCCTAGCGTCGGCTGCCTCGACAAGCGCCGCCCGTCGCCTCGTCGTCCTCGTCGCAACTCTCACCTGTCACATTTCTCCCCGTTCCCTTCATCCTCACAGCTCTCGCCCCCGATACAACCAGACAATCACCGTCCGCCAGCTCACAGCTCGCCCTGCACCCCCCAGCACCGCCCCCAGCTGAACAGTGCCAGTGCCAGACTGCCAGGCGCGCCCTTGGTTTCCCAGTGGACTCACCGTGGCCGGGTAATCTCGACAGGACCAGACTCCAGCCGTAGGGCAGCAACCCAGCCAGAGGATACGGAGGACGCAGACTCTCAGAGGCCCTCAGCGTGACCCAGCGCCTGCAACAGGACCTCGAGCGCGAAGTATTTGTTCTCCAGCCTTCCCCCCTCCCCCCGCGCCGCACCGGCCGCCACCTTGGATCTTCTCAGCCAGGATTTTGCTCCCTTTTGCTGCTGCCTCTCGCCGATCTCGTCCTACCACATCGGCTCTTCTTGTCCTCCCCTCCTGACTCCTGAGGCTGACGTGGTGTGCGTGACTCGCACTCTTAATCTTCATCCTCACTGCAGTTGCTGGACTTTCTTTCCTTCTTCACACGTTTTCCCTCGATTTTTCAGCCATGTCTAGAGATCCAAGACGCGCCGCGCGCGACCCCGCCCCTCCCCGTACGAACGAGTATTTTGTTCCCAGAGATGGTATTGATCGAGAGGTCATTACCGCCGACATCTGTCGCTATCTGGGCAACGATGCTCTCGTACGGCCGGGCAACTACGAGGTATGCTGCGCAGTGTGCACACGGTGCACCTCAACGGGATGAAAAAGCAGAGCGCTGATAGCTTCGCAGAACCCCCAAACCGGACAGATCCAATCTGGCTACTTCATCACAGCGTACCGAAACCTTACGACCGTAATACCGCTCCCTACCCTCGCGCAACGGCGAGATCGTTTTACTGATTTTGCGTGCGTTAGGCAATGATCGCGGATCTCAAGGCAGATTCCGACCGGTGGGAGAACGAGCGTCGAGCATCCTCGTCAAGAGGACAACCATCAAATGGTATACCTGAGCGTGACTCGAACGGAATGGTTCGAAAATCTAACACACCTATAGTGGAGTACAGAACTTCCACAACACATCAATCTCGACAGTACTATGGACCAACAGAGGCCGCCCCAACTGCTCCTGGACCCGCTTATGGATCAGCTACCACTGGAGGCGGAGCCCAGCAGGACTACACCCAAAATTACCCTTCAGGCTACCCCCAGCAGAGCTCATCCCAATATGGCCAGCCCGCCGGATACCCCCCACAGGATGGTAACTACGCCTATGTTTCTGGAGGCAACTTAGAAAATGAGCAAGCCAGCCGTGCCGGACGGGGTGCACCTTTGCCTCCACAGGGACAGATTCCACGGACAGGATATCCCGCTCAACCCCCAGCATCATATGCAGATACCCGAGGAAACACTGCTTATTATCCCTCCCAAGCACAGCCGGCGCAAGGCTCGTCACAGTATCCTGCTCAACCAGGCGATCCCTACTATGCCCGTGGTGCGTACAATCACTCGCGCTCTTTTCTACCCCTCGCCGTTGTGAATGAGAAGTGTCTAACTGTTTAGCTGCCCCCGTAGCAGGATATACCGATGCCCAGGAAGGTGATTATAGAAATTATCCAGAAACGTCGCAGTACAGCCAAGCCCAGGTCCCCTCTACCACGGCCACTGCCCATCCAGCCCCCAGGAGAGAGGACCGTAACAGAGATTCAGACCGTGATAGGCGTCATCGAAGCCATCGTTAGGACTCCAAGTCCAACAAAATGGACATACCTGCATGTTGCGAATTTATCCAATCAGGATTGCATTTCTCTGGCGTTTTTCATTTTCTTCATCTCTGGATCCCGTGGACTTTTCTGGACTATTTGCCTGGAGTTCCTGCCCAATTGTGGTGCCATATCATTCCCATGTGGAATTCTACAGTCTGAAAGACACTATTGAGTTGCTTATATTGCACTCGAGCCGGATTTCAAGTCCCAGAACGGGCTCCATACCAGTTGGATCCTTTATCTCATCCTCGCGCTAGAAGCATATTTTAAGACCGGACCGATGACCGGATTCCTAATCGTGGATTCCATGAGAAATGACCTTGTACATCCGCAGTTTGCCTGATATTAATGCCTTTACGAGCCCGGATCAAGGAGGAAAGCTGGACATATTTGTTGTTTGTGGATGCTCTTGCTGTTTAGTGTATCAGTTATTGCATACCATACAGGTCGTTGCGGCGCTCCGGTCTTCTATGTTCTTGCTAGTATTATGGACCTCACCCTCAGACCTGCTGCCTGGATTCGCTGCTGCGTTGGGTTTGTGCCACATGAGTTCACACTTTCTTCCCCTTTCTCAGTGGTGGGTATTCTGGATTTCGCGAGAGAACTCGGCTTGGGTTCGGTCCAGGCAGCATGGCTGAGGAGTTTTGTATATATTCCCGCAGCCATTGGCGCTTTGCAACGGAACATTTCCACCCTCTACATTTACCCTTGATTTCCCAATGGCCGGTCGATGAGATACCCGTGGAGCCATTCTATTAATTTATAGTATCGGCTGCTGGCTCATAATAGGTTCCACTGGACATCCCATGGCAATAGGTAAATACCTGGAGTGAATTTTCCTGTTGGGCAACCTGACTAAGCCCACTCGGATTTCATTTATTGGCCTTCAGAAGTTACGCATCAAAGGTAGTTACTGCCTACGTCGAGTGCCCCAGATCTCCAATACCATCCTCAGTCTGAATGTCCTACGCCAGCATAAAGGCCAACAGAAATTCCAATTAATACACTGATCTATGCCATTGCTCATTCCATGGATATCAATCCGAACTGGCTCCCAGAACTTTGGGCCATGTGGGACCTGCAGGGCACATACTTGCAAGGCCTTTCCAATTCAGAAGACCCATCAAACAAATATCATGCGAATCGAAATAGCTAACTACCTGTTCAAGCACCCAAAGCAACAAGAGGAAATTTCCCCCTTTACCACGGCATTTCTCCCCCGCTCTCCTAAAACATGTCTTTTTTGACGCCGACAGACTTGCTCCGACGGTCCTTTCCCTGCCCTGATGGTCGTCCTATTATTAAACAGTTTCTCCCTTATGGATTACCCGGTGAACCCCGCCACGGCCTCTCTGGAGAAATTTAGCCATGTGCGCACGTACGGGAATGCATTCGGTTTTTTTTTACTTGCGCGAGGAGAAGGTTGGGGGCGGCGGGCTAAAACACGAGTTGTCCTATTTATATAGGATTGGCCGAGGTTGGAGGGAGGACTGGTTGAACTAGGATTATTTGGATTCACGAAGGGGGTTTGTGGATTCTTAGGGTGGGCTTGGGGAAGGACATGTGTGACTTGGTACTATGGAGGGTTTTCGTGTGACAGTGAGATGGAGCTGCACTTTTCAGATAATTGAGATTTAAGCCCGGAGGGAGATGGATGGGCTACAGACAAGAGACTATCCGTTGGTACTTGAATAGATTGATTACCTACTTACCTATGTATGTACTTTATTTTGGCGCGCGCTGAAGGGGATGGTGGATGGGTTATGACCGGCTGGCCTTGACCATGGTGGGAATTGCCCTATGGCTTGGTTACCTTGTTTCTAAAATGCTACTGATTCTCGTTTACGTACCTGGGTACCTAGGTACCTAGGTACATGATCAAGGTCGTAGAAACGGCCACGAAGAATATATTACCTATATCTCACACTCTCTCGCGCCCATTCCATCGACTAAGCGAGGAACCGGTACAGAAATAAATTCGCATGCGCTCCTATAATAAGCACACGCACATGTGCAGTACGCAGAAAGGGGGCAGTGCAATAATAACGGCGGTTCGGGTTGCGGACTGGGCTTGAGGAGTATGTTGGACGTTGGATGTTGGTATTTTACCGCTGGATGATGATCCTCTGTGCAGATCAGATGCTGGGTGCGTAGACGGTTGCCCCGTCCGAGTCCACGTTCCAACACGGTTGCGTTTGCGATGGGGGCGAACGCGTCACGGATCGTTTGGCCTAGTGTTGCAGTTGGAGTTGCAGTTGCAGTTGCGGTTGCAGAACCTCGAAGGGCTGCGCAGTCTCAGATAGATTGGGGACCTTGAAACCCTGGATCGTTGTACTACATACCTTACTTCGTACTGTACCTACGGTAGGTACCTGTTCAACATTTGGCGATAAGGGAGGGCACTACGTAGAATGTCTTAGATTTCAGCTTCCGCATATCTACTGGAATTGTTAGCGGGTGCTTGAGATATGCTGAGGGCTTGGCTGCGATACATATGCAATTTATGTGCGTACTCAATGATGTAATAATAGGGGTTTCTTAGCATCTAGTGCCCACCTCGTGCCTGGTGCAGGGATGATGCTCGAGGGTTTGGGTGATCATTACTTGGAGATGGCGCTGAGAACATCTTGTAGTCGTGGACTAGCCTCGTACAGGTAACAGCCACCGCTGTATTATGGAGTCTAGTTTGTATTGTCTCCTCTGTCGTTCGTCCAACTTGGGGCCGATTGCGTCAGCCAATTATAAGTATAATAAAGCGATTCTATCCTTTATCATCTATCATCTCTGATTAGCGGGACGAGGCAACGGGAACGGTAACGCGGTATCGTTAGCTGCCGTTACCGGTGAGAAAGGATTTTTGGTTTTGGGTTCAGGTTCGGCATCTGGGTTTTTTGGTCGTATTCGAGTCGAGTCGAGTTGTCCAGGCCCTCCTCGTAATACGCACTGCCTGCTGCTGCTGATGCTGCTCATATCACAAGTACCTTACCTCTCGCCCGTATCGCCGTATCACCATCTCACAAATCTCACCACAAGATCTCCTCGTCCTCCTTCCTATCGAGTGCCCCCGTCGCAACAATTCCCGTTGCTCGACGGATATTAAAGTGCTGTCGATCTACGAGATCTCGCCCCACACCGCAACCACTTCAGGTTGGTCCTTTCGACTCCGAAACCGATCGTCCTCAGGGAATTCTCGAAGCCCGGTCGTTGAGTACGTAGGTACGTGGCTGCTGAGCCCACGGCCCTTCAGCCAGCCTTCCCTTGGCGCAGTCGAGAGCGTTTCCCCTGTTGCGCGCTGCGTTGCGTTGTGTTGCAACTTTTCTACAGGCTGAAGGAAAACGAACGGATATCTGCAATCACAAACCTCTTTGAATTCGACTTCGACTTCGACATCGACATCGACACTGCGGGATTCGACCTGTTCATTCGGTCGCCCTGCTTGCTCACTATCAGAGCGGTATTTCATATCTCTTCAGACGTGCCACAGACACACATCTATCTGCCCACCATCGATTCGAGAACGCAGCTGCGTCTGCAAGTCCGTTTGCTTGCAGCATCTGTCCTGCCCGGGCTCACTGTGCAACGCCGTCAATTGAATTGAGTTGCCCATCATGCTCACCTTCAAGAGAGCGCTGATAGCCGCCGCGGCATTCATCACGATGCTTTTCCTCGTCACCCGGTCCCACGCATCCGCCCCGAATAGCAGATTACCTCCCCAACCACAAGACCATCAACGGCAGGCCTCCACGAAAGATGGACAAGCCTCACAAACCGGCCATGACCCAGTCTCGACGTCGAATTCCGCCGGGCTGCCTCCTGTTCAGGGGAAGAAGTCCGGCTACAAACAGCAGCAATCGCTCCTAGACCTATCGACTGCCCCAATACGAGAAAGGCTAGCCTATCACTTCCCCTATGATGTCGAATCCAAGTTCCCGGCATATATCTGGCAGACATGGAAATACACCCCGGCGTCGGGGGAGTTTGGAGAGAACTTTCGCCCGGCTGAGGCGAGTTGGACGGACAAACATCCAGGCTTCATCCACGAGGTCATCACCGACCAAGTTGCTGTTCATCTCCTCCGCCATCTATATGCATCGGTACCAGAGGTTATGGAGGCCTACGAATCTCTTCCCATCGCTGTGCTAAAAGCCGATTTCTTCCGCTACCTGATCCTGCTGGCTAGAGGTGGTGTATACTCCGATATCGATACCTACGCACTTAAATCTGCCGTGGAGTGGATTCCAGACAGCGTCCCACAGGAGACAGTTGGCCTGGTTATTGGCATAGAGGCTGATCCGGATCGACCGGATTGGGCTGAGTGGTACTCTCGCAGAATCCAATTCTGCCAATGGACCATTCAATCCAAGCCGGGCCATCCTGTCCTCCGGGAGATTGTGGCCAACATTACGCTTGAGACTCTGAAGAGGAAACAGAATGGGACACTAAAATCTCTCCCGGATAATAAGGTCATCGAATTTACGGGGCCGGCCGTGTGGACTGATACCATATTTGATTTCCTGAATGACGAGAGGTATTTCGACATGAGCACCGGCACTGGGAATATTACATGGAAAGACTTCACGGGCATGACGTCGCTTAAGAGGGTTGGAGATGTGGTGGTTCTGCCTATCACTGGCTTCAGCCCTGGAGTCCATCAGATGGGAGCAGGGGACTATGATCACCCTCTGGCGTTCGTCAAGCATGAGTTTGAAGGTATGTATTTCCGGAACTATCGAGTCTAAATTGTAGCTAATAGCTTTTTTGCAGGGACCTGGAAACCTGAACACCTACGGCATATCGGAGTCACCGACGAAGAGCGGGAGCTCGAGAAAAACAAAGGTCATTAACGGCATCATATCAAAAGTTCGCATTGGCGCTTTCGGCGCATTCTATGTCCATTTCACGGGGACGGACGGTCGATCGATATATCAAGGTCTACGGCGTCCGTCTTCCTTTTCGAGTTAATTAACGACACGAAAATATACATCCGGCACACGGCTTTTCAGCAGGATCTCGATCGATATCTGCTGCTTTCTAGCCCATGTTCATAAAAAATTTAGATTTGGAGCGGGGATCTTTGTCTTTCGTTGTCTGGGTCATCTCTGGGTTTGTGCGAAAATCCAGCACCATATTATATTTCCCTCACATAGGTATATAAGGATGCCCACCACTGGCTTTCAGTGGGTATAGTACCATGGGCGTTGTATAGCGGGGGGAGGGAGTAGCGTGTTTGACGGGAAGTTTTGGAAAGCGCAAAAAAGGGTCTAGATCTACTGCGCGCTGGGTGGAAATTTGCATTTGCATTTCACGGCATGGTCTGGACAAGCTGTTACTGTTTTTTTTTATTGACGGGGACGCATCCACGAGTTATCAAGAGCTGACATCTTGTGTGTATTGGAAAAGGGAAAGGCGGGTGTGGATTGTGGATAGTAGGGGTGGGTTGGCGGGAGGACAATTATCCCACTCTGCAATCCCACCTCACTGAAACTAAATAGACAGGTGCTGCGCATTCAATGATAGATGCGGCTGTGGATAGGGGGCTGCGCTGTCTGCCTCCTATTCACGGCCTTCGAATCACCAATTTGTACAACAATTTTTCATATCCATAACATGCAGTTGTACTTGTTCTGTCATGGCCATACCGGGTATCCCTACTTGCATCCTTGAATAGAATATGCTTATGAATCTATGCACATGTTAGGTTGGATCGAGGGTGCTCTACCATGGCTTCAGGGGCACAATCGTATTAATATATATTAATACGATAATACGATACGATATACAATAACTCCTGTTGTACAGCCATGACCGAGGTCTGTAGCACGAAATCCCTCCGCCCGGATAAGGACAGCGGTAAGTAATTCCGCACTCCAGAGTATTATTATTATTAGCTGCGATTACCGATGTTCACCCCGCGTTTTCGGGGTTGTGCTATGGCTTGGCACACGTCCTACCGGATTCCAGCCTCCTTATTCCACATGTTGGAGCTTCGTTCTCCATGCCTTGGTAAGGTATATATACTTTATATCGCATGAAGTGTTGCTCAAGGAGAAGACTCTGTTTGTGCTTGTGCGATTGATTAATTGACTTGCTATTGATCGTCTACGTTATATATACGTCTAACTATCAGATCCACAACCTGTCAATGGAACCGAGGCACCCCGCATTCTAGACGACTGCGCTGGACGAAAGGAGACGGGGAAGGGCATGATAAGGAGCAAGCTGAACTACGGACTTGATTTGGCCGATTGGTGTGAATGTGTTGAGTTGCAATATGATATGATATGATGAGCATGCGAGGAATAATACCAATGGCCAGCTCCGGCTGCTCTGGAGCATTGGCTCTGCTAGGGAGGCCATTATCACGACGATGGAGAAGCCAGCTACCGGCGGCAGCACAGAGAGCAAGACCATCACAGCAAAGAAGAACCCTCTTAACAGAAAGCCATGCCCAAGGGCCGACGACAGTAAGCTTCCCTCCTGCTCCTATCTTCTATCCCTAGCTAACTAAACCTCCTCCAGCCTTCCCTTCTCACGCAAACTATCCCCCAGCACTTCTCCTCCGTCGTCGCGGCCCATGGTGATCGTCTCGCCATTATCTCCCGCTCCCAAGGTCCGGTAGGCAGACTCACGTATCGCGAGTTGGATGAGCGAAGTAATATCCTTGCGAGGGGACTGCGGGAGAGGGGCGTGCGGAAGGGGGAGAGAGTCGCTGTTAGCCTGGGGAATAATTGGGAGTTTGCGGTGGTTACTTATGCGTTGTTTAAGTTGGGGGCTATTTTGGTGAGTGGGCCTTTTTCCAATGTGTTTTTGAGATATAGCGGTTTGTGATATCTGTCGAATTGTGAGTCGGTGGCTCGAGGGCGGTTGTGAAGCTTATGAAGCTGGACTTGACAGTTAGCTTTTTGTGACTTGGGTCTTCATACCAGCCGAATCACTTACTAGATATGGCACATTGTAGGCCTTAACTATAGCATGAATAGCAAAAGACTAACTCGAAGAAAACCCCAGGTCCCCCTAAACCCAGCCTTCAACTCCCTACAAGTCATATCAGCACTCTCCCACCTCGAAGCTGCCCACCTAATAATTGGAACCGAAACCAATCTCCCTTACAAACCACCTCGGGAGAATCTTACGCTTCTAAAAGCCATTATTCCAGACCTCACCGCACCGAAATTGGAATCTAAGGCTGTCCCATCATTAAAGAGCGTTATTCTCGTAGACAACTCATCTGGACGTATCGACGCATCCCCCTTATCTGCAACAACATCATTCGCTTCTCTCATTAACTCCCACCCAAGTCAGGAGGTCATTCCAGACAGCGAACTCCACATAGATGATATTGTCAACATCCAGTTCACATCCGGCACAACAAGCATGCCCAAGGCAGCCTGTCTAACCCACCATTCGATCCTCAACAACGGCTATTTCATAGGGGAACGGATGCTCCTAACCCCACGGGATATAATATGTTGCCCACCTCCGCTATTCCACTGCTTCGGCTGTATCTTAGGATACATGGCGTCCGCCACACACGGATCCACGATCCTCTTCCCCTCCGAAGCATTCAACCCGCACGAAACTCTTCTATCAATACAGGACGAGGGCGCTACAGCGCTGTACGGCGTCTCCACCATGTTCGTCGCCGAGCTGGAGCTCCTCTACAACGGAACGGTTCCCAGAACCGGGTTCGAGAACCTAAGAACCGGCATAGCGGCCGGTTCCAGCGTCCCAAGCCATTTGATGTCGAAATTACACTCAGAGCTCAATCTAACCGGCCTCACCATCTGCTACGGCATGACCGAAACAAGTCCCGTGAGCTGCATGACCACGCCGGACGACCCGCTCATCAAGAGACTAGACAGCGTCGGCCGTCTCCTCCCTCACGTTGAGGCCAAAATCGTATCCACAACCGACCGCACAAAGATCGTACCCATCGGCGAGCGCGGCGAACTCGTCGTCTCAGGGTACCTCGTCATGAAAGGGTACTGGAACGACGTACACCGCACATCTGAAGTACGGGTTGTGGAACAGCTCCCGGAAGAGCACTGGCTTGAGAAGGGGAAAGAGAGGGTATGGATGCATACCGGTGATGAGGCGGAGATGGATGAGCTGGGCTATGTCAAGATCACAGGCCGGATTAAGGATTTGATTATCCGCGGTGGTGAGAATATTCATCCGCTAGAGGCGGAGAATGCGCTTTTCGCTCATGAAAATGTCAAGGAGGTAAGCGTTGTTGGTGTCCCTGATGAGAAGTATGGGGAGGCTGTGGCGGCATTCGTGGTTGTTCACCAAGGGGTGCGGGTTGGTGTTGATGATGCTGGTGTTGGGGATCCATCTATCGACCTCCTCTCCATCTCCAACTCATCCCCCCCTCCACCTTCCTCTTCACATTCCTCATCACCCACTCCGCCCCAAACTCCTCCCCCTGAGAGCCAACAACAGCAACAAAACGAAGAACCCAAAATCCTCACCAAAGAAGCCGTTCGATCCTGGGTCCGCAGCCAACTTAGCAGCCACCTCGTCCCCAAATATGTCTTCTGGGTTGACCGGTACCCAAAGACCGCCAGTGGCAAGATCCAGAAGTTCAAGCTGCGCGAGATGGGCGTTAAGTGGTTGGAGGATCGAGGTGTCCCAGGGGTGACGTCTGAGAAGAAGTAGGGTCCTGAGAGGGGGAGGCTTATATCTGATATATATGGATTAAAGCATATCTACATCCTGTCATATATTTCCAAGCTAGACAAAAGAGATATCAACTGGAAAATTATTATATATATCCTATCTAGACAAGTTCTCTGCCTCCTTGCCCGAGGTGCTTTTTTTGGACTCGTTTCCCCCCGTTTATACGGGCTTTCATACACCCTACTATACATCCGGGCTAGCTTCATATTGCCAGCACTTCATAATCCCAAAGCAAGGTGGTGCGGAAACTTGTAGTAATGGGTATCCAGCCCTTGTTCATGTCGTCCCCGCCCCGCTGGAAAATCACCCATACTCCTTGCGCATCCCATGATAATGGTCCCTAACATCCATATCCCACCTGTTCCATCCCATGTATGCATACCGGCTGCTACCACGGCTCAGCCGTTCCGATGTTGAATAATGCCTCTACGGTACACCTATCCACCTCCGACTTTGCTCGCGCTATCTGTGAATTCCACGTTTTGCAAATTCAGAAATCCTTAAAATGATCATCCCATTGCTTCTTCATCGCATCATCGTACGGCTCCCTCTCCGCCTTCTCGTCGGGATACTGATCAAAGCACTGGGCATCCCCGGGATATCTCACAGGAGGTATGATTGGGCCCCTATATTTCCGATAGTACACATCATCCCAGTAGACGCCGCGGAAAAAAGGGTGGCTTTTGACGCGTTCGGCGCGGCCTGAGATGTTGCCTAGTCGGTGGGAGCGGTCGACTGTGCAGAATTGTCGGATTATATCTTTCGCTTCGGGGGAGATGGCCGGCTCGGTGGGAAAGAGGACGGGTTTAGATACGATTCTAGGGTTGGGAGTTAGTTTTGGGCCGCGTGAGAGATATGGAGGCGACCAAGGGAAAATGGGAAAGAGGCAGTGTGACTTACTGTTTATATATTTCGATCGGATTCGAATTCCAAAACGGCGGATATCCTGTTAGGAATTCATATATCAATATCCCCAGCGCCCACCAATCAACTGCTGTTGTATGACCCATCGACTGGATGACCTCTGGTGCTAAATACTCTGGTGTTCCGCATAATGTATAAGTTTCCCCTAGAATTATAGTCAATAGCTGTTTCCTTATAAACCCCACCTCTCCCATCTTCAAAATGGAAAGATAAATTTGAGCTCACTGTTTCCAAGTCTCTTCGCAAAGCCAAAATCCACTAATTTAATATGACCCTCGGCATCGAGCAACAAGTTTTCGGGTTTTAGGTCCCGATACGCGACTCCTTCGCTCTCGTGTAAGAATTCAAGTATAAGCACAATCTCTGCAGCATAGAATCTCGCAGTATGTTCATCAAATCGTTTGGCTTTGCGAAGATAGGAGAAGACTTCACCGCCAGGGCAATAATCCAACTTGAATAAACCATATTAGCGCCAAATCTAGCAGTTGGGCCAAGAGGCAGCAAAAAGAACTACTTACAAGCATATATAAAGAATCGTGGTCAGAAAAAGACGTTATTAAAGTAGTGATGAACGGGTGTCCCGCGACATCTGCGAGGACGGAGCGCTCGTGGTTAACATGGTCGACCTGCTTCAGCTTGATAACTGGCAATGCACCGTCAGCAAGGGATCCAGCGCATTGCCCATGCCGGTAGAACACCCACCTTCGACTTTCCGCAGCACCTTCAGCGCATAAACCTTCTCCTGATCCTCCTCTGCGGGATTCGCAAGCCGAACGAGCCATACCCTTGCAAAGGTCCCTAAAGTGCCAAATTCATCATCAGAATGCGTCCAAAACAAGGGAATCGCAAGCAGCGCGCACCCGTTCCCAAAGTCCTCACCAACTCAAAGTCGCGGACGCTCAAGCCCCTAGATGTGCGGCCGAGGTCCTTATTCCGCGGATCTTGCTGTATCTCGCTCGGGGGGAGAGGGTGTTGCTGGTCGGAGTAGCGGGCCACGAACTGCTTCCCCTCCTCCGCAGTCTGAGGTTGCGCGGCAGCCATGTTGTCCTTGTCCTTCTGCTCAGCAGTCGGCGGCGCGTTCTGGGAGGGCGTCGTAGAGGACGGTCCTCCTACACGGCCCGTGGTGGTCGTCTGGAGGAGAGCTGTCGCGGCCATTGAGAATTCGCGACACGGAGGTGTCTGTATGTGGAGGTGGGGCTAGGGGGCGCCTTCTGGTAATTACAGCGGCATTGCTTCTTGTTTCGAGGGGCGAGGGAGTGGTGATCGTGAATGCATATGCTGCGGACGCAATTTGAGTCGAGACGGCCTATACAAGCACGTAGTTCAATTGAGTAGAAGTTGCTTAGAGCGAAGTTGGAGGAGAGGCGATGGTCCAGTCGACTGGAAGGTACTGCAGAATACGTAGTAGTGGGGTAGCCAGTTACCAGTTACCAGTTACTTGTGCCATTACCAGCTACGAGTTGCCACTCGCGATTTGCCAATTGCCTCCTCGGCTCAGCGTTACTCGAGGATCACGTATATGACGTTTGGCCGCAAGCAACAGCTAAGCTGTGGATAAAGTACAATTCAGGACTAAGCATCCCCACCCAGCTGAAGTATTGCAGGGCGTCTCCGTGTTATTGCCCCCGGATGCCTCTTCCCGCCACAGCTATTGGGAAGCTCCCTGTTCGTGTCTCCGTTAATAGAATGCGGTGCTCCATTCCTCCTAAATACCTCCGTACTTCCACTGGTACGTAGGATCGTCACTTGGTATTGCCGAACAGCCCCTCCCCCGCATTACACGTGGCATCGGTTAAGGGGAATATGATACTCTACTTTAATTATTAGAGGAATATTCAAAATATACTTGTTCTGATATCTGCCTTGAGTCGCTTTTGACATTATCGTATGTTGGTGGTTTGTGGCTTGTTTTGACGCATAACACAAAGAGAGCTTGCTTCGCTCTCTATTTAAGAGTTTGTATGCAGCAAGCAATAAAAATATGTCTGGTAAGTTAGATATAGGAAGTACCTTGGCAAAGGAACCAGCTTACCCAGTCTCATTTTAATAAAGATAAAGTTACTATGTGTTAGGCTGGCATTTCTTGGTTACGATGCTAGTTGGTGAAAATACCCAGGTGGAATTAAACTAAGGATGAGATGATTGAGATGCATTGTGCGGAACCAGAACCAAAGGTCCCTATACTTTTTACATTTATTTTACATGAAATAATTGTTTATTAAACAATTGTAAGTCCATCAACAGAGAGGGTTATCGATACAAAGAGATCTAAGAATACTGAGTGTAGCATTACCAAAACTCCAACGTACTCCAAAGTAGCCAAACCAGGCCCTTGCGCCTCAAGACTCGCAAACCTAATACACACCCAAGCACTCACTTCTTCCCTTGCAAATGCCATTGCATAACCTTCTCAAAGACAGTCTTCCCATCCCCAACCAAGGAATCGCCATGGCACGGCACCAGATTCTCAAACTTCCACTCATTAATCCTCCTCATGCTGGCATCAAAACTGGGTCTATCACGTCTGCTACCCAGATAAAACAAAGCCCTCTTCTGCCACAAAGCGTCCCCCTCCGTATTCTGTAATCCCAAAAAAAGCCTAGTCCACAACCCCGTCGTGGGATTAATATCCGTCCGACTGTATTGTTCCGTAGCGGGGAGATTAAACAATAGATCAGCCTCGATGAGGGTCTTAGATGGCTTGTGATTAAAGACGAGCTCTTTATTAGGGTGCGCCTCCACATATTCATATTCGAACTCTGCATCAAACTCCTCCGAGACTTTGATATTGTGCTTGTTTTCCGCTCTGAAGATCGTTTTGAACGGCAGGATGGTAACAGATTTATCGGTGGCATTCATCTTTTCGCGCTTTTCTGCGAGTCCTTCAGGTGCGATTATGTGTGCGGATGGGTAGGCGGCGGCCCATTGCGAGAGGAAGATGTGGTGTTCGAGATCCGGCGCTGCTATGTAGGAGACCTGATTCCCAAGGCTGTCGAGATGCGATTTTACCGTTGGGGTGAGTGCGACGGGAGAGAATACGGCGAGAGAGCCTGTGGAGAGTTTTACTAACGTGGCACAGGTGTTAGTATAACTGTCTCTGTCGTCGTGGATGAGGACGGAGAGGAATTTCACATACCAATCGTTGCTCTGCCTCCAAACTTTATGCGGCCGAATCGTAGGAAAGGGACAGAGAGCGTAGTGACATTGGGGACCAATTCCCGGATCACCATCACCTCCTCTGGGTTCTGTGGAACGAGCTTCGACGACATATTTGGGTCCGAATGTTTGTGAAACAGCGTATGTGTAGGAGGGTTGTAGGTTTGGCAGGAATGTTTTCCTATCCTTCTTTCTTGATTAACTGGCAATTCGAAATTTCAGAGGGATCTTTCTGGATTTATAGTTTGTACAGGGTATAAGGTTCATGCTTATGTAGCACGGTGCATGATGCCTATTCCCCATAGCCACGATTAATTTGATTTTCGAAACTCAAATACTGTAACAGCAACCGTGGATTCTAGACCAGCTCAACGCGTGATGACGTGATACCCGAACACTTGTAAGCATCTGGCTGACTGAGATGCCGAGGTACGCCTCGATTTGCAGGGAAACAAAGGGCTTTGTGGCTCCGTTCCGACCAACTCGTGGCTTTACATTGCGCAGTCTAGACTCGGGCAGGGATCAATAAATTGTCATCAACTTCTTTGTGACGACAGCTCAACATGTTTCCGGCGTCACAAGCAAGAATGTCTCGTCTCTTTCACGGGAAATCATCCTACGGGGAGCAACCTTACTTGAAAATCCAAATGCATCAATTATTCTGAGTAATCCTTAACTGCAATAGGAAATTCAATATTGGTATAGTATAGCATAATGTCTAGCATATTACTGTTTTCAGCCTACTTGATTGATTAGTCTGCGTATCAAGGAGTTTGCTAGCTCGGCCAACCCGACTCACTTGTGCATATCGGCCTGCCAGGGTTTTGCCAAGAGGAGTTGTGTGTTTGAAAGGGCTCCTCAAGCGTCAGAAGTTACTGTGGGGATGCAGCGAGCTGGGACCCCACTGAAGCATGGAGAGCACTGTCCTCAGTGATTGCTCAGATGCCGTATCATAACAATCCAGAACAGCAGACACATGGGAGACACTGAGAATCCCATAGTTCGAATCAAACAAATTGATCATTGCTCAAGTTGACAATAATTATACAGTTTGACAAATACGCGAATCCCGAAAATCACATACAGTTCAGCAACCACCTACGTGGGTACTGTGGCAAGGCAAAAATTGATAAAACGGAAAATAGAGCCTATTGCTAAGGAAGTGCTATCCTCTTATCTCGCTGCCCGCCTTCTTTTGATCTTGTTGTCGACTTATTGCTGCAGCTAGGGCATTAGATTATACTCCCTTTTAGATAAGGCGAATAAGGGGTATGGGCGGCGTAACCGAGGTGTAAGGTGAGGTGTCAAGGGATCTGATGACCCACGCGTACAGGTACGGCCAAGCAGCTATATACGTATAGATATATCTGTATGTATTGGTGGTACTGTAGTACATTCCATGATTGCAAGTGATTATCTAGAGCAAGTTAAAGCCTAAAGCGGCCTGAGGTTCAGTTCTATGAGAATCCGGCTTGACGCGTCTATTGCATGATTACTTGCCAACAAGGGCGGTAGCTTCACATTGGACAATAACAACATTAGGGATAATAATATTGGAAAACCACTAGTATAAGCCAAACAAGATGATAATACTAAGGAAGTCCACCGGCTAATAGAGGGGGGCTGGATTGGTATATTGACAAGATTGAAACCATTGTCTCAATATCACTTTATATTTCTTAGCCTATTGATAGCTTATCTACACTAACAAGGCTTGAGATATTGGTATTGTCCTTGACGATATTCAGGCTGCAACGATTAGCGAGAGTAATTCACTCAAACTGCCTATTGTTGAGCAAGTTGTTTCGCGTACTATTCGCGACTACCCACAATAGGATCACAACAATAGGAAGCGAGTAGCCTAATTAGGAAATTTATCACAATAGCTAGCAGATGGGGGCTCGGAGCTTACCTCGCGCCCAGAATTCCTTCTTCCTTTCTTCCTCCTTTCCGTTTTCACCGTGAGCCCAAGATCGAAGACAAAGAACCACATTCCAGCAACCATGTCTTCCAAACCAGAGTTCAACTTTTCCGTTCCCCCCCCTTTGTCTGTCATGAAAGGGCTACACATAGCCAACGAGGAGAAGAAGATCGAGAAGCTGAAGGAGATGGCGCGGAAGGCCCTCGAGGACCTTCAGGTGGAGCGGGAGAAGGGGAAGGAGATGGCCGAGGAGCTAGCCGAGGTGAATGCTGTGCTCGAGGAGCAGAGCAACTTGGAGGAGAAAGTCCTCCAAATGCAAAAAGCCTCAGACGACCAGCCGGGTTCTCTGAAAAGATACAGAGACCTGGAGAAAGTATACAAGGAACTGGACGGCCAGTATCGCGGGATGAAGAAGCATCGGGAGGACCTGCTGGAGAGCGTCGACGAGCTCAGGAAGGAGAAAGACGAAGTCCAGGAGAAGAACTACGACCTGGAGCTACGGAACATCGAACTCGAAACAAGTCTCAAGGATGCCGTCGAACGAATCCAGAGAATGCAGCAAGACTCCTATAAGGGATACGCCGAGTTGAAGGAGCAGATCGCCAAGGAGAAGCAGACGACCAAAGGTCTGGAAGAGGATTGCGAGACTTTGCAGGCAACGCTTGACAAGACGACCGAAGAGCGCGAGCTGAACGCGTCGAAATCATCAGAGGCCGAGGAGCGCTGTCGCCTCCTGAGTGCCACGAACAAACGACTGGAGGAGCAGTTGGACGCCAGAATGAGGGATTGTGTCGGTATCGACACGCAATACCAGGACCTCCGAGGAGAGCTTGCAACCAGCAATAATAAACTGAAGAGGGTGGAACTTGAGAAGGCGACTCTACTCAAAGAGGTCAACGACTTAAAGTCCCGTTCCTCCTCTCCAACCAAGTCTTTCTTGAGCACTCGCAGCAAGATGAGCGATGCACCCGACCAGTCGCAGAACGAGCTGGCGCATAAAAAGACGAAGAACCAATTGAAGATTGTGCAGAAGCAGTTGGATTTGGAGAAGGAAAAGGTCGCCACCTTTCAAAATCAGACCATGATGATGCGCAATGAGATGAAGAAATTCCCCTTGAATCCATTCGCATTCCGCGTTGCCGACAAGAGTAATGCTCAAACTAAACTCCTGTCTCTTGAAGACGAACTTACTAACACTACCTCAGAGGCGGCAAACGATGTCCCAGACAAGACAAACGATGGCTCTGCTGGTGTTGAGCAGAAACCTATTCCAAAGGGCAAGGAGAGTGAGCACAGCGCCGAATGGATTGAAGAACACCGAAAGCTCACCCGAACCAAATCTATCGTCAAGGTCATCAAGACTTACACCCATCACCCTATCCGATGCTGGCTCCAGACTGAGTTGGACCTTGCAGTACTTATTATCTGCTGGGCCATCGCGACCTGGAACTTTATCGTCCCTTATATTCGAAATGCTGGCCTTGCTCCAGTTGGCGGCCCGGTATCCTTCAGCAAAATTCGCCTTGCAGTCGATACCGTTAATAATCCCTTTTCTCAACCTCGCCCTAGATCCGACAGCATCGACAGTTTCTTTACACAATCCTCGGACTCCGGTTCTGTTGCTGAAGAAACCATTGTCCCTAACGCCAATTCCAATGGAAATACCTCGGATGACCGCGCTCCCGGAACTATCAAAATGATGGCCACTATTAAAGAAGATAACCTACCCTCTTCTCCTTCTAACCGACTGAAGCTTCTCAAGAAGAGAGCCTCTCGTCTTTTTATCTCTCCGCCTACAGGAGATTATCCTTTAACAGCATGGCAGCAATTGACCTGCATCGACCCTCGCCGCAAGCCATCCGTCATATGGACCCTCTTCTACTTCGCCTTCCACGTTGCGTTTTACCTCCTCATCTACTTTACTTATCAGGAACGCCAGATGTGGTTGGCAGCCAACAACGTTACCCGAGCCTTCGTCGACAACCTATACAAGCATCGCCAGCAATATAACCGTGGTGTTGTATTTGAATTCCTTTCTCAGGGCGTTGCGACTGGAATCGAACGATCGATGCTTTCTTTCGCCGAGAATGCATTCGGATATGAGGTTACGGCGTTTCCCCGACCTGGATAGTCTGTTTACCAGATGGTATCCCGTTTTACTCCAATGTATCATGTATTTTTCTTTTTTCCGAGTAACTTTGAAGAACGACCTTGCTGCAATTGCTTTGTGCCTTTAACTGAATGATGGTTGCGTTCTTGTTCCGAGAGAGAGATCGGTTCTGAGGCAATGAAGTTATGAGCTTCCCCAGTTCCAAATAGTCTGTTTATCTCGTTGTGGCCTTTCGATTTTTATGTATCAGGCCCTGCTTCGCTTTCTTTTCCAAATAACTTCGAGAGACTTTGCTACACTTGCTTTACACTCTCCACGTCTCTCTTTTGCTTGTAACACAGAGAAATTAAATTCCATTCCCGTGCTCGAGAGTCCAAAAAATTAATTGAAAACAGTGATTTAATAAGGCAATAGAGGGGGGACCCCCTTCCCACCCCCACCCATCATTACTTAAGGATTAACGTAAATCAAGTTCACCACAGTGATGGAGTCCCTAACTTAGCATTTCGAACTCTCAAAAACTTCTGGGTCCTTCGCTTGTAGCTCTTTTTTGTGAGGTGTACCACTCAACATAATACCCAAGTGGTATTTTTCGGTGGTGATGATATTTGATCCTACTCCGGGACAACTCCACTCTCTCGCAGTAGAGCTTCTTCGTTCCTCTGGGCCACGCTTGGAAAACAAATGGGCCTTTCCAAACTGAAATTAGACCTTGGATGGTGTATTGTCCTGTTTGGCTGGGCTTCTCCAAAAGCGGCAAACTTGATAGCGACGGCCCATAATTACAAGACTTTCCCCCTTTTCCTTTCCCCTGCCATTTTTCGATGTGGTCTTTTTCCATCCCATATTAAAAAATTTCACAGGGGAGTCCTTTCGCCCGAGGTCAACGGTGGAGCTGATCTGATGTGGAACAGCTTGGTGCAACTTCCATAAGCAGAGCAAATTCGCCGTTGCTGAATAGAAACTTGGACGATTATAGCGTGGCACTTGATCGGTTTATTTATTTCGACTGTGGTAAAGCAAAGTTGTGACGTGAGTAAAACCAGTATTATTCTGACCGGTATCTTAAGCCAACCAGCTCCTGGGCAAAAGCATGTCACTGTGACTGCGTTGTGGACGGCACGGTTTCATGTCAATTCTCAAAGATGAGTAACACAAGTCTGGTGTTATGTATCACATAGAGATTTGACTTGTGCTGCTAAGGAGATATGCCATCACTCTCAAACATCCAGCATCGCTCTGAAAGCAAAGTACGAGCCAACAGCACCAGCAATCATTGCAATCAAAACACCTCCCCCTTCCCATGTCGTTGTGAAATACATTGAAAATCCTACTATTATCTCCAATATTCTCGCACGGTCTCGCTGCCTCTTCCAATTGATGTTGATATCGAAAGGTGGATTTACTCGGGGATCATCTCCGTCTTCGTCATCAGGACTTGGTATAGGTACTAAGGGAACTGAAACCTCGAGAGATACAGGCCGATGGTCTGATGTAGGCTGCAAAGGCAAGGCGGAGTATTTATGTGTGATGAGTTTTGCTTGTGGCTCGACACGAGATAGCCATGAAGGAATATCTAAGTAGAGGATCCGATCGCACCAACTAGGCCATCGATGTTGAGCCCAATTCCAGTGAGCCAGATCTTCATCTGATGTGAGAAACGGCTCTTTGATACTATATTTATAAGTGGGAGGAAATGTGACCGCTGCTTCCGTGAGCCCATGACAGGTTCTACCCGCGAGGCGTTCTTGGTTCAGCTGGTCGTCCTTGAAGAGGTTTGAGAAATGATTGGGCGAAAGAGGACTGTGGTACGGTTGAGGGAAGCTATCATTATGATCTGAAGGGGCTGGTGCTAGCTTCGAAGTGCGATAGTTCAGATCACCAGCTAGGAAGAGGTGGGAAGTAGGTTTGAAAATTGATGCATCTCTAGGCGAGATTGAGAGGAGCGGTAGTCCCTCATCAGAGATTGCCCTTGCGTTTTGTTTGCTTTCTGCTGTGGTAGATGAGAATACAAGGCCACGAACAATATTCTCCCAGTCTTCGTTCCTTCGGCGCACCTCGCTCTCCATAGCAGCTAGATGTGCGGCGACGAATGTCAACTCTGTTGAAGATCCACTGTCCTGGTAAGTAAATCGGACACCAACGGCGCCTTTATTACCCATTTCTGCCATCCCTACTCCAACGCTAGCGGTCTCAATATCACTTATAGCTTCAGGGCGCTTAGTGAAAACCATTATTCCTGTCAACCCCAGATTTCGAGTGGACACTGGGCTGTATATTGGTGGCCCATCCGTCGCATTCGAAACCTTCCTCGCACCCTTTTGCACAGCATGATATATCCTTTCGAAAAACGGTATTAGAAAAGACCCTCCTATTAGAGACTGGGGTATCGGTGCGATTTCCTGGAGGGAGAGAACAAGGACGTCGGGGAGTTTGGAGGAGGTGAGGCCGGAGAAAAGTTGGGATGCAAAGGCTTCCGTATTAATGGGTAATAGTCCGCAATTGAAGGTCACAATATAAAGGCGCAGAGCCGGTATTGGCATATCTGGCGCCATCATCGGCGTATTTGCGAGTCGTGGTTGATAAAGATGCGAACCTAATGTACTTCGACAGACTCAAGGAATGAAGCTCGAGGGTGGAGGGACGTCATATGCATGCCAAGGGGCCTGTCGTCACGGGCTAAAATTAGAGACAGTTCAAGTCTCACAATTTGCCAAACATCAACAATTTAATGTCATGATATTCGAGGGTATGTCCTATGGTATGGAAGCAAGATGTGGAAATCTTTTGTTCTTATACTGCAGAGTTTCTAACGTATTGGTGTAATTACATGTATGTAATGATTGGCTTCCTCCTATCCTCATTACTGGGGCCAGTAACTATCGCAGCATTGACCAAATGCGTTGAGAGAGCACTGTTCCCAGCAAAAGCAGTCCTCCTCAGCACTTGCGAAAGGTTATATAACATCAACTTGAAAACACTGATCCATGGCCGTACTCCCAGTATAACATTCTCATAACATGCTTGGACACGATCAAACGTGATTATTTCCTCCCCCCAGCCGTCATGTATGTGCCCAAAGACCAGCAGCTTTGGTCGAGAACGCCATATCTCTGTCAGAAAGTGCCTACAACCCTTTCCCTCATCAAGATATACAGCTGGTGGACCATGCGCGAGCAGTATATCTGTGCCGTCGGGAACTGTATTTGCCCAAATATCTTTATCAGGATCATGTTGAAAGCCAAAGTTCCCACATTTTGGTGTCATGGGAGAGCCAAATATCTTCAGCGTCCGGCCGTTGCATTCCACTTCAATAGAACTGTTGTGTAGGCATATGACCTGGCCCCATTTTAAATCACCACGAGATTTCCCTAGCCGGTCTAATTCGCGATCCGGATGCATTTTTACGAATGCTTCGTCAAGAATAAGATCATGATTACCGGCAATGACGACCTTGTGTCTATGAGGTTGTGTGTTCAGCCAATCTAGTTGTGCTTGGATCTCATCGAAGAGTCCGTCTGTGAGAGATCGCCCGCATGGAGCAGAATGTCGCCGTCGGGGAGAGAAGGCTTCGCATTATGTGTATCTGAGATGCAGATTACACGTATTATGTCAGTAGTGTCGGATGTTGGGAAAGGGAGGGGAACGATAGTCCATGAGCGGAGCTTCCTGGCAATCGACTGTGACAGGCTTTGCGTTTGACAATTCGGAGATGCTACGAATGGTCTACCGATTTCTTTAACACAGGGTGGTGCCTTGGAAACACTGGCCATGTGGAGTTGTAAAGAGATGTTGGTGATGGATGAGCTCGATGTTGGACAGCTTGGAGAAGTAGATGCTAATTGGGAGGGGTTGTACGGCAACCACAACCACCCTAGTAGTGCACACGCAGAAGAGCATGATTGTTAGTATTTCCCCGAGATAGACTAAATTGTTGGGTCTTGAAGGTTTAGAGGGGTAATGCTTCCTCCAAACTTTTCAATATCTACTTTTCCATGTGTACCAGCTGTTAAAGCTGCTACTGGAAGGGGGACGAAAAAATACACGTCTCTCATGGATTCGCCAAACCATTGATAGTGAGAATACACCTCTTGTTCGTCCTAGAAAAGTTAGTGGAAATGAACATATTTGGGGTTTCGGGTGGTTTTATAGACTTAGTGTTGTTACCTTTAACTTGTGTTTCTGAGTAACCTTCGCCGAATTTCCAAGTAATTCGAGAAGTCGAACGGGCTTTGGTTGAGATGGGTGATGGTATGGAATTTGTTCAGCCAGTTCAAAGCATAACTCTCCGAATGACCAGATTTCATTTGACAAAGGTGCATTCTCTGGAATGAGGGCGGCAATAGACTCGACGACAGAATCAAGAGATATGGTTGTGTTTAACTGCAGAAAGTCCTGCAAGATGAGGAATAGTTTGTCGGTAGAGAATGTTGTCCCTCCGACGCTTTGATACGTGGTTGACTTATGCAGCAACTTCGATTTGAGTGAGGAAAATGACAAACTTGCCTTGGTAGCAGCATTTGGGCTATCATTGTAGGGCTCCATTTTAAGGTCAAGAGCCGCCATAGTGGGCAGCTCTGGAGTCTGGGAGAGCAAAGAAGTATAGAGAATTCGTATATTAGAGACTTACTTGGTGATAGGAAAGTCGCCTTTCGATTTGTAGGAAGAAGAGCGCAGACCGGTACGGTGTGAGATTCTAGGAGTGCTGGATTTTGTGTCGAGGAGCAGGCTCGAGGGTGCAAACCAACTATTAGTTATAACTTACGTATAGGTAGATATACTTGATATACTACGAAGTGACCTGCGTTGCCATTAATCCTTGCCACATGTAGGTACCTTTAGGTAGTGTACTGTGTCTCTCTAGAATAGGGCTGCCGTGTGCATGTCCCCAGGGCTCGTCTGGGCTGGGTCACACACAACCTGCCAACTCCAACTGCAACTTCATCCATAACATTGTTCCACTCTTGTACCGGATATAAACGCGTGGCAATTGATGGAGGACGGGTGAGCGTGAGGTAGAGCGAGGTTGTGAGAAAAGTGGCGACTCTAAGGTATCGCAGATTCACAGTCATAGTAGCTTCGCGAACACACGAAGGGAGGTGAGGTGAGGTGAGGATTGGCGTCAAAAACAGGCATTCTCCAGCCCTTATTCGTTGCATCAAAGTTGCCCTAGTTCGGTGGAAGGAGTCTCAAATCCCTCAACAAAAGTATAAAATCTGTCGTGATACGCGGGAATATTGGCAGGTATTAATATTTTTTAATAATGTAGATGACAAGAAGTAAATTCAGTTGTAGACGCTTATGGTTTAGCTGATATACGTCATGGTCGGTTATACTACAATGCATTGCTGATAGCAGGCATATTAAGCACAATGGACGTATTTGTTGTCATCTCGAGCAAACTCGCCTCAGCAATGGTGGCATGGTGTAATGGTAGCACGTGACATTGTGGTCTCTTTCCAATTCTGTTTCAATCTGAGTTCGATTCTCAGTGCCGCCAAGTGTAAAAGCTTGGATTGAAAATTCTGATGGTTTAATTCCATTTAATAGGATTTATTTTTTCCTCTTTTTTGTTAATTTTTACGCAGTGGAAAGTCTGTAAGCGAGCGAACCATAAGGTGCCCACCCATATGATGATACTGGTGGGTCAGATCATAAACTATCCTTATTTCTCATATGGGCTTGCCTTTCTGGACTTAAGGTCTGGCCGCAGAACCAGAGCAGTAAAACTATGTCGGCCAGTAATGATTCTAAGGAGGGACAAGCAAAACTCAAAGCCATGCGCTTCAAGACACTCTACAGAAAATTTTGAAATTTTTATATTCAAAACAAGTTTGAAAACCATGGTTAGGACAGAATCTCAAGGTCTCTAATATAGGTAACCCTTCATATTCAAGTATGCATCTACCGTGCGTTAACTATAGTTAAAATTATGAAGTTAATTTCAATATGCTTATCCATAGGCAAGTCTAACACCACGTTAATGCCATATCGCTGCCTGCGCCCATATTCACCATAAACTCCAAAAAGTCCCGCGCTTCACGCCCTAAAATGTTGGACAAACCCATGCAACCTATCAATAACCACAGGGAAAATAGCATTTGAACTATCCTCAATCAGTGAATCAAAATGCCTGATCGCATCCTCCTCGCTCATCTCCAGGTGAAACCTCTCTTTCACCTTCAGCACCACCTTATCGGGCTCGAGTTTGATATCAGGGATATTTGCATCCACCATCAAACTGAACAGATTGAGGATGAGATTTGACGACTTGCGGAGTGTGGTGTACGCTGTGAAGCAGTATTGTTTGAATTGTCGATATTGCTCGGATGAGGGGCCGCCCATTCCGTCGACCATTTCTTTACAGAGTTTCATGGCGGGAGCGAAGGGCTTGGGGTCTCGACCGAGGATAAACCCGAAGTCAGCGTGGAAGAAGTGGCCGTCTGGGGCGAGGAGGAGATTGTCCAGATGGCGATCTCCAACGCCGAGAAGATAGGTAATCACGCAATATCCTGCGCATGACTTGATGAATATGTCCAAAGCCTCTTTTCGAACTCCTAATGGTGCCTTGTCATCCGGATTATTGTATTTAAGATATGCCAAGACAGTATTCCCTTTGTACTTGTTGACAATGCCTTGCAAGCTCATTGAAGGTACGAACTGAGCTGCTCCAGCAGTAGCACCAGTTGCCAGGATCTTATACGGCGATAACTTCAGATCCAGATTTTCCTTCTGAAGTAGCCGATCCATTAGCATGATGATCTGAATAACTAGTTGATCTTGCCGCAGATCATCTCCTGTCTTGAAGATGATTTGATACTTTTGTTTAGTTAGTGTTTTGAAGGTTACCATGATCGGGAACAGGGATGATTTGAAGACAAGCGTTTCGGTTGAGTCAATACCGGTTATCATGACCGTGGGATCCAAAGGTAAAGGCAGAGGCGGATCTATAGTAACAATCTCATTCTTTGGGTCAGCTAGAAAGTGCTTAACTTTCTCCACTTTCCTAGATATCGATTCGCGTGATATTTTGATATCTCCGGATATCCTTGACAGAACTGCGATAAGCTCCGCTTGACGAAGTAACACTTTCCGGGTTTCTGCTCCGCCAGGAAGATTCATTAATTCCATCATGAAGTCATATTCTACTTTTGCGAACAGCTTGCGATATTCGGCTCCTTGGTCTTCGCTCTTATCATCGCATTCTACCATTAAATACCAGTGGAAGTAGTTCCCTAACATGAAGTTGTTCGTGGCTCTCGCAATAAGAAACCTTGCAAGGGAGGAATCTTGTGTGGCATCTGAATCAGGTGAAATATGCTCGAACTTAAGAGCTTGTACCAATTGCAAGAGATATAATAACAGCTCATCATCATCAGCTTTCCGTAATCGATCAACCGCATAAGCTCGAACCGCAGGATTATCGAAATTTGGTCCCAGAAGCTCAAGTGCATCGTCGATATCCACCTCTGTCCATTTGGTGAGGATTTGCACCGCTTGCCGTGACTCACTTTGATCCTGCCAGTTAACGGATTTCACGAATTTTGTCAGAGCCCTCTTATCCCGTGTCAGATGATGTCGGAATTTCCAGAAAAGATCTTTCTCCTCTGGAGATAGGATATGTGTTGGGGAGTAAGCCATGATACCATTCAGCTCGTCCCTGACCTTAGCGTTTGGCTTTAAATCCTTATCTAAGACGCCGGTTCGGTGACTTCGTACAAGTCTTCGATGTTTATTTTCCACAGGATTATCTTTTGCGCCGACTTCGGGGTCGTACACCCGCACAAGCCGACCTCCAAAACCATTGTCGTCGTTATCACTCAATCCATTGATCCCGGGACCATAATGCACCTCTGGGGGAGGTTTGAGCATGATATTTGGTAACGATGATATGGGAGGAGGAGGGTATTCGTGGTCGGCGAAAACGATAGGGAAGTCAAATCGGGGCAGTTCCACATGCAAGGTAAATATTTCGTCGTCGACCGAATCATCACCAGGACCTTCGCCCTCCGCGCCATTGGTTATATTCTCTTTCCCACCCGCTGCCGCTGTTGTGCTTCGTAGCCGAGACCGCCGACGCTGCTTCAGAGACGTACTGGATCCTTGAAAACCCCGCTTCTCGAGTCCCCGAAAGACCAATTGATCTAACCATTCAACTCGTGGTATTTCGCCCATTTCGTGTTTCTTGAATAATTTTTCCAACCTGTCTAGTTCATCGGTATCTTTATCCACGATTTCTATAGTTCCTTTGCTATCTACGCCATCGCGGCGTATCTTGGGGAGGGTGGAGGGTGTTGATGTCGAGTCTAGGCCATCGGCGGCTTTGCGACGGTGGAGATAGCATTTTTGCCGGCCCTTCTGTATTTGATTCTCTTGGTCGAAGAGAGGAAGCGTAGTGCCTCCAAATGGAATCGCATGCCCTTGGGCATCCTTTCCACCGGTGGGAGACAGGTCCCAGATTGTGATCGCAAGCTGCGCGCTCACAGGCAAATTCGAGCAATTAATCGGTAGGGTAAGCCACTCGTTCCATCTATAAATGTTAACAATGATTCCAACACCCAAAGATATGCCAGAGACACACTTTCTCTCGGACCTGAAAGGTTTATAGGCAGTTTGAACAGGTACGGTCAACGGCTTGGAATCTGCCCAAAGCTGGACTGTGACGTAGAGGTCCGAGTGAGGGCTGAGAACATGATTAGTTACTATATAAATTACCTCTTAGGGACGAGTTTTGGTACCTCAAATTCGATCCGATGTGTCTCAAATCGGGATTCTGGATCAGAGTAGAGAAGGGAGTTTCGGTCTGCTCCCCGTCAAGGCTGATACTAAACGGGTATTAGAAGAAGAACAGGGCCGAGATATCCAATAAGCGGTGGGAAATCAAGTAGGACTCACATTCTGATATTGACCGGGATATCGAGTGCTTCGGAGCTGGCAAAGGAAAAAGGCTCCATTGCTCCCCATAGCTTCACATAGTTACGAAGAGTTGCATAGAAGCTGTACTTGCGCCACTACAAGTACGTAGTCCAAGGTGTGGCTTGACTGTGGCTGGTGGCGGCCCCCAAGCCGTGTTTGCGTTTGTGCGACGCGACTCCTAATTCCAACTTTATCATTACCAACTACCCACATCCGCAAACCTTATGCAACCGCTCGTTTTTAAACGCGTCTTCTTGTATTTAATTCTGTTCTGTTAACTTGCGCCAGTTTGTTGCAAGTGTACTGTCTTATAGACAGGCGGCCAGTTAGGCTTCGCCCTTACTTCACACCACCAACCGCGGCCAGCGCGTCCGGTTTCATCAGCCCAACATGTCTAGGCCTAAGTACACAAAGATGTCGGAATCGCCAGCGCCTTTTCTAAATGACTTATACGAGGCCTCTCCAGAGCCCTCCGGGTCGCGACTACGAAATGCCCCAATATCTTCGATGCCTCCATCCCCTACCATGTCCGTGTCTTCCGACAAAGAAAATCGCTCTTCACGACCGGTGATAGATAAAGGAAAAAGTCGAGAACCCATGGGCCCTCCGCCTGACTTTGTGCCATCGAGAGATAGGAGCAAAAGAAAACGCACTATGGAACGCGATGTCCAAGCAGACCGAAACCGCCGGCGCCGAACAGTTGAGAATGACGAGGCTAGCTCAGGAGAGGACTATGATCCGGAACAAGATATTGAGGAGCGAAGAAAACTCCGCAAAGGGCTGAGGGACCTTTCCAAGAACCTCACAGATAACCGCTCGGATTTTCTAGCGGTAGGATCTAAGGGCCTGAGGGATACGATGCTCCGAGCCAACGAATTATCCGAGCAAGTCAAGCAAACATCAGACGCAACTATCGATGCCCGCCTACTCGTGACCACGGCAGATATCTCATATAGGAAAACCATTGCCCTCACTTCAGGCGACACGGCACAGGGAGTGGATCTTGAGGTATTTATTTCAAAATGCCGTGCATATATGAGGGCCGGACACGATGACGCAAGTGCTGCTCCCAGCAATACCCAACGCAGGAGACGGAACGGTGAAGAGGAGGACGAAGATGGGGATATGTTGAATTGGGCATATCTCGGCCGATACGCTTGCCTCCCACAAATTTTCCGACCCGCGGTTCCTGGATTCCTCCTGGGACCTTTATCAGTAGAAAAGCGTGCGAAGAGGGTCGTTACGCGAAAGGCACCGTTGAGAATGAACAACCTTCAAGAAACCCGTCCGGAGGTCCTGCAAGCTGATGATATCGAGAAATCGGAGAACGCAAACTTGACGACGCTCTGCACCCAGATTCTTACGAGGGCACAGAAGATGAAGCGGGATGCCATGCGTGCGGCGGAGGAAGAGAACCAACCTGGCATGACGGATAAAGAAATCGAGGAACTTCTGGACCGCAATTCTATATCAGCCGATGGCGGACTTGCATTTTTCAAATTTGTTATCAATCCTTGGTCATTCGGCCAGACGGTCGAAAATATGTTCTATGTGAGCTTCTTGATTCGCGATGGCAAAGCAGGAATATCTCTAGATGAGCGCGGTCTTCCATATTTACGTTTGTATACCTACGTCCTAGTGTTCCAATTAATAACTAATATATTCCCCCTAGACCTCACAGAACCTCGCAGCAAAAAAGGCAGTAATGACCATACTCCCGCAAAACATCAAGCTGTTCTGGCACTCGATATGGCATCTTGGAAAACGATAATTGAGATATTCGATATCCGAAAACCTATGATCAGGCACCGAGAAGAGGAAGAACATAGTGCTATAGGTAAACGGGGATGGTACGCTTAGAAATTCTGGGTGGTCTTGGTCTTGCATTGGAGTTTTGGGCAGCATGGTGCGACATGCTTTGATTTTGCTACTGTACCGATACCATAGGCTGGCGTTTGTGAATGGCTTTGAACATGTAGGAGCTTGGCATGCCCCATGTTTGGGAATAGGGGCGTCCATTTGCAGAGCACAAACTGTTGCTATGAATATTATTCCTGTCCCCTACTAATGTCGGATTTCCTTAACTGGCAATAGCTCTTTTCCAATATACCAATTAAGTATCAGGTTGTGAATTGGTCCAGTGATCATGTCTTAATACTATGTCACAATTATGCTTCGTATGCCCTGGCTTTGCAGTATTCCCTCAACAAGTTGTTTGAGTGTATGGGAAGACTGTTTGGTTTTCGTTGCATGTCGAATATTTCATCTAGTGTTTCTTGTTGATAGCCTGATATACGACAGACGTTTGACATACGACAGATGTCTGGCATGCGGGATGTGTTTAATATACTGGATGAAGTTCGACATGCAACGAGACCGTTCTCCTAGCTCTCCTACATGTCTACCTAGGCTGCATTTACCATATTTGTTATTGTCTATAGTCTAAGCCAAGACGCTAGATGGACATATGCACCTCCTCCCAAAACTCCACGACACGAAGGAACTCAAAGCATGAAAGACCCCACACTCATCGAACCTCACTATTCTCAGCCTCAACGATCTCAAATCATTGCAGTTGTAGCACAATAGGAGGATTCCACATGTCGGGCACTCTCGGGTTATCATGTGTCTTGGCCTCCGCCCGTTATCTTTCTAATGTCGTAGGAGGCGAGATGTACGGCAAAAGTTCCGAAGGCCTGGTGAATGTCGAGGCTGAAGAGTGATCGCTAGCAGAACGAACGCCTTGGCTACTTTAACCTGTGGGCCAATATATTGCCGAGCGGTTCGCATAGGGGCAACCATAAACTAGGAAATGCACCCTTCCATGTATGCTAATGTGGCACAGTGCGTGCTAGACGCTCTAGCCTCCACTCGTCCATTCCACTTTCACTCGGTATCAATTCAGTAATTAATACTCAGTTGATCACACTAGCATTCATTATCCATACTGTAAGCACGCCAATGAGTACGTGCAAACGCGTTTCATCAAGATTTGAAGCTGGGCTGACCCAAGATTGGGTTTATTATTTTCTTCTCCCAAATTACTTCTTCATATAGTGCCTTGAAATATGCAAGCCCCGTAATGTTGCCCGGGACCTCAATTAGTAATCTTTGACTAGAATATTTGTACCGATTAATGGTGCTATCTTTAACACTGATCTTGTGGGTTATGAAGAATTTAGTGTTATTCAGCTCTATCAATTCCCTAGACATTATCCAAAACGCAATATCACTTGCATATCGGGATTTGTCGGCCACAGGCATTGGCAATTTTATATGTGATCATCCCGAATCAATTTAAAATTTCGAAAACCTCGCGTTTGGGCGACATAAGCTACCGCAGATGATCCAAGTCTCCTATGCAAGAATATCATCGGACTATAGACGCGCGAATAGCAATCTGTGCAACACACGGAGATAGACTTGGGGTTTAGGCAGAATCTGCTAATCCAAGTACTATACAATTCCCGGCCGAACCCTTGTTCCTCGGTACATGTTAGAGGGATTGAGTCCGATCGACGACAAGAAGAGTTCTGTTTTGATTTTCCAGGCGCCCAGGCGCCCAGCAGCATGAGATAGGTCGTGCTTCTGTTACGATAGATTCTAGCTCCTCTCTTGCGCTTCATATTACACTTTTTTATCGCATCCACTGGATTGTGTGAACAGACCCATCCTCATCATCCTGGTTATGTGCCACTTGTACTTGCTGATCACAAACCGTTCTCGCACCCGAAGCACATTCGTTGTATTAAACCCCGAGTCAACAACTACTTGCAGCCCTGACGTCTCTTCAACCGCATAGTCAAGTACATGCAGCTCCACATTTACATTTATCCATTGTGGACCATAATCGGTATACATGCACTTGCAAATATAAACCAGAGTCTCTCATAGTTTCTTCCTTCGATATTCTTTTCCCCTGGCGAAGAATCTCGCGCTGAAGCATCAACTTCGGACGATTTCCTCCCTTAGCAATCTACACTCACAATTTTCGAGTCTTCCACTCTTTTGGACTTAATATAACCAAGAGTAATGACTCGCCATAGGATGGCACTCCCTCTGGTAGTGGGATTTGTAGCTCTGATTAGCGCTGTATCTGCAGATTTTCCCGACTGTATAAACGGCCCGGTAAAGAAGACATCCCTCTAAGTATCCCAAAGACGGCTAACTATCATTTAGCTTTCGAACAATGCAATATGCGATTACGAAGCGGACCCATATGAGCGTGCAACCGCTGTACGTATTGTATTCTAAAACAAAACGGGCATGCCTAACAACACCTAGCTCGTTAAATTGTTTACTTTCGACGAGAAGATCATTAACACCCAGAACAAGAGCCCTGGGGTTCCAAGGATTGGCCTGCCGCGATATGAATGGTGTGTTCAGAGATTATATTGTGTTATAATTCCCTAAGCTCGTATTTCATAAGTTTCCCTACCATATAAAACTTCGATACTCATGGCCATCTATAATATCTGCTCTCGGCCACCTCCTGCTTCGTTCCGAAATTATCTTCCGGTAGATGGAAAGGCAGCCCATCTAATCCCCTCGCTCTAGAGCTCCTAAACTGAACAACTTACTAACCTGAACGTCCCATCTCTGAATGCTACTAACTAGAATCAGGTGGAGTGAAGCACTTCACGGCGTGGCAGGCTCACCTGGAGTCTCATTTACACCATCTGGAAACTACTCGTATGCCACCTCCTTTCCTCAGCCGATCACCCTGGGAGCTACCTTCGACGACGATCTTGTCCATTCCATTGCCACTGTTATCTCGACGGAGGCTCGTGCATTCAGCAATGGTAACAAAAGTGGTCTAAACTATTGGACTCCAAATATCAACCCGTACAAAGATCCGAGATGGGGACGTGGACAAGAAACGCCAGGAGAGGACCCATTCCATTTATCCAGCTACGTCAAGCAACTGATAATCGGCTTGCAGGGTGGTCAAGACGCACAGCCATACAAGAAAATTGTAGCCACTTGCAAACACTACGCTGGATATGATATTGAGGACTGGAAGGGTAATGCCCGGTACGGTTTCAATGCCATTATCAGCCCTCAGGATCTCCGCGAGTATTATCTTCCCCCGTTCCAACAATGCGCACGGGATTCAAACGTTCAATCCGTAATGTGCTCATATAATGCTGTGAATGGAGTGCCAACCTGCGCAGATAACTATCTGCTGCAGACCATTTTACGGGAATACTGGGGATGGACTGATGAAGATCAGTGGGTGACTAGTGATTGTGATGCAGTTCACAATATATATCAGGACCATAAGTATACCAAAACTCCACAACAAGCAGTTGCCGCTGCTCTAAATGCTGGCACAGGTGGGTGACTGATAAATATTCCTTCAAAATAGTCCTAACAATGGCAGATCTTGATTGTGGTACTTACTACCCCGATCACCTTGGCCAAGCCTATAATGAGAGTTTGTACAATATATCGACCCTTGACAGGTCTTTAATTCGCCGATACGCCTCCCTTGTGCGACTAGGTTACTTCGATCCTCCTTCCAAACAGCCATATAGACAGCTAACCTTCGCGGATGTTTCAACCAATGCGTCACAAAGTCTGGCGCTTAAAGCAGCTGAAAATGGGATTGTCCTTCTAAAGAATGACGGAACTTTACCACTTTCCTCTAGTATAAAAAGCGTTGCTATTGTTGGGCCGTGGGCAAATGCAACGAAACAAATGCAAGGGAATTATTATGGTGCCGCTCCGTATCTTCATTCTCCAGCCTATGCTGCGCAACAAGCTGGATTCTCGGCCAAAGTTTCCAATGGAACAGGCATAAGTTCCAATGATGCCAGTGGATTTGCCAACGCTCTGGCTGCGGCAAGGCAAGCTGATGCTATCATCTATGTTGGAGGGATCGATAACTCGATTGAGAGCGAAGCACACGTATGCCACATCCCCTATCCCCTATCCCCGCCATCTAGTGTTCCTAAATTCTAATACTCATATAGGATCGTAACGATATCTTATGGCCTGGCAATCAACTGAATCTCATATCCCAGCTGTCGAATTTGACCAAGCCAATGATCGTCGTGCAAATGGGGACGCAGGTTGATAGCTCCTCCATCGTCTCAAACCCAGGTGTCGGCGCTTTAGTTTGGGCCGGGTATCCAGGACAGGATGGCGGAACTGCCATCATGAACATTCTGACAGGAAAAGTTGCGCCTGCCGGCCGCTTGCCTGTTACGCAATATCCTGTCAGTGTAGGTTCCTTCATATTTATTAATATCACTGACAAATATAGGGTAAATATGTAGATGGTGTTCCCATGACAAACATGAGCCTCCGCCCTTTCCAATCTGATGATGGTAGTCTCAATAATCCGGGGTAAGTCAATCAACTTCTTAGTAAACTTCACTAACATTTTGTAGACGCACTTATAAATGGTATACAGGCAAACCTATCTTTGAATTCGGCCACGGCCTTCATTACACCAACTTTAGTGCGAAAATCAAGTCTCCTTCCTCCGCAACTTACAGTATATCCTCTCTGCTTTCTCGCGATAGCCACACGCAAACTCAAAAGACTTATAAAGATCTCACTTCGTTCGACACTTTCCAAGTCACAATTACCAACACTGGAAAAGTGTCCTCGGATTTCGTTATCCTGAGATTTCTAACTGGATCATTTGGGCCCACACCCTATCCAAAAAGATCACTGGTAGCCTACAAACGGCTACACTTAGTGGAGGCTGGCGGAGACTCACAAGCAGAATTAAAGCTGAACCTGGGTAGTTTAGCGAGGGTGGATGAAAATGGCGACATGGTGCTTTATCCTGGTGATTACAGCTTCGTGATTGACAATGACGAGAAGGCTGCGTGGAATTTTACGTTGACGGGGGAGAAGATGGCTCTGGACGCTTGGCCAAAGCCGCCAGCGCCTAAGAATGTCATGATTTGAGGGTGCCATACTTGGCATAACAGCGGGACTCAGACAAAAGGCAAAAGAAGCACACTTGATTGATCATAATTTCTTTTACCATGAATAACTGTCTGGGTTTTTCTTCTGGCTATTTCTAGGTTCCTAGAAAGAACCCCAGTAGCAAACTGTACTAGCTTTAAGACAATGAAATGATTTGTCGCGTTTTGACTAAAGGGACCAAAACTCGAAACATGCTGTGAAACACTTTTGACCGTATGCATAGAAGCTAGTCGAAAGTAGCCAGCCTTTGATGGCCACCAAATATAAAACTTGCCTGGTTAATGGACTTTCTATTTCATTCTGCATTCTTTGCGTTTCCGAGCCAATCGTCCGATAAATAGCACCCAAATAGGGGTTTTGATCGTCTCGCATTTGATTGGCTGATGTTAAGCGCATCAACATCCACTTAGCTCCGCGCGGGATGACATCGCCCTGAACATAACTCAATTTAAGCACCATTTCGTCGATCTACAAGCTGCCTCGTAGCAGATACCATGAACAATGTTCAACCTCTCCAGCCTTGTGCAGAAGGCTCAGTCATTCATTGACCCCATTCAGTCTCTCAATATCTCCCCATCCGACCGCAATCCGGCAAAATCCACCCTCTTCCGCCACCAGTTCAGACTGCCCGACTCGCAGTCCCCACTTCAAGAGATAACTTCGGAACTCACGATATCTCCACCGATAGCATATGCGCCGAATGCTACTCAGGGCGAGAAGGAGAAAGATAGAGATAGAGGCTATCACTATGCTGGAAAGCTACACCTGAGCGAGTCTTACCTATGCTTTTCGACACAGCCTACCAGTTTCCTCCAAACTGCAAGCACAAGTACATCGTCTGGCTTTACGGGCCAAACTCACGGGGCCGGGCCAGGAGGTAATGGATTTACACTTCCTTTGTGTGCTATCAGGCGTGTTGAGCGACTTCATAGTCAGAACTACCAGGTATACTGCTCATGCCCGATATTCTTTCCGGAAGCTAATATCTGGTTTAGTTCGCCCTAGCGATTACAACGTGGAACGGACTTACCAATACCTCTGCGACCGAAAACCCCAAAGCCCCAGTATTGCAACAAAAAATCATCATACAACTGGCAGGAACCCGACAGGCTTGTGAACGATTTTGCGATGGATTGAAAAAAGGCCTCAAAAATGCCGTGGGCGAAGTGGGAAAGCTAAAGAAAGTCGTAGCAGAATGCTATTCCGAATATCTCCTCCAGGGAGAGGCGAGAAAAGAAAGCACACCGCCAGATGCTGGTCTTGGCATGATGTTTCGGTACCCAGGCGATGCTAAGAAGTTACGAGATAGGAGCAAGATGAGGTTATGGGGTGAATATCTGCGAGACTATGGACGCAACGTTACGCTTATTCGGCAACCAACCTTTCACAAGCTGATCCGTGTCGGGCTACCAAATCGACTTCGAGGTGAAATTTGGGAGCAATCATCTGGATCACTATACTTGCGCCTAGAGAACCCCACGCTATTCGCGGATACGTTGGCCAAATTCGATGGCCGTGAGTCCCTTGCCATTGACGAAATCGAAAAGGACTTGAACCGGAGTCTGCCAGAATATCCTGGCTTCCAGAGCGAGGAAGGAATTGGGCGTCTCAGACGAGTCCTAACCGCATATAGTTGGATCAACGAAGAAGTTGGTTATTGCCAAGCCATGAACATAGTAGTGGCGGCGCTTTTGATATATATGTCTGAAACCCAGGCATTCTACTTGCTGTCTGTGCTCTGCGACAGGTTGCTTCCCGGATACTACTCAACCACCATGTACGGTACTTTGTTGGACCAACGCGTCTTTGAATCGTTGGTGGAGAAGACGATGCCAATTCTGTGGGATCACTTAGTCAAGTCCGATGTTCAACTCTCTGTCGTTTCTCTGCCATGGTTCCTGTCGCTGTATATTAACTCAATGCCTCTGGTTTTCGCCTTCCGCGTTTTAGATGTTTTCTTTTTAGAAGGTCCAAAGGTCCTATTTCAAGTTGGATTGGCCATTTTACGCATCAACGGAGAGGAGCTGCTCGATGCTGCCGACGATGGGGCATTTATTTCAGTTCTAAAGTCCTACTTTTCCAAACTGGACGAATCAGCCCACCCAAAGTCTGAAAACAGCAAATTGCGAGCTGTCACCCGTTTCCAGGAGCTTATGGTCGTCGCATTTAAAGAGTTCTCTGGAATTACTCACAATAGTATCACCGAACAGCGCATGAAGCATAAGGATAGTGTTTTGAACAGCATAGAGAGTTTTGCAAAGCGCACCTCGATACGAAACCTTGGGCCAGATAGCAAAAGACTGACTGTTGAGGAGTTGGGTGCCTTGTACGATCGATTCTATGGTGTTTTATACGAGCGCCAGCAACGGAGTCAAATGATCTTGGAGGAGACTGAACGACGAGATAAAGCCCGGAAAGCCCGGGCTGCAGAAGTTGTCACGGGCCTGGCTGAAAATACGATCATTGAGAAAGGACGAGTCGGGATGGGCCCAAGCCCTACACTCATGGATTATGATGCATTCAGAGAGTTTCTCTCAGCCATCGCAAGATGGGCTGTTACTGACTCTCCAACCCCGCCCGAGAAAGATAACGGTGCCGATAAAGAAAGGCATTCCTACTTTGGAAACAGTGTTCGGCGGAGGGAAACCTCGCTATCTCCTTGGGGCTATGGCAACCCTGAGCCGGCTGATCATGAATTTATGCGACGCCTTTTTCAGCGTTGGGACGTTGATGTGAATTCCGCTTTGACGCTCCAAAACGTTGTCACCGGCCTAGCACAGATCAAAGGCAAGGGGGATATCATGGGCAGTATCACGTACTTTTTCGAGCTCTACGATGACGATGGTGATGGGAAGGTCGACCGGGAGGGGATTTTACGTATTTCAGAAGCACTGCTTTTCTTGTCCCGTCGAGGCTTGGATGGAACCCTAACACCATCTGGTTCAATGACCGGCTTGAGCGAATATGAAGCTGGTAACGGAGGCCAAGCTGATGGTATCCAAGGAAGCACCAATGAGCGATTTCTAAGCAGCGTCAGTGCCTTCATCAGACGTTGCTTTGAATACGCTGATCCTGATCGCCCACACAATCAAGAAGAGACCAATAATTCGACGGATTCGTTTGGTATTGGCGGCGATAGCGATGAGGAGGAGGAAGATCTCGTGGATCTCGGACCAGATGCATCATCTCCGAAAAAGGGCAAAAAGTCTACTGGCCTACAAAGTTCACCCGCCGCGTCGGACATGCCCAATAAGCCTGCTGGCCAACGTAGCGCATCTAAAGCTCAATCGGAAGCCGCAAATGCTGCCCTCGACCCAGCAAAGCCTCTGCACATCACTTTACCGACATTCCGTATGGTCGTTCTCGCAGACGAGCTCCTCGAACAGTTTTTCGAATCTTCATTTCCCGCTTCATTCCGCATCCTAGACAAACTCTCAACCGGCCCAGCAACCCCCACATCCAGCCTCACCACATTCTCCAACCTCGGTTTCGGCCGAGGGGCCGCTGCTCAGAAAGGCGTGGGCGGTACGGGATCCGCAGGCATCGTACCACCCACCAAAGGGCTCCGCGGCGTTTTGGACAATATTGTTACGGATGGCATGCGCGTGGCAGCGGAAGTTAAGCGACGCATGGATGACGCTCAAATCGAGATGGAGAAGAATGCCGTGGGCGGCCGGCCAGCGGCAGATGAGGAGGACGACGACGACGAAGGTTTTGATCCACGACCTGCTACTGGAGCCAGAGCCGTCAGTTCCGAGGATAGAGATCTGTTGGAGGGTGCGGATGCTGAAGCTATCAAGGGGCAGGAAAACGACAGGAATTTGAGTCCAGATACTGCTGCAACTGCTACTGGTGGCCGGTCGAGGAGTATCAGTGGTGCCTCGCATAAGGTTGTTGAGTTTGAGCAGTGAATGATTGATGGTTTTGAGCTTCCTCGTACTGTTTGTGCAAGGAAAGTTGTTGTACCCTTATGTTCTTGATACTGCTGGAGTTGAATGATTGGCTTGGTGCATGGGAGACAGGAGAGAGTGGCAGGGAGGTTCTTTGGGAGGGAGTTCTTGAAGGCGTCGTGTTCTTTTTTATTTATCAATGTCACCACTACTACTGGGGGATCGAGGGAGACAGCGGATATCAATCATAGCGAAGGGAAGGCGTATGTCGACTGCATAAACAGCATGCAATGTATCCCCATCTGAATATTTTCCTGTTAATAGGAGCATGTGACATGGTTGCCGTGATCCCAAAAAAGAAAGTTATTTCACTGATTGATAACTGGTTACAAGTTACTAATACAATATTCAAGATCACGACCACGAGTAGACGCATACCGCTTATAGACGCACATTCCTTCCTCCGACTGTACGTGAAGCGAGAGGCGGATCCGAGCTTTGAAATAACTGGTAAACCTACCTAGTATTATCTCCAGCTGTCACTACCTAGGTGGGTATTCCTTACGAAACACCTAGGCCCTAACTTTACTTTACCCTCTTAACGCGCACGCCTGTCTTATACAATACGCCGGAAATTATTAACCACGCCATGGAGAACATACCGGCTGAAGTCGTAGCTCTGATCCTGGAGATTGTCCCCGATATAAGGAGCCTCTGGGCTCTCGTTCGAGCGTCACCACATGTTCATCGCATCTTCCGCGACGAATATCGAGAACATATCCTACACATTATCATCGCCCGCGAAATTGGCCCTATTCTCATGGGTGAGGCTCTAGCAGCTCTTCGCTCGTCCCGATTCACATCGACCCAAAAGGTAAATGGAGAGGATGTAGAAGTACCAATCCGTGGCCTCCCCAAGACTGAGGCTCTGGAATGGACTGAAAGCTACCAGGATGTGATCAATGTAGCAAACGTATCGCCACCTCCAGAGGATATGTTACTCTTGTGGGAATTGCACAAAGATGTCAAGGTCATGGCCGACCTTTTCGTCCAGGAGACTTTACCCATCTTCCTCCAAATGATGAAGGGCATAGGAGAGCCAGAAACCGAATTAGCTATATGTACGCTTGAGGATTATTCAACCATCGAAAAACAACGACTCTTCCGAGCCATCTACCGTTTCGTTATCTTTGGCAACCTCTTCGCTCCCTCGTCCACTGATGTTTGCGACGACGAAGACCTATGCGAATATTTCCTCTGTCGCTTTACGATCTGGCAGGTTGAGGAAATAAGTTGCATTAACGATTTCATCAGAAATAAGATCCTGCTAAAATGGCAGGAGATGGAAGATAACGAGTTCAAGCGTCTCGCCGCCGATCCAGAGTTGTGGGCGGCTGACCCTCGTCCGAATCCTCCTACTTCTCGCTGGCGTGCGGACTTCTTTTCTAAGGAGTCAAAGTCGCGCCATTTCAAAGACATGCAGGCGAACTTCGCTACGCTTTCTATTAAGGATTTGGTCGCAGTCTTTGAAGCGAAGGACGTGCTTTTAGAGGAGTTGGTGAAAACCCGGACTTCGGCGTATCAGGGTGCGAGATCGCCCTTTCTAGATGCGGCCTTGGATGTTGACCCGGGAGCTATTCCTATTGTCATTGGGGGGGTTGAGTATGAGTTTAGGGGTGAAGTGGAGTGCCCTGTTGAAGATATGCTTGCCTTTGAAGGGGATGATTTGGCGTCTGCCAATAGAAGCTGGTTCTGGGCAAACAAATCGTCCTTAGGTGACATGTACGTTTCGCCCTCCTCCCCTAAATGGGAATCAGACCGGGCATTTGAGGGATTCAGAAGGTTCGGGTATGTGTTTCTAGATTACTCGCGGGTGGAAAACTGGCGTCGTGGAGAGTAAGGACTCGCCTTCTAATGTTCCATTTGCATATAAATCTAATCAAGTCCAAACAGTACAGAATGGTTTGGTGAGGGAACTTTAGAGAAATTTCCCCTGCCAGCTTTTGAGGATATAAGTCTTAGTGTGGAGGAAAGAATTAGTATATTAGCGGGACGTTGAGGGCGGAAGGGTCCAATAAGTCACCTTGCAAGGACGAGGGACATAGGGGTACGTTTATGAATCCGCCACGGCGGCGTGATTTTTCTTCTTCGATATAACAGTGCAAACTGCCAATTCTTCACGGCCGAGTCATTTAGAACCGTCTAAGATTAGTAACTCAAGTCAACCTCAATAAAAAAAATGAGTACTCACTAATAAAACGTTCGGGCAGCAAGATATTAATCTTACCAATAAAGCGAGAAGTCAAGAAATATTCACTAGTAGTTCTTCAATCCCAAAATTCGAAATGATGACGAATGGTACTCAACGATCTTCACACATAAGTGATCAATTTCATGAATCTTCCGCATGCATTAATATAGAGAGCATGCAAAGAGTTGAAATCTCTTGTACTCTCCAAATTTCACACACGGACCTCGGGCCATCCGTGAGAAAGGTGGCGGTACGCATTATAAACTTGCGTGAGTTAAAAAGATGACACTTCTAAAGACAATTGTTACGATGCATTATAGCGACATGTATAGATAGAAAAAAGATAATTTTGCTGATTTGGAATTTTAAGAGTAGAGTTAGGATTAATATCAATCCGTAGGAGGTATCTAGGGGCATACAATTTATGTCAAGTGGATTTCATCTGATATATACAGGTCCAATATCTGCAAAATTTATTTTTAATTAGTGAAGGCGATAATTGCTCTATTCGGTCTATTACTAAATATTATAACAATTGCCCCGAAATACATAACCAAACCTCTTATTAATTTTTACACAACTTCGTAGCTTTGTGTAAGGTAGATAGCCATTTCCCAACGCTCGTTCCTAGCTTCACTACATCTCCAGCGTTCATAGTTCTGGCCATGTTTGCCTTGCCGCCTTTGCATTTGTAAGAGCTGCAACATCAGCCATTCCCAGCGATGCGAGAATCAACCCAAAGGTAGCGAGAGGTGCGTTTAGCCGGATCTTTGACGACAGTACGAAGTATACCAATTATAAGTAATGTTGCCAAGGGTTCCTAACAACACGACGGTACGTCCAACCCAACGCGTTGCCATGCTTGCAACCGCAGCGACGCAGCCATAACCCCCGGGCAATTGGAATGAAGCACATGATACCGATAAGGAAGCCAAAGAGAATCCTCTCACTTCGCTTTCTTCTCGGCATCCGTGATGTCTTGCGACCTTGGCTATGTTACCGATAGCGTCTGCTACCATAGTGGCTGGGATAGCTAGTGCGTCGACTGTATGAAGTAGTTCTCGTTCCTGGTAGGAGTGCACTGGGATGGTGAAAAGGGGGTCTTTGGTTCGGCTGATGCCCCGACAGCGGCAGCCAGCCAGCCAGCCAGCCAGCTGAAAGCCAGGCACGCCAGGTCAGGTCAGGTGACCTAAAAAGAGGGAAACCCTGCCTTGGGGCGCCGATGGCGCCAATAAAGGGGCACAACGAGTCTTGCGTCCTTGCAGTAGGTAGGTACCTACCGTAAGGTACCTTAGGTAGGTATTTTGTATTTATCCTCTCGCTACGGTAGAATTCTGTTAAACCGGTCATTCCTTTTGTAGTAGATAAGGTAGTCGACTATTCTACCTTCGGGCTGTGACTTCGAACAGGTTCGCGATCTTGCGAGGCGACAGAGGCTTAGAGCTGTACAAACGGAAGAGTCCCGTATTCCTTATCCTAGCCATAGTTATGGGCCAGGATCCTACTGCTGGTGGGCATGAAGGTTGGCTTGGTGCGCTCTTTTGCTGCAAGGTGCCGCCCAATACCTATCTAAGGGACGATTGCAAGTGTTCTAATATAGTCGCAGAAAGACCGGAAGTTAAGAGCTCGACCAAAGCGGCTAGAGTATCAGGATCCAGAAGTACAACCACGTCTTCCCAGAACTCGCGAGCGAGCTTTGACTTTGCAAGAACCGGCCCAACAGACCTCGAGCCTCTTGCTAAGTCTGCCGCTGGAGGTTCGCCGTTGCATATACGAAGCCGTCCTAGGTCATCGTAAAGTTCACGTGGCGTTCCAATTCAGACCACGGGAGTACCGCACGGGCAAGAGGAATGAGCGTCGAGAGTGGCGATGGTGGCATTGTATTTGTACCTGGGACCAAATCGAGGAAGATCGTCACAGAAATATTTGGTGGGATCAATGTAGAACGGGAAGGGTTGGTGGGGACGATGGACCCCCAAACGGAATGATGGGCAAGCTGAAGCTAGATTTCGCGATCTTGCTAACATGCCGACAAGTGTAAATACCCCACATCCTAACTAGTTCGGCCCCTATATTCTCGAGCAGGTTACTAACTTGATGCAAGATATTCTGAAGCAATAGATATCCTCTATAGCACCACAACCTTCAACTTCGCCTCTCGCCATCTCCTATACAGCTTCCCGTCACTAGTTCTCCCGCAACGCTTCGCACTTATTAGTTCTATTGAAATGACATGGGAGTTTGTCAATCTAGGCGCCGAGGTCATCCTCGATGCACACAAGCAACTTTATAACGACATGTGGGCTATGCTTGCTGGTATGCCTAATCTTCGGCGTATCAAGGTCGCTGTCGGTGCCCATGAGTGCCCCGACCAGGTACCAGCCGACTTGCAGGAAGTGTGGCTAGGGCCTCTGAAGCAGGTAGGGAGAAAGGATATTTTTGAGCTGCTAGTCCCGGTGTCGTATGGGAAGCATTTCCGTGTTGACGACGGATCGAACTTTACGCTTTTAACGGTCCCGGATATTATTACGGCCGTGAGTTGTTTTGGAAGCGCCAGCATTACATGATTGTTTCCTGGATATAGCACTGGCTCTGCGGAATAAAAGGATACGGGGTTGTTCTAGATAGGATTAGGGATCATGAGGTACCATTAATTCATTGCAGACACATGCGTCTGCGGGAGAAAACGAGGGTCTAGATTATAATATTTAGAGCTACTGATGCTAGCCATCTCGTTGCACTCTTCTAATACCTCGACTTGTAAGCCGTGAAGATGCTTTTAAAATCAAATTAACTTTACGAATGGATTGGGGGGCTTGTAGAATAATCCGAATATGCTGGATAAGAGTGAAATTATTATTGTCAGGTGCACGTTCCTTTAATGCAGGTACACGTACATATAACAGACATTCAATATCGTATATTTGAGAAATATTGACGCATGATTTCGATAAGACTTCTCGACCTGTTCATTAAGGTTCGGTGATGCCTACGTAGACAACAGAAGGTGACTAGGCCGGTCGTCCCGCGTATAGTGATTGTGGAAAGCTGTTAGAATACGAACAGCCTGTACCTCTTCCCTTTCTCCTCTCTTTAGTCTAATCCTTATCTATACAGTATTGTAAGGCTAGCCCGCTGCCAAGGACATGGAAATATCTCATCTCAGTCGGCTGTGTGGTTTAGAGCTTTTGAAAGGATATCAACAGCTAAATATATACATAAAGCACTATGAAATTCGAAACTTTCATTTTAATGGTCCGCCTTAAATGTCGGCTTGCAATTATATACATTTCTACGAGGGCAGCAGAAGCATCCTACTCATAATCGTCAACGCAGTCCCAGCAATCCTAATAAACATATAGATAAAAGCCTACAACTCTGCCTAGGTTGGTATACCATCCCTGTTTAATGTCGGGATCCACGAGTATACATTCGTATTTTGCCTAGCCAGCCTTTAATTCTATACGGCGTATATATATATAAAATACTAAACAAGTACTTACGCAAGAGCAATTCTCGCTTTACATGCCAAACTGTAGCAGCCGTCGCCGCCTTTTACATAGCAGCAGCAGCCACCATTCGCCCCACACCTATGAGAAGAAAGGGTAGTTTCATTCTGCTCGATGCCTTCCCGAAGCCAGCCTATTCCCTCTAGGTTGCAGCGCTGTTCATGGTTGTTCTCGGGCTTTAGACTCCGTACTTCTACCTTGCAGAGTATGATCTGGCTCATAGAATGGCACCAAGCCTCGCTTCTTATCTGTTCGCCCTGATCAACGAGGGCTCATTCAAGGGACGGATACTTCGTGGAACTCTCGCCCAGCATCTCGGCCAATTCAACGTCATCACCTTCGCGTGTTACGCGTCTGCCATTTTGTTGTTCTGCTGGCTCATGGTCTACACGTCTGCAGGACCGATCGTGCTGTCTATTCTGTTTGGAGCGACGAGCGGCACCGTCATCGCTTTAATGATGTCGACTACAGCACACAATGTAGACCATCCAAATCAGGTGTGTGCGAAATCCTCCACTATGAGGTTTCTTGATCGATCCACTCAAGTTGAAATTATCTAAACATACGTCGGTATGTCAACGTTTGTCGTCGGTTTTGCTGGCCTGGCTAGAAACTCCCATCACAGGTGCTTTGATCAACACCTACCATGGTTGCACTAAGGGCATCATCTTCAGCGCCTCTATCATCATGGCTAGCGCTGTGATAGTCACCTGCGCGCGATACACCTAGTCAAGTATGCCAAGGACAAATTTGTCGCCTAGGATGATGAATGACTTGTACGTAATTAAATTCGAAATTCAGTTCCCGAGGAGCTTGACAGCCTCTAAGATCTGTCCGTTGGCTTGATATGCACAGGCGAGTGCGTTCTGTGATGACAAAATAGCTCTATGAGTATAGTAAGGCGCTTTTGTATTAGGGACATTTCCTATTTGACATCTAGTTAGTAATAGCACATTTTTAGAGCTGCGAGATACGTTTAAATGTGTTATACCAAATGCTTTAATTCTTTGTTCAAGTGATAGCTGGAACCACCACACTGACTTGTTATATTCGCCGTTGTTATCTGTTAAAAATCCGAAAAGAAGTTCTGGCCGCCCAATATTTCGAGGCGGTGTTTTGTAAACTGGCACCAATCCCTTGCTAGATAGTCCAGAACGATCAGTCGCGTGGATATTGAGGTGGGCCTGGAGTTCCTGTGTTTTGGGTAGACTCAAAGCGTAAAAGTTGTTAGGATGTGGTGTCAAGTCCAGAAGTCGGTAAATACATGTTCCTGCGAAAGATGCATACTTTTGACAGTTGATGTCGTCTGTTCGGATCCTGATCCAGTCTCTGACAAGTGGGTGAAGAGACACGATACAGAGGTTGTTTTCATGCCTAGTAAAAGGCTGGGTTAACGACAACTTGCTCAACAAAATCAGAACATCGCAATAGTCGTCAGAATCCCATGCTTTAGCATGATGGGTTAAGAAAACCCCAGGTTTGCTCGAAGCCTCAGGTTTCAAAATGGAATCTTCTATGTTGAGCTCCGCGTCTTCATGTTCGCAATATGATTTCATCAGGTTTTCGGAAACACTCTTGGATTCAAAAAATGCGAGTAGAGTCAAAACGTCTGCTGAATGGTAGGCAACTCCACCCCCGCGACGGCTCAGTTGACTATACGAAAGTTCGAAAGTTGTGAAGACATTCATCGAGGTCTCAACTTCAGTGTTGTCTGACAACTTCTTCCTATACTCGTTCATGCCCTCGGATTTGTCACCTATAACGCGTCTCTTTTGCTGCTCAAATTGCTGTCGAAAATCTCGTAACGAAATCTTCCTGTCCCGAATGTATGCTCCAGCTTGAGCAACGGCCAGAGCATGTTTTCCAAGCCTATTCACGATGTCCTTCTTGGTCGATAGATCATGGCCCTTGCGATCTTTCCCCTTAGATGTTACCTCAAGTAGCTCAATTGCATCCTTTTCGAGGAGAGAGTCTAGGCTCATCTTAAAATCTTCACCCCCAAGTTTCAAAGTATTCTCGTGTCGTGTTGTGATGACTATGATTCCGTGGCTACATGAAGGCATGAGGTGGTCGATGTTGTTAAACGAATCTGGATCGTCGCAATTATCGAAAACCATGAGCCATGGCGTAGGAAAGTCTTGGAGGGTTGTAAGGGTATCATCGACTTGAGCATCAATATCCGCATTGTCTGAAATAGACACATTGAGTAAAGGGGCAAACGATGCAAGATCCTTCTTCAAAGTCTTGCTTGTTTGAGCGTCAGCCCAAAGTACCGGCATTTTACCTCGCATCTGGTAACAGTATTTGAGGGCTAGCTGCGTCTTGCCTTGGCCACCTAGCGCTCTAATAACGACAATCCGAGGTTTGTCATCTGCGCTTCCATTGACATTACAAGCGTCGGAAAGTTGGTCAAGCTCTGCGGTCCGGCCAATGAAGTCCTTTAACTCTATATTTCGGGGCTTTGAAAATTTCTGCAGTGTGACTTAGGTGGGCTTTGTTGTACTCAAACTCCTTAAAATCAATGCGTTAGCTATGCTCGAACATTTCAGAATATTATATTTGACAGGTAAGAGTTTATTATATTGCTTAGGATGGGTAGCTCACAGTGACTAGTTGTTTGATGTTTGGTAGTGCAGCCGCTAGTGAAAGAATAATTAGTATCCACCAAACATAATTAGGAAAAGTCATCTGCGTCATCAAGGAGGGTTGTACAGTTCTTGGCCCTCAATATTTCCGAAATCTTCAACACTTCCAGCTCCTTATTCCGATGATCCATATATTCCTCTGTCACAGTCTTAATCTTCCCAGCCTCCTTGTATTCTGCTAGTCCAACACTTTGGAGGCCCTGCTGAACATTGAAACGGAAGTAGCGTGGCGTTGACGCAGTTAAGTAAGAATGTGTACTGGAAAATCGACGTTCTGTGGCCTCCGTCTCTGTTGCAAGGTTGCGCAATGTTTCCGTTAGGACCTTCCAGGCGTTTTTTGAAAACGAATGGATTCCAGGGTCTCCAGTTCCGATTGACAGGATACATCCAACTACATTGTCGATCTTGCCATCCTCTGCACCAAAGAGTGCTTGAGCTTCATTCCAGACGCGGTCAACCGGGTTATTTGCACCAGTACCTCCATCCAAGTATATTTGATCGCCAATTTCGACAGAATCAAAAAACGACAACGCCGCGGAAGTGGCCATTGCAGCTTCTACAATGGTCATACCCTGGTTTTGACGCGGCTTCCCAGGTATATCATAGTCCTTTAGGAGTCTGGTGTTTGATGTATCTTCAGACGTTGCGCAAACAAAGCTTTTGCAAGTCAGTAATGTTAGGTGGTACAAGATGAGCACAGCTTACGTTTTGCATTTATGGTCGATCCCTTCATTGAATTTTGCATCCGGCTTCCGACCACTCTTTGTGACAATTTCCGTGACAGCCGATCGTAAAGCCTTGGAGCTAAAAGCAGACTTGACATCGAGCCTCCAGTTCGTTGGTAACAAGCTTTTCTTCTTGCCAAAGACTTACTCAAACAGAGTGTCATATGCCTTTATGCACTCGTCGACGTCCATGCCGAGCGTGCCAAGCATGATTGCAATTAAGCTGAGACTGTCAACGTAGTTCAAAAGACCTTCATCTCAAATATACCCTCCAGTACTTGTTCCTCCAATGATATCGAAGATCTGACAAGGTTTGACAAGTGCATCGCCACTTCTATTCTCATTGACCTTGGTCATGATATATCGCAAGATGTGCAGTGAGGAGAGTCCGCGAACGCCACCACCATCTACACTCATAAGTTAGTCTTAGCGCTAATTTATAAATGTCCAATCTAAGATTAGACAAATGGACACGAGCTAGGATTTGGGCTTCTTATAATTGGACGGCAGTTGCGGTCGCAGGAATAAGGCGAAGGTGGCCGAGAGTAGAAAAAGGCGACAAAATCGCATAATTCGCGTCCCACTTACCAAGAGAGAGTAAACAGGGTCGATTTCCTACTTCGGGCAGACCAGATACCTTTATCGCCAACTGAGATTCCAGCGACGCCATCTTTCGTGCACAAACCCGTGTGTGAAGCAAGAGCTATCAGGATGCTGTGTGTGGATGAATCAGCTCTCGCAGTTACCGAGTATCACCAAGGAAGCCTAGAAGAACAACGATATGTACAGTACTTGTCAATCAGAAAACTGAATTAAAGATACAAACTATAAAAAACTGACCGAGGCTGCGAAATCGGAGAGGGAGAGAGAGTGGGGGAGAGAGGGAGAGAGAGTGGGAGAGAGAGAGAGTGAGAGAGTGAAGAATCCTAATCCTGCATTTGCGCCTACAAATATAGTAAATGGTGCGAGGACCTGCCAGGCCCTTCCTGCAAGTGCACACCCACGTTGATCCAGTTGAAACCATGCAACTTAATTGCTTTTCTTGGCTTTCTACCAATCGCGGGGTGTGCCACAATTACCAAGCCGTGCCCAATTAGTTCTCCGAATCCGCATCTCATTTGCCGCCTTGCCGCTGGTTTCAGGACACGGAAGGAGTTCGACCTGGGAGACCTAGGCGTTAATGTAAATAGTAAACAATAGGCTCGGCTGAGCGAGACGTCCTTGCGGTATGTGATAGACTGAGCTTCTGGTTTAAAGTGACAAGCAATGTTGCATCGGGAACTTTGATAGAATTGAGCGATAGGACAGGCTTGGGCTATATGCGTGGACCTAGAATAAAATATAAATTAATGTGTTTTAGATCAAGTTGTACTTCGTAAGAGTAACTGAATGGATGTTGCCCCTAATATATACAAGTGCCAAGGTATAGCCGAGATTGATCGAACATGATGGCATTGACCAATCATCATGTTTAGGTCACCACTAGAGCTGTAAAATTAGCCTTCTTAGCACGAAGTATAAAAGGGGTTAAAAGTATCTATATAAATACCTAAGCATTTCTATAAAACAGGTTAAATTCCAAACCTTTGGTTTTAATATTTCATGGTATAGTGTGTACCTGCAATGGCGGCTCCCAAGACAGCAGAGACTGCAGGCTTGCGGCCAACGCTGCACAACCCTCGTTTAACTCCGAGAGAGATTCATGCGCCTTCCAAGTTCCCGCTTAACGACGTGAACCTACGACAAAACAACTTAGGTTGATCGATTAACTTCAAACGCCGGTGCCACGATCACAACCGCGATATTGGTCCTTGAGCTCTCGGCATGGTCGATATCTGAAGTATTAATTATGTAGATGTGTTGACAATGTCCATCTGAACCTTGCGCCATGAGCGATGTGGATGGCATAACCACCGGGTAGATTCGACGACGGTCAACGCGTTTTGCCGGTAGAATTGATTAAGTCAAGGCATTGCGGTCTGGCCAGATAAACCCAAAGTAGACTTGAAATATGGAGTCTTCGGGGAATACAAGTAAGCCCAGGAGAGCCGTCTCATTTCCAAGTCTCACTAACAACCCCCCAGCTTTGACCACGTGTGTAAAGGAACCTCGACGGAAGACACTCAGAGATTTCAGATTATTCACCCACCCCTCAGAAGACCATCCCGAGAATATTAACATCTGGAACTTCTCGACCAGATCATGGACTCCTTGGTTGCCAGAGGCTAATAAAGAAGCAGCACAGGCCATCCTCTGGCGAGGTGCACGAACAATCGCTAAGCTCCTTCACTTTTGTAGCCACCAATGCTTGGTTGGCACCGTGAGAGAATATATCCCCGATGAGTACGTGCATCGCGTGTTTCAGCCCACAGAGTGGGCCTATAAGTTCACTACACAGCACGCCCTTTTCAACAGCGACGTTCTGAAAAAGGCCGTCGAGAACAAAATTCTACCCCGCTGGAAAGAACACAATGGGTACCCAGTCCACCAGGAAGCGCCACTTACCGTCCAAGAGGAACCTAATGATCCGGACAAAACACGGATGGCATTCTTCGAGGAGCGGGCTCGCTCAGATAATGCTGCCTTAACGATATTTATGGCTCCTCTACTCGAGCCTATGGATTGGAAGACAATCTGTGCCCAGAATACAGCTGCCGACAAACAAATTTATGAATGGTCTGTGTATTCTCTAGCCTCAGCTGCAAACATCGTATCCCGGCTACTTGGGAACCGGGAAAACGTAACCAAATCAGCTGCTGGGCATGACAGAAACCCGCGATGGCTCGCCGTGGGAAACACGCCAAATAGACCAACCTATGAAATGATACCTCTGGCAGAAAACTTTTGGCCTCTTCCATCCGTTAACATTGGTGGGGTCATACTTGGTGAAGGGGAGGCTGACGAAAATCCTCTAAAGTCTAAAAGGAGACGCATGCCCCTGAAGGATGCTCCGGCGAAAAAGCGCCAATTAGCTGCAAAAGCAGTTATTCCTCCTTTGCCTTCTTCAATCTACAAGCCATCCCAGATGGAAGCCCCGGAAAAACAAGGGCATGTCGATTCACTCAAAATTCACCCTGCAGAACGCTCCACAGCTGCCTATCTCCCTCGCCACCACCCCCATCTTCAAACAATGTACTCAATATCCAAGTCCCCAGAGCCAAACGGTCAAGGAGAATCGAACGAACTATCCACTGTTCCAAAGATGTCTCCACCTCAAGCCTCAAGCCCACGGCTCCATGATCATCAAACCCGTCCTCACTCACCCCCTCCTAAAGCGCCATCAATGGATAAGGCCCCACCAACGGAACCCCAACTAACTGAACCTAATAACCATCCAACACTTGCTACTTCAAACCAACGCTCCTCCGCTACCCCTCCTCCCCGGACCAAGTCACCAAACCTCACCACCCCAAAAGTCTCCCACTGGGACTCAGAAGACCTCACTGGTTTCCTAACCCGCATGAAAATCTCAGCCGACAACATCACCATGTTCTGCTCCTACGACTTCCCGCAAAAAGGAAAGCTAACTGGTGAAGTCTTGTTGACATTAACAAACGAGGAGGTAAATGATGAGAAGCTAGAGATCGAGGGCCCGGAAGAGAGAAGGAGACTATGGAGGGTGGTTAATAAGCTGCATGCAAGGGTTCAGAAGAATGACAGGGAGTTGGGGGCTGTGGATCGGTGATCTTGACGCGCGGGCAAAATGAGAAGAGGGGCTGGATGTAGTTGTGGTACCTGCCTAGGGATTGATGATCATCCCATGAATGAGCTAGCATGGAGTATTATGGCAACTTCCTATTACATGACAAATTGGCATAAACCAACTTAGCGCAAATATACGGAGCAAATCCACCGCCAAATGAATTCAGTAGTTCAGCACGCTATTTATATACTCTTAAGGTCGTGAGTTAGATCTACCAACACAGCGACTTTCTTAAGCTTATTAAGTTTCATAGAGTTCTAGTAGTAGTAATACAAGAAACCTTCTTCCTATTCAGATAAGTAATTAATATTGTCACGCGCTAGTGAAATTGCCATTTAGTACCTAGGTACTCACTACGGCGGAAGGACAAAGGAGATTCACACTTTAAAAGTATTCACAGATGCACCTCACAAGGCAAAATTTTGTTAGAGCACCGCCAACATTTTAGTAGACTACTATAGGTAGCTACTCCTATCTATCGGACCAAGGAAAACCTAATAATAAAGCCCCGGTTGATTGCTAGCTGGTTGATCGGCCTAGGCCGACTAGCTAACTGTCGACCGAAACTGATGAGTTAACTGGCTTTAATGGCCCGAGACGACCTGCTAGCAATCAACCGGGGGCGGGGACGGCATCAAATACCGGCCCAAGGCAACTCCTCGTCGGTAATCTCAGTGCAAGTGAGATATCCCAACTCCTCGCCATGGCCATTCTGTCGGCGATCCTTCATCAAATCGTCGAGGAGCGGCTTCAGGTCGTGCTTGACGGAGAGCACGGCATCACCCAGGATCCGCTTGCCCTTGCTGGACATCGCGAAGACTTCGAAGAACTGGGGTAGATTTGTTATGTCAAGGTAGGCATTGCCTCCCTTGTAGAGGGTCCGATACAACTTGTAGCCTCCATCCTTGGCGCGATGGTGAAGGTTCTTATGAAAAGCTGAGGCGATATACTGCCGGATCAAGGAATGGGCCTGCCAGAAGTAAATGTCGTTGGCGTAAACGGAACGGTCTGGGACGACACCATTTTCCTCCCGGTGCATCAAACGTGCGGGAGTGAAAGCGACGAGGTCACCCTCGCAGGCAACCTTTCTGGCCTTGAGCTCTCTGACTTTCTCCTCAGCCAGCAACAGGATGCGCTTGTGTAGGTCATCACGGGCGTAATGATCGCGATCAATATGGATCTTGGCGTCGATTTTGCCGACGACATGAATCATGGCTTCGCGAAAGATCAATGGCGATTCCATGCGTCCTCCGAGGCTAGCCCACTCGTCAGGATCCTCCGAAACATAAACCCATAGCTGGCTACCAAGACGAAGAAGGTGGGCTTCGAGAACATCTTTGACGGCACTGACTGCCTTCAAATTTTCTGCTACCAGCAAAACGTCATTTACTTCCTTGATAAGGGTGAAGGCAACTACCGTGTTGAATTTCGGTGACTGGTGGGTTATAATTCGGAAGAACATGTCGTAGATCTTATCCCGGTTATGGCGATCAATACCAGCCTGTCCTTCGAAGTTTGCGAGCTGGATTCTCGCCTTTGAGAAATCCTTTGGCCCCGTTAGTCTGAGCCCCTTATCTTGCTCCTTAGAAGAATTCAACTTACAACAACTTTAAAAGTTCGGAGTTGATCGTCTTCTGGGTGAGCGACCATTTCCAGGTTATACTTGACAGTCTTGACTACATCTGGGTTCTTCCCAGTCACTACCAGCGGCTTGGTGCTGCCAATGATTCCTGCAAGAACCGGCGATGCCTTGGACAAATCTGAGCAATAAGCTTGCCAGGTGAAGCCGGTGCGACAGCCGATCAGAATGTCCCCATCAGGAAAACGAAATCCACCATAACCAGGATGTTCTTCTGCCTCTGCGGATAGGTTTGCTGGTGTGATGGCAGCCGGCTGGGCCAGGCCGGCGGCTGGATTAATGGCAACGCCCGAATTCAACGATGAAGCAGCCTGGTTCGCAGAAGCTTGAGCAAGATCCGCGGGGTTCCAATAAGGGTAAGAAGGTAGTCTGGCCGTGTCGTTGTTTCCCGATGCCCCGAAGGAAGCGGCAGTAGGGTAGCCTAGTGGTCTAGAAAACTTCATCTGAAAGGCACTGTGAAAGTCGACCGATGACTGGGGCACGCCGAGGTGTGACCGATACACTGAGCCCTGGCTCGGCGGTCCCGGGTGCATCGAAGAGCTTGATGCCATGCTTGTTGCGTCCGGAGTCGGGATATTGATCGAGATTTGGCCCGAAGCTGAGGGGCTATAGTCAGGCAAGTTGACGCTCGACGGGTAACCATCGGGTGATGGGGCAGAACTGGCCATCCCCTGGCTTGACTGTCCTTGGGGGGATGGTGAGTGCATGTTGTTCGATGGCTGGGAAAGGTTCGAAGATGAGGAGTTGGTCAAGTTGGGCTGGCTCAACGTCTCAAGAGGATTCGGGCGCGAGTTCACCGGGTTGCGTCTTGATGGACCATGGATCCTGAAGGGCGTGAAACCGGTCATTCTTGAGATCGATTCTCTGGGAGGACTGGATGTCAGTGGAACAATGGTGTTGTCGTCTTTGGGATGAGCAGGATCTATGGATGGAGACTTGTCAATGTTAAGGGAAGAGGGCTGGAAAGCGACAAAGCGGCCAAGTTCTCGCTGGAGGCTGAAGAACAAGTGAATATAGTGGGCCAGAGCAAGCTCACGTCTTTGGCAGATGGTTTTCTTACCTCCACCGCTTCCGGCAGTGGGGAGGGTGGAAGATCATCAGCTGGTAGATCATCAGCTACGTGCTCATCCAAACTCGACCCAACGCTCACTAGATCACCATGCGAGGCTTCAGATTTGATAACTGGATCCTGGCTCGGTATAGCTAGAGCCGGCACTTCACTCGAGCCTTTTGACTTAGTATGCTGGGTGGCGCCGGCCTGGTCCCTGAGCCCCTTTTCCTTCCAACGTTCACGCTTGATTTGAGCGCGATGTATAGATAGGCCATCTTTAGCACCCTTGGCTTCTTGTCGTCTTCGACGCTTCAACTGATTGAGTAAACCTAGGGCTCAATGCTGCCTCTTCAACGGCCGTCACGAGTGGTCTTGACAAGCTATCACGGTCTGCAATAGCCTTGGCTTCTAGCCTTCTTCGACGCTTCAATTAGTTAACAGCCTCGGGCCTAATGTTGCCTCTTCAGCGGTAGTCACAAGTGGTGCTGGCAAGCTATTGCTATCAATGGAGTGTTGGCTCGCACCATCATCTAGAACGCCAGCACTAATTCAAAGTTAATTATTAGTTGTGTTGCGAAGTGTAATATACCTTGATGCAATAAAAATATCTAGAGACTAGGTGTTTGAATCTAGGTTAAGAAAGAAAGGTGGATGTCTGGTATGAATTTTATAGTTTAGGCTTTGTAGCAAATGATTAAGAGCGAGGTAGTAGAATGACATAAGGTACTTGGCGAATAAGATCATGGTGGGAATTTAAATTCCGGAAAAATGAGAAATGAGAAGAGATTTGAACCAGGAGCGATGGGGCTTAGGAGCATGGTAAGGCTGGTCAGGCCAAATCAAACCTGTATGGAATTGCAAGGAGATTTGGGTGATTGAAGGTTGTTAAGGGGAGGAGGGTAGGTAGGTAGCTGTTCAGTGAAGTGAAGCCAAGCGGGCGTAAGAGATAAACAGGGGCATTATCAGGACCTAGCACATCTTGTGCTAAACCCCATTAACCGCTTGTGGAATATATATAAAGTTGGGTAGCGAGGGGAACACCACGCTCAACTAGATTAGATGGCTGTAAAATGGGGGCTTTGTATCCAACTTTGGACCTAGCTGAAGTTATAACATTTCAACTCCTTCAAGGTTTTGAAAAGGAGGAGGGGAATATGTGAGATATAGTTAGGTTCGAAAGTAGATTGGTTATCCTTAAGAGAACAATCCCTATCACTGCCCAATGTGCTGGTGTGGTTTATGGGATGGATGATGTAGGTTATGCTGTCGAGGCATGAGACAAGTGAAATTCCGAGATGCCACAGTTGATGCGCTCCAGCCTTAGTATAGTGAGCTTGCTACTCAAGGCACTTGTCTATTGATCGAGTGCGATCAACTGCTAGTCCTAGCTAATCAACAATGATAGATTGTTAATCGGCACGCTTATGTGTAATGTTGCGTTGGGAGCTCGGTCTTTAGCTAATATGCTCGGAGGTGGCAATTGACCATGTTGCTTGAGGTTATCGATAATCTCAAGGCGTGACAGCGTGGGTATCGAGGAATAGGAACAATCGAGGGTAGTGGCATGGAAAGGTAGCCAGGTGTTTACAGATCGTCTGAAATGTCGGTCTGTATATTGCAGGCGTTAGTAATGTGTCCAGGTACGAGAGTGTGAAAAGACGGAGCGTGAGAGAGGACGCTGAAGCAGATCGCGATATTCGTATGAAATAGGGTAGATCGTGCTGCCCCTATGAGACCAGGATGATGCTCCTGTCTATACGAACAGCCCACTTGCTATACACAAGATAGGATTCCTCCTCGAGGAACTAGTGTAGAGCACGTTGATGGCTGGCAGCCCGTCAGCCCGGGGCGGCCGATCAACGAAGTCGAGATATGATCCAAGGCGCTGCTTGTCCTTGCGACCGGAGCACAGCTGGACGTCCTCTACGAGTGTAGGACGAAGGAGAGAAGGGCGATACTAACGTTCGATATGATTGAGTTTCCCACTCATTGGCTGTTTGATGGCAAGCAGATATTGGGGTCGGGAGTTGTTGGGGTTTGGAGGTGCAAGGGAATTGGGAGTGGGAGTGGAAGCGATTCAGGGCTAGGAACCGAAGGACTCTGTCATAAAATGTTATTGTGTTGCAACTGCTTTTGCCGAAAAGCCTAGCGTGGCCAAATTCATAGGAGGCTCATCCGCTCTCTTGCGAGAATACCTTTGCCCTTCAATGATAGGGATGTGTGATCAGCAAGAGAGAATCAGAATCTCGGGCAATGCGAAGTGCGGCTTTCCGATTTGGTTCCTTATGCCCAGTATAGAACCCTTGGAGAGGACGAGTCACATTGACCAAGGTATGCCTCTTCGCCAGTACTGCTGAAGAGGCTCGACCAAGCAGGTCCAAGTTCAGCATTAGATCAAGAGGACTAACAGAACCAGGGGTAGAACACGATCAGAAGTCACCGGGATCATGCATGAAATAACGCGGATGGATAAGGAGTGTCTATTTGGTTTGAAAAAGGGTGGAGCCTTAGAGGTCAATTGCAAGAACCTATACATCAGCTATGCTATCTTTTATGCACCTGAAATATCGCCGGGTCGCTGGATCACTAGATCGCCGGCAAAAATATAACTACTAAAAAAAAGATTTCATTTATTTAGAGCAAGTGTACTTAAAAGTCTAACTTTGAAGGGGAGCACAGGGAACAAGTAGAGACATGTTATACTATGTCTCTAGTTAGGTTTTGAGCCTTTGTTGATAATAGTTACTTGTTTATATGCGAAGGCGATAGTACGGTAATATTAAGAACTCCTAGCAAAGGACGACATTGACAGATCTACTTAATCAAATAAATAGGTAGAGAAGCAAAGGGGAAGTACGCAATGACTATAGAATAACCTTTAAATAACTCATTGCTAACACTCGTTATTATATGTAATAAGAGCTACAGTAGTAAACGAACAATATATAACAGGATTGGAAAGTGTTAGATTTACAATATCTAATGATATTGCAACAAAGCAAAGAATAGCACGTAATGTCCTCGATGTTGCAAGATAGTAGAACTAAAAAGGTACATAGGGGTACAGCAGGTTGAACGAAACCAAGCGTGGTACGCGATGCCCATACACTAGGCTTCAAAGGATTCATTGCTAGCTCTTAGTAGATACCTTGATCATGGGAGCAACAACAGCGGAATTGTAACTCAAGAAATCGCAAGACAACTCAAAGCAGCACAACGAATAATTCGGATATTCAACATGGGAATAGTAAATGAAACAGAAGGTAAAACGCAACGCCCTCAGATCAGCTCTCAAGTTCTCATTGCCAACACTTTCCTTTCCCAATCATCGCCGAAGCAACGAAAGGGCAGTAGGTTGGCCTGCAATTTTGGCTTTTTGGACACATTGGTCATCACTGGGCTTTAAAGAAAACACCACCACACCTCAAACACCAAACATCAAACATATGAACGGGTTTCTTACCATATGATCAGAGCCATCGGATCTGGATATAAAAGTTAGCAAGTTCCTGCAAGAAGGGAAATGAGGACAATACCAAGCTGCTCCGATTGAAAACTATTTGAAACTTCATCAATGCATAGCAGTCAATCCGCCGCCGTCCCCACTGCCAGCCATCTCTCAACCTCAACCCCCTTGCGGCATCAAAACAACCAGTCAGCAGGAACGGTAGCATCCTGACCAGCATTTCTTCTGTTGATGATTGTCGTCATTGCAGCTCTCAGCCTCAGCTCAAACCACAACAGCACGAAACAACTCAGTTCAAAGCCCGGGGGATGCGAGAGTGGGTAGATCGTTTTCGGGAACCTGCTAAGATCTCTGTTCATTACTTCACGCATATCCAACGCATCCGATGGTACGGATTGTTGGATTGTGGATAGCTCAATGAGGGGTTTCGTCACGGCAGGTTTGTAGATGTATAAAGAACGATGGAAAGTCGTGAAGGCAGACGCGTTTTGAGCGCGGGCGCACGGACCAGTTCCCTTGAAAGGCCTCTAGCGGACGCCGGAGTATACTTAATCCGGTTCGTGCTCTATTCTTTTGAGACAACCTCAAGCTCGTCCGTGGTAGAAAACACCTCGTCCAGCAACATTCTCCAAAGCCAGTGGCCGTTGAACCAGTCACAGTCGCAATCATGGTGCGTTGGATTTCCAGATATCCGACCGTGCAAAAGAAAGGCATCTGCTAACCTATCCTCAACCACAGGCGCGAAACTCCGAAAAAGCACAATCGATGCTCTTCCGCTTCCGTGAAGCGCAAGCAGCAGACCTGGGAATCATCGACGCAGGGCGGTCGCGGCGGCCTCGCATGATCACAGAAGTAACAGCGATCCCCGTGTGCGAGAAATGGCGCGGTCAGGTGCTCAAGGAGATCTCGCGCAAAGTCAGCAAGATCCAGGATCCGAGCCTGAGCGATTTCATGATCCGCGATCTAAACGATGAGATTAATAAGGCTATACGTGAGAAGCATATGTGGGAGGTGCAGATTAGGAATTTGGGTGGCCCGAATTATATGAGGGGCGGAGGCAAGGTTTATGATGATGAGGGGAGGGAGATTCCAGGTGGTGGGAAGGGGTATAGGTATGTTTGCGGTGCGGAGGTTTTGGATTTGATGGAGACTGATGATGATATAGGTATTTTGGTCGAGCGAAAGAGCTTCCTGGTGTTAAAGAGCTGTTTGAAGCGGCGGCACCGAAGCCAAGAGAAGACAAACCCCTTGATTCAAGAGCAGACCTAAGGAAACAGGTCGATGCTGCATACTATGGCTATAATAATGACGAAGAGGATGGGACGCTGTTGGATTATGAGACGCAGAAGGAGAAGGAGGCGTTTGAGAATTTGTTGGCGCAGGATGGGCAGGCGCCGAAGGGCTGGGAACCGTTACCAGGCGACAATGGGAATGGGCATGATTGGAGAGTGCCGACAGTTGATGAGGTGCAAGATGAGCTCGTTGAGAGGAGACGAAGGAGGTTACTTGATAAGCTGGGCTAGCACCGCGTTGCTGTTTGCATGATGTTACGACAAGTTTAGGGTTTCATTGACATATTTGAGGCGTTGAGGGGACCTTCCTTCTAAAGCTTGTTTGTCCCCATGGGGCTGGAGGAAGAGCTAGGCGGGTGGAACAAGTGGCTACAGTCAAGGCAGTCCCATTCCAATCCCTATGCCTAATAGCGGTTCATTACAATAACTGTAGGAGGAGAACCAAAAATTCATTTGATATCAAAAACTACAATTTTGTCTTTTGAATTCGACTATTTGAAGCACCGAGCTAGCTAGCTTGTTCGCTTTTACGATGTTTAAAAATCTGCACCTTTTGTCCAAGCTTTACTACATGGGTAGCTTGGGTTGTGGAAGCTTTTCTTTAAGCAGCAATGCCGATGACACCTGTGAACCTAAGTCAGTAACTGGGCTCTTGTACTACGAGGAGGCTGCAACATACCACAGGCAGGTCGGGGTCCAGCATTGCCAGTCTTCTTGGACTCCTCATTGCCTCCCTTGCCGAGATCATCAGTTCCGGCGTGGACGACAACGGTACGCTAGGGCACTGTCAGTATAATGTTTATAGACCATGGTCTTCTCCACACATACGCCAATAACGCTCTCGGGGCCAATCAACTTGATGAGCTTATCCTGAACAGAGCCAACGGCGTTTCCCTGGGCATCGGTCTTGATGTTGCCTAGATCACCGACATGGCGAATGGCATCGGTGGGCGCGCCGTGGGTTGCGCTATGGGGGTTGACTGCGGGGGATCGATGATCAGCAAAGGGCATCCTCCGTGTGCGTATGTGTACCTGGCGGGAAGTAACACAAGCAACTTACAGTGGGGTCCAGCAGAGGTGCAGCCATTGGTGTTGTCGCCGAACTGATGGATGTGAAAGCCGCGCTCAGCATTGGCGTCATTGCCGGTGAGGTTCCATGAGATGGTGGTCGGGGAGCTCTCGGATTGCTGCTCGAGGGTCACGGTGCCGGTGACCTTGGAGTCGCCGCGAAGTTGAGCAACTGAATGAATAGCGTGGTGTTAGTGAACCATGCACGGTATATAAATTATAAATTGTGGCCGTTCGAGTCAGACAACCAGCCGCCGCCCAGGGGAATCCTGCTCAAACGCTCTCGAGCGACCCCGCAATGGCCGGGATTGCGTGTTTGTGTTGCTGGGACATGTAAGACGGCAATACGTACCTGCTTTAACCATTTTGATAGAGTTTAGAATGGGTTTTGCGGTGAAATTGGGGGATTCTTGGCGGTGGTTATGTTTTTGTCTGTTATTATTTGAGGTTGCAAGCGGACGAGGTGAGGTCAAGTTCGGAGGGGATGAGTGGGGTGGGGGAAGTCGGCATTGGGAGCTACGTAGCTCTAGTGATGGAGAGTGTGAACAGCGATGACGATTTGCTGTTGATAGTAAATTATTAGTAATATCGGTTGTTAGTAAGCCATGTACGTGGTGGGGCTGGTGCCTGAGGTGGTGTTTATTGTTGTTGTTATTGTTGTCCGAGTATGAAGTACAAATTAGTCCTCTAGGCACCATCATAATAAGTAATAAGTGTCTGCTTTAAGTGACCTACGCTGATTAGAGATATATTTTACAACGTGCATTGTCTGAACAGACCTTTGCAGGCTTATAGACTTTCTTGAAGTATTCCTCTCTCTATCTACTCTCTATCCCCGAACATGCCTGTCAAACGGTCCAGGCCAGCTGTCATAAAACGGTGGATAAGCCAGCGCGGCGGTCAATAGCTGGTCTGACGCCGGACACAACGAGACAACGACGAACCAGCATTTCCTGCATAGCTCCGAGCTTCCCGGCGAACTGCGAGCCACGAGTACCGTTACTATCGGAATCAGATGCCAGTACTCGAGTAGTATGGTAAGCTTGTGTGACCTGGGGGCTAAACGCGACAACGGTTTCCAACACCCCACTTGCCCAAGGTTGGCTTTGCAGAACGTGGGATTGGATAGCGGAATAAGGTATACAGGTACCTTCTGTACAGCACATGTACCCGCCCTCGTATGGTGGGAGGCAGTACATACGAACATTCGGCACTGATATGTCTGTTGGCGGCTTGTCCGGCGTCCCTGGGAACAATGGAGTTGTTCGATATCATGTCCGCGGACTCGGGATTGCGGAGAAACTTGACTGGCACCATGTACCATGGCCCTATGGTGCAGACTCCTCTTATATCTCTGACGTGAGATAGCCCTTCGAATTGGTCGTTCAAGAATCCAGAACAACTGCTATCCTGCTGTCCCATCCTGCTCCTCATGGTGGCGATAGTCCCTCCACCAGCCACAAATGCTCCGCCGTCCTCCATCGCGTGGGTTGAGCTCGTAGGGCTGATGGCGCAGTCAACCCCCCTTGGAAACCATAAATGAATATGAACGCATGAGTGGGTGGTCGCAGTGCTGCTGCTAACAGGTTGGATCAGGCTGCTATTATTATACCACCAGCAGCATGCAGCTTTGTGTACAGGCAGACGTCGAGGTATGTAAAAGCATGTAAAAGCACGTAGGATGGAGACACAGCAGCTCACGTTACCTTCTGTGGTTCGTGCTTCGTATAATCGCCCAGCAGAGCCAATAGGAGCCCGCCAAGCGCATGTCCCAACTGCGACGGGGAGTTGCTTCAGCTGCATCACACTTTTGGGGCTCAGAGCCGTGCCAAAGAACAATACTCTGCTCCAGCCCAGAACACGGTGAATTGTACTGGCGTCTTCAGAACTCCTCTCGCCGGTCTTGAGAGACTCTGATATCGCATCCTCCGCGCCCTCGACCTCCAAGATTGTCCCTGTTTGTGCCCGCCGCCGTCGCAAGGCAAACACGACCTGCAAAAGCTTCCCCGGAAACCACCGCGCTGTGGGATAACCTTATACCTAATTCCATATTGTCTGCCACGAGGCCGAGTCAAGCACAACCACCTGCCCACCGAATATTCGCATCAACCCGAGCTCCTGCTATAGCATCAACAAAGAAACCTCTCCCGAGAGTATCGAGCGGCGCGAGCGAATCGAATGGGACCGGCGCTCCAGTGTGGATAGCTCGCGCTCCGTCCTCGCAAATGTAGGGTGAACTCGAGCTTCAAGACAATATCTGGCTACGAGCCACGGACGACAGGTCATCATCTCTGGCTATCCCATCGGGCGCGGCCCTCACCATCGAATCCACTAGACGCGCCGGAAGCTCCTAGACCCAAGCGGTTGCGCGCCGATATTCTGCGGCTGCGGCGATGTCGTTCCATGCGAATGGCCAGCGGCGGTATGGCCATGTGCCTCCAGCCCAGTATCCGCCAGCAGGTGCGCAGGATCAGAATCAAAATAACTCGGGTGCGGGTTTGCAGAGGCAATCGAGTTTCGACAATGGTGACGATGCGCGCTTCTTCGATCAAGGCAATGGCAGATATCAAAGTCAGGGCGGTGGACACTCCATGTCTGGGAGACCCTCCAACACCGCACATGGGGAGTTGTTTATGCCAGGCTCATCATCGCAGAGTCCTCACTCGCCAGCCCAAAGTTCAGTTGGGAGCGCAAGCCCTGCCCTCTCGGGGTATCAACACCAGTATCAACCCTTGACGGCAGGTCCATCCTCGCCGGGCTTACCCCAAGTCCCCTACAATCCTCAGAATTTCGCCCGGACGCAATCCCAATCTCAAGCAGCTCCCTATCGACAGCAGTCTGTATATAACAGCACTCCTACTACTTCAAGCCACCAGCCTTACAATCCAGCTGCATATCAACCTCCAGCACCAGCGCGCAACCCCACTGTCTCAGGCTACAATTCATACTCTTCATACAACCCCGTATCTATGCCACAAGTCCCTCAATCTCCATCATATTGGAACCAGAATAGCCCGCAATACGGTGCTTCTCCTCCCGTTCCTGCGCGACCATCCCCACAAACAATATACGAAAATCCACTTGCTAGCCCAACGTACTCAGCACCAAGCGCCGCACCTTCATCTCAGCAGTCATATCATCAGCCGCCTGCCCCTGCTCCATATCCAGCAAACGGCGGTCAATACAACCAAGGTGACTATAGAAATGCTACGGCTTCACAAGTCCTCTTCCCTGATTATGCCGCATATTCACAAGCTCCCGCACCCCAACCGTTCCTTCCTTATGAAGAAGACCCAGCCTCAAACCGGACGAGACACTCGAATCACGCAGCCCCCTCCGTGCCCGCACAGATAACACCATCAGCGACTCCCTCAAGTACTTCTGGTCTGCAAAGACACCCAACCCTGAGACCATTGCCAAGCGCTCCGGTAGACGATGTAGGAGATAATGACGACTGGGGACTTGGGATTCAAGGCCAAGGCCAGGAGAGTATATCTCAGGATCAACTCTTCGCTGATATTGGAGATGCCCTTGGAACTTCATCCGAAGGACGACAAAATAGAATCCCAGGCAATCAACTTGATAATGAGATACAGGACCTGCATCGATACGACTCGAGAGCAAGTACACTTGGCAGAAATCCAACTGGGATCGATCGATATGCATCTACCGCATCTACCGCATCCACATTAAACCCAAATAGCCTTCAGATACCTTACGATGACGACTACAATGATGAGGAAAGTGACCTCGAGGCCGCTGCTGGACTCGAAGCTATGAGGATCGCTGAAGAGCAGGACGCCCAGCGAGGCTCGGGCTTGGGCTTCGGAGCTTATGAAGGGCAGCAATACGACCACCAACCATCGCAGAATGACAGTAGCGATAGCGATTATAAGCATATGGATCTAAGCCTTGTCGGTGGTGGATATGCGGCTCATATGTCATATGGCAACGATGTAGGTGATCCTAATACTGGACACAGTAGCGAGATGGAGGACCAAAGTCGCCCATTGCCCACTCGACACGATATTGGTAGGTCAGACAGCTATAATCATACTGCCAATTCGGCATCTGCTGGCCTCGGGGGCATGACGGATTATTCTATTCCCGGGGAGGGAGCCATCCATCCATTTCCTGCTTTTGAGGCCGCCAGAGTTGATACCTTCGGAACCGGTGGCCTGCAAAGACCAACATCCCATACCCACAGACTCAGCTTTGATGAAGGAGATGAGCAGGTATCGCTGCATTCGCGATTGTCCGAATCGCGGCTGAGCGGAAGATCTGGAAGTGATAGCCCTTCCCGGGATGGCATGCCTGAGTTGTTCTATCACCCTGGGATGGGCAGCGGCTCTTACAATCAGAATCGCCCCCTTCCGTCGGTCCCCTCCATGTCCGAGAATAGGGCTCCTCAGTTAATGGCTGCTGGAACTTACCGGAATTCTCAGGGCAACTATTCTCACGTGCACTCATTAAGCTCTGAATCAGCTCGCCCAGTATATGTGCCCACCGGCCCAGATGGTTACCCGGCACAAAACATGCTCAACCCCGGTGCTCAATATGTCCCAAGATCAACATCTCTCTCCAGCCATAGTAGCACTCCGCAGACTGTTCCTCCAGTCCGCTCAAAGACCGATGCCGAGGAGCGACAGGCAAGACAAAAGGCGGCAAGACAAGGTCAACGATCAGTCAGTGGTATCGATGCCTTTGACGTTGGCTCTCCTCAATCATCCGTTGCACTAGATCTTCCAGCATTACCCGCTGGTCGCCGGAAAAAGTTTGCTCCCTCAAGACTATCGACGGCGGATTTTAGAAAATGTGAGGAACCTTGGGCCTTAAGTGGTATCGCAGCATGGATCAAAGAAATGGCCGGCGGTGAAACTGGAGAAGGAGAATCAGATCTTCGGCAAAAGACAATCGAAGATGGGCTGGTAGCTTTGTTCACTCATAAGGTGCCTACAATGAACACAGCCGATGCCGAGACATTATGCCAGAGAGTGGTCAATTCCATGTTCGATGCTGGGATCCTTTTACGAGACGAAGAGTGGGTTAAACTTGGTGAAGGAGAAGTCTCCGGGGTACTCTGGCAGCTTACTGGTTCCGGTTGTTATTCTCCCAAGGTCCATGAGCAGGAGGTCCATGGACGATGCTACTCCCATCATTGCACTCGAACGTTGAAGAAGATCAATCTCCAGTCACAAACCCTAGAGCCCTCGCGCAAATCTGAAGACTGGGTTACATTCTTCAAGGTTACGAAAGAGCAACTGGAAGGGGCCCATAAAAAGGAAGTAGAGCGCCAGAACAATCTCCACGAGATCGTCATGTCCGAAGATTTGTATATGGATCAGATCAACGTTTTGCGTATTCTCTACAGAGATGATCTGTCGACATGGCAACCACCGATTATAGCCAAGGCGAAGCTACCAAAATTCCTTGCGTCCATCTTTGGCAAGATCGAAGCGATCAAAGAAGTCAACGAAAACTACCTGCTGGCACAGTTGAAGTACCGACAGAAAGAACAAGGCCCTTGGATCATCGGATTCAGTGATATTTTCAGAGAATGGGTTCGAAAAGCCAAAACTCCCTACGTAGAATATGCAGCGGGGTTTCCGTATGCTACATATCTCGTTCGGAGAGAGGCAGAGAAAAATCTCTTGTTTCGCCAATTCCTTGACCAAGCTCGTGATAACAAACTCTCTGGACGGTTGGATTGGAACACTTATCTCAAAGCACCCATTACCCGATTACAACGTTATACGCTACTGCTGGGTGTTGTGCTCAAGAATATGACCCAAGATACAGAGGAGAAGGCGATGCTTGCTACGGCGATTGAAGAGATCAAAGCAGTCACTCTTGAATGTGACGCCAAGGTAGATGAGCAGTCCAAGAAGGTCGAGATGATCGAACTACAATCAAAACTATTTCTTCGACCTGGCATGGAGCGGGTCCAGCTCAACCTTGATCATCTTGGGCGCGAGCTCATTTTCAAGGGCGACCTCCAGCGTGCTGGAGCAAATCGGTTCACATGGCTTGAGACTCATGCTATTCTCTTTGACCACTATCTTGTATTGGCGAAGACAATTATACAGCGTGAAGGTACTACTGGGAGGAAGAAGGAAGTCTATGACGTATCCAAGCTTGTAAGTTCTGATTCATTCCCCAAAATACATGCTCTATCTAACCCATTCAGCCAATTCCGATGCAGCTTCTGGTACTCGAGACTACCAACGACGATCCTGTCATAAAGTCTTCGGTGAAAGGTATTGGGGCCGTTACGACTGTGACAAAGACAGCGCAAAGCACTGCTTCAGATTCCAGACTAACTCGTACGGTAACCAACGGCACCCTTGAGCACACGAACTCGAACATCTCGGTAGCAACCATGGGATCAGCCACAAAACTTACCCCAGTAAATACCAACGATAGCGATGCCAGAGCCATGTACCCCTTTCGAGTCAAGCATCTTGGCAAGACCGAAGTCTATACCCTCTATGCACCAAGCGCCCAAAATCGTCAAGATTGGTGTGACAAAATTCTTGAGGCCAAAACTCGCCATGCAGCCTCGTTGTTTGAACAAAACGCCGAGCCCTTCAGACTTCGTGTCATGGCAGATACTGCATTTTCTTATGATGCAATGTCCGCTGGATACCAGAAGAGTGCTGTGTCAGTGATAGGCACACCTTTAGAACGAGCTATTAGAGAAATGGAACGGACCTATGGCGCAGGTCCTCGACCGGGGCCAGTTTGCAGAGCGCAGGTCAATTGCGCTACTGCTTTCAACTGCTTTGGGAAGTCCATGGTAGCAATCGGAACAGATTACGGTGTCTACATCTCGGAAGCTTCAAATGCCCGAGGGTGGTCGAGAGTGAGTGAACATTCACAATACTTGCTAATTAAAGCTAACACTTATAGTCGATCCAAATGAACCGTGTTACGCAAATAGCGGTCCTGGAAGAGTTCTCTCTTTGTCTTATCATCGCAGATAAGTCCTTGATCGCATATCACCTCGATGTAATAGTTCCCGTTTCAAACTTTCCGGCACCTCAGCACGACTCTGCCCGGCGCGCTCCTCAAAAGCTCTCCGGAACCCGCGATGTCTCATTCTTCGCCACGGCGCGGATGAAAGACCGAACCCTTGTCTTCTACAAGAAAAAGGAAGGTCTCCACTCGACGTTCAAAGTTCTCGAGCCTGTCTTCCAGAAATCCACCGAAAAGAAATCACGGCTCTTCGGCAAAAAATTCGGCAGCACCACTGAATTCTTCCGCGAATTCGACGAATTCTACATCCCGACCGAATGCTTCACCATCAACCTCTTCCATACTTACATCGCAATCTCTACGTCCAAAGGCTTCGAGCTCATGACCTTGGATAAGAAAGTCCCCATGAGCATTCCTGATATGAAGAATCCTGCAATAGGCAACATCGCCGCACGCCTCCAAGAGCAAAAGCCCCTAGGCATGTTCCGCCTCTCCGACTCCGAGTTCCTCCTCTGCTACCAAGAATCCGCCGTCTACGTCGACAAGCACGGCGAAGTCTCGCGCTCCGTCATCATGGAATTCGTAGGCAAGGCAAAATCAGCAGCCATGTACGGTGCGTATCTCGTGCTCTTCGATAGTGATTTCGTTGAGGTGCGGAATGCGGAGAACGGGAGATTGAGACAGGTTATTGCGGGCAGGGATGTCCGATGTTTGGATTATGGTGTTAATCCCCTAGGGGCCGGTGCCGCTAATAGTCAGATGGCGATGAAAGGGTTCGGTATGGAGAATGGGCCGATGAAGAGGACACTTAAGATTGCCATGGCGCATCCAGAGGTGGCCGGCAGTCAGATTGTGCTAGAAATGGTGCTGAATGAGGGACATATGGAGTGAGATTAACAGCAGCGATCGATCGAACTTGCAGGACCAATTACCAGCGCCGCGGTAGCTTGTGATTGAAATGATAGATGGCTTAAATTACGAGGGCCTATGAAGGGAACACGTCGATCATAACAAAATTAGAACTGAGGGGTCGAGATTCCAACGTCTCGATTTCGTCAACTCGAACCCACTCGCACCGCTTAAAGTCCACATCCTCGTTAATACAGCAGCAACTCACAAAACCCCGCATATCTCACCGCATAGGACTCCGTTCTACATCCTCCTCCAACACCCCCATCGTGATCGACGAAGGGATATCACAAAAATCTGTATTGCCGAAGTCAATACCCGGCAAAACAAGCAATAATGTGGGAGCCCGTTTTTTACCAGCATTGGCGTTTTCCGGCGTTGCTTTTATTGTGATTTTTTTGTTTCGTCCTCGTTTTTTTATTTTCGGATTTTCTGTGGTGCTATTTCAGCGTAGCTGTTTAGTGGAATGTATCGCATGTGTATGTGTATGAAAAATCCGATATCTGAGAGGATGGGTGGATCAAGTACCGCGAATTGCAGAAACATGGAATGAACGAATGGAAGCCAGTGTGGAGGGTGTTTTTATGAGTGGAGAGTAGTTGGTTGGTTGGTTGATTAGTAAATATACCTAGGGATAATACAAATGTGATTACTTGATTGATGTGGAATTGACGAGTTGAATTGCTATTTCGATAAGTTTCATGTGAAGGTGTGATAGTTTTAAGTTTTAAGTGGGGGAATATTATGAGGTGGTATGATTGGAAATATTATATATTCGTGGAGGGGCCAGGATCGCGTGGAATAGAAATAAATTAAGTGAAAACCCATGGTTCTTAATCCTATATGCCACACGCTAGCTACTAATTTCATTCTGCATGTCTTCGTGCATCCTATCCCATGACAATTTACCTGCACGAGTTAAATATTCGCCACACACTACGAGCTCATTCTATGTTAAACTTCCTAAGCTGCTTGGATCTTCTCCTTGATAATATCCTTCAGCGTAACAGCATCGGCAGCGAACTTGCTGATACCCTCTCTTAGCTTCTCCACGGCCATCTGGTCCTCGTTGAAGTCGAAGCGGAAAGTGGATTCGTCATCGATGTAGGTCTTCTTCTCGATGTTTAGGGCGTGGGCGTTCTCGGCGATGAGCTTCTTGGGGACGGGGACGGTGGAGGACATTAGCTCTTCCAGGAGGTTGGGCTATACTGTGTTAGTGGATGTAAGGAGGGAGTGGAGGGGAATAACGTACGGAGATGGTCAAATAATCGCAACCAGCCAACTCGGTGATCTCGCCGATGTTTCTGAAAGAAGCTCCCATGACGATGGTCTTGTATCCGAATTTCTTGTAGTAGTCGAAGATAGCCTTGACGGACTCCACACCCGGGTCCTCCTCCTTGGAGTAGGTCTTTCCTGTCTTGGCCTTATACCAATCGAGGATACGGCCGACGAAGGGGGAGATGAGGAAGGTTCCGGCCTCGGCACCAGCGATGGCCTGGACTTGAGAGAACATGAGAGTGAGGTTGACGTTGATCTTGTGGTCGCGTTGGAGGATGCGGGCGGCTTGGATACCCTCCCATGTTGAGGCGATCTTGATCAGGACACGGGACTTGTCGATGCCGACGGATTTGTACAGCTATTACAGTTAATCCAAGTTCTGATTTTTGGTAAAACGTGAGATATATACCTCGATGATGTGGAGAGCCTTGTCAACTGAGCCCTTGGTATCGAATGAATAGCGGGCATCAACCTCAGTGGACACCTTTCCGGGGACGACGTTCAAAATCTCCTTGCCGAACTCGACCAACAGGCGGTCGAGCGCATCCTCAACCTGCTCATCGACAGTCTTGCTTCCGATGCCCTTCGCATAGGCAACAGCTACGTCGATGAGCTTGGCGTATTCGGGTTTCTTGGATGCGGCGAGGATGAGGGATGGGTTGGTGGTGGCATCTTGGGGCTTGTATTGGCCGATGGCTGTTGAGAATCAGTAGGTTGTTCGTAGGAAAGAGTATGAATCCCATTGGAAACATGGTGATGATTGATTGGTGTTGTTGTTGCTGTATATATTGAGATGGAGGGGTATCTTACATGCGAAGTCACCTATGCGAATATGGATGATTAGCCATAATTCCCTCAAATTGATCCGTGATGCTTACCAGAGTCACTGACAACAGTCTGCGCAGCGAGATGAATTAGCAAACCCGTTCATATGGGATGGTCGGATCAATGTCCAACGAGACGGCCACGAAAGAGAAAATTCTCAACACATTGAAAGCGCCCCGCTCAGAATCCCCGATCAGCGACGGTGCATGGAGGGGGAACTTACGGTGCCAGTGGCCTTGAGTTGATCTAGTGAAGTAGCCATATTTGCAATTTGATTAAAAGGTATCAATAGATGGAGATGGAGCTGCGGTTGTCAATCTGGTGGTTTATGATTTGTGTTTGTAGTAGAAGTGTAGAGTGGTGTAGTAGTGGCGGAAAATGATGAGGGAAATGTTCACTCGTCATGGTCATAAGTTCGATGGTGGGGGAATCTGATCGACAGCGGCGCCGGGGGGGTTACTCAGCAGAGGGTTGTGCTAGATGCACACCTGCACCCCGAAGTTGCACCAAATGTCTCGCTTTGGCTCCGACATTCGGATACAAATACGCAGCATGCAGTCCTCTTACACATATTACAAGTCATGAGCAATGCTACCTACAGTGTTCTATTCTGTATGCACTGTATCATTATTGTATCATACCAGTTTCTAGAGCTCCCCCAAGACGGGACATTTCCATTCTAGTATCGAGTGCCGAGACTTGGGTACGTACCCGTCACATACGGTGTTTGATGGCGTTTGATATTCGCGCCCCGGGCCAACAAAGGAATGTGTGTACAGTAAACTCCCGCATTTGGTGCCACTGACAGCAGCGGGTTGACTAAGGCCCATGAATGGGGCTTAGGTTCATTCTCCGGTCTAGATTTGGGTCGGAATTGTCAGCAACATTTTATTTTTCCTCGGGCAGAAGAGCGTCGAGCGATGAGGTATTTCCAAGGCGAAGCACAGCACCCTATCGATCTGAAATGTGAAGCTCTTATTAGATAGATGCCCCATGCAAGAATAGCCTTTTTGCCTAAATTCACAGTCGCGTTGCCACAATGGTGTGAATTGCGGGCCATGTGAGATTAGACAGTCGCAACGTGGGTGTATCAGAAACGCCGTGTTCTATCGCCGGCTGAAAAGTTCTCCGAGCAAAATGTCACGACTTCTATCTTTCTTTATTAGGAATGGTAGTACTCAGGCCGAAGACGACAATCATCTCCTTAATCCAGGAGGAAATTAGGGTACCATGAAGATTGATTCGTAGAAGTCCCGTGAGCTCGAAGAGAAAACTATTCCGACGGGATTAGAGGGTATACAATTGATCAAGTACGGCTAGCCTCCATTCCGTCTGTTGATTTGGCCATCTCTACATAGGTACCCAGGTACTCTATGTAAAGTTATCCCTTGTTCTTATTAGAAGTATGTATGATGGGACTAATTATAAATAATCATAGATGGCCCCCTTAGACATTGCTGGGTTGATCGCCGTCCGTATTATATATCTAACTCGCATGCAATTCAGACTTTGGGTGCACGCCACTACTCGAGTACTCGTATTATAAATTCTGTAGGGGAACCTCAGAACCCAAACTATACTCCTTCGTATATATAACGCTTTAGAGAACTACTTGCCACATACGACCATACCCACCTACCACCTGCTACTTAGGTACCTGTAAGTAAGGTACCTGACGTATTGATCCAGCCTTCGTCTACTAATATGGGTGCATGATATGTGGCCGGGGCATGGCTGGGGAGATTCCGACCCGGTGGAACCAATTAGCAGTGACCCCGCGGTCGACGACAACCGGCCGGCTACCGGGAGCTATTATCGCCCATCATTTACATCATCCTCCACCGGATCGCAAGAACATACTCTGTAAACTATTCGACAGGACGGCAAAGGCATTGGGCCGATGTACATTTTGCCCTTGCCATGGCCGGTAGTAGAGCCACGTGTGGCCCTAAGGTGGTAAGGGCATGTGACCGTTGCAAAAAGCAGAAACTGAAGGTCCGTCGTTACATTAACTCACAATCTTCCCATCTTGACAGAGCAACCCGTATCTGAAATATTTACGAAGTAGCTGACGACTCTTTCCATTGTAGTGTGATGTAGAGCGCCCTTGTACACTTTGTGCAAGGAGTGGTATTGCATGTACAAGTAATAGCACTCAGGGGAGTAGACCATCGGGACTTGGGCGAGGCCGAATCACGAGAACGAAGTCTCACCCAAACCGACGAAGCCTCATTGCGAACTATGAAATTCCCCTTTGCCGTGAGATGAATAATCAAACTCCAAGTCCTCAGCCGGGTACAACTTTGGCTGCGTCGAATGCTCCTTCTGACGCTGCTTCTGACACGGATGGCCCGATCGCCGAAGAAGCACTGCCGCATCAAAGAGAAGCTGCCGATTGCAATGTTGAACATCGCCCGCAGAATTATCAACCTCCACGTCGAGGCCTGCAGCCTACTACCTCTCCTAAATCGCGTGGCGATCTCCCAGGACACTCATCTCGTCATTCAGAAGGCCCTACAATACAAAACGTGTTCACCGGGGATAGCTCTACAATTGGACTTACAAGAGAAGTACGTATCATAATCCACTAGTAGAGAAGTTTGATTTTGAACTTTTACAGGTTTTCGGTTTCAACGACTCTCAGCATGACTCTATAACCTCAGCCATGCCGGGTGGGGCAAGCCAACCTTCTTCGGACAATGTCGGGTTCCAGAAGTCGATCACTGAGACCGCTCAATTGCCTCCAGCCGCTGTGGTAGAGGCTTTAATTGACTCATACTTTGATACCGTTCATTGGTTTATGTTTATTCTTCACGAGAACTCATTTCGAGAGCAAGCCAGACGCATCATAGCAAAGGCCTCTTCCGACCTCACAGCTGAAGATGCCGAGTTCATAACCTTGCTTATGATGGTACTTGCATTTGGTGCACAGTATGCAGCCAAGAACCCTAGATGGAAGTTTAGGGCAGTTATTGAGAAGCACTCAATTGACCTCCATGCCCTAACCGAAAACCTGATCCAGCACGTGCGATCTCGTTTATTAGACAGCCTCGAGCGATGTCAGGTTGAGGTTGTACAAATCTGTGTTCTGCTGGGCACATTCTATATATATCACGGAAAGCCAAACTTGTCGTGGTCAATTCTTGGCTTGGCTGTCAAATGTGCTTATGCCTTGACTATGCATCGCGAAGTTGACTGGCGCGGTAGCAATGTTGTATTACAGACCCGTAAAAGGGCTTGGGCACATACTTTCATTTCCGACACCTTTGCAGCTGTAATATATGGTCGGCCACCCACTGTTAACCGCGCATTTTGCGATATTTCATTCCCAGACGAGTTTGATGATACACAAATCCCGATGCCGCTTCGAGCTCTTGCCGAGCGGTTGAACAGTGGTAAATCAATATCGAAGCTCACTTTTCATACTCATAAATACCGTCTGTATGACCTAAAGGCTCAAATTGTCAACAAGATTTACACTTTGAGTGGTCGAGCGGGGTTCTCGGCCGCAAAGGGCATTGTGAAGCTGGTGAACACTATTCATGGGCTCGACAAGCGATTACGGGACTGGTACGATGGTCTACCACCTTTTTTCAAATACGCCGAATGGAAAGACATGCAAAGAGATCCTTTTGATGAACTTGAAAAGTCAGAAGCAGCGATTCCCGCTTCTCAGGAGCGTTCTAAGCGCCATTTGATATTGCAAGCAATCTCCTTGCAAGTCTCGTACGACAACATTTTAATCTTACTACACCGTCCACTACTTGAATACAAGATGTCATCTCACAGGGAAGGAAGTTCACCAGAGGTAGCCACTAACGACCCTTTTGCCTACTCGTTCAACACTTGCATGTCCGCGGCAATGCGAATTTCTCGCACGCCCGCCCATAAGTTTGAGAACGACATGCCCTTAGCACTTATGTCCACGCATATGTTTACTGCTGGTGTCATTTTATGCATTCCGGCGACTATGAGTCCTTTCAGCTCTCTTGCACACAACGCCAAAGCTGGAGTTGTAAGGATCATCCAGATGCATAAGAGATTATCGAAACATACACAAATAGCCCTACAGAGCCACACCATCTTGGAAGAGCTCATGAAAGTTGCGATCAAGCGTGAGCTTGACATGATGTTACAACCTACTGAGCATCAGCAATTGCGTAATAACTATGAAGAGCGCATGGGGTCCGGCTTGACGTACGTATCCACGGCAGGTGAATCGACCCCCGTCTTGTTACCTTCGGGCGGCATGGTCTCAGGGACTGTCGCTTCCCGCAATGGCCAGCTGTATGCGAATCAGACTTTGCCAGATGGACAGCGGCCGTCAGGAGAGTCCCAATTGGCCCTAGGCGCAATGGCTGAGCACAATAGTTCTTTGGAATTTGACGCGCATTCATCTGGAATGGCGAGTTATTCTGTGCCAGTACTTACAAATACTAACAATGTTCCTCTTTCACATCCTATATATGAGGGGTCTACATCTGCCATTTCACCTGATGGTGTTGATTACGGTCAGAATTACAACGACCTGGGTGCTGAGCCGGATAATGGATTCAATAGCGCGTTCGGTGCCTTAGAGAAAGGTCAGTTCAAGGAAATTAGCTCCTCGTCCACACATGCTTATTCATGCAGTTATGTACGATCTTGCGCCTTCAGAGTGGCTCGACCCTGCATGGATGCATCCTCTCGCAATCAGTGATCTACAAAGTCCCACCGAACATCGGCCGCAAGACGGCCTTTCAGGATCAGCAGGTACCAGCCAGGCTGGGCTACCTGCAGCTGTCGAACCCCGTGAGATCTCTGAGGAATCTCGAGCTTCGCTGCCGGCTATCCATGGCGGAGCGGCCGCCGAAAGGCACATTGGTGCTACTAGCCTCCATAATTTCGCGGAAGCTGGACCCTCATGGCTGTGGGGTCTGAACAGAATTACATGAGGTTTTTAAAATCCTATTGGCGTTAAGTAACCTCTGGAGGTGGAAAAAACTACTCTCAATTCTGGAGCTTCACCTGCAAGATCTTTACAATCATGTCATCTCTCGCCTCGCTGAGGTCTTCAAACCGTCGAGTTCCAACCATGTCTTTAGTACCATTAACCCACCTCTCAGTCGGCTGTTTATCAATCACCGGGTCAGCAGGAGCATACCACCTCATCAAAGGTTCAAAAAGATGCTCTGCGTAATGGCCAATGCCTCCCTGACCGCCACCTAGATGCCACAGCATTGATGGCCCCATAGCGGACCATCGCAAACCCGGTCCGAACTCCATTGCCACGTCAATATCTGCCACCGAAACCACTGCTTCCTGTAGGAGATACATAATCTCCCTTGCTAAGGCGGATTGGAGTCTATTCGCGACATGACCCTCGACTTCCTTTTGTATATGAATTGGCTTCTTCCCAATTCGTGTATAAAACGCCATGGCCGTGCTTACCGCCGCCGCTGACGTCTTCTCGCCTCCTACGATTTCGATGAGCGGGATAAGATGGGGCGGATTAAAGGGATGAGCGATACGGGATGGTGTTGAAGCGCAGCCAGCATAGGGGTGCATGTCAAACCAGATGTTGAAGAGCAGATGAGCGCGGATGGTTTAGCGATTTCGTCTATCTTTTGCAGAAGTGGGTGCTTGACATGTAGCTGTTCAGGGCTGTTCTCCTGGACCAGATCGGGTCCCTCCAGTGCAGTTGTGAGGTCGGTCGTGAATTTAACAGTATATGTGGATGTGGGGCACCCTTTGTCTTGTATTGCCGCGATTGTGTTTGATGTTCGTTCTATGGTATCCCATAGCAGACTTTCTGCTTCAGGTCTTGGATCATAGACAGTGGTCTGTAAACCATTCGCCGCGAATAGGGCTGCAAAACTAGCACCAATCTTGCCGTAGCCTATTACTGCCACTCGTCGAATCGACCCCTCGTCCGTGTTTTCGGTCGAAGATAGCATCTTTCTAAATTATTAAAGGCGCGAATGTCACTTCTACCAACTTTTCTGAGTTATGTCTTTCTTTTAGATATTACGGAGTATCGTAGGCGGGGGAGCTTGTACTGTACGTTCCTCCACCGGACCTCCTTATCCGATGCCACCGGAGCCGAATCTTGAAATACGAAATGAGGTTTGGGCTAACAAAGTTATTCTATAACGCAGGTAGAACAAATTTGCCTCTAAAAACAGCATCTCAACTCATATTCCATGTCGCGCCTCTTGACAAGGTAGTTTGAACTTCTCTAATTTCTCCGCTACAAACCACCATGAGCGCATTCACTGCATGCCCTCAGCTTTTGGACCCTTCCCCCACGACAAACTATCTTAGGGGCTCCACACACAACATGGCCAGCAAGCACTCACTGTACCGCCAGTATTGTGTTTACAGCTACCGCTTCCATACTCCGCAGCTTCCTCCCAAACTCTTCCTTTACACTGGACGTGCCCGGCGATATCGCCTATGCATCGTTGTGCATCACACACCCTGCGAACCTTCCTTGGTTAGCAGACCGCGGGTACAGTCACTACGGACTTTATGTTCACGACGTTGTGTGCACGCCAGATGGAGAGTCGATCAGAGGGAAGTACGAAGTACCTCGTAGCACTATGGGAGAATTTGGCCTATCCGATCCTAAGTGGTAGAGAGGAATTGGGCTATGCGAAACTATATGCTGAACTTAACGAGGATTACGACGAGGGATCCGGAGTTATAGATTGAGCGCTTCATGGCTGGGCAAAGAATTCGGCACTCTCAAGCTCTCGGGGTTGGAAGCAGACGCTACTGGGGCGGGATCAAAAAGCACCGAATTCGAAGCTGGGTCTCTACTATATATTATATTGAATGGTATTGCTTTGAGGGAAGAAGCCGTCCTAACGGTGGTTGCCCACCTGCGAGAACACTACTCCGAAGAACATTAAAAGATGCACGGACCATGATATCGATGTCGGCCATGGAATTGAAATGTTCCGCCCGTGCTTCTCATCGTCAGCCTCACCATGAATTAACTAACTTCCCTCAATTTATGATGTGCAGATCCGCTATGTGAGGTCTCCCCGCATCTAGAATGTATGATTACTGCCAAGTCTTATAGCGGACGATCTACAGGCCTTTAGGATTGCCTTACTGGTATAAAAATGTCACAACCCATTGCACAACCCGAGGCGCCTCGTGCGAGAACTGCATCATGGTCTTGGAGAAGGTTTTTTCGAAAGGATGACAGCAATACCGCCCCCCCACCACAAGAGTCTGCCCCGCGGCCCGGGGTCGCCCGCCGAATATCTCGAAAGGTAGTGCCGGGATTGCCTCGACCGGGGACTTTTAAGAGACAACAATCAGAGCTTCGAGACAGACTGGTACCTAGTATAATACTAGATACTCCTGAACGGCGCACGGTATCAACGGATCGAAATCGAAGTTTGCCTCGAGCGGGAACTTTTAAGAGACGACAATCAGACCTTCGAGACAGACCGGTACCTAGTATAATACTAGATACTCCTGAACGGCGCACGGTATCAAAGGATCGAAATCGAAGTTATGCCTCTTATCGAGACCCGTCCACTGCGGTGGAACGTGGCCGGAGACGTAGTAGACCGGAATTCCTAGAAACGACAATCGACGATATGCTAGATAAACCTAGCAAGCCGTCCTCCAACTCCAGCATCTCTGGACCATTAGCCTATTCGGGCACCAAGGCGGACCCTGTTCCTTGGGATACCTGGATGTCCATACGAAATGAGGGCATATCTGGTATTGCAGGTAGATATACGCAAGGTGGCGGCGAAGTATTTAGCCAGGCAGATCAGGAGTATCAGCCTTCAGAAGACATCCCAGATACGTTCCGCAATTCGACTCTGGGCACGTTTGAACCCGGTAGAAAAGACGATACGTTCTCTGCTCCGGAGGATGGCACGTTCTCAATCTTTAAATTGACTGCCGATTACTGACCTCTGTAGATAACGAAGCGATGTACGAAGGCAAAATCGACGAACACAACGAAGAGATGAACGACGACGCCTCAAATACGAATCCGCTTCAGCGGGAGTTCCTTGCCAGAGAAGATATATGGCAGGGCTATAAGATATCTGGTTCGGATATTACTCCCTGGCATCAAAATATCTCGGAGCCGAACTTCAGGAAGCCTTCCGAGTCCATCTTTACAGGCGATAGCGAAGATGAGAGCGGATCCACGAGAGAGAACAAAAATGAGATCGCAAATTGGGCCGTCAGTACGTCAGATATTGCATCTGTGGCATCGGTCGATGAGGACATTTTCTCTACGGCTGGTTCACTCTCTACCAATTCAACCGTCTCCTCTATCCGTCTTACCGCCATTGACCATCTTGTCGGTGTTTTTGTCGCGGACAATGAGTTAGCACCACTCTATGCACAAGCTGCGAAACGGTTAGGACAGGAGAGATTTGTTCGAAACCAAAGACGTCTCCTGAAGATATACTTCTTGGATCTACGCTCGCGGACTCAATCACAGCTTCACGAGCAAGCAATCCGCATATTACGCGGTCGCTCTGAGAGAACATCAATTGCTGAGCAAATCTGGAGTATCGTCAGCCCTAATAAGTCAAAAAGTGCAGATATGGTGAGTACAAGAACTTGTCCTGCCTGATTAGAGCAAATTAGAGCCCCTTATGAGACTTGTTTTGGAATATTCAAAGCTGACAATACATAGAAAGCCCTGCTCGCCCAAAAGCCGGACAAGCAAATACAACTTGAGCGACTTCTCGGAACTCAGATCAGCGATGAAAATATAGATGAAGAGGCTGGTCTTGCCACGGACAGCGAGTCAAGTGAAGAGTCGGAGAAAAGTGACTCGGAAGGATCGGATTTTGCCGATAAAGAAGCAAAGTATCCCAATGTAGCATTGGCAACTGATTTCCTTGTTGGCGGGCCGGCTTTCAAACAATACGTGACAAATGTGAGGACCTTCCTCCGTCTGGAGGTGGGGCCTTCCACCCTGCAGGAGCAAGTTGTCAAAGGCGACGTCAAATCCGCTACTAGACTTTTGCAACAGCATTTTCATGAAGTCGCTATCGATGAATTCAATTGGCTTCATGAACTAGTGGATATAGGCTGCGAATTTGAGGAAATGGCAAAGCTGCTCATCGATAGTGAAGCTGGATCACCATGGATCCTGATGAGTGCTCCTCCCACAGATCTATTAATTATGTGCCGCAGATGGCATCGGGAGAATTGTGTTCACAAGGGTGGGCATAAAATCGAAACTGCACCCAGAGTAATCAGCGCAAATACTCCGAAAGCCATCAGCCATGAACCCGAGCGAGGAATGACTGGAGTGAAGGAGAGCATTGGCAAATGGTGTGGCTTAGCAGGTGTGCTTCCCCTAGCTGATGAGCAAGACACAGTTGAGTGGATGCGATGGACATCGTGTGTCCAATTCACAGGAGAAGATAATTCTGTCGCCTGGGTTAGCTATGCCGAAGAAGAGTTTCCGGCAAAACCCGAGATCCGGTTGGCCCGTATAGTAGACACTCTACGGAGGACGTGTTCTGCCATTGGCTTCTTACAAGAGAGCGACCTCATCTGCGACGGTTTCACAGTACTGAAATTGGACACTGGGAAAGAGCTGTGCATTGAGCTGTCCCAGATCAATGTGGAACCCATTGAAGAGTTATATCTAATAATAAAAACTCTGGAGGAGGGAATGCTTCATGATCCTACAAACCTGGTTCGGTTCAAGATTTGTTCATTGGCAGCAGAAGCCTTCGTTTCGATGTTTGGAGAGCGATACCACGAGCACGAAATCAGTCTGGATGCCGTATTGAATGACTGTGCGCTGGCAGCCCAGATATTATCACTCGGTGTTTTGAGCTACTCACAGGCGCACATTGGGCATTTAAGCCCGGGATTTCTTGTAGGTTCGTTGCAAGAAGTTCACCTACTAGGCACGTCTCCAGAGACGTCTTCCCATGTCGTTACTAGACTGCGCAACTTCACTTGCATGAAAGACATGGTTCGAGACCCGGTTCTTGTCTTTCAGATTGCGACGGAAGGCTCTTCATTGTCTGATCCTCCGGTTGATTATGATCTTTTAGCCTCTCCTCAAGACCTAGCCATCACATGGAGTCCTACCAGATTCATTACCGAGCCCAATGGAACAAATCTGTACGCCGTAGAGATTCGAGGAGGGATGATTAACTTCCCCCAAACCTCTTCCACAAAGGCGCATTGGAGTCCCGGGCAGAATTATCACGGAGAATACGGTTCAGGGTTCATATGGGACCAGAAGATCCTGATCGGAGGCACCATAATTAACGATAAATGCCCCTTAGACGAAACAAAAAGCTGGCAACATCCAGCAAACTATGCCTATGTCAAGCGTCTTGGTACCAGTGATACTCGTTGGGAGCTTCGAGAAAAACAAGTAGGCATGCAGGGCGGACAATACATCACTCTAGCATTCAATCCTACCTATATCAAACAGGATGGCGTCACACTGAAGCAACAGCAATTGATGCTGCCATTCAACGAGATTGACTTAGCTTTTTTGAACTCGACCTGTGGCCTCCAAATCAGCTTCTGTACAGGTGTTGCGCGCCGGGTTCCGCTGCGGGTACTGCTCGCAGATGTCATGGTGCCATTTGTCGAATCTCGACTCTCGAAGCCAGCACACTGGGAAGAACTAAAGACAAAATTCGCCATCGTCGAAAATTTCAGAAGCGATCTAGGACAGTGGTTTGATCGGTTATCAACGGGACTGAGGGAATCCGCGATCCAAATTGTCCGATCAATGCTCGGAATCCTCAAGGATACTGGGATCGACAAGAATGGCGAGGAGCTTGTCATTGCGTGGGTTAGAAAGGAGGACCCGTATTTGTGTCTAAGATTGCGTTGCGAGAAGACCAGTCTCTGGGCTCGTATCCTCGCAGATTCAGAAGACTGTGCGACATTTGCATGCATCACGCCCCTTTGCATTGAAATCGAGAAACACAAGTGCCGCGGCCTCGAAGTAGCGCCATGGCACAGCGTCAGCAATCTCCTCGACACAGCAGTTTGCCAGCATCTCGAATCGGGAGCTGACAACAGTTGCGAACACACTTGCGCCGTGGCAGTTGCAGCATCAGGCGTCATATTGGATTGGGAAGTCGGGATCGAATCTCATTGCCAAAGTGTGGTTGACGAATGAAGATGCTAAACCAAGACTGGTGGTGAGGCAAAACGTCATTCCAGAGAAGTATAGGGCGAGATTGCCAAGGTCGATGGTGGCGAGATTAGGTAGGTTGAGGGAAAAGCAGGCAAGTGATGCGATTGCGAAACAGGTGGTGATACTTACGGAGATATGAGTGATGATGATATGTGATATGTGATATGAGCAATGATGAGATACCCTGTGATATATACCGCCAGTTGGAATTTAATACAAATGTCAAAACAAACTTAATCTAGATCTTGAACACAACATTTTCAATGTGAGGGTCGATATCCAGAGAAGGTCAAGATTCGATTATAACAGCCCTGATATTCGGCATTGCCGAATCTCAACAGAAATAGACAGTACAATCAACATCATTTTCGGAATATTCACAACCGTTCTTGGTCCTCTTGGGTGGACAAGAACAGGCTTTATAAAATGACGAAGCTGAGAACCTGGCATCTAAGGTGAGCTGGTTGCGATATACAAGGCGTTTAATGGGGATTTGAACCTTTGGTATCATTACTTTCCAAGCGCAAGGCCTTTAAGGCCGCGTGGAATGGCTCTTCACTGAGTGGTTGGCACATTGGATTTATGTTGTAAGCCACGTAAGACCTCCACTCATTTGACACCTCGCGTATAAACAGCTCGCCATGCCCTAGGAGAGACATCGGTAGCGTTAAGTAGCCGATAGTCTTCTTGAAATTAAAGAATTCATATCGGCCAGCTAATACATCAAGGCCAAAATCTTGCTTTAGTACCTGATATACTAGAGAGTAAGCTTCTGTGTAGAACCACCCCGTAGTATGATCTTTATCTAGTGATGCTTATTAGGAAACCCGGGGAGGATGTTATTAAATAGTCAAACTTACAGCCTTTGTCCTGGCGATGTAGTTATCCCGAGGCGATTATAAATATACTACGCTATGCCTCTATAATCTTAAAGGTGAGAGTTTGCTTGTGTTTTTTAAAAACTTCTATAGTCTTTTTAGCTACCAAAGGCGCTATATAGACGAAGTCTTGAATATAGGATCTAGGAATACTATTCTATAGACGGCAGTTACTTATCCTCCAATTTAGTCCTTCTATTTAGTCTTCCCACTTATATAGTTAGAGCTATATCCCCTTCCTACTAAGAAACGAAGGCCCCTCCTAATTACTACGTCTCTACTATCGGGGTAATAGGCCCCTTATACCTACCTACTAACCCCTAAAATAAGTAGGGCAGGTATTCTAGTAGTTCTCTTAACTTGAACGTCGGTATATAATTTAAACCCCTTAGACTGTACCGCGTACGTCCTTTGCCTTTACCTTATTAGTATAGTGAGTTAATTCGAAGGTAGCAGTCTAACGCGTTCCCTATATTACGGTACAAGCCCCTTAGTTAATTAAATCGATCGTAACTATTGCTAGTATATAGTTATAAGCGTTCAAGCGCCCCTTTACTTTAATAGTTATATCTTTGGTAAAAGAAATTCAATCGTCGATCGTCGGATTAGAATACATTCGATTTAACTACAGGACTCAATCTTAGCTCTCTAGACTCTTAATTAGAGAGTTAGAGGTTCTTAGAGGGCACGCGTATAGGTGTTGAGTCTTTGCCCTCCAGTTAGCTTGTGTTGTAAGATCTTATCCTCTTGGCGTTAGCGGCCGCACCCGCTGACATATTCGCTCTTAGGATCTGACTTCTAGCACACGGCAGAATTCCCACTGCACAAGGGCCCTAAAATGGGAATAGCCTATCGATATTAAGAGAGCTACTATGCACGCCGCTGACTAGGAACGCCGTGGATGGCAAGTATCCGCAGCATTTTACATTTCCATCTTCACGACTATGCCGACCTCAGAAGCCAGATCAACAAACCCGGCTCTAGCACCTAACCTCGTCCCCTTCTTCTTTGCAATTCGAACACCTTCGCATTCTAATAAGGGAATATGTTATTGAATTTCTAATCAATGGAGAAAGTTTTATTTATTACAACCGTTAAATGAGGGAAAATATCCTATCTACTACACCTCCATTCTTCAGCTAACTAACACTTTTCACTGGAGGCAGAGGGGGAATCATCTTCAAGTCTACGAATTCCTCCAGGACTTTAAAGATAGATTCGCTGCTATCGACAAAGCCGAAGAAGCCAAATTTCTTCGCGTTGGTGGTACTGGGTACAAGTAAGTGACTGTAGAGTTTGTGATCTTGGTGTAAACCCTACCTGAAGTGGATGGGATAACTCCATGTCATAGCAGCATCGGTGAACCCGAAGATTCGATCAATATCTCCCAACGTTTGATCACGCAACTGGTGAGCCTGGGCAATTTCCTGCCACGCATGCTGTACCTCGGACTTCTTGGCCCATTCGGCAAGAGTAAACCTGTAACGTAACTTCCCTGGGGGTCCGAATCCACGCGGGGGAGGATTATATGGGGTTTCGATCTCTCTGTACAGAGAAAGATCGCTAGAAGGCCCAGTCCATGGGATATCGAATCGTGCAGCCAGCTTGGGCCAGAACTTACCCCAGGTAAATGCACAGTCATCGGACGCGTTAAAGCTCTCATCCTCAGCTCCATCCGTCAGAACAGCCCACTCCGCTAGGTAGCCATTCATCTGGCCCGACGATAGTGTCTGGTTGGTTTCCCAGGCTGCCAGGTCGGCAAAATACTCCAGGGGCTTTCCGAGACGCTTCTGAACAATAGCGTAGACCGCATGGGGCAAACACAAGTTCATTGCGGCATCCGGGACGGCTCCGGGGATCCAGGATGGACGCGTGGTATTCCACCCGATGCCGTGCTTCTGAGCGAATTCTCGCAGGCAATCTTCTTGAGGATAGTAGAAATTCGGCTCTAGCAATACGCGGGGGTCGGTCTCTTCCTGGGGAACAGCAGCGGGCCCCAAGTGCACACCGTAATACTTGGCACCTAATTGGAGAAGTACCCTCTTTGGCAAAGTTTTGGACAGCGCCTGGCCTTCTAAAAAGTTGCTTAAAAGCTGTGCTGCAGACGCCACTCACATTAGATCGGGTCTTCACGGGTGGTGCAATAAGACAACTTACTATTGATCTTCACTAGGTCATCAGCCGCACTCCAGATGTCCCCGCCTTCCTTTGGTTTCGGCTGAATGTAGGCGAAGAAGAAAACATAGTCAGCTTTCATTCCGCGTTCCGCCATCTGAGCTGCCAATGTCTCCGGTGTTTGAAGGAGATCCATCGAGACATGTTCGACGTAGCTGGGCCACTGCCCATTCGGTGGCCGCCGGGAGACGGCGTAGATCTTTTTCCATCTCTTTGGATTCTCGCAAAGGACTCGCAGCTAAAGTTCCGAAACAGCACGATGTTAGATACTAACCAAGACCACGTTTCTCTTGGATTGGGCCTTCACGACTTACCATATGGTCACCTGACATGCCATTAGCTCCAGCAACAATCGCTGTCAGCCCCTCTACATCGTCCGAGAAGGTCGGGAGGCCGTGGTAGATGCCTTTAGAGTGTATTTGCTGGACCTGATCCATGATTACGGATGCGTTTTGCACGGAAGATGGAAAGTTGTGTACGCTCTTCTAATTTCACAGTCCGGCTTATATATCTTTCCCGAATTCCTCTTTCCGGTGAACTTGTTGGATTCCATACGTTGTAGCGGCGGCGAAGGCAAGGCGATATAGTCTCCCATCCGCCATGACCTCATCTTAAGCGCCCACGACTCTATGCAGAACTCTTGGAGATTACAAATGACAAGATCAGCAACCCCAGCCGCCAGAGACAATTACCTCTGGCAAATGCCGGCAGGTGGCGATGTTCGAAACAAGCCTTTGCAGCCTCGTCAGCCTCGTCGACCTACGGAGGTTCTGGGCGTACGTAGTTTCGGTGGGTCCAGACAAGGGGCGTCCTGCACGGATGAAGCTTTTAGATATAGTGCTTGAGCAGCGGGCAGAAGTCACTTCTCCTCTCATTGTGTGGCACTTGCCATACAAATTTAGAGAAGGGTACTTCTCGCTTCTCGCTTCTCACAAACGCAGCGAGGGCTGTCATACTATCTTTGCCTGTCTTTGCATTATTAGTTTGCAATCCAGACAAATCCTAGGTTGTGAATGGATGTCATCTCAGACTAAGCGTTCGTTATTCGAGTAAAGGGCCTCCCATCGTTTAGAGAAAAGAAAGTTCTCTCGGATTACACGTAACACATTGCCAAAGATAAGGTACCAGACGTGGGTATCCAAGAAGCTAAATACCGTCGAGGCCGCCACAGCCACTGCGATGCTCGGAGCTCCTCCGAATAACGCGTGCAAATAACCTCGGACGCTCGGCTTGGACGCAGCAATCGGCAAACGACTCGGTAGTAGCAGCGAAGACCGGGGGGCGGACACGCGGAACAGGGGCAAGTGGCGTGGCTTGGGTGGCTTGGGCAGCTTTGGGGGGCGTTCCGGTGGAAGCCCCGAATGGTTGGACAGGAGGAGTTCTGGTCTTCCACCGGACCACTGGCCTCCGGTGGAACAGAAAGGAGGCCCCGAAATACTCGAGTAATGCTCGCCCTTCCTTCCTCAGGAAACATCAACAACACCCCAAAGTGGCCCTTGCAACCCCGCAAAAAAATAGAGATGGTCGCATTCCTACGTAAAGAGTCTAGAGACGGAGGCCATTGTCAGGCCAAATGGTCCCCACAGCGGAATACAAGGCGTTTTGCGGGGTCCCCGCAAAACAAGAACAGGCGACGAGTACCACGATCTCCAGATTTGATATAAGAGCACTGTCGCGCGTGCCTGGCCATAATTTGCTGCTCCTAAGATTCTTCTTCATTGCGAGACCGAGCGAGATATACCATCCTTTCAAATCTATTTGGTTCTCATTATTAAGGCGCGATGGATATCAAGGAAGATGGGGAGAAGCACATCGAGCATAGCTCCCATGGCTCCGTCGAAACAACTTACCCTCCTGAAATCGTCGCGTTGTACGCGAAGTTTGACGATGCCAGAAAGAAAAAGTTGCTCCGGAAGATGGATTTCCATCTAATCCCAATCATCACCCTGCTCTATCTTTTCGCATATCTGGACAGGTAAGACCAAGCAGGCCCGGCCCAGAATCATTACAAGGTCCTAATCACTGACACCGAGTTTCTTTCACAGAGGAAACATCGGGAATGCAAAGCTGGCTGGCCTCTTGCAGGGCGCTCACATCAACAGCGACCAGTATAATATCTGCCTTACCGTTTTCTTCGTCACATACGTGATCTTTGAGGTTCCTGCCAATATGCTTCTGAAGAAGTTCAAGCCCTCGGTTTGGAGTACGTCTAGCCTCGTTGGATATAAAAAGCTGTAATGCTAACCCGGACACAAAGTTCCAACTATCGCCGTCGCATGGGGAATCGTCATGGTCTGCCATGGATTTGTCCACAACTACGCTGGCTTGTTAGCGTGTCGACTCGTCCTTGGTATCCCAGAAGCAGGAATCTTCCCCGCTTGCTCGTACTACGTGACGATGTGGTACCCTCGAGCAGAAGCACAGTACCGGACAGCACTATTTTACGGTGCTGCCTCACTCGCGTATGTCCAATGCCGGCAACCCAGCCCAAGGAATGTTGCTAACAATTCCCACAGTGGTGCTTTCTCTGGCTTACTTGCTTACTGCATCTCCCTAATGGATGGCGTTGGAGGATACGGAGGGTGGCAATGGATTTTCATTCTCGAGGGGGCAGCTACAGTTCTTTGTGGCTTGGTGGCATGGTTTTTCATTCACGACTCCCCGAATGGCGCAAAGTGGCTCGATCAAGATGAGAAAGACTACATTAACGCCCAGCTTGCCTACGACGGAAACAGCTCAGGCAATGCCTTGCAGGAGGGACGAAAGAAGGTGTCCTACATCAAAGAAGCTTTCTGTGATTGGCAGGTATGTTCTGATCTCTCCCATGGGTATCGTGCCTCCAGTTTAACCTTGCCCAGATTTACCTCAGCTCCATGATCTACATCGGAATCTCAACTAGCACGTATGGCCTCGTTTTTGGCCTACCCACAATTATTAACAATCTGGTTTGTCCCCCTTTACTCTTAAGCTCCCACAGGAGACCGTAAACCCAACGGACATAGCATTAGCAAAACTAACATACGTCCTTCCCTGCAGGGCTACACCGCTCGCATCGCCCAGCTCCTCACTGTCCCCCCCTACGCCACCGCCTGCGTTCTCACCATCGTCGTGGCCCACTTCTCCGACAAGTACAAGAAGCGTGGAGTCTTCATCATTGGCAGCCTCACTGCCTCGGCCATCGGCTTCACCCTCGCCATCGCCACCTCCGACCGCAAAGACCTCTCCGGCGTAACCTACGCCGGAGTCTTCATCGCTTGCTGCGGCTTCTATCCCGCGTTCCCAGGTGTCATTGCTTGGCTTGCTAATAATCTTGCTGGCTCGTATAAGCGTGCTGTTGGAATGGGGTTGCAAATTTGTGAGTGCATTTCCTGCTTTACTTCTTCCCCTCCGTCCGCCCTTCCTTCCCACCTACCTTCCCACTGTTTTATTCTCGGCAAGGGCGAGTGACTGACAAAGTGGAAATAGCGCTGGGCAACACTGGCGGTTTGATCGGGTCGAATATTTTCCGCGCCCGGGACGCACCAGCATACAGACCTGGTTACGGCATCTCGATTGGCTTCATTGTGATGTCTGCCGCAGCCGCGGTGCTAATGATCACCATCCTGGACAGGATCAACAAGAAGCGCGAGGCGGCGGTGGAAGAGATGGGTGGAGAGGCAATTCTCATAGAGGAGAAAGGAGAGTGGAATCTTACAGAGATGGGCGATCGTAGCCCCCTATTTAGGTATATCTTGTAGGGTGATGTCCACGAGTTTGGAATGATCTAGAACAACAAGTAGGCCAACACATATATATCTCTAGCACCTACCTTCTGGTGTATTAATTTAGTTCACACACTTATTCTTGTTCTTATCGCGTCTTCCCTTTGAAAATCATTGAATTACCTTTTACAATGACTTGACTTACTTTATAAGCTATCGCTTAATTTGCTCCTTTAAAGAGCTTAATTCCACTAGCTCTAGCACTAGCAGAGGAAAAGATGATTGGGAGAAAGAACAGCTAGATTCTATAGCGATTATAGAGATACGGTAATAATATTTTTAGATCCTTCTGCGTGACTGAGCCTTTGTCACGCTTTTTCGTGCTTAAACTAAGCTTCTACTTTCAAGTTTTATTAAAGAAGCTTGGATTGGGTACCCAGGTGGCAGAAATGGAAAATTCGTTGGCTTATGCGAGGTTCTCTTAACATGATTGCATTTAGTTAAGAAGACCTACACTGAATTTCAGGAGATGCGTCCGACTTTCTAACCGACTCAGATGTTCCTATCGCTCCTGATAAACTCGATCGCTTTGCCGTAAAACCTCTCACATCGTCGGAATTACAGAAAGTTGTAGGGGGGATATGAGTTTGGATCGAGGCCAATCTGTGTATCCTATTTTCTGTCTCATCAATATGACAGTTCTGATGCGATTAATCTAGGGCAAACTCTCGCGAATATACACACGGTATGGGGCGCAATGAATTGGCCTGGATCATATCGCATGCTGCCACTGAATGAAATACTATTGTTCTGCCATATCCCCTGAGCTCCCCGAGGAATCTCTTTTCCTGTTATCACAATATATAAATCCGGCGTCTTATTTAGATTCTAACACCCCTTGATGTGCCCACGGTGGAGTCATTAATGATCTAGAGATCTAAAATCTAGACAAAATTCTCGCCTAGAACACTTTGGTTTGGCACTTGGTCCTCTTTCTTTCCCATTTCCTCCGCTTCAATCACAATCCCATTTCTCCGGTCCTCATCATCTTCCGGCGTCCCGTCCTGGCACGCCCACTTATCCACAAATCTCAATGTCTCCCGATCAAATATCCGGTTCATGAGCAATAAGCGCGCTGGCACTAGCACGATGATAATCACTGGGAAGGCGGGTGCAGCAACTGTGAGTGTAACATAGAAGATGATCCCCGTCATTACGATTTGAAGAACGGTATATGCATGGATTCCCCAATAGCCCTTCACTCTCGTTGGAAGAGGCGGTAGTTCGGAAGGTGGTGTGAGGATGTAGAAGAAGCGGTAGAGTATAGGGTTCACGGCAAGTGATTGCTCGCCCATGAAGAGGAAGAGCCCAGCTAGGACAGAGGTGGGTGTGAGGCCTAGAACGTGTTGGAAAGGTGGCGAGACGAAGATAAGTATACCGGCTGCTTGGAGAAATGGTGACCAGCGTTGCTCATAAACCTCTTGCTCCTCCTTAAATTCCACTCTCCTGTCGCCTATCTTCTCGTCTATGCTGATAATATCCGTTTTAACCGTGTGGAGGAGAGATTCGGAATGCAATGGGGCCTGTGGGAGGAGACCGTTTGATGGCGGTATTCCCAGAATGCCACATATTGCTGTCGTGGTTCCTAGCAGGACGATATCCCAGGCAAATCCTCCCGGTTTCTTCGTCCCATATCGATCAAGTGTACAGATTATGCTACTAATCTCATGGTCGAAGTAGAACAGCGTTGTGATGATTGCTCCAGGAATTATCGCAATAAAGATCCACGCTATAGGCAGCTTCCAGAATTCGACGAAGAAGATAGTGCGGTCAGGGCTTGATGGTCGGAACGATGTTTGCACCGCCAGTGTCTGCTTATCTAAGTTCGCAAGCTCACCCACGTGAGGCATCCCTATAAAAAATATAATAGATATTGCCGCCGCGTATTCGGTCAAGCCCATGCGAACATATCGGTGGAAGAGTGGCTTCCAAGAATTTGCGGTGGAAAGGGTGACTGCGAGAAGGAAAGTTCCAACGGCGCCGATGACAGAGTATAGGAATGAGGCTAGAGATACAGCAGCATGATTCCGTTGGAGTTCCTGGATCGCCTTGTGGAAATAGATAACACTGTTTAGAAGAGAGAAAATATCGGCGCTGAATGTAGTAACATATTGCATCGTCCAGTCGTGAGCATTAAAGATTGCGAGTAAATAGTGCATCCAAGCGGCATGGATAAGAGACCATGCCATGAAGGGAAGAAAATCTATCTATTCAGGCCGTCAGTTGGTACATTGGTCATTGAGAAGTTTACTTACATGGAATGAATCTCTACATAGCGAGTATATATTCTCAGCCAAAACAGAAAATGGACCCGTAACGCCGAGAATTGTTAAAGGCTGTACAGAGAATCTAGTAAAATGCCGAGTTAGTAATATTCCCTTAATCTGAGGTTGGGTAGTTTCTTACACGGAAAATATTATCCCACATAGCCCTGTACTAAACACCACCTCGATTGTGCCCCACGCCTTGCCCGTCAATACATATAAATCACTGGCAAACGTAATCCCAGGCAGGAGATTCGTGAAGAATACATAAACGGCACTTGCGAGTATCAATTGATTGAAGTATGACCAATCGGACACGTATCTCTTCCTCGTATTGGAAATATCCTGGCGTAGTAGCCTGAATGGTCGCAACTTTCCTCCTGGTGCAAAAAGCGATTCCAGTCTTGCCTTAAAGGGCCTTTTTGATATAAGCTGCAGAGACGCATGGTTCTCCCTTTTTCGGTCATGCGATTCCCTCTCCATGATGATATTTTGATTTGATGGGGGGTTTGGGCCTCCATTTGGGCCGGGGATATCCTGCTCCGACCGGTCTTGAGGCTTCTCCGTCAGCCCTGAACTGGTGGAACTCCCAGCAATTGGCATCATAGCGGTTGAAACGACCTGATACTTCCGGAGGTGAGCCTTTCTGGTGATCAAAATCCGTTCTCGGTCATATGGAAGTTAGTCTTCTGTCCCTCTCCATCCATCCCACTTTCGACGCTCCTTGTTATTGGTATCCGAGAACCATTGTTTGGAATGGCAGCCTCGCCCTAGTGTATAAATGACAATGAGGATGGAATAGTGGATCGTTGGCATTGAGCTATATGTTAAAATGCCCGATCTCGAGGGACGGTCCGCTTCCCAAGGCTACTGGGATATTGAATAGCTTTCTAGGTTGGCTATCACCTTCCAACTGGTGCCTGCTACTGCGTATTGTGGCGGTAATGGGCGGACGGGGCGAACAGATACAAGTATGTAGAACCCTAAGAACTAAAATACCGTTCCCAGGTACGAAGTGTCTATCCGTCCTATCCAAGTATGAAGATGAAGAAGTATTTATGTACCTAGCCGAGGCTAGGCTTTGGCCGCTCATCCACTCTATGGGCCACGGGCTGGCGGCGTCATGTGGCGTTGCGATCGCCTTCTGATTGGGTCCCATCCACCAGGCGAAAACAATGCGAAATTGTAAGGTTAATTAAAGTTTCTTATCTCAGCCTCGTCCTCGACTCCAGTGCACTTCGTTCGTACTACACACGCTGTAAGGAAGCATTACTTGATACAGAGTCTCCCTTTCATCATCGCTCCTCACGAGCCAGAATAAACAGCAATGGCTCATCGATAGCACCGCACACCAGGAACCAAACGGCAATTAATACTGATCCTGCCATGGCCAAATTCATTCCACGAGCAGTGTTCCCTGCTCAATTGTCATTGCCGCGTTCCTATTTCCTTGGTCACCATGCCTCTGGCCTCTCGAAGATGAAGACTATGCTGTCTTCCATTGACCTCATAATCGAATGCCGAGACTACCGTGTTCCTCTTACGTCGCGCAATCCTCTATTTGAGCAGTCACTCGCAGGATTAGAGCGGCTTGTTGTTTATACCAAAAGGGATCTAGGGAGCAAAGATCGGCCATCCGATCGATCGGTTCGTTTTGCCTTTTGCTATATCCAAAAGCTTCACAAACAGCACTGACAGTAGCTTGATTTATCTAGAGAGAGGAAATTATCCGCCGCTGGCATGCACCACATCACACTCTCTTCACAAACCACAAATCCAAACGCGATGTCAAATCAGTCCTCAACTTTGCCAAAGATTACGCCGCACAATCCCAATCTCTTCTCGGGACACGTATCTTGGTTGTTGGGATGCCGAATGTTGGGAAGTCCTCGTTGTTGAATGCGTTGCGCGCAGAGGGAGTGCATCGTCCGAAAGCGGCATTTACGGGTGCGCAGCCGGGAATTACAAGGAAGATTGCTAGTGGTGTTAAGATTGTCGATAGGGATGAGGAGAGAGGGACTGAAGGAGTATATTTGGTCGATACACCGGGTGTGTTTATTCCTTTTGTGCCAGATTCTGAATCAATGATGAAACTGGCGTTGGTGGGGAGTGTGAAGGATACGATTATTACACCAGTAACGCTGTGCGACTATTTGCTCTTCCATATCAACAAACAACCCCAGGGGCAGCGATTCTATGACGAATATTGTGGGCCGACGAATGACATTGTGGACTTGTTAGATGCTGTTTGCAAGAAAACCGGGAGGCTGGGAAAAGGAGGTATCCCGGATTTGGATGCTGCTGCACTGTGGATTATCCAGAGATGGAGGCAGGGCAATGTGGGCACCTTTCTCCTGGACGAGGTGGAGGAAGACAGCCTAGCAAAGAAAATGAACGAAGAGGTTGCGGTGAGTCTCAGCCAGGCAAAGAAACAGAGGAAACAGGAACATGTCGCAAGGGGAAAGGCCAAGCATACGGCTGCCTGAAGAAACAATGCACCTTGTTTGGATATGTGCTCTTTATACCGGGGCAGGTAACTCAAACTACCTTTAGACGGCCAAGGCTGGAAAACGCATGGAAAGAGAGGGAATGTTCTAACTCTGGTGAATGCTCTTTCTGAGATACGACATATATTAATGACTGGCATACGCAAGCACTTTGGACAGCAGGATATGGCTGGACAATATCAACAGATGGCCGTCGTGGAACTTGGCACCATATTTTTGACTACCACACCGAGCCTCTGATGTAATTGCTGGATGCATGCACCACCAATAAGGGGTTGCACACCCGTTTTCCTTAGAGGCTACTTTGATTATCCTTTAGACGGCAGACAGCAAACAGTTAGAGGGGATTATCATGGGGAAGTGACCTGATGCTGTCAACGGCATACATCTATATAGAACATCTACCTGCGGGGGAAATATATACGCTCTACTCTCTAATTTTCCTGTTGCAAGAACCAACAAGAAGAGATGTAACTATCAAAACACATGTAATATAATATTGTTAATGATTACCTAGACACGGATCATCAACTATACCTTATTAACGATCTGGACTCTTGCTCTCGTGACCTCATCACCACTATCCGGGGTAAACCCACGTGACCTCTCGGATACATTCCCTCATTGGGCCCACCGCGGGGCAGAACACACTGACCGAGGGCGTCGAATAATAATTAATTGCTCCATCCATGTCGATCTGTCCCTAACCGCGTTGCTTCTCCACAACACCACTCCAACAATCAACAACTGCATATACATGAACCACGGCGGAAGTTTTGAGCTTCTTCTTATTGTGCCCCGGCCATTGTCATTGCCCTCAGACACCTGATTGATCTGTAAGTGTCTATTGTTTCTTTTACTACACCAAGTGACATGCTTGCTGCGATACGGCGATGTGGAGCTATCTTCTGGAGACTACCCCGCCGCGTCGCCGGAACTCAACCTCAATTACTGCGACGACGGCGACGACGGCGACGACGTGGGGTGTTTTTGGTTCCTCTTTGCGCCGGGGTGGTTGTTTTTCTGGTTTGCTTTCTGGTTTGCGACTTCTCCTTCACAATGCAAAGAGAATCCCAAACCCTCCTCCCCCAAACCGTCGACCTCGGTGCTTTTCCGAAGTCAAAGCAACCCTCCAGCTCCTGGCGTCTTATCGCGAGGTTCTACGCCCATTAAAATCCTCAATACATTCAAATATTCGCGCTGGTTCTTCGATCTTTACATTTTCTTGACTCGTATCTCTCCTCCGGTCAAAGTCCTATTCGGCCACCATCAACATGGACACCCCCCGTGGAGGCAACGGTCCTTATGGTTATAGACCTTATGGTTATAATCCTTATGGAGTCATCGCGAGGCCAAAGAAGTATATAAACCCTGCTGACCTGCCTGAACCGTTTCCTAGACCGAGTACACCACCCACCCCAGAATCTGAACAGCAGCAACCCGTACAGGATCCACCGCAGCTTGTCCTGAACCCCTCTCCGTCCAGAAGCTACACCATGATTCTCAGCGTGGCAAAAGTCAAGTCCGTCTTGAGCGGCGACAGTCTTGTTCTGACCTCGATCGAAAACCCCAACAGCGAGCGAGTCCTCTCATTGGCTTACTGCACATCTCCACATCTCAGGAAGGAGGGCGATGAACAGTGGGCTTTCGAAGCGCGCGATGCTTTGCGGAAGTTGGTGGTTGGGAAGCACGTCCAATTCCAGATACTTTACGTAGTTCCGAACTCGAAGCGCGAATATGGCAACGTCTTTTTGAATGATGGGCGTAATATCTCCGAGGCCATGGTTGAGGAGGGATGGCTGAAGCTGAGGGAGGACGCAGGCCGAAAGGACGAATCGGAGGAGATTATTCAACACCTGGATAAACTTCGATTGCTTGAGGCAACAGCTCGCAGCGAGGACAAGGGCTTGTGGCAATCCGGTGGTGAGCGCATCAATGTTCAGCATGACATGGGCGACCCACAAAGCTTCTTGGAAAAGTGGAAGGGCCAATCTTTAACTGGGATTGTTGAGCGCGTATTGAGTGGCGACCGTATGCTTGTACGCTTGATTACCAGCCCAACAGAACATATTCAAGGTAAGGCTAGCCCAAGATCCGTATTGCGCAAATCGGGACATTAACGAGTTTATAGTTATGACTTTGATTGCTGGAATACGTGCACCTACTACCGACCGGGTCAACCCTTCCACTGGACAAGTACAGCCTGCGGAGGAACTCGGGAACGAAGCTCGCCGCTTTGTCGAGGACAGATTGTTGCAGCGTAACGTAAAAGTCGAGATCCTAGGCCTCAGTCCCCAGAATCAACTTGTCGGCGCTGTTATGCATCCTAGAGGCTCGATTGCAAAGTTCCTTCTGGAAGACGGCCTTGCGAAATGTACCGATCATCATTCTACTCTTCTTGGCCCGGAAATGCGTACTCTGCGTGAAGCCGAGAAGGCTGCACAGGCGGCAAAGAAAGGTCTCTTCAAAGATCATGTTGCAAAGCCGGCAGCTCAAGGAGGAAACCTCGACGTGCAAGTTACGAGAGTCTTTAGTGCAGATGTTGTATTTGTCCAGAATAGAACAGGGGTTGAAAAGCGAGTCAATATCAGCAGTGTCCGCGGCCCTCGTTCCTCGGAACAGAGTGAAGTTCCGTTCCGGGATGAGGCAAAGGAATTCTTGCGGAAGAAACTCATCGGCAAACGTGTACGCCTGACTACTGATGGCACCCGACCTGCAACTGAAGGCTTTGATGCTAAGGAGGTCGTCTCAATTACTCTCAACGACAAGAACATAAATCTACTTCTGGTTCAGGAAGGATGGTGTTCAGTAATTCGCCATCGCCGAGATGACACCGATCGAGCTCCGAACTACGACGAATTATTACTTGCCCAGGAAAAGGCTAAGGAAGAGAAGAAGGGCATGTGGTCCGGAAAGCCTACCAAAGCCAAACAATACATCGATGCTTCCGAATCCGTTCAAAAGGCCAAGATGCAGGTAGCCACATTACAGCGCCAAAAGAAGATTCCTGCGGTGGTTGATTTCGTTAAGGGTGGTTCAAGATTCGTTGTTTTGGTCCCGCGAGAGAATATCAAGCTAAATTTTGTCCTGGGCGGCATTCGAGCACCTAAGTCTGCCAGAAATCCCAATGATAAAGCAGAGCCTTTCGGTCAAGAAGCCCATGATCTTGCTACTAAACGACTAACCCAACGAGACGTTGAAATCGATGTATTCAACATTGACAAGGTTGGCGGATTCATTGGTGCGCTCTACATCAACAAGGAATCTTTTGCCAAGGTTCTCGTCGAAGAGGGCCTTGCTACTGTCCACGGTTATTCCGCAGAGCAATCTGGAAACTCGAACGAATTGCAAGCTGCTGAGAAGAGAGCCAAAGATGCGAGGAAGTCCCTCTGGGCCGACTGGGATCCGTCTATGGATGAGCCACAAGAGCAAGAAGTTACCAAAGGCGCCGATGACTCCGCTCCTGTTAGCCGAGAGAAAGATTACCGCGACGTAGTGATCACCAACATAGATGAAAGCGGCAAGGTCAAGTTACAGATCATTGGCACTGGTACATCAGCGCTTGAGACCATGATGACCAAATTCAAATCGTTCCACATGAATCCATCAAATGCATCTGGCCTTCCTGGCCCCCCCAAGGCCGGTGAGTATGTTGCAGCTAAGTTCAGTGAGGATGGCCAGTGGTATCGTGCTCGCATCCGTGCCAATGACCGGACCGCGAAGGAGGCAGAAATTGTCTACGTTGACTATGGCAACAGCGAAAAGATGCCTTGGTCTCGTCTTCGCCCTCTATCCCAAGCGGAATTCTCACCTCAGAAGCTCCGACCTCAGGCAGTTGATGCAGTGCTCTCACTTCTTCAACTCCCTACCAGCAAAGATTACCTGGCAGATGCCATCGACTACATCACCCACGCCACAGCCAACAAGGAACTGGTTGCAAATGTCGATTACACTGCTCCAGAAGGCACGCTCTACGTGACGCTTTATGACCACAAGACGAGCGAGAATCTAACCGACAGTATCAACAAGGATATCATCAGTGAAGGTCATGCGATGGTCCCAAAGAAGTTGAAGAACTGGGAGCGCGGTTTTGGTGATGTTCTGAAGACTCTTCGGGAGAAGCAGGAAGAGGCTAAGACTCAACGCCTTGGAATGTGGGAGTACGGCGATTTGACTGAGGACGACTAGTCTGCCAGTCACATCGTATACTCCTACTGAATGGCTCGATGAGAAGTATCAACGTTGGCACCCTTTTGCTAGCCGATGCAGGATTGTCGGAATGTTCACACGGTTACTCCCCCACCTTTTCTTCTCATCGCTCGTCCCCCCTCTTCGCAATCCTTCGGCGTACTGGATCCCTCCCCTCTTGCATTTTCCCCTTTGCAAACAAATGAAATCAGTGGCAATTTTAGGCCCCACAGCGTCTTTTTTTATTTCCAAAACTGTCAGTCAGCATTGCAGGTGTGGCATGGACAGGATGGAACTTCCAAAATTCATTCTCTAAGGGGCCACAGACTCAAACGGTCTCTGACCATGGACTCTCTGCTTTTTAGCGATGCATTTGCATGGAATGGTAGCTAGATAGGGATAGCAGAATACAAAACTTTGCAACATGCTTTCTCGTGCCCGCCCAACCTGTGTTGACTTTACTAAGTGACTAGTATATTAATACTAATACTTCATACGAAGTAGATAGGATTCTTTATTTGCAACTGAATTGTGTACAGATGTGTTATTTTGGTATTCTTTACATAGTACTTCGTACTTCGTATCCTATCACAAGTAGAGTACGTCAGGGGGTTCCCCCTTTTATAGGCTGTGCGGTTCGAACGGCCAAGGCTGTGCCACGCGTACGACTGATACGACGCAAAACATCCCTCCAAGTGACCTAAAACGCCCCAAAACACCCTTGGAGGACCCCGATTGTGGGGGTTGCAATCTAAGGTTAACCAACGGTAATACGCACTGGGCGCTCTGTACGTCATCCAGCTGTAATGCTCTAAATCCAAACTGCTAGCTAAGAAACTAATAATAAGCAGGCTGCGAACAAAACCAATGCATCCGTCGCCAAAAGCCATGGCGTAAAGCTCCGTCTTCACCCTTATGTTCTACTCGTACGTATCCACTGATATATTATTGCATCCATACCCGTAGACGCGCCCGCACACGACAAAAGCGCAATATCTGCCGAATGCCTCTTCTCCCCGAAACCGCGACCATGGCGAAACCACTGCCCGGTCGCTGGCGGCGAGGGACATTCATCATTTTCGGCCTCTTACTTGGCGTTCTCTGGGCGGTTTACATCGTCATCGTGAAGTGCAACGACCGCGATAGCGCCATGAAATTGAAATCCTTCGGGCTCAGCGCGCGGCCTGCATTCACGGATTACGTGCAACTGGCAGACCTGTCTCCCAAGTACATACCACAGACAGGAAAGCATCGGACGTCCCCCGGCCGGTTGGTGGTTGTTGGCGATGTGCACGGCATGCGACACTCGTTGGTCGAGTTACTGGAGGAGTTGAATTTCGACAAGAAGCACGACCATTTGATCCTCGCGGGGGATATGGTGTCCAAAGGTCCCGATTCCGCGGGTGTCGTGGATTTCGCCATGTCGCTCGGCGCAACTTGCATCAGGGGCAATCACGAAGATCGTATCATCTTGGTGGCCGGCGAGATGAAGGGGAAGCATCTAGACACACAGTTTCCTAATCCCAACGAACCCGACAATAAGAAGCAGGATTCCCTGGAAGAGGAGAGTTTCAGCCATGGGAATTATAAGGTTCGCAGGCTGGTTAGGCAGCTGGGCGAGAAGAGGATTAAGTGGCTGGCGGACTGTCCCGTTATTCTAAGGGTCGGCGATCTTGGGGGTATGGGCGAGGTCGTGGTGGTTCATGCGGGCCTGGCGCCTGGCTTGGAATTGGAGAGACAGGACCCCGTTACGGTGATGAATATGAGGACGATCAAGGACGGAGTGCCGACTGATCAGAGGGATGGGAAGCCGTGGATGAAGGTGCGTTTGTGCTCTAAATTTACTCCGAGAAAATCCAATTCTAACTCTGCGATCCAAGGTCTGGAACGATTACCAGAAAACCCTTCCGAAAAAAGATCGCTCGACTGTTATATACGGACATGATTCCAGACGAGGTCTCCAGATGGACAAGTATAGCATGGGCATAGATACCGGTTGCAGGAGAGGAGGTAAGCTTTCGGCAGTGGTGATAGAAGGTGGTCAGTCGGGCCATACGCATAAGCTGGTCCAAGTGAATTGTAAAAATGCGAGTTCGGAATAGAGGTCAGATGTAGAAATAAGATGGGGCCTATGTCGATTACACTGTATATATACCATGGGCAGCAGTGGCGTTTGGGAATTGGATTCGCGGCATTTTTGGGCTTAACAGGAAGCTCCAATCAAGTCATACTGCACTAGTTGAGTGTAATACCCTTAATCATCCTACTTGAAGGATGACTATGTCAACATAGCAGCATATGATATTCATCTTAATTATTCGGCTTCTAAGTCTAGTCCTAGCCTGTATACCCCGATCCCAGTTCCAGATTTCCATCTCCCAATTCTCAGTAGTTCATGAGGAAACAGAGCCATGGTCCCTTACGGCAACATCTTGAACTGCTCCAACATTGCAACACCAGCGGTCATAAGCGTTCCCCCATTAACACTACCCACCATACTCCCAGTCCACCTGTTATACATCCCCGGCACATCCACAATCGTCATCTCCATCGTCAAATTAACACTCAAGACGCCCTCAGCTCCCATATCGAGAACGATAGAAAACGCGTCTGGTGCAGGCGTATGGATGAAAGGCGGGTACGGGCTATTAATAGGACGCACTTTGAGGGCCGCAGGTGCACAGGTAGTTGAAATGATATTCCCATTTTTGGCAGCGTAGCCACTCACATACTCTGTTCCGTCGGTAGCAATTGCATCGAACCAGACGATGGAATAGGGACCTAGACGACCGTGGCCCCAGTACCAACTTGCGACGTTGTTTTGGAAGGGCTGGTCGCTCCAATTCTGTGAGGCTCTGGTTAGCTCAATATTTTAGTTGGCCTAGGGGGGAAATACCTTGTCGTGGTAGCCAATGCCGTCGAAATTTAGCCTGCTACCGAGAATCTTGAAGTCAGCATCAGCAGTAGCATCAGGCATGGCATTAGCCCAGCCCATGTATGGTGAAATCTCCATAGCTTTCCCAGCTTGCGCAGGATCGCATGGATAATGAGCTGGAGCTTTAGTCTGCAGCTTCAGCCGTCCCACAACACCGAGGGCCGGGGCGTTGACATCTACTTGATAGTAGGACATATCCGGTGCACCAACCCAAGTAGCCTCAACTCCCTTAAAGTACCCTTGAGAGCCATCGGCAACGGTCGACACCACCGCCCCAGAGGCAGGAACACCGATAGCGCCTACGGTGCCGTTTGTAAAGCTGTAGAATATAGCAACGGAGGTGACGTCTGGGCTAGGAGTTATGAATGGGAATCCAGAGCTGAGAGAGGTGAAGAAGACGACGACAATTGAAGTTTTGAGGTCGGGGGATACGGCGTCGAAGTACCACCAGTCGAAGGACGTACTGTTGACTGCAGAAAGCTGAGGTCCATCAAAGCCAAATTGCGAAGACACAAAGTTGGCTACAATGTTGCCCGTAGACACTTGCGACGGGATCGACTTGATCGAAGCAAAGTCATTCCTCTTGAGAGACGCTAAAGGAGTAATTGCGGACACAGTGATTGCTACGAACAGCGCGAGGAAGTGCTTCATCATGAGATTCATCTTCAGCTTCAGCTTGATTGATTTTGACGGTAAAAGGGTGATTGGTTCACTGCAGGCCCGAGTAACCGATCCAAGGGAAAGATCATTATTTATAAATGAATAGATCGATAGATCGTTGGTACAGCTCGTGTAAAAAGTGCGAATATAACACGGATTTGCATGGCATTTTGAGTCGGGTATTCACCCTTGAAGCTCTACCGCTCAATAGCCCAATCAACAAGTACCACGAGCATTCCAGAAGCCCGCGCTTAGAGTAAATGCCCAAATGACTAGGTACATGTACCGGTACACCGGTGCTTGGTACCTTCTGACCGCGGAGTCCTAAGACATTTGCAAGTCTTGCAAGTCTACCCGGCTTCTGATGGCCGAGATTCGACGCCGGAGAGGGGATTCCGATCACAAGCCTAGCCGCAGCCGAAGAGGGAGCCGTACAGTATATAAATGAAACGTACGTCGTCCAGAAAGTTCGATTTCCTTTTGTTGGTGGGCGATCCATTCCTCGGATAGGATCATACACTGCTCAATGCACTGCTCAATGCACTGCTCAATGCACTGCTCAATGCACCTCTCAATAATGCATGTCTTCTTCCCAAAGGACGTCTCAATAATGCACCTAGGTCACCATATCCACATCTGAACATTGGGCGGGTGGCCACTGGTCCACTTGACATCCAGATCGTGTTCTAATTCCCACCTAAGACTGTTCACATAACCATGCACGTGGCGGATTTCGGTATTCATATTTGAATCGCCGTCCATAACGACAGTCTCCCTCCCGTCTCGCGTTCCAGGCACCGCCCCAAGCGTCCTATCGTAATCCTGCCGCAGGACCAACGCGATGGTTTTCAAATTCCGCAACTGCGCCACCTCGCTGAGGTAGCCATCTCGGAATATCCTGAGCACCTCCCAGAGCTGAGCATCTATCGCACAGAATAATATCTTCTGGCTTTGTAGGCTTGTGGCTAAATCGAAGGCCAGGTCTCCGTCCGGACTGCACGCTAGGCTGTCGAAGTATATCGTGTCTTGGGAGAAGTCGACGTATACGGAAGACTCGTGCTTTGGAGAAAACATCAGCTTCTCGTAAGTGGACAGGAAGATCTGCCGGGACTCGGCGCATATGTGGAGGAGTGTTGGTGGTGGACTGTCGCTGGTGTACTGTTTCTGGTGCTTGTTGTATCGTACGGCTACACATCTTGGCCCCGGGAAGGCGACGCGCCATATCTTGATACGCAGCTCGGAGGGTAGGTTCGGAAATAGTGGGAAGTGGAGTTCATCGAGGGAGCTCATGGTTGTTTGCTATGGCGGCGTTGGGGTCGATATTGGTGTGTCGTTGATGTTGATGTTGATGTTGAGGGAGGAAACACTGGTGACGTGCGGAAGCTCGGTGGTCTATAGATGCTATCGCTATACTATATGGCCATGCATCCCAGTTGTTTCAGGCCACTCCACTCCGAAAGCTTAACACACCTATCAGTAAAGGAAAGTGCAGAGTTGGGTATTAAATTAACTCAAATTATTATCAAAATTCTACGAGTGATTATTTGACTGTAGTTCTGTTGATGACGTTCCCCGGTGCTACCTACCTAATACACCAGGAGCTAGACGTATCTAAAGCTTCAACATTATCAATTTTCGAGCCAGGTAATCACGTATATTGAATTTATAATAAATCGGATTGGAATTTTAGTGAGCTACATCTATCTTTTTATCTTTGACTAATTAATAATAAAAGGAGGAAAAGGAGGTCGATGCAAAACACGTGATATTGGTTGGTTCAATCGATCAGTTTCCCGGCTGCTTTCCATCTCAATTCACTTGTCTAAACCCTCATATTTCCATCTATACTCGGTTCTTTGACCACATCCTCGTCTTCGGGTCCTTCAATATTCCCTCTTTCCGCAGCTGTAAAGAACGGCCAGATGTCTACTATCAAGTTCCAACTCATATCCGACCTCCACCTCGAGACTCCAAAAGCGAGTCCAACATACGAGGATTTCGAAATTCAGCCACAATGCAAATATCTAGCCCTTCTTGGCGATATTGGGAATATAGAGGACCCACGGCTCTTCACATTTCTCGAAGACCAATTGAGACAATTCGAAATCGTCTTCTATCTGCTAGGCAACCATGAACCATTCCGCATGACCATGCCTCAAACCAAAACGGTAGTTCGTGACTTTCAACAGCGAGCTGATAAACTCCATTTCGCCCCAGGATCACTCCCCGGTCGATTTGTGTTCCTAGACCAGACGAGATTTGATCTTACAGATTCGACAACTGCCCTAGGCTGTACCCTTTTCTCTGAGATCTCTAGTGAGCAGCGACAATCCGTATCCATCTTTTGCGCCGATTTCTTAGAGATAGAAGACTGGATCATCGATTTTCATAATGCAGCTCATCAATCTGATCTCTCTTGGCTCAACTCCCAAGTCGAGGAAATATCACGAACCGAGCCGCATCGAAAGATCGTAGTCTTCACTCATCACAGTCCAACGATGCTTGAAGCGGCGAATAACCCGAGACATCTAGAAGATGCTAAAGAAGTGCGGTCGGCATTTGTCACTAACCTGTCGAATCAGGCTTGCTGGAAAAGTGAGAATTGTGATTTCGTAGATCCGAAAATGAAGCGGAGGATTGTGACGAATCAGAAGGGGTATCGGAGAAGTGAATTGGATACTTTTGACGTACTGAAAGTTGTGACAGTCTAGCGATAAAGCAAGTCTGGAATCGAGTAGGACGCCTTCGCTATCGTCGATGCGACGGCAGGGAACATTCACCAGCCAGAAATTGTTCGTCCAGGAGACTAGTGAGATGGATGCGGACTAGAGAATTAACTTCCTCAAGTTGATCGTCGACATCTTCAGCACCCCAGGCGTTACCAGTACAAACGGCTATGGCGTAATAGATGCGGTCGTATGCCTATGCTATTTTGAAACTCAGTATCAACTGACAGAGACATACAACTTTGACGAAGTACGTATGAGCAATCGCTATGGGATACAAAACCGAGGACTACCGGCGCTAGTATGGCTTAGAGTCAAGGAAGAAACACTACATTCCCACGAACGATTGTAGCTTCACCTCCGCGTCTTCTCAACCCCTCCTTCATCTCATCGTCCAGGTCACAGGAGAGTCTGGTTGGTATCCTAGTTATTAGCACACAAAATCTAAGAACTTGGGAAGAGAATCATTTACGGTCTACGATATTCCGTTTCCCGATTTTGTGACCGCCAGAAGCCTAATCCTGTTTCTTGTTATTACATATGGCGCGATGGATGCATAGACCGAATATCTCCCCAGCCTACGCCTTTAAAGTATAAATGGTCCATGGAGAGCTCTATAAACTCCCACCATTTATAGAAGAATTGGTTTGGGGCACTTTGGGATATAGTTCAGCGGTCAACGGCACAGGCTCATATCGTGGAAGAGGCTCTATAAGCAGAAAATGGTGGCAAGCCCAGAGCTATTGTCCACTTTCCTATTTCAGAGCTCAACGACCAGCCACACTAGAGGCTGTGAACAGCATGCTCAGGATCAAAGTCGAGATATCTCGTAAGCGTAAACTTAATAGGATGCCGCCTCCGTTTTAACATCCCTCAGAAACTTCTGAACAATCTCAATAACCCTTTCTGGCTGTTCCTGCTGAACCCAATGTCCCGCTCCGTCAACCAGCACCGTCCCTCTAAACTTGGTACAAACCTCGCCCATATTCTCCACAACTCCAGGATCCTGATACGTTCCCCAATCCTGTTTCCCGGAAATAAACAGCGAAGGAACGTCGATCTTCTTCCCCGCGAATAGTTCGAGATCTTTCATATTCTTCGGATCAGTAACGACTCTGTACCAATTAAGTGCGCCCTGAAAGCCATTGCGGCCGAAGCTTTGTACATAAACTTCCAGGTCATTATCAGAAAGCCAGCGCCCGCCTAGCTTTGAGGCCGTAGCAGGGTCTTCGGACGACATGGAAAGTTGGACGGACTCTCGCATGCCCGAATCGAGTGGCATGATGTAGTAGTATGGCATCTTAGCCAGCTCGTCTGCCGATCCGCTTTCAAGAGGAGAAGGGTTATTGCCTTTCCAGTCTGCGCTCTTGAGGTAGAAGTATCCGCGGAGGAACTGATGGAGTTCTTCTCTTGGAGTGCCCATTTCAGCTGCAGCGGGAGAGGTGGAGTAATACAATTTGTAGTTCTTCCGTGGTTTGGGGAGGGATGCTAGTGTTTTTTTGGTGTCTTTTTTTGCTGGCGCAGGAGCAGTGGGGTTGGAGATGGTGTTGAAAGGGAGGGGGGGAGATCCCTGGAAGGGAAGGGACATCATAATTACTCTGCACCACAGCCATCAGCAAGGATATCACTCTCGACGGAGAATGGAAGATGCTCCTTACGATTTAAATATATCCGGCCGCATCAGCGCGCACATACTAGAGCCTACTGCCCCAAAGTCATGTCCGATCACGCACTGTACCTCCCGGTATCCTAATGCGGCCACCAATATCACTGCATCCCGGACCAAGCGTGTGAATGTGAAGGTGTTTAAGTCGACGGAGGAGAAATCGCGCGTATCCCAACCGGTTGTCTGGCCATAGCCTCGCTGGTCGAAGGCTACGACGTGGTAGCCTTCTGAGGCCAGCGCTGGCATGATTTTGCGCCATGAGAATGCTAGCTCTGGAAAGCCGTGGAGGAGGAGGATCAGTGGGTTGGATGGAGATCCTGCGGAGAGGATGTGGTAGGTGAGGTCGTGGGAGGGGAGGTAGGATTCTTTGATTCCTGGAGGAAGGGGGAGTGGCAAAGACTCTATATTTGGGTTTTGGGATGACATATTTGGTCCTGAGGGTATTGGTAACTTGATAATGAGAGTTTGCGTACCTGACTGAAGCTGTATAGGTATATCTATAGCCTAAGATACTTGGGTAGGTACCTTTATCTACTAGTACCTAAGTCAGGTAGATAGGTTGAAATGTGCCTAAGTACCGAGGTAACTACCCCACAGCCAGCTTGGCCATTGTCCCATATCGTACCTAGGTATTCAGTAGAGCACCTACTTAGGTGCTGCAACGACTCAGGAGTAAGGTCAGTGTTACTATGTTAGTGATGCCCGTATCGTTGCATTGCCTGTGTCATCGGAAAGAACACACGAACAAAGACTCAGCAAAGCTGAGGCACTGCAAAGAATTGGCCTGATACCGATAAGAAGCAAACATGCGGCCGGCTACTAGTAGAGCCAACCAAGTATGACGTTCCTCGTGCCATAAGATAGTGGATTGATAGATACAGGCCACTAGCCAGTGCGACGTTCCAGTTCCAGCGTTGGAAGAGCACGGAGTTGCTGTACCCCGGAAACCAAGAACCCGAATACGTCATTGTGCCACTTTCGCAAAAGAAGACGACAGCTAGGAGTCCCACCCAAAGGACATCGCAACCTGTGGGGGAGTTGGCTTAACAGCGTAGTTTCTGATGAAATCCAAAATAAGGCTGAATTCAACCTTGTTGACTCTTGCGTTCCTCGAAGTTAATAGCCGTTAGCAGGTACAAGGACCACTCTCCGCGATTGAGCGCGAAGATAGTTGCTATCTAATAGTACCAACAGCATGATCTGAGAGGGAGATTTATTGGTGTTGTACGTAGTACTTCGTAGTGATCTACTCAATTCACTAATATTAGGTCGATGCCGCGTTCGATTAGTAGCTGTATTAGCTCAGGCTAGACAACGACTAAAGGTTACTGCATTCTTTGTACGAGTAAGGTTGCTGCAAACGACCCAGCTGTGAATGCTTAGACGGGCTACGTAGGTCGTTAAAGGGGCCGGCGATTGACTTAAATACCTTAGACTGGCAGATAGAGAACAGTTTTGGTGACTTGGAGGAGGGCTGTTGATTGATAGTACTGCCTCTGGTCAACAGGAAAACATGTGTTCTGCCCTCTCCCGCTCCCTCTCCTTCTACCTCTATCTCCAATGGTAGTCTGCGATACGATACCTTACCTTTCCTCTGCGACTTCAAAGAATAATAAACCATAATAATATCAAACAATAATAAACCATCCCTCTCACTGCGTCAGTCTAGACAGCACTTTATCTTCTTATTGCGCCAGCGACCGGCGTCTACAACCCCAGCAGCTTCTGCGCCCTCGCCTGCAACGCCAACCATTCGCATTGCGCTGCCAAGGTTGGTGCTGGGCCCCGTCGTCATTCACTGCTCGACGTCGTTTTAATCTGGAATTGTTTCTTGGATCCTAATCCTCATCCTCTTTTGCTCAATGCGACCATAACAATACCCTCATTAGCCCCTGGTTGGCAGAGGTTTGCAGGTCATACGTCCATCAGTCAACATGTTCGGGAACAGAAATAGAAGGAGGGCAGCCTCGAATCCGGTACGTTACAGGCTTTTAAAAGCTGGTGGTCTGAAAACCATACGATTGCGACTATTAGACCTCACCCCAAGATCGCGAGATCGATCTGCACCCATATGCCCCCAACGCGATGCGATTCAAGATACGGCTGCTAACTTGTCCGTGTAAAGCCCCTCCATGGATCGAATGCCAGTGCCTCGGCGACGACAGCTGCGGCGTCGGCTTTCCTGAAAAACAGCTCTTCCACCGCGTCGTTATCATCGGCCGCCGCTGCGGCAGCGTTACGGGCCCGGCCGACGACTCCCATATCAGTAGCAGATGTCCAGACGAAGCGGACGCTTCGCAGGGCCGGATCGACAAGCTCTGCGGGGAGTATGGGCTCGGGTTCAGCGCGGGGCCTGCCAGGTTCGCAACTTCAACGACGAGGTAGCTCTGGATCTATGTCAGAAAGGTCATTCCGGGAGCCCTCCCCAGCACGATCTCCATCACGGTCATCACAGCCGCTGCCCAGCGATGATGCGCCGCCCGTTCCTGCGATCCCCAAGAATATTTTGTCCCATCGACGATCCTCGAGTCTACAAGCGCCACCAATGCGAGTAGCATCCCCACCCCCAATATCCGGTGGACGTGGATCGAGTCTAGGGGCGCAATCAAGGAGATCTGGCCAAAGGACAAGCCTATCGAGCGTGGAAGAGCTACCTAGTATCGATCGACCGGCGAGTAGAGGGTCCGTTAATTTCTCATTGCCTACTGGTTCAAGACCGTCATCACCTAATCCGCAATGGTCACTAACATCATCATTACAAAGTGCAAGATCACCAGTCATTGTCTCTCCTACTAACCAAAATCTTGTCTATGACCCTAACACTCGAAGCTTTCTACCGGAGTACGAGATATTAGCGATCGAGCAGAGGATTCGAAATGCTACTAATCAGCCAGTACAGAAGAAGAAGAGAATCGCGCCCAAGCAAGCCACAGGGACGCATCTAGCCAATGGAACCGTTGGAGGGAGGCCGAGAGGGACTGCTGTGGATGCTATGGAGGCGAAGTTGAATGAGCCTTCAGAATCTATACCCATCGAACAACCTACGGCTCTCCCTGAGCAAACACGCGAGCCATCTCCTACGCCCGCTCCAGTCGCCGAAGCACCAAGGAGGAGGAGGCGGATGAAAATGGTGATGGTTAGCGATTCCGACTCCGACGGTGACCTGGTTTCGCATGATCCAGTGTCATCGGATACTGATACGGATGTTGTCACCCAGCCTCGGGCATATACACCTCGGCCTACGGCAGCTTTGTCCAAGAAGCCGTCGATTGTAAGAGAGGAGAGAGAGCCCGAGGAAGAGGAGGAGGACACCTTGAAATCAAAAGCTCGAGAGAGCCTTATCCAAGAGGATGCAAGTCCTCTCTCTAGTCGAAACGCTTCCCCGTCACCGATGCAGATTTCAACTGCAGGCAAAGCGTACGAGAGGGGCCAAGCTTCGTCGCCTGCTCCGCTTTCTCAGGTCCAAAACCATGCCAGATCCGACAATCAACCTCCGCCGGCCAATCAAACTAATATTACCAATGGGATCAGCGAGCCTTCCATACTCCCGGATAAAGCTCGAGGGGATAGGGTACAGTCTGTCAGCCCTGCACGAAATGCCCATTTCGCGCACGAACCGAATAATCTTGTCGTCAAGCATAATCCTCCCCTACGTTCAATCTCACCCCGGAAATCCGCGTTGAAATCCACAAGCATTCTGAGAGAGTCCTCGCCCTCTGCTGATATTCCTAGGGTTGATAACCAAAATGCCAGCGAGGTCTCAGATGAGCTTTCAGTCCCACGAAAGAAAGCCCACCGTGTTAGTTTTGACGAGAGAAACGTCATTGTTGGTGAGGCCGCGCCATCTACTGCCACAAGTTCTCCAATTGTACAAAGCCCGCAAGCAACAAAGAGACCTTGGTATTCCATTCATAGAGGGAAGAGAAAGGAAAACTCTGTGTTGGATATTGATGATGATGAGGTCATGAAACCAAGGCCGGCGTTGCCTTCTTTTGGCAGCGTGCGAGAGAAAAAGGCACAACGAGAGGTCCAAGAACGTCCCTTGGTTAAACCTGCAACGCCCCAGGAATACGCGCCACCACCTTCCCCGCCGCTATTCTCTACTACCACGACCGAAGCCGCTGAATATCCGACTGGCTTATCGAATGATCACGTAGCTGGCGCGCTTCTTTCACAAGATGCTGCCACAAAAAACACTGCCAATATCTCTAAATCGAGGGAGCCATTACCTCCACAGGTCACATCCGTGGAGGGAAATGGCTATTTTTCAGATAGCAGTAGCGTCTATAGCCTCGAAGCTGGTGGTTTTGGGCAGGGAACAAACGATACGTCACATGACGAGTCTACTTCGAACGTTGGCCAGCATGACGAAACCAGTTCTGGCAGTGCCCACCTCGACTCAATCCAGCCAGCGCTAAGCCGCATACCTACGAATGAACGGCCGAAAACTCTCGGGGGTAGCGCCCGCGTACCTCAAGTTTCTGCTATTCCTCCCCCGCCGGTTGTGACAGTTACGAGTCCCCCCAGCGAGTGGCCGGAAATTCCGGGAGGGTGGAAACATTTTAATTCGGAGTCTGACGGCGAAGCTCAAGTCGACAAGCTTCCCACTTTAGTTGAGAAACATGCTATACCCCCGACTCCAGCCTCCGTCGGAGTAGCAGAACCAACCCCCGAGGTTCCTCAGCCAGGCTCGCCTGTTTTGGGACATATCGCGGCGGAGAACTCCCAATCGCCGGCCAATCATTTCGCTACAGAAGATAGTGAGGAGTCCGATGATAATAGTATATACAGTGACGCCGCCGAAGACCTCTCTGATCTCGAGGGCGACGGTTTTCTGTCATTGGATGCTATTGTGGATAGCCCCATGGGCCCAACATCACAAGTGGGCATCGCTATCACTGCCCCTGAGAGCCCTACACCGAAATCAACAAAGCAGAGGGCTTACAGGCTAGTAGCAAGACCGGCCGAGCCAGAGCCAGAAGCGGGTTGGCAGAAAGCACAAGAATACTGGAAAGGGCTGTCGACTGAAAAGAAACGGCAGCTAGAGCTCGAAGCGATGGCTGAGAGGGATAGTTCAGAGTCGGAAGTCGAAGTCAAATCAGCTCCCAATCCTAAGAAGAATAAGGCAGCTATCAAGGCTGCTGGCGGGGTAGGTTCCGAAGGTTCCGAAAGGCACCGGTCCAGCAATAACGAGCGGTCTTATATGATTTCTCCCGGCACGAAAGCTGATACTTCTCACTCAATACCTGCCGAGCTTGCAGACACGCACATGCGGAAATCTATGAGAGATCAAAGGGCCACCCGTGGTTCGCTGCGTGGCCCATTGCAAAAACGGCACCGACATACCTCAAATTTACCACCCGAGCTCAAGGCAGATCCCGCCACTGTTGATGCACTCATAAAGAAATTATCCGCGGAACGTGCCATTGCGGCATCCGCTGCATCAGGGCCCACGGCGGCTCCCAATGCCCCTGCCCTTCGACGACAAGGCTCTGCGGATAGTGAAAGTAGTTTCAAGCGCGCTAGACAAGCAAACACATCCGATATTCCTGCTTTCCGCAATTCGATGCGGGGTATCAGAGATGAAAATCCGGGTGGACGAAACCAGTCTCCAGCAGGGACAAGAAGATTTAGCCTTCGCTCGTTATCGCCAGCTTCATCAAACTTCCGTCAAACCATGAGTCCCCCACCATCCCAGATGCGAAGCTCGATGCGTAACGCTATTGGGCCAGCACCTACGCTTCGCGGCAACAATCCTCCTTCAGGTGGCAAATCAGCTTTCCGACTCCCAGGTTTCGGTCGTTCCGGGCCGCCAAAGCAAGCTACAAGGCCGAGATCTGGGCCAATGCGTACAAGTAGATTCGCGGACTCCAGTGACGAGGAAGATAGCCAACCTGCCTTCCGAAGCCGCTTTGTCGAATCTTCTGATGAAGAGGATGAACCACTTCCTCGCCGGGCACCGTCCAAGCGCTTCAGCGCCCCCGTTAGCGGAATACCGGAGCGTCGTAGTGCGGAGAATGTCGAGTCGAGCGATTTACCTGACTCTGACGACGAAGCATCTGCTCCTGTCCAAAAGCGAGCCCAAAATGGCGTCATCACAAAACCACAAGCCCAGAACGGAACAGCAAAACCATCAGCCGGAGGCCCCGCCCTGGCATCCGGATCGCTCCGCAGATCAGGAAGTGGCCGCGGGGCTATAACTCCTATCGTCTCAAGCGGCCGCCCCGATAAAACCCGTCGGGGCAGTATCATAAGTATTCTACGCAGGAAGAAACCCGACCCTTCCTCTAAAGTCCGGAAAAGTGACGCAGAGAGCGCTGCCAGGAGAGATACACCGCTTGAAAGATCCCGCTCTGACCTTGCTATCGTCAGATCAGGTTCTATGTCCCCTCGACTACAAAAGAAGAATCCTTATCTGCCCACTAGGAGTCAAAGTGTTGGTGGTTCTTGGCCTTTGGCTTCTAATGAGGAAGGGGCACCTTTTGGCGGTGATGCGGAAGGCATTGAAACTGCTATCACTGGTGGCGACAAGGATACCAGACCTGGCATGGGATCGAGACGATCAACTGCTGCTAGCAAGATCGCGGATGTTGGGTTCTCTAATGGTGTCGGCGTGGACGGGATGAAGAAGAAAAAGAAATTCGGAGCACTGAGGAGGATGTTCAAGCTAGATGATTGATTGGAGCTTGCTATAAGGTACCATAAGCACCGCCCACTACATACGTAATTTTTCCTTTCTATTTTAGCTACTTGTCTTTTCTTAGGTATGGGGCATTTGAGGGGCTAGATGGAAAGCTAGCGGACATCTAGCAGGGGTATCTTTGGTCTTAGATGGAATGGGTTGGAAATCCCAACACCTATGGGGGCTGGGACTCACATGGCTTCGTATATCAAGCGTTGTGCACGCTTTATTTTGCTCTGGAGGGAAATGTGGCTCTTTGTATATGATTCTCGCATATCGCACACAAGTCTTTTTTATCAGTGGCAAAATAGGAAGTCACTGAGATAGTCACTAGGATAGTAATTCGGGCTATGTGCTAGCTAGCTAGCTTGCTGGAGCTTGTACGATGATGGGAGAGATACTTAATCATCTAATGAAAAAAATTAATTACCCTGATGTATGATAGTACATACGTCTTATATTGAACGGAATAGTCTAAGTAACCATTGATGACATCGTCGTTAGTGGTAGTGGACGACATAGTCATAAAGCTGGAAAGGGTGCAACAGCCGGGCAATTTCCCCTAGTTGACGAATTTCCACTCAACAAGATATAAATGTATTTCAAAAAGAGAGAGTGAAATGTGTCGTGGGCAGAGCAAACGGAAAGGGGGGATGATCACCTGACACAAACGGTGATTACTAAGCGCAGGTAAAATACCCCTATCCGACCATTGTAATTGTACAGACTTGGGCCAAAAGTGCGTGTTCTATAAAAAGAAAATAACAGCTAGGAGCTTTAAAGCCCTACTGGCCCTACTTATTTATATACTGCCAGCGTCCTATTACCGAACAGTCGGAGTATCCCTTTTTCTCCTCCTTCCCTCGTCTCGACAGTCACTCTTATTACTACCATATTAGAAATCCATCCCCATCCGTCCCAACATCGCTAGCATGGCGCCTTCCTATGAGCTCTACGATGACGAGGCCTGGGATCGTGGCGAGGCGGTTTTTGAGGCCATGAACGAGAAGATCTATAACGAGGACTTCTACTATGAGATCGCTAGGTTCGTCACCAAGCACCAGAAAAGCGGCAGCCCGATGAAGTTCTTTCCTCCCAGAAACGGAGCTTTCAACTTCTATTACCGTATCCAATATTCCGACGGCCACTCCGCCATCATCCGCTTCCCCCTCCCGGGCTTCTTCCATATGGATGAGGAGAAGCTGTGTGCTGAGGTAGCCGTGATGCGCTATATCGCCAACTAGACTACCATCCCCGTGCCCTTCATCCTCCACTACGGAATGGCGGACGAGAGCCCGGGCGGGCTGGGCCCTTTCATTATCATGGAGTACATCGACAACTCCGGCGACATTGCCGACGTTCTAAACACACCAGGGCGCCCCCTCGGAGAAAAGCCGGTCCTAGACCCTCACATTGACGAGGAGAAACTTGAGTACGTGTACAGGCAGATGGCCGACATCATGCTCCAGCTATCCAAGTGCGACTTCTCCCGTATTGGGAGTCTTGGGATGCGGGAGCGCAGTATCAACGACGACGACAGCGACCCAGAGGTCACTTGCCACCCGTTATCATTCAACATTGCCTAGCTCGGAGAAGTAGGAGGCGTGCCTCATTTTGAGCTGCCCTCTGCCTCTAAGACCTTCTCCAGCTCGTCCGAATACTACTCTGCCCTAGCTGACATGCACCTACAACAGCTCTCCTTCCAGCGTAACCAGGCTATAAAGTCAGCTGACGACTGCCGCAAGAAGTACATCGCTAGGTGAGACCAAAAAGCTCCCGCGCGATAGAGTTTCCACTCTCACTATCATTAGACAATATCTAAAGCTCTACGCAGGCAACTGTTCCGGAAGCTGGCCGCCGAGGGCCGCATAGCAGGTGACCGGAGCCCCTTTAAGCTCTGGTGGGACGACCTCCGCCCAGCCAACGTCCTCGTTGACGCAGACCATCGCATCGTTGGCGTCATTGACTGGGAGTTTACCTACGCTGCCCCGGTCGAGTTCACATACTCCCCGCCATGGTGGCTCCTCCTCATCATGCCCGAAGAGTGGCCGGAAGGGCTCGACGACTGGGTTTCCAAGTACGAACCGCAGCTCGAGACCTTCATCCACGCCATGGAGACTAAGGAGCGCGAGTTCATCGAGCAGGGCCGCCTCGACGAGCCTCAGGTGCTGTCGACGCACATGCGCCGCAGCTGGGAGACAGGCGACCTCTAGCTCGCGTACGCGGCGCGCAAGTCTTGGGCCTTTGATGGCATCTTCTGGAGGAGCCTGGATGAGCGCTTTTTTGGGAAGAACAGCAGCGGATTCATGGAGAGGCTGAAGCTGCTGCCGTCGGGGCAAGTCGCTGCGATGGAGGCTTTTGTTGAGAGGAAGATGGAAGAGAAGAGAGACTGTACGTTGATAGATTGGTATGCTCAAGATGCAGAGTCCAAGCTGCCGCCAGGTATCCTTAGCCTGGGTTCGACAAGAGCATCTGGTACCTACACTGGCCCTGCACCTACCACAGTGGGCCAATTTGGCGAGCGAGTTGAGAAATTTGGAATGGCATAGGCTTTAAATCTTCAGCGAGCGCAGATCTGTGTCGCATCGCTGTTGAGTGGAAGCACCTTAAACTAGGGTAAAGTAGTACGAGCATAGGCTTAACCCTTTTTTGGAAGCACTTACGGAGAGGGAGGATGTTATGATCAGCAACAGACGCCTAGCAGAAGATTAGCACTTGTCAAGTCGACTAAGGGAGGGCGGCCTGGGAGACTGGGGCGTTTTGAGTAAGTTATGTGGCACGGAGGAGTTGGGCGTTTGACATGATATTCTGGGAGTATATCAACTCGAGATTCTTTGGTGATAATGCCGGGTATGAAGAGAGGATCATGCTACTTTCACAGGAAAAAAGGGATGCATGGAAGAATTCGTACAAAGGAACCTAAAAGATGCTTAGACTCGTGGTTTAGATGACTAAGAGAAAGATGAAGTCGAAACTGTGGCATGAGCGAGTCTATTTAAGCCCCCATCCGCAATTACCTGCAAAGGGAACCAGCAATTTAGACGGATGATGCATTGTCTCGAGTCCTAGATGAGAGTTTATTCTAGGTCATATATTGTATTTTGCGTTAAACAGTTCTGATTTATAGAGTCACTAATGGCTAAACATTCACTAGTACAGTTGAATACACAATCCGGATGTCGACAAGAATATATACTTATGTTAACAGCACCACCGCCACCATACCCAGGAAATCTATCCATAATATGAATATGCAGTAAGATAACGCCAGCTGCCCCTCCAAGGTTGATTAATACCTATACAAATGCATGCATGCTCCATACCAATCCATTTCCCCACCTCCAACATTAAACACATACACCAGCCAATCATCCCCCTTTAAATACCAATACACGCTCCTCTAATCACAAAAACCCTTTGCTAAGACTCGTCTGCCTACTAATACTACTCTTCCTGGTTGGGACTTCAATCCCATTCTCTTCAACACCGGTTCCGCTGAACTCACTGGCAGGTCTCCAGCTCCCACTCGGCCTCATACTTCCACCACCATGGACCGAGAATCCTTTCTCCATCCTCATGACTTTCCAAGCCTCGAGCTCGCGCTCCAGCCTGAGGGCTTTTTCTCTCTCCTCACGCAGTTCTCGCTCCGCCCGGCGGGCACTTAGCTGGTTAGCCGAGTCGCTGCTCTGCAATTCGTCGATGGTCTTTAGGAGCTTCTCGACTTTGTCGCGAGCTCGCGAGACGTCCTCTTCAAATTGGGCGTTTATCTTATCGCGACGTTCGATTTGTGATTGGAGGTCCTTGACGGTGCGGTCAACGTTCCGGACTGAGCGTTGGCTTTTATTGCGCTCATTCTCTTGGCTTTCGAGCTGGGCTTCGAGCTGCGATTATCTATTAGCATATAGAAGTAAGATACATCGGGTGGGAAGCTTACTTCTTGGACGCGTCCATGCAAAAATCTAACATCCTGGCTAGCGCTGGAATAGCCCTTGGTCTCGAGATCTACTAGTTTTACCTGGTGTTCCTTGAGTGATTTCTCCAAACCAGCCTTCTCTTTGTTGAGTTGAACAGTCATTTCTCGCTCAGCAACGATATCCTTCTGCATCTCAGCAGATAAAGCCTCCGCTCTTCTCATCTTCCCCACTGCTGCTGTGGCGATGTCTTCTTGTTGGGCAAGGACTGACTTAAGTTCCAAAAGCTCACGATCCATGCCGGCTGCATTCCGCAATGCAGGGCTATCGCTTCGAGAAAGGTCGTCAAGTCCTGATTTGGCTTCCTCCAACCGCGTTTCAAGACTGCGTTTTTCTCGGTGAAGGGTATCACGTTCCGCACTTAGATCATCTATAGTCGTTCTTAGGCTTCGCACTTGGGACAAGAACCCAACTATCTTCTCTTGGGCATCTTTGTGGGCGTTAGCTGCCTCATCTCTCGAAGCTTGGAGATCGGATAAAGTCGATTCCAGGCGAGATTTTTCTTTCGACCAAGTGGAGCTGTTCAGCACTTCGTCGTCCCATTTTGACCGGAGATCCTCGAGTTCGTCCCGAAGCCTAGTGTTTTCAGCTTGTTTAAAGAGCTTCTCTTCCCGAGCAATGTCTAACTCGTTAGTGAGTGTTGCAAATTCAGCTTGGTATTTCTTCCGAGTCTGTTCCATGCTGGTTTCTTTATCCTCGATATCCATGGCTCGCTGGCTGCGGTAATCTTCGAGCTCATGCTGGAGGCGCTTTCTTGCTTGGACTGCGGCTTCAAGATCGGCTGACATATCCTCAAGCTTCTCTTCATAGCGTTGATTCTGGCGCTGAATATCCTCGATAGTGGCATCCATTTGCTTGCGCTCGGACATAACCTCTGCGCACGTGTCTTCTGCTTCCTTTGACTGGGCTTTAGCAAACTGCTCGGCCCGTGAAGCTTTCAACACAGCAATCTCCGCTTGCTCAAGTTTGTTAAAATATTCATCTGCGCGGCTCTTATAAAGCGAAAGACTCGAGGTGACATCCCCCAATTTCGAAGATTCCGCATCAAGTCGAATTTGCAGGTCAGCATAGTCCTGCAGAAGCTGGCTGCGGCTTGCAGCGTCCTGGTCCCTTTGAGCAATGATCTCTTCAAGTTCTGACTTGGCATCCCTCATTTCGACTTCCAAGGTTGCCCGAGTGTGTTTGAGATCTTCATAATGCTTCTTTGTATCAACTAAATCAGCAACAGTGTCATTATGAACGTGTAGCAAAGACCGTCGAGAGTCTTCTTGGCTGTTTATCAGGTCGAAAAGTTCCTCATGTGACTTGGTTTGGATATCACGGAGTGATAGCTCGCCGGTCTGTATACTTTTCTCGAGGGTAGACACTTTCTTTGCGGAGTCGTCTAGAAGCTCATGGAGCCTGCTGTTGGCTTGCTCAAGCTTCTGCACACGACGAAGAGATGGACTGTCCTCCGGCCACAGCTCTCGAGCAGGGGTTGACCGTTCCAGCTGGCTTTGAAGATGTCGGTTTTGCATTTGTGTTAATTGAAGTTGGTTTTGTAACTCCTCGATGTCGGTTTTGAGATCCATGCGATTGTTGAAGCTCAAGATATCAGCCGTCCGATCCGACCTTCCTGAATCTTGTGCCGGTTCTGCCGCATTGCCGGGGAAGCGACGGGTGGGTGTTGATACATTGGAGCGAGCTCGTGCGTTAAGCTTCTCTCTAAGACGATTCGGGGATTGATTGAAAGAGACCTGGTTGGGATTGATCTCCTCCAATTTGGGACGACTCGGAGACTCGTTATCGACGAAGTCCTCCTCATATCTTCTCCGGAGGTCGATTAGCTGTGCTTCTGCATTTGACCGGCCAGCAGCTTGAACTCGAAGGTTATTTTGGAGTTCCTCTATCTTTTGGATTAGACCTGGGACGAGATTTGGGGTCTTTGTAGGACTACGATCATTTCCACCTTCAACTAGCGGAAGCGGGTGGGTCATTTCCGGATCAACAAGCCTCATAAGTTGGAGTACCTCCTTCTCACGAGTGTCTATGATGGATTGAAGCTGCCTATTCTTGGCTTGTGCTTGCGAATGAAGTTGCTGCTCGTCATCAAGTTTTCGGTTAGCCTCGGCCAGCTGGCTTGTGAACGTAGATGAGGCCTTTTCAGCATTCCTGCTAGTTTTGTGTTCTCGTGCAACTTCATGATTGAGATCTTCCAGGCTCAACTCAAGTTTCTCCTTCTGCTTCTCGACTGAGGCCAATGCCAATTGAGCGTCTCCTAGCTGTTTGTGCAGTTTCTGATTCTGTTCATCAACCTTAGTTTTATCACGTTGAAGAGTAAGCAGTTGACTACGTTGAGTGTCGCTAGCCTTGGAGCCTGACCGGGCTAACTCGAGACCTTTCTGCTGGAGTTTATTTAGCAGGGCACGATTGTCGTTCTCAGATGCCATAAGACGGCTCTTGACTGTGTTGAGTTCTCGCTCCAATCGCTCCTTCTCTTTGTCATTCCTAGCCCCGAAATCAGTGGATTCGGAAATTATCTTGCTTAAGTCCTTCACTTCCTGGTTTAAGCGGCCACACTCTTCCTCGAAATACTTCGCTCTACTCTGCTCCGCTTCGAGGTCTTTTCGCACGCTAGCTTCGCGTTCTCGCGCTTGCCGTAACGCATTCCGATCGCTTGCAAGTTCAGCCTGGATTCGGGCTTCCTCCGCGGCGGCTTTAGCTTCTCGCAATCGCCTAATCTCGTTGCGGGCCTCGTTACGCTCCTTCTCAGCGGTGGTCCGAGCCTCCATCGCGCGTCGGAGAGTGTCCTGTTGCACGTAAAGCTCCTTCTCAATGATGATCTTGGCCTCGTTGACTTCCTGGAACTTCTCATTCAATTCTCGGTATTTATGCTCAGCAAGCAGTTGAACATCATCCCTTGACTGCCGTTCCTTGCTGAGATCTCTCTGAACTTCGGCGAGCTGTTCTTTGAGATCTGCAATTTGACGTTCAAGCATCTTGCGGTTCTGCCCCGCTTGAGCATCTTCGTTCAGCCTTGCATCGAGCAGCTTTTTCGCATCTGCGGCCTCCCTTTCGAGTTGGGTTTTCTGTGACTTCATGGTGAACATCTCAGCCTGAACTTCCCGGAGTCGATTAGCAACATTCTCCTTGTCCTTCGCTAATGCTTGTTTCTCGGTATCAAAGTTCTTGCGTTCTTCCTCATACTTGCGATTATCAGACCTTAGGACAGACAATTCGCTCTCCTTCCGTCGCACGAGATCTTCATAGCTAGTAGATGTTGCAGATAATTCTGATAGTTGCTGGTGCACTCGTCGGTTTTCGCTAGCCAGCTCTCGTTCCTGCGCCCGTGTAGCCTGCAGCTCCTTGTTGGCATTTGCAAGCTTTATATCCAAGTCCTGGTCAACCTTGAGCAGCTTACTCTCAAGATCGTGGACCTTGCGGTCTTTCATGCTCATTTGGCTCTGAAGCAAGTTAACCTCTTGGCTTAGGCGTGATTCGTCCTGACTTCTTGCGGACTGGGCCTGTGCCAATTCGATAAGCTGTGAGTCCAGGTCATGCAGCTTCTCCGACAACTCTCTTTTCTCCTTCTCCAATTTTTCGATGATGAAGCCGGCCTGCTCCAGTTGAGATCTCCATTGCTCAGCTTGATTTTCGGCACTCTTCTTTGCTTCAAAGAGGTCATCTAGCTGGTCCTCGAGCTTCTCTTGGTCGTCTAAAGCTCCTGCCAACTTATCGCTCAACTCTGCTTCCCGTAACTGTAACCGCTTGAAGATCTCTTCCTTATCTAAGGCTAGGGCTCGTTCGCTTTCCAGAGTTTGTTGGATCCTTTGCATTTCAGTATTTGCATTTCGGCGCTCCTCGTCCAACCGTTGGCGTTCAGCTGAGTCTTGCTTCATCTTCTCACTGAGTTTCAATATCATTTCGTCTCGCTTCTTAACCTCTCCAGAGGTGCGGGTGGCACCTAATAAGGGCTTCATCTTGGCGAGCAGTCTCCACCAAGGACTTTCACAAAGGTCGAGGTATACCTGGAAATTCCGCTGGACAATCCTCGTAGCCTCTGCTCTATAGAGTCTTTTGTGGGCAATCCGTCGCTGGATAAAGCCACGTGCAATTGACTGAAACCGGGACATGATTTCTCTTATCAAGGCATCCCGTTGTTCTTCCAGTTCTGCCAACACCCCAGCCCTAAAAAAAACTTTGGTAAGTCCAACTCGGAAAAGGGCCTTGTCCAGGCCGAGCTTATCGAGCATTATAGTAGCTGCCATTTGTCCTTCCAGATAGCCCTTGGGCATGTTCCGGCAAAGAACTTCATATCTTTGTCGAAACTCGGCGAACTGGAGTCGATTTGGGAAGCCAGTACGAGCAATACGAATTCCCTCAAGAACACCATTACAACGTAATTGATCAAGCACAAGGGGCGCACTAAGCTGCTTAGGGCGTTTCTTGTGGTTGGGAATAATACATCGCACGAAATGTGGGTGGGTTGAGTGGAGCTGAGCCATCAGACTGGACAATTGCTCTTTGTGCCTCTGCGCAACGGTTCGGAATAATCCCTTTTTGACCCTGCTTCTAGTAGCGCCAGTTTCATCGTCGGGCTCCGCACAATCGGCAAAAAGAGACGCAACATGTTTATCCGTAGAAGCAGCCAGCAGTCTTGTTATGTTGTCGTTCAAAGGATCTTTGTTCTTTTCTAACCAGCCATCAGTAGAATACTCCACCTCGGCCGCATAATGGGTAAGCATGAAGCCCTGTCCAAGTCGCGAAGGTCGATATTTAGCGGTTTTGCGATCCCACAGAGAATGCAGCTTTTCTGTGAAAGATTTGTCCGTGGCCTTTGGCATAACACAGTCTTCATCTAAGCAAGAGAAAATACCGATAGGGTTAGGAAGCTCGATCAGATCAATTGTGGGCTGAAGATCATGACCGAAATCGATGAATTTCCATTCGATCTGTTCGCGAGCATATTCCTCCTGCTCTAGCACAAACATATGGTGATTGAAAAATTGCTGGAGTTTTTCGTTGGTGTAATTGATACACAGCTGTTCAAAGCTGTTCTCTTCGAAGATCTCGAACCCGGCAATATCAAGTACTCCGATGAAGTGGGAGTCATCCATGCCCATTCCAGTTCGATCAAGCTGCCTATTGATCCGACTGACCAAGTCACCGAAACTCCGCTCGTAAATACCTTTCGACAGGGCGTCAATTCCAAGCCGCACTTGCTCAGGAGTCTGGACCTTTTCCACCCATTCTCGGCCGGCTTTGACCTTAGGGTGCAGCAGTCCTTGAATAAATGGTTCCATGGGGATCCCTAGCAATTTGCAGACTTTCTCGGCGTGGACACGGGCATCTGGGGCCAACCGCGCCTGGTCGGCCCCTCTACTCTCTTTTACCACTGTAACATTCCCCAGATGCAGCACTGCAGCAATAGTTCGAAGAATGGAGACCTGCTCTTTCTCGGAGAACCCCATTATATTGAACGCTTCAATCAGCGAGTCCCATTCATCTCGATCCGAGACCCCAGTGATTGTATCCTGGCCATCCCTCGTGTAGGTAAAGTCTTCCACGTCCTGGTCATCCAGTTGGAAATCATGCTTTAATTTTCGATCCGCTCCTTTTAGTAGCTGATAGAACACATGATAATTTCGCTCATGGGGATTGAGTCTTACGACTCGTGACTTCTCTAAGAGGTACCAGTCTATAAATGCACCTGCGATAGTACCCGTTCGAGTGAATTCAATTCTAATGAACTTTCCAAACCGCGAGGAATTGTTGTTTCTCACAGTCTGAGCATTTCCAAAGGCTTCTAGAATTGGATTTGCACGGAGAATTTGTTGGGAAAGATTCGAATGCTGTTGAGCTTTGGCTTTCATTGGCGATTCTGAATGTGCCACAGCTGCAAGGTACTGGATAACCTTCTTGGTATTCTCAGTTTTCCCAGCACCAGATTCACCAGTCACCAAGATACTTTGGTTTTCGCCCTCGTCTACTAAATTTCGAAATGCCTCATCTGCCATGGCATAGATATGTGGTTTTGTCTCCTCTCGGCTCTGGCCTTTGTACATGTTGATGTACTCGTTTGTATAAATAGGGAGAGAGCAGTATGGGTTTATTGCGACCAAAAACAGGCCAGAATAGGTGTATATCAGATCCGCTTGATATCTCATGTGCAAATTGTGAACAACGGAGGCTTCGTTAAGGTGGGTGAGCTCTGCCATATCGTCTGCCTTGTCGAACTTCGCCGGGTTGACCTTGTCGACGCTATCTGCACTCACTTCTCGTTGCTGACATTAAGTTAGCCTTCCGCTGTTCGTGTGGAATTTTCTCGGGAGCTTACACTTCCATCGTCACACTGGACGAGTATTTGGTTGCTTCCCACCTCTTCCACAACCCATCCCTTCACAAATGCTACCTGTGGGTCTTTCAACCAGACATATCTCTTACCGGAGAAATCATTCTCTCCTTCAATGCCTCTCACAGGCTCAGGTCCGTTTCGGATTTCTTCCGACTTTATAAATGAAGGCGCAAATGTATTGGAAGTAGGGGTTCCGTTCTTAGAATCGGAGCGGTACCGTGTAGTCCCATCATTAGTCGGGGCCACTACTCCCGCAAGGGAGGAATATGATTGATGTCGATTGTATGGCGGGCTCTGGGTTCCGTTTCCAGACAATGGGGATGCCATTGTTAGGGATTTTGGTCTGCCATTGGGGATCCCTGGGCCTGGCGAGGGCGAAGGCGAGTTGTTTCTCGTAAAAGGGTTATTGCGAACATGTCCTGGATTCGAGGCCATGCTGCGTTGTGAGCATTCCTGGTGCTTTGAAACCGGGTGGTGGAGGTTCAATCCAGTCGCATCAAACCATAGAATGGGCGGCGAGTGGGATTATTCAACAATGAAAAAGGAGAACCGTGGAACGACTGAATTAAAAACAAAGCGGCAGAATTAGATTTGCCACACACAACCACATGAAAAATGGGAAACGTTGCTCGTTGAAATCGTTGTGTTCGTCGTGCTGTTGTTGTATTATTGTGTGCGCCTGAAGTTCAGTTGCAGTGTTGACCGCGACGCGAGCTGTGAGTGGTCACAGCAAGACGATGTAAACAAACCCTGATCTGTGGTCGCGCCTCGACATCTAGTCACCTGACTTAGGCGCATACCTCGGGAGCTAACCCCAGGGAGTACTAGCGCCTCGAAACTTCCAAGTTCCGTTCTTCATCGCGAGATTGTCGCTGGCGCTTCAGAACCACAACCCGACCAACAACAACAACCACCCCTTCACGAACTCTGGGAAGTTGTGGTTCTCATGCGTTTTTGATTTAAGAGCGAGCCTAAGCTCTTATTCACTCCTTTCCTTCTCCCGGAGAACCGACCCCCTCCCCCGTTATAATACCTTTTCGTGTTCCGCTTTCTTTTGTTGCAAGGGCAAAGCAAGGTGTTGATACCCTCGAGCTGCTGCCGAGACCGCGCTCGAGAAAAGTCTCCGCGCTTTTCGATCTTTCACTAACCTTCAGCACTGGACGGTTCAATAATGCGCCTACATTCTAATAGCTGCCACGATGTCAGACTATCCGCCGAACCCTTCGTATGGGCTGAACTATGGAGCGCAAGACCCAGCCAATCCTCCCTACCTCCCTCCTACCTATCCAGCTCAATATCTGCAACCTGACGATGGTCGCATGGCTCATACCAATTTGGCATCGAATTATGACGCGTATGGATACAACAACGCCGTGCCGGCGTTCAACCCGACTCCAATGGGTTCTGCTGTTCCTCCAGTGCCCATTTATCAAGGTTGGAATCAAGACCCAGCTCCCTTAGCCCCGTATAATCCACACAGCGGACCACAGTATCCAGGCTATCCTGATAATGCGCATCACAACTCGCCCTATTACCCCCAGCCTCAAGCAGTTTATCAACCCCCGCCGCACGCTGCAAGACACTATGATGAAGGCGAGGTGAGCGAAGGTGAATTTGAGGTTAATGCAGGCCGTATGAACAACGCGCCCGCCGCCTATGGGGCAAGCCAGTTCCGTTCGAACGACAGTCCAGCTTATGTTGAACCCTCTCAGCGCCCAAGCTACCCTAGACCTCAAGCCCAAGCTACCCAACAACCTTATCGTGCTGGTGAGCTGATCTAACCCCATAACCCGATTTTGGCCTTGGTAATTAACATATATCTAGTAGCAAACCACAATGTCCCTACCCGGGATTCTCCTCGAGCACGGCAACTATCAGATGCGTATTCGCCGCATGTTTCGCCTGTAGCAGTTGACTCCCGCGATCAAGGAAATACAAATCATAGTTACAACTCACATACACCTCTCCCTACTACTGTGGCTACAAATGGCGGCCTACAAGGTCAAAATGGCCAGACTCAAAGCGGTGTTTCCGGATCATCTGACGCTCGGTCTCGTCCAAACTCCCGCGTCGCTCCCATAAGCACAGAGGATCCCATCGTCCCTGCTAGTCATGTCCATACCCCACCAGCGCTGGGTGAAGCGTCAAATGTGACTCCCAAAACTCTAGCTGATGCTCGCAAGAAGGCTCAAGGAGCAATACTTAATCTATGGCCATATGATGTCCGCTTCCAAACCTACGTTGAAGAAGGGTTTGAGGAAGACCTAGTGGGTGGTCTCTTTGATGATCTCAGGATGCCACGGGGATCAGCTAAGCCTCTGGCAAAAGATGGGGAAATTATCCCACATCGAGCTGCTGTACCTTCCCCATCTAACGGGGCAGCAAAAACAACTACCGCTTCACAAAGCTTGGACAGGCATTCTGGCCTTAACGGTCGTTCGCCTCCATTACCCATCCAAATAAGCGGTACGCATGCTATTATAAATTGCACTACGCCTACTAAGGCCGCTATCCCTGTGTCGGTAAATGCAGCAAATACGGTGGCCAAGCCTTCAGCGGCGATGACCGAGAAAGAGCGAACTCTCCAATCGAAGATGGAGGCTCTTCGGAAATCGCGTGAAGAGCGTGCGCAGAAAGCAGCAGCCAAGAATACTGCGAAGTCGCCTACCGATGTAACTCCTAATATTCAGCCTCAACCGCAATCAACTGCACCTGTACTGTCAACCACCCAAGCACACACCCCCTCCACTTTGGCTCTAAGTACAGTACCCCGACACATTTCTCCCATAGAGCACCCAACACCAGATCCGTCAGTTTCGACCGAACCCGTCAAGCAAAATAACCAGCCGCAGGCTCCAGCCATCCCTGGGCTATTTCTAGCATCGACAGCTCCACGTGCAGGGTCTCCATCGAATGCTCCGAGCATGGCAACTACGACTACTCTAATCAACCAACGCAAGCGTCCTGTGGCAGCTGATTTCGATCCCCTTCCTAGTACCATCTCCCAGTTTAAACGTCCCTTTGGCCACAGTGGCCATGACCGGCGTTTGGTGATTGATGTAAGTGATGAGGAAGCCGACTCGGATGACGAAGATGTGGAAATGGATCTCGAGTCACAAGCAGACCAAGATTCCCCCATGCAACCCCCACGGAAAATGTCTGATCAGCGAGCTGCTGCGATTCATAATCTACAACCCTTGTCTGATTTCCCCTCACGCAAGCCTTTCACGCCTCCTCCGAACTCATCAGCGGCCAGCACCCCTCCTACGTCCAAAGCTGCGCTCGGGAGGCCGGAAGTATTACAGCGAAAGGAGAGCCAAATTGAACAGTTGAAAAAGAGGATTGCCGAAGCGGAAGCTCGGAGAAAAGCTCGTCAGACCCCGAGTGGCACCCAAACTCCTCGCGCTGGTGACAATCAAAATGCGGAGACAGTAGATGATACTGGTGGCAATGCTAGTCTTACGAGCAAGGTTGAAGCATCAATGAAGATGCAACAGCTCATCGGCATCGCCGACAAAAAGGTCAACTCAGACCAGCAAAAGCTACTGGAGACCCAGGCTGCCGAGCTTGAGAAGACGGCTGAGTTGAAGCAGAACGAAGATGAGAGCAAACGCCTTCGCCTCGAAAAGATCGCCCTCGATCTCCCACTCATTGATGTGCAAGTCCAACAGACCCAAACCAAGCTACAGCAATTACGATCCGAGGCAGCAAAACTTGAAGCCGAGATCTTCAGAAATATGGAGATAAAGCAGCAAATGGCTGAGGAAATGGAACGCCTAGGACAAGAAACGGAACAGCGGCTCCAAGCGGAGAAGGAGAAGCTTCAATATCTGACAAAAGCAGAAACCGGAAATAATGGTACCAACGGCGGTAAGTAGTCTCCATTTGCCCTTCTTACCATTTTCAATCGCAGTAGCCTCTGGACAAGATCAACAAACTTACTCATTAGACTCTTTCATCCCCCCTTCCTCGACCATAACCGAGGCTGGGATTATAAATTCACCGCTGCCCGTCGGCGGCCTCGATCAGACGTCCCCCTCTGTCTCCAATGAATCTCAACCATTGGAAGCCGCTAGTATACAGGATCTCGACCCTAACAGCCAGCAAAACCCTGCTCGTAGCGTCGAGGATAGCGAGGCCAAGTTGATGGGGGCGACTGGGACTACCCAACAGCTGCTGCTCGATCCGCACGATCAAACGTCGGCCGACCACGCTCTAGAAGCAGCCTTACAAGAGGCAGTACGTGCTGAAGCCGACTCTCATGCACACAACGATTTGGAAATGGAGGATTCGTTTGCCCCTGATCCAAATCAATTGGCTCCCGAGAGCTCACCCAGTCTTGCCGATGAAGGAAGTCAAAGCCCAGTCTATTCACCAGTCCTCGAGCGTTCAGTTCCAGATGTACTTGAGGCTGACGGAGAGTCGGATAATTACGAACCACCTGAAGCAACGCCGCCTGTGGATGCACCTTCTCCTGTTGACTCTCCTCCCTTCAGTCCAGCCCCACCAGATATGGTTATCGAACCCACAAGTGTTGAGGAATCGATGCAATTAATAGATGACACTAGCCGCGAGCCCGCCAGCGATATGCCACTGCATCAGAATGGCAGTGCGCCGCGGGTAGGCCAAGTAAAAACATTTCTCATCCTCCTATAACGAGCCTCCTGCTGACCATGGTACAGAATGATGTCAAGAGCGGTCCTGAGAAGCCTCGATTCTTCACCCCTTACGAAAGCCCGCTCAAACACTTTGGCGCTTTCCGATTCCACCCTACTTACAAGCAAGAGGTCCCTGGGGGGTTGCGGTCACTGACTTATAGCCATAAAATCGACCCCGACGTGGAATTCTGTCGATATGAGTTGGCAGGAGGCATTTGCAACGATACCACCTGTGAATTTCAACACTTCCGAGATATTGGCCTCCCTGGTGCGTGGGTTGCTTGAAGCCAGCACATTCTGGCCTCGCTCCCTAATATCTTTCTTTGTCCTCGGGCTGACTTATCACCAGATGATGCCGTATTGACCAACCTGGGCAGCCCTGAACAGTTCAGCCCGTCGCAACGCGAGAAGTTCTGTGAGGGTTTAAGAGCGGTTCTTACCGGTTTGCGCGCCCGAAAGATCAAGGACTTTGAGGTGATTGCTTCCGAAATCGTCGCCCACCGATCCAAATTCCTCGGCGACAACTCCAAAGTGCTCAATCTCGAGGGCACAGGTATCTGAAGCAACTTACTCACAGCTTCAACTTTGTAAAAACTAATAGTTATACGTTCTTCGTATCTGCGCTATACGAGGCCTTCTTAGCCACCCACCAGCATTTACGACCGCCTCTTTCCTTCCTCTCATACTCATATAGTAGATTGGTCCAATCTCCCGCCTTGGCAGGAAATTTTGGACGTAGCTCGACGGGCCTCAATGCAACAGAGGTCGAGAGCAAGAACACTGCATTGACGGTGTTGCCTTGCATTTTCACTGGTGTTTGACCCACGATACCCTGCCCACTGGTTTGGTTTCCGGCTTCGAGAGGTAGGGGAAGGAAGCCCAAAGAACAGAAAAATCAGAAGATAATATGATTCCCGACCAACCTTGCAGAGCTAGTTAGCGCCAATAGTGATAATGGAATCAATTATTTATTCTTTCAATTTAATCTACCCCACTACAATTGATCTGGCACTGTCCGCTTAGAAACATGTGGAGCGAACTTGAAACTGTAGCAAGAGCTCTATCTAAAGAGTCTCCAGATTTCGGCAATTTCAGTGGCTTCATACTCCCAAGTGTTTATATCATTCATTCCATGCCATTGCATCATCAGGCGACGACGCTAGCTACAGTACCAAGCGACAACCCCTTTTTCGAGAGGGTACTGTACATACCACCAAATCACGACCCCAGATAAGCGATTATCAGGAAATCACGACATCGCTCCCAGCACTCTCATCATCAGCACCAAACGTGCCTCGACTCTCCACAGCCAATGCTCGAAACGCAAAATGGCACGGAGAATCCACAATGGTAAAAACACTCTGCTCCAGCAGCAGCACTCCACGGTAATATGCATGTGTGATCCTGGCAGCCTGGTTAGCGGACGGGGATGAACAACATGTTCGCCATATGCGGGCGTTGATAGACATTCTAAACCAAGGACTTTGCCATTGTCCTCCGTGGGGAGACCCGATAGATATATTGAGCAAGTGCCCCAGGGTTTCCACATATTATCAATTTTTTTCCAATTGAGTGCTGTGCGGTTCAGAGAGAGATCCCTAAGATGTCAACCCTACCAGAGGTATCGGAAAAGGTCGACCTCGGCCACCAGAATAATGATTCTAAGGTCAGCAACACTTCTCTCGTTTCCGATGAATTATACACGAATCCCACCGGTATAAACGAGAAACCACTCCTTCGGAAATTAGATTGGAAACTCCTTCCCCCGCTCACAATTCTGTACCTACTGTCTTTCCTGGATAGAAGCAATGGTAAGTGAAGCAACTGTTATGGTTTCCTATTGCGTGAGGGCAGGGCCGATTGGCAATTCAACTAACTATTTGATAGTTGGGAATGCGAAACTAGAAGGCTTGGACAAGGACTTGAATATGACTGGAAACCAATACTTGGCCACCTTGACGATATATTTTATAGGATACGTGAGTTTGATGATATGAGAGCAAGATAAGGTGTGGCATAGTGCCTGGAGCTGATTATTATATTAGGTTCTGTTTGAGATTCCTTGCAATATCGTCTTGAAGCGTACCACTCCTAAGTAAGTACCACATGCCAAAGCAAACCAGGATAACGTCTAACTAAATAAACCCAGGTTATGGTTACCGACTCTCATGCTCTCCTGGGGCATCGTCGCCACCCTAATGGGAATCTCACAAAACCTCGCCGGTTTTCTAGTCGCCCGATTTTTCCTCGGCGTCACGGAAAGTGGTCTGTTTCCGGGCGTGGTCTTCTACCTATCCATGTGGTATAAGAGGACCGAAACCCATTACCGCATTGCACTATTCTTCTCCGCGGCCTCCCTTGCTGGAGCATTCGGCGGCATCTTTGCATATGGGATCGGATTTATGAAAGGCGTTGGGGGTCTGAATGGCTGGCGGTGGATTTTCATTCTAGTAAGTACATCCCGTTTGTTCTGTGTCACTAAATCATGGTTGCTAACACTGGTATCAGGAAGGTCTTTTAACCCTCGTAATTGCGGTCATTGCATACTTCTTCATCCACAACTACCCCTCCACTGCCCCTTTCCTCACCGAGCCCGAACGAGCCTATATCCACGCCCGCCTCAAGAACGACTCTGACGCGACCAACTCGGAAGAGTTTGCCTGGAGCAACGTGTTAGCCGCACTAAAAGACTACAAATGCTGGCTCTATGGCTTCGGATTCCACACCATGTCCCTCCCCCTTTACACCCTATCCCTCTTCCTCCCAACCATCATTAAGAGCCTTAACTACACCGCGGCGCAAGCCCAACTCCTGACCGTCCCCCCTTATGCCGTAGCCGCCATATTTACAGTGATAATCGCCATCCTCTCCGAGAGGACGCACAAACGCGCCCCTTTCATCATCGGCTGCTCATCACTCGCCATCATCGGCTACATAATCCTCCTCAGCACCCCGCCCACAAAACCTGGCGTCGCCTATGTAGGAACCATCTTCGCAGCAGCAGGAATCTACCCCTCCACAGCCATTGTGCTTTCCTGGCCCGCGGCCAATGTCTCAGGGCAGTCAAAACGCGCCACTGCTACAGCGATGACGATCACGATTGGAAACCTAGGTGCCGTGCTAGGGACCCAGTTGTACCGTCCGGCAACCAGCCCGAGATGGTTTCTAGGCCATAGTTTCGCGTTGGGGTATTTGTGTTTGAATCTGCTGAATACTGGCATATTATGGGCTTGCTTGAATAGGGAGAATGCGAGGAAGAGGGAGCGGGTTGCGAATGGAGAGGTCGGTGGAGGTGAAGATGGGACGGTTAAAAATGATGATGATGTGGGGTTTATTTTCCAGACTTAAATTGGGTCTTTAGAAATGATTTCGTTTTATCATTAGAATCTAGCCTCTGCGTTTTCTAAACTGCACATAAATTGGGCAATAGGTAAGGTGTTGTTTGATATCGTCGAAGACTTTACATAGTACCAGCCCTCAAAAGATAGCCTTTGTAACCGATAGTCTGAGTGATCCATCGTCCATAAAACCGACCTCCCATCTCCTACCTAAAACGATATTTATCTCTCGGCGGACAGGATCTGTATTTTCACATGAGCAGCTTCCATAAATTATTTACACTCGTAAAAATATATAAACACCCATTTATTTTTCAAATTTCTCCCAATCCAAGCATATCCTGCCTTGTCCTTGGACTCATTAAATTTGGCATGTTCGCCGCCAGGCCACTTTGGCTTTCCTGAGGCGCGCGTATACGGCCAAGCTATTTGTGTCTTACCAACATCTTCATTGTTTCGACCCACATCACAAGCGGCCGCGGATAGGATATGTTTTGATTAATTTTCTAAGCGCGAGTGGCGTGTTGGACTTGCCGCGCGGGGCGGCAGAGGCTTTTGCATGTCTCATGTTAAAACGTATTAGACGTGGCGCCGTTTTAGTGGCCATATCGTGCATTGTTTTCCAGTGGGCAGATGAGGAAGAAGTACAGCCGTGTTTTCGGTTTTGATGGATGTGTGAGTTATAGAAAATGAGACGGAAAATTAGAGTAGGAGTATGGGTTGTTGGATTATAAATTAATTCTTAATCTAGCATCTAGATTGCTTTCGCAGTAACAAGAGGGTATATGCACATATAACGGGGGATATATCCACCAATATATACGTAGCCGTTCATCTTATTCTCAGTCTCATTTTCACTCAGGCACCCGCCTCATCCATGCCCTCGAAGATTGCGGAGAAGGTTCAGACACGGCGGTCTCACTGTCACTGTGGGGACTCAACGTCCGACTCCCGCTTTGGGGACTCAGTATCGCACTCCCGCTTTGGGAACTCAATGTCGCACTCCCGCTTTGGGGACTCAATGTCGCACTCCCACTCTGAGGGCTGGATGGATCTTTCTCACTAGAGCCATAAAGTGTGTCTCCTCCTGGAGAAGTAACCCAACTCCACCTTGGTGTCGCCGGAATCCGGCCCCTACTTGAGTGCATCTCCACCGGTGTATTTTGCCAACTAAATCTAGGGTTTCGCTCTTGGTGTGTCGAGCCAGCCATCTCAACAGCGATATCTCTCTGGCCCATTAATTCGGCAGCTACTTCTTCCCTTGCGGGCAATTCGTGGACTTGCGCAGAATGGCCATCAACCTCTGCAACACCACCTTCTCTTTCTGGATGTACATTCTTCCCTCCTTCCATTTCCCACCGGGTTGTGATGGGCTGTGTGTCAAGCTCTGGCTTGACGTATGTTGGGTCGTCGGATGGCGCTTCTGGGTCTTGTGGTGGCGTGGGAGGCTTTTCTTCAACTGCGACGGTGGCTGCTGCTGCTGCCTCTGCCTTACGGCGACGGGGTTTAATACAGAAATGGTAGATGAGGAATGAAACTGCTGCGAGAACCGCGACGCCCCCGACAACGCCGCCGACTACTGCCCCCGCAGGGACGGAAGTCGAAGACTTGGATTTATCGCCGGTAGTCGTAGTTCCATTGCCGGTTGAGGAAGGGGACGATGTGGAAGGCGCCGCGATTGCAACAATGTCTTGTTGGGCGTTAGGGACCCAACTGCATTGGGAGACGGAGAAATTGCCGCGATCGTAATCTGCTATGACGTATGCTTCTTGGAAAAATGTTCGTCCTAATGTGTATTGCGTGAAATTGTCCGCTCGTTTTAGGGGGAAATATCTTGTGGCATTCGACACTAGGGGTGCTTTGGCCATGAGATCGAATGCCGCATAAGGAAGCGTAATGTTGACCGCGACCCCCTCTGTCAGATTTCCCAAAGTGAATGTAATGTTTGGATTTTGCGAGGCCAAAGCTTTATGCTGGGAATCCGTGAGGAGATATAGCTCTGTCTTGGTGTCCCAAGTTAGGTTGAAAGCTTTCTCGAATAAGGCGCATGCTTCTTGGGGGAGCCAGATATACGGCAGGCTCGAGTCAAGAAACGCCGGGATCGAAGAAGGGAGGAGAGAAGCCTCTGAACTCTTCGTACTTGAAGTGATCGAGGTTATCTGAACCGTGAGATCGCGGATGTCCTGTGAGTTAAACCCCCACGTGATATCGTGAGCAACAAATCGAGACCTGTCGTATCCTCCCAATGTGAGGCTACCAAGAACCTGGCTTAGACCTGGAGTTGGAGTTAGATTGATGTACAAATCTTTGTTGCGGGGTCCATACGATATTGATTGCCAGCTGTATATGCCCACGATAGACTTGGGATCAGTGACTGGCTCTTGAGATTCTGCACTAAACTGGGAATTGGGTTGTTAAAGCTGGTGAAATTGCTTGCTCGTGGTGTCAGACCGAAGAGTCCCAAATATGTGTCTTTTGTAGCAATTCCTGCGACGGTTTCTAGGTGATGGAGTCAGCTTTTCTTATCCACAAGCCTTGGAGCGCAATAAATAATCCCAGGAGCCAATTCTTCTTACGGTTCTTCACGGTTGGTCCTCCAGCGCCCTGCCACCCGAGCGTGATATCGTCAGAGCCTAGCGCAGCCCTTCCAGTATACCCAAGTTGCTGGCCCATTTGAAGCGGATAGATATTCGTTGTCAGATTCGCGGTGTTCTTGAACCAAGTCGACGATGCATTTGTATGATATTCTCCTCCTCGTAAGTCGGCGCAATTCGACGGGTCCGAGGCAATACATCCTTCAGGAAGCACGACAACCGTCTGGTGGGAAGCCGTGGCGACAAACAACCTCACATTTTGGGCTGGGTTCCCGACCTGGAATGGGAACGAGGACCACGAGCCATCATTGCCGTCCCCTGGGCGATATTAGTTCACATTCAAGACGATTATGCGCAGCCGGATAATGCGAAAACATACAATTTTGTGATGGGGCTATAACAATTGGAGACGGCGCTGTTTCTCTCTTGTCAACGATCTCGGTCGCGGTCTTCGCGGACACACATTGCGCGGCAAGAAACACCAGCTGTGCGACCAATATTTCCGGAGGGCTTTTCAGGCGCATCTTCTTAGGAGAGTCCCCATAGAGCGCATACTGCAACAAACAAGCAAGAAAGCAAACCAACGATTGAAGCTCGCTATCGCAAGAAACAACACAAGGACGAGCTAAGGGTCCGGAGGATTATTAGATACGAGGTACGAAGAGGATCGGAGAGCCCAAGGCACAAGCACCTGGAGTTATTCCGCATGAAGGATCCAAGGGATGCGGTCCGGCCCAGTAGGTGGTTTCAGGCCTGGAGTTGGCACCGCAGCAGTGCTAGACTTCTATGCTAGTAGGCTGACTGCGTCCAGCTACCACAGTTGGTGCTACGCACAGTACCACTCGATGATGGTGAGATGTGCGAAAAGCGAGGGGACCAATCAGCACACAGTTCATGAACAATGGACGAGAAGCAGAGTCGTGCTGGTAGACCTTTGGCCCGGGGAGCGGAGCTGGCTGCTGGGAGAGAAGTCTCTGGATCTGCCAGCAGTGCCAGGCCATATACTCCACGGGGGGTTGCGGGTTCTGCAACACGGTCCTTGATAGCGCTTGACTAGGGATCATAACGATCATAACGGCCGCCCACTTAGTTGGCTATTGCTCAGTTAGCTTCGGCGCTTAGCGTAGCTACGAGTAAACGGCATTAGCCGTGTTACATTGTTCGTCAACGGAGTCTCTTGTGGTCTACCAGTAGCTGAACTTGATACGACCCGTAATGAACGTTTGCTCGTATCTTATTACATCCTCATCCTTGAATTCGCCATACTCTAAGTGTAACCTTGCCACGCGGAAGTCTCGCTGACTCCCAGCTGAGGATGGGAAGTGGGATCTTGGAAATCGATTTAGCCGGCGGCTTTTTTTGGTTTGGCTTGCGAATCGGTGATGCATCACTCTGCTCAGATCACTGCCCTCCCAATCTTAGCGCTGGGGCGCTGCCACCATGCCAGGCCTGTTCAGCCAATCGCCGGTGGCTCAGCAGCCTACTTCGTCGTGGTTGGGCGATATTTACCAAAATAGGCCCCAAGGCCCGAGATGCATCCTAAATCCGCACATGTTCTGGTAAGGATATACATAGGTACAGGGCTATGTACAGTACATGTGCATGTACTTGCAGTAGGGAGGGAGGTACAGGACTGAACTCATGCAATGCCAAGTGGCAGACCGCTGAGAAACCCGTGGGTCTGTCTCCCTTCTCTGGAACGTTCATGTGATTTTGATCATTTTTCATCCTTTTATTCTTGCTGTTGCTGTTGCGGTTGCGGTTGCAGAATCAAAGAGGCGCGCGGGCGAGTGCCACATTGCTCTTCTCTTTCTGGAGTTTACCCTCGATTTCAAGCGCAAGCGCTCAATGCGCTCCACCCCCAATCCCCCAATCCTAAGACCAGTCCATAATGGAAAGCCACGCGCGCTCAAAAACCGTGCCAAGGCAGATAAGTATTGCGGGCACACGGATCAGCGTATGAGAATAATTACTATGCGGCGCAGCGCTCGACTGACTGGCTGTGAATGCTGTTTTCCACCCCCAAGCGCAGTCAGCGGAGAATCCTTCATGCAAGCTTATTCTTCCTGCAGGCATAGGAGAGGCTCCGCTGAAGACCCGGAGCCATGTTTATTATTCGTGGCCCCATCTGCTGGTCAGAGCAAGGCACCAGGTCCCCAGCGAAGTCAAGTGGCTGGGTAGAAAACAGCGGGGACATCCTGTTATATCTCCCATAGACTACCGGCACTCGAGGACATCCTGCGTACTTTCAATCCTCAAAGCCAAGAAGTGGTTCGTGTCTTTTGACAATTTTCTGTCGTTCCTGCTCTATAAGACAATCATGGTGGCCATGAGAGTAATTTTGGGCGTCTACATTGCGCTCCTGGGGGGGGTGACGGCGAAGTCTTGTAATTCCCAATTCTCTGCCCTAACGCTTTCTGGCGACTAATATGTCCACCATCTAGCAACAGCCCTATTCTCCAACACCACAAGCTCTTTAACGAAAGCGCCAGCTCCAGCTTCGTCAGAATGTTGTTTTGCGATAGTAGAAACGATAAGCGAATTCTACTGGCAGATATATGAGACGACCAGTTTCTTTCAGGTGGTTAACCTCACCTCCATCACCACCTTCGTGACGCCCTACCCAAATATAACCCGTTCCAATATCGAAACCAATGTCTACACCACAAATGCTACTTTCACTCGTACCCACACAATCGGTAGAAACCCCGCCGCTCTCTACCTAAATCCTGCCCCTGGACCCAGGGAAAATTTCACGGCATTGACGACTGGGACTCAGACGGTGACAGGAGGAGTGACGGTAAAATCGCCCGCTGCCTTCTGGGTATATCCAACGCTCAAGATCGTTACCGTTCCTGCTGTGACGGATTCGAATGGCCGTGTTGCTTGTGCCACGAAGACTGCCTTTCCAACTACTTATACGGGGTTTTCTGAATCACTCCGCTCCGTTCCCTATTCGACGAACACATTATCGTATGAGCTTACGGATACGCTGTACTCAACATTGTCCTCGAATCTCCTCAAGCCACTTACGACCGTGGTCGTGACAAAATATGAGACAAATACCCTATATTCGAATTCAGTATCGGAAGGGGGCGCATTCACGTCAACGCATTCGAATATTCCCGTCTTCACCGTCAATCCGTTTGTGGCATCGTACTTCGGGGAGAATGCGACTAAATCTTCCGGGTCTATATTAACACTAGCAACGCCTTATATTTACCTACCTCCGAGGGGCTCAGCAGGTGCGACTGGGGAACCGAATAATACCTGTACCCAAGGTGCTGGACCTGAAAATTATGGGTATCCGCTGCAAGAGGCAAGTTTAATTGTTCATTTTAAATATTTGATAATCGAGACAACTCCTACAATCCCTAAGAAGCGCCCAGGCTCTTACCAATTGTGGGGTGTATGCTCAAAATTTACGGCTAACACCATGCTTTACTTTTCTCCTCTGGGCATTTTCATTTGTCCTTTGCCAAATCTTATGTGTTCCTGTGCTAATACTAAAACAGATGATCGATTTCGCTGCCATTGACCATCCCGAAATCGCTTCCTGCCTTCCCGGGGGGCCTGAAGTCTTATCCGCTACACGATGCGAACAGGTTTCTCCAGCATATGAATGTATGTTCTCAGGAATTTCGACTCGCTTCTCCCGCTAACATGTGCTCCCAGCGCCCGGCGGTGACCTTACCTCATCGACTGTGATCACAGTGACTCCGACAGACCTTCCGACTGCTTTGCCCGTCGAGGCATCGCCGCTTCCCACGACGACACAACCAGTCCAAACATCGGTTGAAGCGCCAGTTTTACCCCCTACGCCAACGTTGCCCGTAGAAGATACTCCTTCGGCTACTTCAAAAAGCCTTCCAACATCCTTTGAACCTCCGTCCGATGCTCCTCAGAGTGAACCAGCCGCCGATGTCACTAAACTTATTCCAGACAACACGCCAACGTCTACAGCAGAAAATGCTCCCCCTGCTTCAGTGCCTACTCCAGACACCCCTCCTGCAGACACCCCTCCAGCATCCGTGGTAGACAACACCCCTCCCGCATCCGTGGTAGACAACACCCCTCCCGCATCCGTGGTAGACAACGCCCCTCCAGCATCCGTGGTAGACAACGCCCCTCCAGCGTCCGTGGTAGACAACGCCCCCGCCACTCTCCCCGATACTCAACCCACCAACAATCCCGCTCAACCCCCAAACCCAACACCTAATACAGCAGACCAAGCAATTGTAACTGCAATCGCCTCCCTAATCGGCGCCCAGCCCATCTCCGGATCACCAGGAAGTTCCGACTTTGTCGTCTCGATCGAAACCGCCATCCCTGTTGTCCCTGGTTCAGCCGCGCCATCCGGCCGGACAACAATCATCTCCGGAACCACAAAAGTAATAATTTCCGCAGCGACAACAATCCCTGCAGGTCAAGCTGTGGCGGGGTTAAGCAGTCTAGGAGGCACCACGACGATGATTTCAGGAACGCTGAATGTTGTCTTGGGTATTCCAGGTGGGACGACGAATATCCCGGTGAACTCGCAGCTGCCCGCCTTGACAGGAAAGACGACGGTAATAGAGGGGAGTACGTATGTGGCTGTGAGCGGACCAACAACAGTTCCTGTAGTTGTTGGAGGAGGCAATGCGGCTCCTTCTGGAAATGGAAGTACAGCGGCGCCAACGTTCAACCCAGTGGAAGCTTCTGGGGCTTCGGGTAGTATGGTGGCAGGAAGATGTGCCATGGCTCTTGCTTGTGTTGGTGCTGTTATTGCGCTTGCATTCTAGAAGATGATATAAGACGTGCTAAGACGTACTTAATGTTTTATGATATAATGGGTGGATAAGCAAAGGTTCTTTGTATATAGTTTTATAGGCATTTTGTGCCGAATTGGAAATTAGGAATTAAGAATGGAAGGGCTGAGATAGAAAATATAGTAATACGTCTCAGAACAAAATGTTTAGGGAAAGCAGAAAACTTGCCTGGTATTTATTTTTATGACCAATCGTTTTCTATTTCGATTTTTCGTTCAGTATCGTATGACCAATTTCAACGGGCCATCACATTGCTTACCATCCCTCTATATCAAAAATAGCCTCTTCCGAAATACAATATCTACTACAAAGGGAACCTTTGAAAAGAGCTAACCTTCAAGTTTGTTCCCATAGCTCCAATTCCAAACTATCGCCCATTTACTTCTTCAAATTACGAATCGTCTATCCTGTTTCTGTCCCCCAACATTAACTAACAACGTAACTTTTTGGAATACCGCTGCTTACAGCTTTCCCAAGAAAACCCGAAGTGGAATCATTTACGGCGGAGGTAGCTTTCAGGTCATTAAAGTATTGATTTAGTGCTTTGAGTATGGTTGGGTAAAAATGTCTTTGCCCAACTTCGACTACACCCACTAGCCTAAGCGATTGACCTATCCTTTATGGTCTCACAAGCCAAACCTACAGTAGACACAAGCCGAAAGTTTACGACGTTTGCTGGAAATTATTCAGGAAATATTTCCTAAAATATTGACTGAATCTCTACTTCTTGATTTTTAGCTGGGTTTTTATACGTTGGATCCGAGTATGAATGTTTTTATTGGTACTTAGTTGTCTTTCATAAGCTAATGTATACAATTTTACCCTGTGGAAGAAGAGTGGTATGTTTGGTACTAAGAGTGCGAGATATATATTTAAACCTATGTAGTACAAGGATTATGCGTAGGAAGCCAATATACCTCGCAGATCAAATTTTATGAGAAGAGAGAGGAACTTAGCTCCCAGAATGATTTGGAAACTCGCACTGAGGGAGCTAGCCACCAAAGCAAAATATCATTGGGAAACGGTGCCGGCATTTCAGTGAAGGAGTTGAGATGTGCCTGGATAGCCCGCAGTGTCATAGAGGAGTGGCTGGATGTTGCTGAGGGGAAGGGGATCGTTAAGCTTGTCATCTTGAGAGGTGTTTGTCATTTTGAGAGGTGTTTGTCATTTTGAGAGGTGTTTGTCATTTTGAGAGGTGTTTGTCATTTTGAGAGGTGTTGTCATTCCTTACCCCGCCTTAAAGAGGACTATTAAGAGCAATCTCAACCTTTGCCTTAATATTGGAAAAATTCTTTAGACTCGGATTATTATTATAGACAAAAAAACCTCCATAGCCTTGCTTGGGGTTCCCCATTTTAGCGTATATATAGACACAAGTGTAGGTCACTCTTAGGTCACTTTCCCACCCCGACGAAGAGGCAAGGAGAGCCGTTATATGGGGAGGCTCATTCTGACTATAGCTTGGGATGTGGTGGCCGCAACTAAATAAGTATGTAAGCTAAATACAATAATGATCGGACCCATGGTTAGGTACTACCTTTACCACTACTACTGCTGTGATACCCTCAACGACTGTCATAAGTCCATAACACTTAATCATAGTAATCCCCACCCGTGCCCCTCGGTTTTGCACTACTTGGGTTTAGAATATATAGCCCCCGCTCTAATTACTATGAATACCCACTCCGTCTCTAGGGTGCGATTTAGAAGGTATTCACGGACTCAATTTCTCCCACAGGGACGAACCTTCTTAGGTGTGAGGAAGTTCGCGAATTCAAAATCGGCATCGTATTGTTCCGGAAAACCAAGAGTAATAGTAAATTATAGAGGCTAGTTAAGCTAGTCAGTGTTAACCCGGTAGCATGATAGGTCAGGATTCAAGTTTACTCACCTGCCCAGCACGTTGCACTAAGCTAAGTTAGTTCGTTTATGGCTGGAGGATAGGCAGTTCACTCGTAGATCAGGTTAAGTCGGTGTTGACTTAGGTAACAGTTACTTTCCAAACTGCTACTCGGTAACTCGTTATACCATGTTAGTACTAAAACTCAAATCCCTCGCAAGCCTGCGCCGGTTGATTGATGGTATAGCCAGGGCCCTCGGGATATCATCAAGTATGTCCAAAGGAAACTAAAAGCAACGAATGGAGATATCCAGAAGGCAATTTTCGAAAAGTGCGATATATGTTTATCTAGGTTGCATTGTCCTAGTTGTTGAACATCTGAACATAGAGCTAAACAAAGGGAAAATTAAAGCAATATAAAGTAAAATTAAACGAGACGCCGAGTGATCTTGATAAAATACTCTCAAAAATTTTGGAAAGGGAGGACTGTGAAGATAGGAAGAAGAAAGAAGCTCAGCCCCGCTATTGTAGATGCTGGACGAAGAGTAGATAAGAATACCGTAGTGTCAATATTAAGCATGTTGCCAATATTAAGCATGTTCCCAATTAAATAAATGCTGCTGTCAAATAGCAAGACACTTGTCATTATATACACTGTTGTCATACTATATACTATAACTAGGTATGGCCAACTACCACTCGCCGGGCAGGTGGTGGACGATTCAACGGACGAGCTCCACAGGTGAACCCATCATCCGCCCAAGTACAAGAAGTGCAGTGAGCAAGGATAGCCCGACCAGCATCATCATTGTACTGAAAGACAATACAATCAACGAACTCAGTCTTCTTTCCAGTGCTGAAGCGAGCACAACCTTCTGCTGGAACACCTCTGGTGTGGGCAGTGACAGCAATTTCTCTGCCACGGCGACATCGAACCTCATTGCCCATGGGGTAAGCTGTAAAGGAAGGGCCTACAGCCCGGCCAGCATTGCCATTGGACTGAGCTGAATGGAGGAGCTATCCAGGGCCGACAGTGTGCGCGAATGTAAGGAGCAGGTCTGTCTTGTTTGCTGCAGGCATTCTAATCAAAAGGTTAGGATCGATCGGAAGTAATGAAGTGATCTCACGAGTGAAAGCGAAGGGGTGATGAAACTAGTACAGCTACTCGACTTGAGTATTGAGATGTACAGTAATGATTGAAGCACGCGTAAAGACAAACGCGCAGGTGACGGAAGAGAGCTATACCCAAATATAGGTGTAAGCGACTACCAATGGTTGATGGATGATGATGATGAGACTCGATGTAAGTCACACAACTTGCAAGACGAAGTCGAAAGCTGATGATGGTCGCATAGAGCACTTTGCCTGTACAATTGCTGGTAGACTAATACACCCAACGGGAGTAGTACTAGACTGCTAGTGACTGATGATAGTACTGCCCCAAATGAGGGGAGCGCTGGTCGAAGATGTCAAGTTACTATAACTTGATCCGATTCAACTTTGACGACGATGAGATCACCGAGTTATTGTTAACCCGGGTTCATAACTCATCGGCAGACGAGGAAAGCTCTGATGTTGGGTAAGATGGGCGCCACGAGGCAATCGATGCAGCTGCTCCTCACGCTCTTAATGACATCCAGGAGGAAGATGCCGGTGTCACTTGTCGAGTCCTATTCAACTATACCGTCACATATCAGCAAAATGTCCTTCCCTAATCTGCTATCCGTTATTCGGTAGCCACAGCCATCCCCACATAAAGAAAGAACCACCCTTCCAATAGGAGATCCTATATGCTATGATTACCGGCATCCAGCCCACGGTATCCGATCATCTTCAACCCCTGACTCCTCAAACCTCTTCTCCTGTTTTTCTACCGCCTGCCCTCAACCGATCCTATCCTCTCTAGCGGACAGGCAGTAACGGAAAGGAATAGTGGTAGAGGGACAGATCTTTCACCTTTGCGAAGAGTCTCTAAGGTCCGGGTTGTGAAACATGACGAATACACTACCTGGTCTTACCTTATTTTTCAGCCCTGGTTACCTCAATACCTAAAAATATAGGAAGGAATTGCCTATTTTGACGATGCCCCTCTGGGAATGATTTAGCTCATCCGCGAAGGAAAAAGATACAAATGCTTGGTGAAACACCTTAAGAAGCTAAGACTGAGAAGTAGACTTAGATATTACTTATCTATAATCGTAGCACATATTATCGATACGGTTAGTCAGGATTTCCCCTCTGGTATAGATCGATGTGTAGTATTTGGCAATTCGTTACATCACTCTCCAGTCGGCGGCTACTCACCGGCCAATTCTGCCATTCAGATCCTCGCCAAATCAACACAACCACAAAAAAACGTAGAATCCCAAAATAAATTCAATTTAATCCTACATCGCGTATTCTATTTTTCTAAAAGAGAAGATTTAAAATGGCAAAAGAGTTCGGCCCGGTGTCGAATACCTACATCTCTTGTCGGTTTTTGTTGTTGTTTCCCGTTTTCCCCCCTATTGTCCCTAGCGATAACGAAAGTACAATTTGACCAGAACACACTTAGCCAAGTGCCACGCCCTTGTACTTTGTTAGGTGATATTTGCTTATTTGGCCCTATATATGTATACTCGTAGGGGCCCACCAACCCCCTTTTTTTAAACATGAGGTTTAGTTTTCATAGCATGTCCACGCCAACCAGTGCATACGGGACATAGCACACATTTGCCATGCCAACATATAGTTATTAAACCAAAGTCCTGCTGCAGCAACGGAGGATCAGGTTCTAATTTCTTAATTCCAGGAACAACAATGGCGTTGGTGAGTGGATGGGGCATACACTTTGAAGGCTCTGCCACTGTACCAGCTCAATGATTGATCTGGAAACTTGTTGCACCCTCTTCTTACCATACGCGATATATGAGTATGTATATAAAACTCCCATCCGACCTGCTCTCCTCTGAGGAAGAGGTCGTCCTACTATAGTCTTCGACTTACACAGTACATTAAAAAGAATAACCAATCAATCAATCAACCATAGGTATGCAATACATTTCGTAGCGAAGGCTTCGCCAAGAGATACATATATCCTCAAAGCAGACTTGGGGAATGTCCGCATCATAGTTTACTTTCTAGATTTGCAAGGGCTGCGATAGGTTTATTATGCTTTGTTGATAGGGAGGTGGATAGTAGATAAAAGCTATGAACATTGGCAAGAGCCTGTGCTCCGTTAATGATGATGACGACTCTCTCCTGAGTGAAAGCATACTTCATAATGGGGTACGGAGTATTTTGTACCAAGTAGCACTTAATGGTCTGGACCCGTTTATGGCCCACCAGGTGGAGATAACATGGCGTCTGTTCCCGGGAACTAGGCTGTGGAGGTTTCGGCCGTGCGACTGGTGTTTCGAAACTCTGGGTCTGGCGGGTCGCGACTTTGCTCAAGCGCTACGGCTGGCTGTCATCCCAAGTATTGGACGATAGAGAATTTCAGACTGGTGAAACCACCGTCGAAGCCCGAAGAAACAAACATTTTCAGGAACGGAGCCGCCAGATCGTATGTACATACGATACCAGAATTGTTTTGCAACCCGGATGCGAATTACAACCCCAGGTGGGTTGGTCGAGTAGAGGAACTCTGGCAAATTGTTGCATTGTTTTGTGTGATATCCGTAGCCCCGTACACAATCTCTGGTGCTGGGAGAGAACATACAGACGAGATTACCTAAGTCTCACGCCCCTGAGAATGATTCAAACCCCAGTCTTCGAGCAGGTTCGCAGCGGGAGATTGGCGGATTTTCGAAGTAGATTTGCAGCAGGGATCCCTTGACCGGAATCGTAAGCCGCTCGTTGCAACATCGGGGCCGTAGAGACCAGCACAAAGCCTCATATCCGTGCATTATTATGTCTTGAGCATTTCGGTCTTCCCAGCGACTCAGCGAGTGGTCTCTCGACAGCCGCCAGCCCAAGACAAAGTGTCCTGCAAGTTGCAACGTCTTTCGTTGTTTTGGTGCTTCGAGGTGACGAATCACGACGGAATGCAGGGTCTTCCCAGGATTGCAAGGTTGCCCTTGAAACGACGAAACATGACACGATACGCTAGAGTCGTGCTTCCCCGCGATAATAATCTAATTATCGTTCCCGTTGAGCGTGGCCTATCAATTCACCGGGCCCTGACAGGCGTGGCGTGCCGCCAAACCGGACTCCAGACTCAACGCCCAGGTACGAGGGACGGTACTTTGGACGAGAAGTACTTCGTAATTCATTTGTGCGGCCTCCAAACGTCACTCCCAGACCAGATTATCGGGATGATACCCAGCAGGAAGGCTCCTCATGAATACTTCGCCTGCTTTTGTTTGTCGGGGCTTAAAATGGAATCGGCTTGGCCCGACGCCGCAAAGGGACCGGGCGCACAAATCCTCAAATCCTCTTGTTCCTGTAAGATTAACATAACCCTGACGGCTCAAGACGCTCTGTGGCTCTGGGCCAATTTTCACTCCCAAAGCCTGCGATAATCTATCGATACCAGGCACTTACAGTACCGATCTGTGGGTCCGGAGGAGTTTGCTTGGCCGTCAGTGCTGTTTGTTCTTTAATTGCGCTGTAATGATCCGAGTCCATGGGTCGCTTGGTCCGGTGTTTGCTGTTCTGTGCGACGTGGCTGGCTGGCTGCTGTGTCTGAGGATAATTGGCTTTTGAATTGTCAATTTTAGTGTGTTGTGGTAAGTAGCACGTCCGGAGTTGTTTGAACGTCGTACGTAGCTACGTTGTACTCGTCCAATGGTCGGAAAATAGGGGCGGGTAAACCGCCGCAGTCAGCATCCTCCACTCATTTTACATAGATTGGAGGTTTGCCCCCGGCAGGGCGGGAGAGTATTTTCGTCTGAGCATGCTCGAGACGAGGGATCCCAGCGGCGGAATGTCATCTCCATTCCACCAAGCCTACTACGGAGTAATAGATGGGCGGAGGAGGATCGTGGCCATTGCAATGGGGGCTTCCTTCACCATGGTAGCCATCACCGGTATGGAGGGTGGAGTCTGGACTCGCGCGAAGCCTGAAAACGAGACTCGACAGATGCTCTCTGCTGTGACGTGACTGAGATGTGGACTCTGTGGGGTTGTTCTGTTTCTGTTTGTTGTGTAGATTGATGGCGAGAAATGCGGAAAAAGCCACCGTTTCGAAGTAAATAAGGTACCGGGAGTCCACTGGGCGCTATTCCCCAAGCAGGCGGTTCTCCATCTCGCGTAGGCCCCCTCGCCGCCCGCATCGTGACCTCGACGAACTCAAAACCCAGCGGCCTTCTTCGACCTCTTCTCTCCTTTCCTCCTCCACCTACCATCCCTCCGCCTTCACCTTCATTCTCTTCGCCGGTCCATCCGCCTCACGCTCCTTTCACCGTCGTTCGCGACACTTACACTCCTTGAGACCTTCAACTTCACGCGCTGCTTTGATAGCTTCAGCCAGCCTGCCCTCGCTCCTTTCAGTTCTGCTTTGTGTCGTCTTGAGTTGATCTTCCGCACTAAAACCAGCCTCATCAACAGCACATTCCTGTGGCTGCGCGTGTTCACACTCATCCCTTCACTTCACAACTGTTCAACTTGTCCTCTCCTCGATTCTTCGAAAGAATCGAGTCCAGCTGTGCTGCCAATTCACTACCAGTTGAATTCACTTTCACTTTCACCGCCCCGGTCATCACTTGAAAGTCGCCTTCTCAGGTAAACAACAAACTTCCCAGACAAAACAAAACCTTCTCCATCCAACCTCCAAACACCCTCAACGCCGATCTTCAAGATGCGTTCCTCAATCCCAATTGCCTCACTCTTCGCTGCTTTGGCCATCGCCAAGCCCCTCAATCACATGCACCACAAGAAGGCCTATGTCACTGAAATGGACGTCGTGGTCGAGACCAAATATGTCACCATCACCGAAGGTGCTCCACTCCCTACTCCTCTCGAGGCCAACGTCGCCGCTGTGACCACTGTTCTTGTTCAGAACACTGTCTACGATGCTCCCGTCAAGGCTTCCCCTGCTCCCGTCAAGGTTGTTCCATCCGCCCCAGCAGCTGTCTTCGTCCAAAAGGAGCAACCCGCCCCAACCCCATCCAAAGCTGCTGCTCCTGTTGTGGTTGCAGCTCCTGCTCCAGTTGCACCTGTCGTCAGCGCTCCGGCTGCCGACACCAACGGTCTTACTCCCTTCCAACTCGCTTCTATCAATGCGCATGGAGTTCACCGCGGTAACCATAGCGTGGGCGGCCTAAGCTGGAACGCCACTCTTGCTACCTCCGCCGCTGCCAATGCCGCCAAGTGTGTGTTTGCACATGACGAGTAAGTTCAGCGCACCTGACCAATCTAAATGTAAAAATAACTGATGGTGAATTTAGCTGCGGATCTGGTGGCTGCGGATTTGGCCAGAACCTTAACATCTGGGGCCAGGCACCATTCCCTTCGTCCATCGACATCAACTCGGTGGTTGCCAACGCCATCACCGAAGGCTGGTACAATGGCGAGCTCCCGACCTTCAGCAAGTATGGTGACTCTAACCCGGTGACCCCAACCGCTCCTGGAGCAGTCCACCCTGCCGACCCTTGGCTCCATTTCACTCAGGTTATCTGGAAGGACACCGTGTCCGTTGGATGTGCAGTTCAGCGTTGTGATGCCGGAACCGCCAACACCTACGAGAGCGTCTACACCGTCTGCAACTATTTCCCCCCTGGTAAGTTGAGTATCTCTAAAGGCTCCGTCTTGAAACTAACGAGGTGTATTAGGAAACTACAAGGGCTCCTTCGATAAGAATGTCTTCGTTCCCAAGGGCGAAGCTACAGTGAAGGCTAGCATTATCAAGTCTTAGATAAGGAAACGTTCTCGGATGTCTTGATGCTTGGGACCTTTGATGAGCTCTGGCAGTGCTGCCTATCTTCTCACACATGTGATGTTGGTAGGTGGTTTGTCGTCAGGGTGCTGGTCTGCATCCTGGCAACCTGTCTCCGAACACGCCACCTTCCATCACGATAACTTGCACATGTCATGCCGCAGTAGATATAGCACCTATGGGTGGTGTTAAATCTGCTTTTGCTATTCTCCAGCTATCTCGTTCGCGGGATGCTGTAACTATCGGTTCGTCCGTCATTGCATCATAGCTAGGGAAGTGCTCTTCGCTTCACTGTATTTAGCTTTTATGACTCGATATGGATATCGAAACTTTTCCCTCATGCCTTTACACCTTGCATTCGTGATCTATTTCGTATGCTAAGATAAAGCACTAAGCTGTATTCTTGCCTACTTTGCTTAACTACCCCTCCATACTTAGAATCCCTTCATAGTTACAGCAGGCAACGAAGCAAGGTTTGCCCGCCTAATTACTGCATTCTAGGTGGTTGTCCGCCCGGTGGAAGGCTATTCAATCCTAGGTGTTGCGCCTCCTAGCAGAAGTAAACAAGCCTACTATGAAATACTCCCCCTGCATACATATATAACGCCTCATTCATACAGCGCCGTGCGTTTCTCTCTTCAAATCTAATACTTGATCCGCTCTGGCACAAGTTACTTCTCGCTATAGTAGCCACGACCGGTTTCGACTTTTTATAGCCCATTTTGAGATACCTCACATGCTACTTCTATCTGAGGAGAAGCTTCTATTCTAGGGAGGTCACTCCACACTTGGAGGTCTTATTCTCTAGGATAAAACGAGCTGGTATATTATCAGAATTACGGTTTAATGTGGTTGTAGGCCACGAATGGTGTTTAATAAGCTCACATTTTAGGTTATCTAAGCTTAACTTTTCCAACTATTTGGCTTATGACGCAAATTCCATCGCGCGGGAAAGCTATAATGCCATCCTTGAAAACAACTGTCTATACAAATAAGGGGGGGTTTCTACACACGTACTTTGACAGCTCTTGCAAATGAGGAGAGAGACCGTTTTGTGAGGTGTTCTAATGTCGTCTCCATGAGGGTTCGCTTTATAAGCTTGCTACATGCGCTCGCTAGATATACCAAATATTTCTCGAAACATTGTAAGATAGGTAGATATAGTTGGTAGGCTATAATTGGAGATAAGCACGAGAGATTGCACTTTCGTTCATTTTCAAAGCTGGCCTAAATCGATTATATTATCTTGTCGATGCGAGAGGATATACAATTACGAATAGGCTAGAACGTTCGTCTAGTACAAGTATCTACTTAAGCAATTAGCTGTCACATACGACCATTGACTGAGGAGAAATAGGCATCCCGTCCGCTCTGCCATACACAAGCCTCAGTATCATTAGCCAAAGCAAAGTCGCATTTTCAAAGGATGAGCCTTGAACGTGTGCTGCTTATCCACGACCTGGCCCCACCACACGTTCTCGAAACCCTTCGTCTCCTGCTCGGCCCATACTTCTTCGAGCAGAGGTATTGTGCTGCGAAACACATGATACCTAGTCCTCTCGTCCCAAATAGAGCAGAATTTTATAATCTCTGTTTGCTTTGATCGATCTCGCAACTCGCAGCCTGCAAGGAAAAGTGGCAACAAGGCTTGCCTGGACATCATGTTTACGTCGCGACACGAGACTACGTGGTCCACAATGACCCTTGCGCGGTGCAAGATACGCGTCGGGACGCTACTTCCAGGTTCCCACTGAAAAACTCTGAATATATAAAGAAGAAGTCCATTTCTCCATGCCTCAGAGCAATGCATGACATCCTGATCTTGGTGCATGTAGTCTTCGTCTCGGAAAGCTGTTCCAGCGGGGATGTGACGCCAGGACTCAAGCGATTGCTCAATTTCCGAGATAACAGTATTGTCAAATGCGAAATCCAGCGTCAAAGACGATTTTTGCCTCTCTGCGCTAAGGCGCGCTACCTGCATTATAATCTTTGCGAGACTCGTCGGACACCCGCATAGTCCAAAAAAATCCCACTCTCGTTTATGCTGGTTCTTTAGTACGGCATCGAAGTATGCGTAAGGGAACACGCAGTCTTCCCTGGACAGGAGACTGGTTATAGCATCCCACCTGGCAAGTTAGCTAGAACTAAGAGACGATCAGAAAGTAGGCTTCGCGTACCAAGTGAGTATTGCTATCTGAGCCTCGACCCTAGAGGACATGGCTAATGTTTTGATACCACCGCAAGCTTCAAGGAGACCATATGCTCCCATGAGATGTGTGGTCCAATTTCCGAGGATGGACTGAGTTTCCTAGTATCCACCATCAGTCTGGACTTAGTCTAAGGTACACGGAAGTTTGACTAACATCTAGCGAGAATAGAATTACGATCGTGTCAAGCACGGAATACATAGTTTCCGCATCACTGAATGCGTTGAGACTATGGCGAAGTAGTTGAAGTGCTGCATGGCGATGACTTAAGGTTAAGGTACTGTTGACATGGTGACCCGCCAAAGCCATCACAGCGTGGACCAGAAAGGTCGGTTCCGGGTCGATGTCTGTACGGTATCGAAACGGATTTATCCGTAGGCGGAACGTTAATGGGATTGTGCAAAACTCGCTGTTGTCTAAAAGTTGTTACTCAGAGTTGGGAGGAGAGAATGTGTGCACAAAATGCATACATCTGTTGAGTATCGGCTTGAACCGTTGAGTAAGGCTACTGTATTCTATAGTCCGTGGTTTAGAGGTGAAAAGAGGAAATGGAATGTTGGTCATAGCCGAAACCGCCGCGGCATTTGGCACTGGGCTAGCAACATTACGCTCACAGGTCGTGGGCTCGGGTGAACGCAAGGATGTAGATTGATCTTCACTGTTGCACGAGTTTAGGTGAGGTGAGGTCGTTCCACTAATCGTTCGTTCGTCATTCACGGTCTCCAGTGACGGGTCAATGTGAGGTACATTTTCCTCGACAGCTTCACTTTGAAAATAAGCTCTGTGTGTGTCTACTATGATAGAGTTAGAGAGAGACCCTGAATGCGTAAAGGTGGTGACTGGTGGGGAACGTCTTGCGCGATGAGCTCTCTGGGGATGCTCCACGACGAACTCGAATCGCTCTTGTCTGTTCCGGCGTGGTGCTCGCCTTTTGGCGGGCTTTGTTGACAGGGAAAACCCCTGCTGCCAGGACAGCTGCATTTCAGGCATCACTTAGGTGTTAGATACTCGATCTATCGCAATGTCCGGATTAAGGCTGTCGCTGTGGAAGACGGAAATAAAGGCATGGCCGGGTGTTAGGAACCTCGCGCGTATTAGCGCCTAACATTGGCGGGCCTTGCCAATTACAGTAACTACCTAGTTTGGCTTCCTGCCTAATCCACTCAATTGCCTTTTTAGTCGTCTCCACTTCTAATACCCGCCCAACCATTGGCTGTCGGTGGGATCGCTGTGTGTGATTTGAATAACCGTGCTCTGTTGTCAGAAATACGTATACGGACTGTTGCTGAGTTAGGCTTGACGTAAGAACGTCCTATATAACCAGTCCCCTGAGCCTATACTCTTATATATATAATTAGATTACTCGTCCTAATCTATGCTTTGAGTTACTACTTACTTTGACTATACCCTACTTCTAGTTACTAATTGGGCCTATTCGTAACGTATAATCTTGACATCCATGTTCTCCGTATAACAGCTGAGTTCCCATCTCTAATTGGAATTATAAAGTATCCTTCACCTCCGCCTTTCGTTCATGCAGCATGTTATTTGTATCGTCTTCATACCTCATTCTCAACCTCTTCTCCCCCCTAATTGAGCTCTGCCATGGTTCCTGTCGTCGCAACGGCCGCCGATGTGCCACGCTCGCGGAGTTCTCGTCGAGAGGATGCAATGACAACAGGTGCCTCGACAAATCCCTTTGGGAACGTGCCTGTTGTGATGGACGAGTTCAAAACTACTGATCACTCAGCTCTACACTCTTCCATTGAAGGTTGGTACACGCGCCTACGAACTATTAAACCAGCTTCGACTAATAGCGCAACACAGGACTATGTCATGACCCAAACGTTATGATTGTCACCTGGGATGGACCAGACGACCCACAAGATCCATTCAATTGGTCTTTACGGAAGAAATGGTGGGCGGTCGGGCTTGGCCTTCTCGCAAGCTTCGTCTGTTCTATGAACGGTACTATCCTCTCGGTTGCTCACAAGTCAATCTCTGAAGAATTCGGGATTTCTGATGAGCCTTTTCCTAATCACTATTGGATCACCACGTCCTGGGGAGTAGGAGCCGCGATTTTCCCTCTTATCCTGTTTCCTCTTATGGAGGATTGGGGAGTTCGACCCGTGGTTCTCAGTACCTATTTCTGTTTCACATGCCTTCTCATTCCAGTTAGTCTGGCCCAAAACTTCGAAACACTCGTTGCGGTTCGGTTCTTTACTGGCGGCTGCGTTCCACTCATGAGCGATGCCGTCGCCAGCATTACATCGAATGTGTTCCACGGAGATCGAGCCAGGAGTGTACCAGTATGTCTTTACGTTATAATATATCTTGGCGCAACAAGTCTAGGTCCAGTGATCGGTGCCTCAATACTTCAATTCCTGGATTGGCGCTGGATTAGTCACATCGAATTAATTTTCACTGCCGCCACTTTCCCCGCTCTTTTCCTTGGTCTCCATGAAACTCGTGGTTTGGCCATTCTGCGAGCCAAGGCCAAACGAATGCGCAAGGAGGGAAAGAAGGCATATACAGCGGAGGAGTCTGATCGTACACCTTTGCACCAGGTCCTCCTAAAGAGCTTGCAACGACCAATCTACATGTTCTTCACAGAGTCGGTGGTCTTTGTCGCTACCATTTGGGCTGCCTTCAGCCTTGGGACGATCTATCTATTCACCGAGTCTGTCGGACAGGTATATGGACAGCTCTACGGTTGGAATTCTGTCCAGGCGGGATACGTCCAAAGTGCTATTGTCATCGGTGAGATCCTCGGAACCTGCCTTTCCCTCTCCACCAACCACTGGTACTATGCTTCTGCTGCTCGAAATACCGAAGTCCCGGGTACACCTATCCCTGAGGCTCGGCTCTATTCAGCCATCATTGGAGGGTTTTTTGGCGTTACGGGCGGAATGTTTGTGTACGGTTGGGCAGCATACCCTAACATACATTGGACGATCATCACCGTCGGCTTGATTATGGTGGGGTTTGGAACTACTGCTGTCGTGATTAGCATTGCAAACTATCTCATCGATGCATACAGCAAGTATGCGGCGAGCGCTCTTGCGGCTGTTGGCTTAGTTGAGAATGTATCCATTGCTTTTCTTCCCATTGCCACATCAGCCATGTACAGCAACCTCGGGTTTCACTGGGCTAGCACACTTCTCGGACTCATGTCTTTAACGCTCGTTACTACTCCCTTCTTGGTCATCAAATGGGGCAAAGAGATCAGAGCTCGCAGTCCATTTATGAAAGAGGCCATCATAGTCCGGCAAAGAGATTTAGGCGCTGTAGCCAGCGTGTGATGGGCACCAGCTGCACTTTCAATAGTCATAAGAATCGGTGAATTAGTAAATTGCCCCTCGTTTTATTAGAGACTTAGAGTAATAGACAAGGAAGATTAATCTAATTAAAATATCTCGAGTAACTCAAAATGGGAATGGATTTATAGCGTACAATTGGATTATATGCATACACCTATCATCTCAATCTGTTCCTAGTTACCTTTTTACATCTTTCGGACTCTTGAATGTATTAAACACTCTCCGGGCTTGTAATCCAGATTCTATGGTAATCGCTTGCATTTGCACTACGCCATGCAAATGGCATCTCGGAGCCTCGGCAACGTCTACTCCGTAGGTTGTTATGCTTGAGAATATCGAAAGATAGCGTGCTGCCATGTGGGTGGATGTCAGCGTGTTAAAATTACCTAGTTCAATATTTGCCCCTGAGTTAAGCGAACTAAAATCTACCACTTCTAGATTTATTAACCAGTCATGTTAACTCGTTCAGAATCCACCCAACGCTTTGGGAATAAGGGCCGTCTAGATTTTCGGCTAGAAAGCTTGTTGATTCTTCTGGGTTTGCACTCTAGATTTATGAACCAGTCATGTTTACTTGTTCAGAATCCACCCAACGCTTTGGGAATTGGGAACGCCTAGACTTTCAGCTGGAAAGCTTGTTGATTCTTTAAAACCATCCCGTTTCTGGGTCGCGATATTGTATTATTGACAGAGGTCACGGTCCCGATCTGCTCTTTTTATGGAGTCACCTCTATTGATGGAGATGGGTTATATACTTGAGCATCTGCTCATCTATTCGTTTCACCCTTTGCCGTCTTGTAAATCATGATGTGGTCTCTCATTCTTCTTTTCGCATCCCTTGTATTTGCTGCACCAACTATCAACACGCCTATCGGCTACTCGCCTGGAGAATGTCTTGAAAATGCCAGTATCAATGCGCCGTTGGATTGTAACGGCGCAAACACATATATGGGCGTCAAGAGCTATACAGTCGACACTCTTGATATAGAAAGATGCGCTGCAGCCTGCACTGCTCAATCAGCCTATAACCTCCGCCATCCACCAGCCACAGGAAAGCCAAAAACGTGCCAGTTCTTTAACACATATTTGCTTTATAAGAATGGTGTCAATTACCAACAGGTAACCAACGCCTCTGTTTAATTCAGATGTTAATAGTCCTGACATAATCTAGCATTGCGCGCTGTACAGCCAATCCTGGGACAACTCATATGCAACAAATACCGGATACCATTCAGGAACAGACAAATATACAATCGTATCTTCATACAGGTTTAGCAATGCGACAGACGAGGGACTTCCTATCTGCAGAATCGTCACCGTTACCCAGACCACTTATACCACCACCTGCGTTAGGACATCTTCATTGATTTCAGTCTCGAGTTCTGTACATAGTACTTCCGTTTCTACACCTTCGTATAGTTCTACACTGGCCACCTCGCTCTCGTCCTCAGTTAACGTACCACGCCCCTCCGTGGGCAGCAAGACCGAATCGAGCCTCTCAACCGTGACTTCTGATGCTACGTACACTAGTTCCTCGGAAGCTGTTCCCTCAGTTTCTACAATTATCGACCCCACGATTCCCACCGAGACGACTTCCTCACCATTGTCCACACTTACGGAATCGAGCTCCACGGAATCCTCTTCCTCGGAATCCACCACCCTTACAGCTTCGAAACCCTCGTCTGTGTCAATATCCTCGTCAGATGTACCAAAATCGGACTGCACTATCGCACCCAGCACGACGACAGACTCAAGTACTTCAACATCGATTGTAGAATCAACTACTAGCAGCGAAACTACCCAATCGACATCTTTTACCGACTCCTTATCTTCACAGTCCAGCTCATCGGAGTCTTCATCGTTTTCGACATCGACTGTAACGGATCCTCCAATCGGCACGCCCGAGATAACCAGCACAAGCTCGTCTCTCGACTCTTCATCAACTTCAGTCAGCTCGACCGAGTTCGAATCAAGCTCTTCGAGCGTTTCCCCGCCTGAGATAACCACTGCTAGCTCATCTATTAATCCTTTATCAACTTCAGTAAGCTCCACAGGGTCCGAGTCAAGCTCATCGTCTGTAGTAACCGTGACAACAACTTCTACTACCTCATCAGCCGCCCCAACACCAACCTGGATCCTGAATGGTGGTTTCGAATCCACAGACAACGGCGGAGCCCCATGGGCTGTTCCCTCCAACAGTACAACCGGTTGTACCTGGGACATCGTTGAGTCTGCCGACGCAGTCAACGGCACTCATTTTGCCATCGTCACCTGCAATAATGCCGGTGAAGGCATATACGTTATGCAACCGTTTCAATCCACCGACATCGGAGCAACCTATGTAGTCTCTGTCTGGTTCCGTAAACTCACGCAAACCGCCGACAGTGCTGGATTCAGTTGCACACTATCAGTTGTGGGTGGGCCTGGTCTCATTACTTCAGGCAACCTAACTCCAAATGCTCCGTGGTCAAATCAGATAAATACTTTCAAAGCAACTGCTGCCGAAACCGGGGTCGCACTCTATTGCGGCCGTGCCTTGAACGGTGGTGCTCCGAACGGGGTTGCTACCTACACGTATATTGACAGTATCGAGATTTACCGTATCCAAGATCGTGGTCCTATTGTGATCAACGGCGGTCTAGAGGACTCCGAAATCTCAGCGGCGCCCTGGTATCTAGATACGAATCCAGCCCTTACAACTGGTACCAACGGCACTGTAGCCGTCGCCCAAACCGATTCCACAGACGCCGCATACAACGGCACAAACTACCTTGCTATTTCCATGCCCGCTGGCCCAATAACCACAACCCTTTATCTCGATATCCCCATTGCCGTCACCGCTCCTATTCGCTATCTCATAACCTTCTGGATCCGCTCCCCAACAGCTAGCCTGGTGAATCTCAGTTGCCGCCAATATGTCGCCAACAATGATTTCTCGAAATCAACATATCTTGCTTCCCAAGGCTCAGTGAGTGCGACCGCGACCTGGGCCCAGAAGACGCTGAGGTTCCAGGCTCAGGGTTGGGAGACTAGGTTGGTTTGGGTGTGTACTAGGGGGGTACAGATGCCGGATGTTGTGGCCAAGTATTTTATTGATGATCTATTGATTAGTGAGTATGGACCGTAGATGACCCTGGGATTTGCGGGGTTGGTCAACAGAACGGTGCTTTCATCATGTGAATTTATGTCAAACGCTGTGATACATTCAAGCACTACAATAAAATGGTTAATACTTGAAGTTTTAGAAATCGGTGGGAGAAGCTTTGGCAACACGTTTTGTTTTGGAATATGGATTCTAGACATATTATAAAGTAGACTGGTGCTTGTTTGGTATTGACGATGATAGATACTAATCAAGATTGCCCTGGAGCGTAATATCTTGTGCGTATAGTTTGGACAAACTAATACTAAGCTAAAGATATTTCTTAAATCATTCTCTTTACAGCATAATACTTGGAAAGTAAGTCGATTATGCTCTAGAGTGCGAATAGTAACTCAGAGGACGGGGTTTATTACCGTTTTGTACGCTGTTGCTGACATAATTAGGGGTCTCACTAACTGGCTATCGGAGATGTTTTGAGTTTCGTATGCATTCTCTGGGTATCTAGTATCTTTGCGCAGTCCTTGATTTTCCTAAATCAATCTAACGCCTGAGAGCGAAATATATCCTCCAAAGCCTGTAGGAATATCAATTTTCCACCATGGCTTCCACTCGCTTTTCATCATTCAAGTGTCTCCTTAAACCAATCAGCTGCATCATCTCGGTCCAGAAGCTCATAGGTGGGTCCATGAACGATGCCTCGTACGCATCGATGATTGGGCGCTCCCACACAAGATCTGCCTCGGTCGCGCTAACAAACTTGGTACGTTTGATAAGCTTCCATCCCACGAAGAGAATGGGGGCCACGATAACCATAGTGTAATGGGACCAGAATTCGTCATTACTCCAGGGAGTAAAGCTCGAGTATCCGTAGAATAAGACAACAAGGCCCGTTCCGGTGGCGCCGATCCAGGCCGAGTAAGGCTGGAAGTATCCACAGTATGGGAACGTTTTGCGGTCAATATTTTGCGCTTTGGTAGCATTATAGAAGAAGATGTAGGTGACGCACATCACGAAGTAATCGATAACACCGCCAGCAGTGATGAGGTTCACGAGCCATGTCAGTACTTGAGAAGAGCTGCTCGATACCTGTAGGAAGGAGAGCAGTGGGAACAGCATGACCACAACGAAGCAATAAATAGGTACACCCTTTCGAGTGCAGCGTCTTAAGAATTTCGGGGCGCGGCCTTCTAGAGCCAAGCTGTATAGACTTCGGGTGGCGCAGTAGGTGTAGGTATTACCAGCAGAGAAGATAGAAGTCACCATGAGAGCATTGGTAATATGGGGTAGAACGCCGATTCCAAGGTTATTCATCGCAATGACATAGGGGGAAGCAGCTGCGGTGCCGGCGCCGCCTGATGAACCACCGAGGATTTCAACCAGGGTCGGGTCGTTGGATGGGAGGACAATGCCGACACATAGAGCACCGCAAATGAAGAAGATGCCGAACCGCCAGTAGACAGTTTTGAAGGCATTTTTGATATAGACGCGTGGGCGTTTAGATTCGGCGGCCACCATAGATATATACTCGGGGCCAACGACCGTAAAGGAAGCGGACCAGAGCGCGGCCAGGAAGCCTTCGAAACGACCAAGGTTGCCGGTGGTATGAAATTCTGCAAAGGCGCCAGGGCTGTTCCAGTTACGGAATCCGTAATGGTCGTGTTTAGGGTTCGCTCCCACCATGGTGAAGAAGGTGAACGAGAACAGGATGGTAATGAGGAATACCTTCCCTCCCGAAAGCCAGAATTCGGCCTCACCGTACGCTTTGACGGCAAGAATGTTCAATAGACTAGATATATGTTTAACGTTGAGTTCAGTCGCGAAGGCAGCGGCAACGGCGCATTAGGGAATCTCACGCATAGAGCACGATACAAGCAGCGCACACAGCAGCTGTGGGAATATCATCTCGCCAGAACGAGAGCACGAGGTTAAGAGCAGTAATCTCAAAGGGGATCAGCAGTGCCTCGTAGAAGAAGAAATTCCACCCGGCCATGAAGCCGAAGGCGTCGTCTACCCATTTGCCCGCCAGGCGAATGAATCCGCCGCTGACGGGCATCAGGGTGGACATTTCGGCAATGGAATTGTTGACCATGGCCAGGAGGAAGCTATAGATGAGGTAGGCCAGGAGCAAGCTGCCCGGGCCGCCCTTGTTGAGGGCGCCTCCAATACTCACGAAGAGGGCCGTGCCGATGGAGCCTCCAATTGCGATCAATTGAATCTGGCGGTTTCCGAGGGAGCGATGAAGTTGGTCTGCATTATCGGCGATCTCTCCTGGCTGCACGTCCGTACCGTATGGGGAAGGCTCTTTGCCGACGCCGTGTTTCTCTTCCAATCTGTCGGAACTCATGGCTGCGATATGGTGGGGATTGTTAGATCGGGATTGAGGGTCGCCAAAGATGGGCTATCGGGACATAGTACTCGGGTCTAGCATTGCCCTGAGGAAGCAGGCGACCACCCCGTTGTTATATGGCTGAAGCATGCTGAGATCTGCACCACGGCAATCTTAACGTGAAATCTCTTCTCCAATCGCTTACGAGGGAAAACCAGAACTCCTCGAGCCCTCATGTCCAAATGTGGCGGGTGGTGAGGGAAGGATGACGGGGATTCTTAGGGTCGGGCGAGGGAAGGTTCTGCCCTCTCCTGTACCTTGTTGGAGTTGTGCTGGAGTCGGGCATTAGATAAAACCTGGAGTGCAATGACGTCAGTGGTCAGAGTTTAAGGTTCCCATTAATAATGGCGGCTGGGACGCACGTCTTACTGCTGTAGCTTGCGCCTAGTGGCTCTAGTTGCGTCTACTTGGCCCTTAGCGTACCCTGTCCCTGGTTGTTGGTCCCTGTGGGGAGCGGAATGATTGCTGCTAGGCCCTCGAGGTCACACTTGGCAGAGGCCGGCTTATCTATCTCCCGTATAAACACGCCCGGTGGTGGGAGCCAATTCGTCGTCCTCTCTCTAGCTCACTTGTTGGCCGTCTTTTTCCCTCCCTGTTGGTGGGTTCGGCCGATCCGATAAAGTCCCTAGTCTCATGGGTGGAACACGCGCTGCCTGGGCTAGGTAGCCATGCGATCCTAGGTAACTCTTTCTCCGTAGTGGGGTAGTCATCCGCATCCTACGATTGTTCAAGGAGGAGGATGATGGCGGTGCGTGGTCGTGGCTTGGCTTTCGCTTTGGCTTTTGCTTTGGCTGTCATCAAGTCTCAAGAGACGATTGAGAGGTTGTGGTCGAAATGAACAAGATGGGTGATATTTTAACGTGTCCATGACGAAGTTCAAATGCCTTTCCGTCTAACTACTCTATAGGCACTTCTCCATTCGGGGAATATTGACGTGCTGGAGATCCCCAGGCTCTGCAATCCATCCAAACCCCACGCTCCCCCCATGAGTCGCGGAGAACTTCCTCGTCCCCAACACGATCCGTATCGCTCAGCTTGTGGGGCCCCATCGATGTCAGCGATGTGCCCCGCTGAATACTCCAGCTAGGAAAAAAGAAATGTTTGCGCTGTACGTGATAGAGTCAGGCTCACGACTGTATGCCGAGCTAGGGGTCCAGTCTAACAGAGAAGATTCAACACTAAATGGACATCCGACAAGGAACGTAGCATGGTCCTCGGTCCATGCTATAACCACCCCCTCGTAGTAGACTTGAAAAGCCTACGGAGTACGTACGTAGTGCTGTCTAAACCATGTATTTTGGTGTGTCGTACCGTTGTGGTCCGCCGGTCGATGTTTGACAAGATATGGGCCCCATCGACTCGGTGATCTAGATTTGGCCGCAGGCCATGTCCCTGTCGCCGCAAGGGGCTAGCCTGCATCAGCAAATGAGGCGAAAGGCCAGGGCATATTGCCAAAATTTTGTCTGGAGGTAGGATTTGGTGAGGCTCGGCGTAGAAAATTGTATGGGGCCCATCTGGACACGCTTTTTGAACATCAGTGCCGGCCAAATGACGCTGCTTAAAATGCCATGCTGTGGGATCCGCAACAGTTCCGGCGTCCGTTCTTTGGATTGCACTAGCTACCAGCATTCTGGCCGTGTATGTATTGACCGAAACCACCTTTTTTAAGGAAAGATAAGGGGGTTAGAGACGGCTATGAAATGAACTGCAAGACCGTTTGAAGAGCGGGACAATATGCTAGAAGAGCCACGGTCCTGAGTGACCTAGGATACTACACCTCTTTAGCCTCACTAAGACCTTTTGCTGATTGCGGACTTCCGCGGCCGCGGCCTCGACTTCAGTTTCAAGCCAAGTATCAAGAGATAGGAGCAGTGCGATAACAACGAGACTTAACCAAAGGCTATATATTGGCTAAGCCTCAAATCTTATGGTGAAAGGTGCACAGGGAACCGGGCAGTAGCGTGGCCAAGGCGCCATGAGATTGCAACTTGCTGCTGGTGGTGATTGCAGACTTCTAGGTAAGGAAAATTGAAGTGTAAATAATATCATGAATCATGAAGAGCGGCAGAGCGCAATAAGGCAAATCTCGGATACGAGGTAGAGCAGAATTGGAAACGGGATACAGCATGGGAAAATTCAGAGGGGTTTCACCGGTGCTTGCGTAGTTGGACTGAAAGAGGCATCAGACCGTCTATCTCGAAAGAGTTCGGCTCATTTTCCCCATATTGATAAAGGGCAATGGTTCATGGTTTTTGAGGTGACCTTGGAAGTTGTAAAAGTTGGCGCTGGCCCCTGGCTGTACTCACGATGTCGAACTAGGACCAAACGGGATCAGCTCGCGTTTGGCCTCAGACGCAGACAGTCGGACTTGAACTCGACCAACTCAACCCAACAATCAGATTGCCCGCTCCCCCTCGACAGAACCGTCACGGCTACACATCTAAGCTGAGTCCCTCGATTTGAGTGATGGCGCCTGCCACCACACGAATCTCCTCGAACCCTATTCTCCCCCCTCCGGTTCACTCTAATGAACGTTCGCAAAATCCAAACATGAACCACAATCAGAACCACGATCCTGCGACCTCGACGCCCACACCTGAGTCGCGCATGAATCCTCCACCTCTACCGAGATCCTTTGTAACTCCGGCACGAGATGTGCGCGAAAGCTCAGCAATATCGAACTCTGGTGGCAGCTCGCGCAAACCGCGGCAGAATCTCGACGAGCGGGATCATATCCTGATGGTAAAGCATTGCTATGAGCAGCGCGAACACTATAAGGAAGGCACCAAGGCTCAGTTCTGGACTGGCGTGAACCAAGCATTTCAAACGGAGACGGGGAAAATCCTCGCGCAGATGAGCGCGACGGTTGGCAGGTTAGTTGAAACGAGAAGGCGGCAAATAGCGGATTGGGAGAATGGAGTAATACCGCAGAAACCTACTGGGGAGCTATATGACAGGGTAGATCAATGGATGGAGTTTCTAAGAGTTGAAGATGGAGATGCTGAAGCAGAGCGGATGCGACAGGTTGATGCGCGAAGGAAGATAGAAGAGGCTAGGAAGGAGGCCAGAAGAAAAGCAATCGCAGCGGAACAGCTGGCACATGCTCAAACTCCTGGCGTGAGAGTGATTTCCAGGCCACCGCCTCCCGCAGATATGGGACAACAGCACGAGCAAGAGCAACCACAGCAACAGCAACAACAGCAACAACAACAACAACAACAACCTCCGCCGCCGCCACCACCGCCAGTAACCGGAGGAGAAGTGATGCGGCACGAGCCTGGAGAACAGGGCGAAATGAATGGTTATAGACCAAGTAAAAGGAGACGCATGAATGAGCGGGCTCTCACCCAAGAGTTACATGCGCAGATCCAGCAGGAGCAATGGCAAGCGCAGCAGCAGCAAGCGCAACCTACACCACAATATGTGCTCCCCCCTCCACCAGAGCCGCCCAAGAGAGTTGTGGTAGAAGGTAGCCTGACGAAAGAGGATTGGAGAGATATTATGGGCAATGATGCGCGATTACGAACACTCGAGAACAAAGTCGACAAGATCGAATTGCTTGTATCGCAAAACAACAAGCTTCTGTTACAACTGGTTCAGCAGCACAGTAACAAAGATCGAGAACGCAATGTGGAGGAGGAACGGGTGCCAGTTCATCTAGATGCCGAGTTTGAGCGAGATTACTTGTGAGCACAACAACCCTCGAACACCCACAAAGATTCGATATGCTGAGATTATTTTTCCTTGAGGTCCGGCCCGTATGCCAAGACGCCGCGACCAGTTCCTTGATGATCCTTTGGCACGATCAATTTCAAGGTCACAACACAGTATCATACATTTATTTACAGCACTACCCTTATCCTTTCTAGACTTTAACATAATTGCTCCCTCTTCGAAACGCCTATTTCTAGAGCAGAACCTTATTTCTTCGTGCCTAGTGAGTTAATTCAGCTCCCCTCCAAACCTGGCTACCAGTCTCAATAGCCCGAAGTTCCACTTGACGGACAATCTAACCACCACGCCTCATAGATACATTCATCTTCTCATGGAGGGTCTTAGGATTCCTATCAACAACCTCCGAGGATAGGGGGACCGTGTGCTGCGCTACGGCAATAATGGGAGTTAGGCTGGCCTTCAAAGGATAGGTGGGACATGGTATAAATAGACATCGCACTACGCTTAGCGGAGCAATACTGCTCAGGGTTTCTCCTTAGCGTTTCCTTACAGATACCTTTACATCGAAACATACGCATAATAATATTCTCCGGCATTTCTGCACCATGAAACTTTGAATTTTTACAGTTGGTGATTGCATACAGTGCGGTCTAAAGATATGATTCCCTAACGTGCCTAACCAAAGCAGCTGTTGATGTGCTGGTAATGCAGATCCTTGTGGCTAGTAGGCACTAGTTGGGGGTTAAGACTCCAGGTAGACTGCTCAGCTCAGAGGAACGTGTATACCAATAGCATAGCCATGCATCAGAACATAGCAGGCATTCAAGGGCCCTTTTTCTCATTTTCTAGCACACCTCCCCCGGCTCCACCGAAGCCATCCTATCCACCTTGTACAGGTAGGTATCTATCTATCCTCCTCTGTCTCCCCTCCACGCACTACCACGCATGTAAAATACCCTGTCCCTATGCCACACAGCCGATGCCATGTTCTAACCCAGAATATCCTTCTTACTCCAAACAAAACACTTGCCCTCCTTTCCAGTATGCACCAAGCCAGGTATCGTAGAACGTTAAATAGAAGAAAACAAAAGAAAACGAATTATGAAGCGCGGATGTAGCACCCCACCCCTATCCCAGCAAGGTGGAGGTAGTGATCCTGTAATCTATATAAATTTTCCCATGGTATCTCTTTTGTGTTTCCCAACCCATCGAATATGCAATTTTCTTTTTTCGACTTTCCAACCACGGATCTGCAGATGCCCTTTTGGTTGGCTTTAGCCAACACGAGAGTCCAGATGAACCTGTATATGCCTTCTCAAAGCATCCCTCGGGTTATTGCACAAAGACAAAGACAAGTTGGCGGTGCTCGACCGGGAGGATTTCGATACGTAAATGAATGACAAATTGAGTGGTGATGAAAAGGGTATCTCTCTATCCTGGAGGGGAATCCATGGCACAAAGCTTTCCCATGAAACGTAATTCCCGCTCCCATTCCAAATGCGCCAACGAACCATAATTCAATCAAAAGCTTCCCATCGGCCTTCCAAAGTTGAAGCTCGGCTTCAGGCGCAGGACGGGCCCATCATCTTTCAAGTCATCCTCATCGTCGCTCAGCCTGCTGCTCCGACGGCTCGTATTCTCCGCCGAAACGCTACTGCCTGATGCCGATTCCGTGCTAGGACTGGCACTGGATGTCTTCCTTGCTTCTTCTAGCTTCGGAATTAGTTGCGCCAAAAAGGAGTCATCCATTATGCTGTCGTTTGTGAGCCCTAACGGGCCAGTCAACTCTCGATCTCCTTGATCTTCATCGTCAACATCGACATTGACTGAGCCATCCTCGTCAAGGCCGGTCGCGAGAGACGGATGATGGAGATGATCTGTAGCCGGATTTCCCCTGGGCGTTTCATTCCCACTCTCGCCACCTCCACTTCCACTTCCACCCAAGAATTCAAATTTTGTTATCGAATGATTGGGAGTGTGGCCCGCATGCATGGTTAGCCTCCTATGGAATGGCTCAGACACGATCTCTAGTGTTTTCATCTCTTTCTCCGCAGCTATCTCCTCTGGACTCCTGCTCCTACTTCCGCTTGGAGGGCTGCCATCTGTTCTATTTGATTTGGAATGCGAATTCGGTGACAGCCTACTAGGAGAATAGTCCGGACTGAGTACCCTGGCTGCAAACGTGGGGCTCACAGCCGAGGCTTTAATCTGGACACCTTCGAGGTCTGGTTGGATATGTGAGATATCAATCGTCTCTTGGGGTATCTCTGGTATCAACTCTAACTCTCCACTCGCTAGTGGAGACTGCACCCCAAAATCAGAGGATTTCAGTTCTTTGCTCGTGACCCGGATGGCACTCTCTCGCGGTGAAGTAATAGAATCAACACGTAGCTCAGACGTCTCAGAGGAGCTGAATGTACGGCTGGGATTTCTTGGGGCTGGGGCATAGAACGGCGTTCCATCTGCATTTCGTCCTGATTCTTGTGCTATGGCGCGTGAGCTGCTGTCGACGCTCCCAGACACAGATATGGCATTCGAGCTCATGCTGGCAATACTGAGAGCATGATTCCTTCCATGTGGTGGTGATTTATAGCCTATCACTGGTGGGCTAAAAGCACTCTCTCCTCCCTCCCTTGCTGTTGCCGCTTCCAACATCCTGATCTGTGCCTTCAAATTCTCTCGTTCTAGGTCCCAAAGAGTCCGCTCCTCAGCCATGACCTCCTCCATCCGCGTCCTGTCGGCTATCATATGCGCTTTCTCCCCCTCATGCTGGCTTCGTAGGTTTTGTGTGTAGACCCTCCAATCTTCTATCAAGGCTGCGATATTATCGTCGGCACTGCAACTCCTTGTCTTGGGTGGGGAGATAGGTTGGCCATTTGGAGATCGTGACTGCATGATTGCCGTGGGCGATGTTGAAGCGTCGCTGTTGGAGTTAGAATGCGCAGAGGGAACGAAGGTGGCTTCTGGGACGGTGCGAGGGATGCCGGCGGCAGCAGAGATACCTGAGCCCGGTCGTGGATTGAAGGTGCTCCAAGGAGTGTCAACTGCACCTGAGGAGAGGAAGGAGTCGGAGGGGTGTTTGGACATTATTATGGCTTCAAGAACACAGAGATGTCGGCGGTGATAGGTCAACCATCAGGGTCGGGGAAGTTACGGCTTGTAACTCTGAGGTCCTCCAGGTATCGCTGTATCGCCAACCGGCTGGCTACAACCCTACCAATTTCGAGATCAAGATATCTTTGTATGGAGCTGTAGCTGTCGTGTGCATGCGGCTCGAAGGGCGGGCGAAGTTGCGACGAAATAATGGCCGAGGTAAGGTTCGGCGCATAGCACTCAGTAGACGGATGGCGGCTGTCCTTGGTGCACAATCATCTTCGACATACGATTCGATATCCAGTGTATGAGCGAGTGAGGAGCAAAAGGACGACGAGGTGAAGTGGGAGGACGTGAGTGCTGCTGAATAGGGGGGCTTGATTGTTGGCGTTGTCGTTGAGCAAGACTGAGCAATGAGGAGCCGGTTCGTGTCACATCCAGCAGACATTGTCTCGCTGGCAAACGAGCTAAATAAAACAAAACAAATTATGGCCTAGCCCAACCTTTCCACCGCTCCACTCCCAACCACGTATCTACGACTGCGTCGAGTCGCTCGTTAATCCTACGTAATGTGCCTGAATCATTGTCACGAGAGTGGCATTGACCTTCAGGTATGAGTACGTAGTACCGAGTACAACATGAATCTGGTCATAGTATCGGGTATGCCATGGCATGGCATCGTCCGCGATGGGCACGACGAGACGAAGAGACCAGGTAATAAAAGGAGCTCTGCTACTGTTCGATCTCTTGTCTTTCTTTTTTCTTCACTCCATTCCCCTTTACAGGCAGAAGACCAGATCACAACCATTGAAAACACCTCTGTTTCCATCAATGCACATAATCAATTTCATCGACGACATAGGAATCCTTCTCTTCCTCCAGCCCTTACACTACCTTGACTCTCTCACCCACGTCGAGGTCCTAAATCTAATCGACGACATGGGCATTTTCTTCGTCTGCCGCCCACTACAATATATACACCGCGTCGCTGCATTTACTACGCTGCCTGCCGATTCTCGACGGCCACTCAGCTCCCTCGACTATACATGGACCGTCAGCACCATAGACTCCATGCTGACAAAATGAAGCCCGAGCAATCCCCTCCTTGTTTTTGATTTGGTATTTAAATGGCATCAATGGCCATTTGGCCCTTTGAAGCGAGAATTCAGGTGCTAAATTTCTCCTTTGCTCTGTTTCGTGGATGAAATGAAACGCATGTGAAGCGACATGCAGAGATATGACCGCGTGGATTTGAGAGTAAATACTCATATTCCGGGACTCTTAGGCCTATTGATTTATCGTATTGCACTTCGGAGATACCGACTTAGCCGAAGATTATCAGATGATGCGGAGAGATCGATCCCAATGACGACGGGAGGAGAGGCTCAATAGGCCGAATTGAAAAAGAGAAGGGAGTGAAGGCCTGGCCGACAAGAAGTCGGTTTTGTTCGGTTCAGGAGTAGCGATGGCCGCTTCGGACGACAACGTATCCCAGAAGCTATGTCTGGATCCCGTAGTCATCCGAACGACGGGGCGTGAGGGCGTAAGAGGTAACGGGATGGTGAAGAAGGCACCATCAACACGGAGGACTCAGGGCAGATTTCTGCTACATACCACGGCTCTTCAGCATCTATTTCCTTTCTCCGCCAACTGTCGTCACTCACCTATCTCCCCCATGTAACTTATTTCTTGAGCAGTTGTTGAAAGGTATTCTCGCAATCACTTGGTCGTAATTGCTACCTCGTTCCTACTGTTGTTGTCCCACTTTCTCGGTTGCACTTCGACCATTTCTGTCATTGCGTCCGAAGGTTCGCTTCTGGTAATACAAATATTAAAGCTGAAAATCAAGGATATCAGCTAGTAATGGCAAGGCGGAGAAAACAGGACCGAGTGAGAGTAAAGTGGAAACCCCAGCAATATGCAGCTAGCAGGTGAAATCCAACATCTAGATAGTCCAAAAGTAATAGTGGCATAGGTGAACAGTTGTTGTGCTGGTCCAGGACGTTCGTTGAAGTCGCCTTCCAATGTTTTGATTATGGATATATTCCATCCCTCTTTCCCCAACGCAACCTAGTCTCGATCTATTCCAGTTTGCTTGACTCTACCTGCTACTAGCTTCTTTTACAATTCCTCTGCCCTCTGCGATACCGTTCTCTTTTATCTCCCAATCATCCAGTAAAGTCGATGATACTCATCATTCTCACATAACTAATAGCAAGCCTTTCTTCAATGAAAACTATCAATAACCTCTTCGCTTCCTACATCTTAACAAGTCTCACCTTATCACCTTGTTTCCTTTTCTCATCTTAGCCTCTAGTCGGAAAATTGCAAATAGCGAGAAGATCCCTTTCGATCCGCACAGGCTTCAATTCTCCTCTTAAGAACAAACTTTACCTCAGACAGCTTGGCCGGTCGACCTCGACAGAAATACCTTGTGCTACCTTGATCGTCCATCTCAGGCTACTACTTCCTTAGAGTAGTAATCAGCATACTTCTTGGTACGTCGCCATTGAATTGAAGCGATGGTTCGATTACTGCTAACCGTTCTAGCCATTTCATTATCTTGCCACAACAACCATACCATCGATCTAAATACATATATCAGCGGTTCAAGCTCTCACTATTACAATAACCTACACTACAACTTAACAATGGCTGGAATCCCGATTAAACTTGAACCGCAATCAGACAAGTGTCCGGAACCGGTTCTCTACTCCGGCGAAAAGATTCAGAACCAGCCGGGCCCAGCATGGCACAACTGTGAGAATCTAGAACTCTTGCATCAAGTTAAGATTCATGAGAAAGCAGCCAAGGATGGCTTCAAATGTCTTGAAGAGTTGGCGTCCAGCCTGAAACGCCATTTGTCAGACCTTCCCAGCTGCGAGAAGTGGATCCGGAGGTTGAGTAAGTTTTTTAGCCTTTCTATTGCTATCACAATAGCAAGTCCATGGTACATTGCTGACATCCTAATCGAAACAATTTCTGATAGCAAGATAGAATGCCCAGTTCTCATTGGATTTATCGGAGCATCTGGTGCTGGAAAGTCAAGCCTTATCAATACCTTACTTGAACATGATGATCTTCTTCCAGCCGATGATGAGAAAGCTTGTACCGCAGTTTGCGTTGAAATTTCATGGAACCCGGTGAACGACCCAGAAAGGGCATATCTAGCAACAGTCGAAAGAATAAGCGAAGAGGATTGGCGCACTGAGATTGAAAGTCTCTTTCAAGACTTGAAACTAAGTCATGGCCCTAATGGTAGCGAGGAGGCATCCGAAACGGGTAGCTATGAAGCCGAAGTCGAGCACGACGAGGATAATGAGGACGACGAGGGTGGTGGGGATAGTGAGGACGGTGAGGCCGATAGCGGCGGCGATGGCGATGACGACGATGATGATACACAGGACCCGGAAAGGGAGGCGCGGATCAAGGCTGCATTTCATAAGCTCAAGTGTGTCTATCCACACATTGGGACTATCGATGACCTTTCGCAATATACAGTCTCAGAACTCATAGATGACCCAAATGTCAAGGATATTCTAGGAGAGAGCGCATCAATTTTTGATCATTCTCAAGACCGATTTGCAGAGCGGGTTAAGCCCTTCATCGAGAGCGGCAGAGTTAAGAACGGACGAAGCTCATTTGCACAGTGGCCGTTGGTAAAGCTTGTGCGCTTACGTATAAAGTCTGCTATTCTGCGTAATGGAGTTGTTCTGGTCGACCTTCCAGGCACTATGGATAGTAATGTCGCTCGTGGCGCGATTGCGGGAAAATATCAAGAGAATCTTGCCGTCACTTGCGTCATTGCGCCTACGCAGCGTGCAGCTTCTGATAAACCGGTAACATATCCCATCTTACAGTTCAAGTGGTCTAAAAAGTTTCCTCCGCTAACGAATGTCAGGCCCAAGATTTACTTGGAAAAATTACCCAGCGTTCGCTACAGTTGGATGGTCGTTTTTCCAGCGATACCTTGTGCTTTGTTGTTTCGAAAACAGATTCGTCCATTAGCGTACCTCGATATATTAGCACTCATCTTAATGTGGAAGAGCTTCTTGCGCCGGAGTTTGCTCTCCAGGGCAAGCTGAAAGAGACCATGAATAAATTAAAGGAAAATGATAGAGTGCTCAAGGTGAAAAAAAGGGCGGGGGAAACAGTCCTAAAAGAACTCAAAAAGGAACTCAAACAACTCCAAAAGCTCATAAAGAAGTCTCACCCTCAAAAGGCCAGGAAGCGCAAGCGTATTCCAGATGAAGAGGAGCTGAACCCTAGTGCCCAGGGGGCATTTGGTCCTCTTACGGCTGAAGAGGAGTTGAACAATCAAAAAGAAAGCGAGCTGAAGCAGAAGATCAGAGCCGCCCAAGATGATATTATCACCATACATGCTGTCCAGAATAAGGCAGCAGATAATATTAAAAAGGCTGAAGCTTTGGTCGAGCTCTCAACATCTCGACAACGAGCTGCTTGCATTCAAAACAGAAATGCAGTGTCAGCAGCTGAACTAAGAAAAGACTATGATGCTGCCGCAAATATGCTCCCAGAGGCTAATCAGAAGCCGCTCCAGGTATTTTGTGTCTCTGCGCTTGCCTTTTCGGAATTAAAAAAGAATGCTGGTTTGGTTCCTGGCTTCCTAAGGCTCAGAGATACGGGAATTCCTCAGCTGGCTAAATGGCTTGCAGAGACAACTTTGAGACCTCGGCATCGCAGTGCAACATCATTTCTAAAGGATATCGAGAGCCTCGAGTTCTCTATAGCACCATGGCTCAAAACTTGCTCTGAATTCAAAATGTCTGCTTCTCAGGCAGAGGCGGTTGAAGATGCTTTCACTCTAAATTTTGAAGTTTTGCTAGAGGTAAGAATACATTCCCCCGGGCTTATAAAGTTTCGAAAGAAAGGCAAGAACTCCCATCTCTCAACTACCAAGTGGTATCCGGAACATTCACATCAAGATCGTGGAATGAAAAATGTGCTGGCTCACGCTCCGATAACCAGGTCACATCTACAGATAAAGCTGATTACCGCATACTAGAATTTAGCTCAGGCCCGTTCAGACACCATTCAAGAATTCAAAGATATCGTTGAAAAGAAGATATTTTTGGTGATGGCGGCGAATGAGACAGCAGCCGCCCGAAAATCCATCAGGACGGTGCGTGCCTGGGCACGACGTCCCGTCTACTGGTCCACACATAAAGCAACCAATAGAGGCAACGGAGTCCACAGGGCAGGTAACGGGGCTGAATATAACTGGAACGAAGACTTGTTAGTATTCCTCTATAGCCTCGCCGCGTTCTTTCGTTAATTCTTCACAGGGCTGGACTCTACCTGGATTCGCTAGTTGACCTGTGGAGCGGAACAATCCACAAGAAGTTGTCAAAAGGACGTGGTACCTATAACAATGTGGTTGTCAAATCCATCGAGGAGTTCATTGAAGCTACAAAGAGTTCTACCTTGAACATTTGCCCGGAGTTATCTGAGGCAATTTGTGACTGGCAAGATAGTGTCCTTAGAGCCCCACCCCAAATCCAGAGGAAGTCTCGGTCAATATTCAAAAAAACAATACCAGAGTTTGCCAGCCTAGCCCATCGAACGGTTACGCCAAAAGTTTTAGAGACCTGGAGGCCAGTTTATGAGCAATGCGCTGCCGAATTTGGTTAGTAGTATCCCGGTCATATTGTTGAAGAGCCGTGCTAATTGGCACGACTTTTTCAGGCCTTGGTCATTTTAGACGCAACCGTATGACCCATGAGATATATATTAATCAGTCAGCGCATGCAATGTACCGGGATTGCAGCCAAGAAATTCAACATGTTTTCAAGCAACTTTGGCAATGCCTTCCAGGAAAGTTCGATAAAGTCACCAATCCAGAGACGGAGCGAATCGCTGATGAGTTTGTCGATTTGGTAGAGAAGAACAGCTTCGATGAGGAACGAATGGAGGAGGAAACCGCAACAGGAGCACAGAGGTTGGAATTGCAACAGGAAGTAGTAGGTGCATTTATCAAACTCAAGGCTGCCTGGTGCGATCCGGCTCAGGAGCAACAAGAAGGAGCCCATAAAAATGGAGATGATGGGGACGAGAATATTCCATCCCCCGAGATTGATTTTGAAAAGTTGCTCAATTTAGAACCAGATGATTCTGGCTCATCACTCAGTGAAGAGTCCGATGAATCCGGAGATTGATCTGATTGACCAGTTAACAAGTCAGAGCAACCTCACCCAGCTATGTCACTGGATTCTCGTTCTCTCTCACCACTCGGAATACTCGATGAATGGATACCATCAGCTCTGTATCCCTTGGGAGTTCATTGGACGTTCATCATCACCTTCAACATATCGTCTTTACCATGCAGTGAGGGATATGGCAGACCCTCATAGTAGGCCGGACGGGGGAGTAATACTGCTCCAGAAGGTTATGAGAATTATCTTCCCGCTATGGCTCATATTTCTACACACCAGCCCTCGAACTTCTTTACACACTTAGAACAGTCATATTTACAAAGTTTTCTCACTTCTGCTTCTAGATTTTAATAATTACATGTACAATATCCAAATACCTTCCCGTTTGCTTGCTTCGTTAAAATACAGTGGTCAATATTCATTTAGAAACCACCCCACCCCAAGGATTTAGTTGTCTACACATTTTCCCTAGACAATTCAATTAATACCTCGTTAGAACCATGAAGCCTCAAGTCATTTTCTCGCATTGCCGTATCTAAATCACTACGATTCTTTACAAATCCATCTAATTATTATAGAGGTAAGAAAGTGGACCAGTTAATATCTTGACATATCATCGCAGCACCGCTGGGAGCGCTCTCAAGCTTGTAATGGACCCAACTAAAACCATCGAGCGAGCTGGCAAACATCCGAGGTGGTTATGCTCCACTAAACACGCTAACCGTTGGCTGTCAATCAAGAACGGGGCGCTAACCGGCACGACCCGTAGCCCACCTATATCTACGAAGAAGCCAGGCGCATCGTTCACTCATGGTCACCGAGATTTCTAAGTTTTTAGGCAGAGTGCCGCGCTAAGAGCCATTGTTCTACTACTGTAGCAACAGCTACTCCAGAAAAAAAGATTGCGAAAAGCTGTCCACGGAATTTGCGCAGCAGGAACCGCCAGCTACGTGCGCTAGGCCCCGGCCGTAGGAGGTTGAAACATAGCGAGGTCGAAGTGCAGAGGTAGATAGTGCTCAAGCTGCTATATAGGATGTCTACGGTGCTATGTGAATCTCCCGTCGACATCTATCTAGGGCCTAGATGAAATCCTTAGAGAAAGGAATCGTTGGCGGTAATATTCTGTCGTTATATGGACCACACTATGACTATGACGAACAAATCATAGTGGACAGATAGGAGACGAGAAGCTAGAATTCGCTCCTTTTGAACTCACCCGGTTTATTGAGGAACGCCCAATGGAACGCGGGCCGTAGTGAGTACCCATAAAACAAATGGCTTGCCAATTGATGCCTTCGTATGCTCGAGCTTGCCATCAAACACCAACAATACCAACAACACCAACAAATACCAACGATGACCCCTCCCCATCTCCCCCGAGCCTCCATGGAGTGGGTGAGAACCCGTCGTTCTAGCAAACCAAGAAACAAACGAACAAACAGTTATTTTGAAGTGTCTTATCCTACAAAACATACCTAGATACTATCATAGTATGAAACAAAATTCCAGGACAGGAATAGACCTCCACAGCGCGATCACGTCGATCCCTATACCTAGAACTTGCTGGCATGTGTGCCGAGTAGATACTGGGCCATGAAGTAAGCGCTGGACAGTTGTCGGGCTCGATGATTAGGAGCCTGGGACAATTCCGTCTTGCAGAAACGGGCAGGATTTTAATACGGCAATTAGCTGTGCAAGCAAACTAGTTACAACTGCATAACTTGAGCTTAACTGAAACCTATTTGAGCTATTTATGGGTTTGGGGAGTAATATAAGAACAAAGGGTGTGACGCGTGCAACCCAAGGTCTTTGTTCTGTTGGCCGTTGGCTGTACAACAGGAGGTGAAACACAAGTTCACTTTTCAAAGCACCTCAGGTCCTCAGCTAAGAAGCTTTATATGCCAATCTGCGATAGATATATTAAGAAACAACGAAGTCAAACAATCTCTCAGTGCTTGCTGCGATGGCCCCAATCACCAAGATGGGATCCCATGAAACGACCATCAACCGAATTGCGGCAGTGGTACAGGCTTTCTATGATTGCAAAGAACCCTACCGTATATTTCACGGCTCGACGAACAGCACCAGACCAGTTCAACAAGGTCGAGTGGTTGATATTAGGGCCATGTCAAGTGTGGTCAAAATTGATACTGCATCCAAAACGGCATTGGTAGAGCCCAATGTGCCCATGGATAAATTAGTAGAGGCAACCCTCGAACACCAGTTAATACCGCCAGTTGTTATGGAGTTTCCCGGGATTACAGTTGGAGGAGGCTACGCAGGCTCTGCGGGAGAGAGTAGCTCTTTCAAGTATGGTTATTTTGACCAGACCGTCAGCTCGGTGGAGATGGTCTTGGGAAACGGGGAGGTTATTACTGCGTCCAAAACTGAACACCCAGACTTGTTCAAGGGCGCAGCGGGAGCTCTTGGCACTCTGGGAATCACCACTTTGATCGAATTACAGCTTGTCCAAGCTAAGAAATTTGTGAAGACGACTTATCACTAGACGGGGAATATACATGATACTATCCAGGCCATTCGGAAAGAAACAGAGAACCCTTCCAACGACTACGTCGACGGTATTATCTTCTCCAAAACTCACGGAGTTGTAATTAGTGGTAAGTTGACAGACCACAAACCGGAGTCTGCCAAACCCCAGACGTTCAGCAAACCTTGGGATCCTTGGTTCTACCTTCACGTAAAAGAGAAGACACTCTTTGAGTCCCCTTCTTCGCCAGTCACCGATTACATTCCTCTGGCCGAATACCTTTTCCGATACGATCGAGGCGGCTTCTGGGTTGGTCTTGAGGCGTTTCGATACTTTGGATTCATGCCATTCAACCGACTGACGCGGTGGTTCCTGGATGATTTTGTACACACTCGAATGCTATATCGAGCCATGCACGCTAGCAATAGACAATTCGGCAACATTATTCAAGATCTCTCACTGCCCTATTCCACTGCCGAAGAATTTGTTGGTTACACAGGAGAGGAACTGGATATCTGGCCGCTATGGCTATGCCCGTTACGCCAGATGGATCCACCTACGTTCCACCCACACACAACACAGCCAGGTCCCGGCGACTTTTCGAAGCCAATGTTGAATATCGGCCTCTGGAGGCCGGCGTCAACAGACATGGACACGATTTTCCAGCAAAACCGGCGATTAGAAAGCAAGCTGACAGAGATTGGTAGGCGGAAAGTGCTATACTCTCAAACGTACTATACGGAGCCAGAGTTCTGGCAATTGTATGATCGAAAGTGGTATGATGACCTGAGACAACGGTACTCGGCTACAACTCTGCCCACGGTCTTCGATAAAGTGAAGGTTGATTTGGGAAGTATAAGACGAAAAGTGCTTCGTGGATTCAGAGGCTGGCTTCCTCGTGGCCATTCGCGGGATTTGTTGGCATATGGTGGGCGATACGAAGTAAGGACTATCTACTTCATAGGCGTCCCTCTTGGGCATCTAAGGGCGCATTGGTGGCTTCGAAGAAGGACGTGGACAAAATTGGACATGATTCAAAACCAGCAGTCGTCATTGTAAAGTAGTTGGATTTGACAATGGAGAATGTATTAAAGTGTTGTGTGTAGGTGAGATGATGTGGTATCTACATTATAGTTATCTTCAACTCATCAGGGCGAGATTAGCTATGCTACATCAACGCTATCAATGACCACTCTAGCAGACAGGTACTAACCAGCAAGGCAGCTGTACTTCATCGGGTGATTTATTGGGATGCATCAGCGGCTTGATTAAGTGAAGCTTAACATACTTGGGCTAGCAACATCACAATAATATTTTAATTCCAAAGTATCACATTCATTCTTGATAGCCATTCCTGTTTGCATGTGTTTCGTGAATATAGCTTTTCCAGAACCAGGCAAGTTCAAATAATTGGGATACTCCCTTCTTACGTACACCCATCCTTCTACCTAGCTAGCGCTAAAATCATAGAGCATATCTGCGCTGCGTGCAAACAGCCTCGATCCTCATCCTATCACGCTAGGTATATTACACCTAGCAAAGTCCCTACACCTAGCGTCTGCTACCCATGCGTAAAGAGGCACTTTCTCTAGCAGGTTATCGACTTATTGCCAATAGTCACCGAAGTTCACTCAGTAGCCTGTACTAAATTTATCTCGGTCGGCACAGAAAACAGAACTATTACCGCAAGATTTCCGTCTGGCAGAAGTCGCCACTTGCTAATTCACTTAGAAATTCTGTGCCAAGGTGAAAAATTACGTGTGATTGTTTGAAATCTTGATATAAATGTCTATGTGGCAATACAAGAATGGATATTCAAGACATAGACAAGGAAACTTCGGGAGCTTCAAACAATTCTCGGAGCCGATCCTTATACTCTTCCTTTTCTTTAATCTTCCTCTCGATCATATCAGCTGCACCAACATCCCAATATGGGGCTACAACCTCGTCGAATATGGGCATTTCGCTGTGTTCTGGATGGAACAATGGTTGGATATGCTCATTAAAGAGCCGGTATAGTCCCTTGGGACTATTCGCTGCATGGAAATACCAGAAGCTTCCAGTATCCCAGCATTTTCTCATGATAGGAGTTTGATATAGGGGCTCCTCTCCTGTGATGTCCCTTTCTTCTTGCTCGAAAGCGTCAAAGTACTCAGTGATGATTTGACGAAAAGTCTCCAGGTGTTCACCGGGTTCGATAGAGTCTACAGCTCGCCCTGAGAGCCAGTATGGAGGGCATTGCATTTCTATCGGTAGTGAACATGCCCATTCGAGGTCGATAAGACTGGTGATATTCCATTTATCGTCAACGAAGATGTTACTTTGGTGGAGATTCGTAAGGCTAAAGACAAAAGGTCCGTAACGATAGCCAGGACGAGTGAAATGTTGAAGAGTAGCGCGCATCATAGTTAATGCGGCAAGTTGTTGCTCGCCGTCTGCTTTGCTGTGAATGGAATTTGGTTGATGGCAAATGCGATTATCATGAGAGCCTAGAAGGTCAAGGAGGTACAGATCAGTGGCTGAATATGTAGAAGTCCTGCCGATTGATCTTGGGATACCTTCGTTCTCCAAGCGGTGAAGTCGTAAAGTTAGAGGGCGATTAGTTAAGGTCGTAAAGCCTTGATTATCCAGAGTAAAGGAGCCAATTCGTGGTAAATGAGACCTATTTAGTGAAAGCATGATCCGAGCCAGGCCGTGGAAAAGATTTGAGCGGCGAGCCTTGTCGTGGCAGAGAGTATCCCATGATTTTGAAAGCATAGTTCCCTGCGAAACCCAACTTATAATCATGTAGCCTGTTTTCAAAGCATCTGGGCGCCTTCGACCAACATAACGACATGGGTTAGGGAGTCGAAGGAAGGCCCGTAAGGTGCGTCGCGCGTACCACACTAATCGTGATAGAAAAGAAGCATTTTCTGGGGTTGTAAACTAGGACGAACGTAAGCAAAATACAGAATAGAATTGGCTAAACATACCATCTGCCCATCTGGGAATCCAAAGCCAAATAAAAAAGGTATTGGGATATCTGGACACATTTCTTGCATCCGTATATATGTGGCAACCTCACACCGAAGCTTCTCGTCAACATTGCCAGGACATAGTGCCTCCCCAACCTTGTAGGGTAGTGGAATTCTGACGAGGACCACCCTTGCACTGGAGGGCGTATTAATATGGACAGGAATGCACACGTTGAAGCGACTAGATAGCCAAACACTTTCATCGTCAACTCGACATCTGCTTACGCCAAGATGAAACGACACAAGAGCCTCGATCTCATCCTTCCTGGCGGACAAGTATTTCCAAAATTCTTGTTTTTGTCGAGGATATCTCAGTTCAATTGGCACGTTGCCGTCGTCATTAAGAGCTCTATCCAGCGTGATGTTTCCGCGAAGGAGGGGCAGCGTTCTCGCCATATCAAAGGTCTGCTACAAAGACCGACTGCATTGTTGACGTTCCGAGTGTTTCGAATTTCGAACCACCCCTGTATTTCCTCGAGAGAGCGGGCAACGCGATCAACGCTTTAGCTTCTTGCAGCCCTCATGACTAAATATCTTTTAAATTCTTGATGGCGGGTGGTTTGGATTTCGATAAAGCCGAAGAGTGTAGGGTGCTGGTACAATAAATATTTTGTACTCCGGTGCGGGCCGCTCCGTTGACAAACTAGCCCAGCCCTGAGCCATTTCTCTCAGCCTACGAAGTACAGCGGTATTATCTTACACATGCGTACGAAAAACATAGGAAATTCAATTATATACATTAAAGGACCTTTCCTGTCGCAGATATAGCGAGTCACTTCAGCTGTAAAATATCCCCCTTTCAAATTTCTAGGCTGTTATTTTCTACCTCGCTGTTGCAGGAAAATGTTTGGTTGGTGATTGCACATTATGGAAGGGAACAAAAGCACTTAAGACAACTCATTACTCTAGGATTCATACCTAGGTGGGGGTCTTCCCCCAATCTATCTAAGTCTAATGTAAACACTGCACCAGAGAACTCAGAGGCAAAGCGCTAGTCTAAGCAAGGACCTTGATATCGCCTGCCTTGACCTTGCCCGCATCAACAAGTCTCTTCGCCTCCTCAGACCAGACGGACTTAATCTCGTCTGCAATCTTCAGCCCATTGAGCTTGCCGGCCAAAGCCGCCGTTTCGTCCGCGTCAATTTTCCCCTGGATGAGGTCGACATCGTTCAAGACCGCATCGATTGTCGCAGCGGAAGCATCGCCACTGACAAAGTAGTTGGCTTCCTTGACGCTTCCCTTCATGACACGGCGGTTCTTCTTGACCGCAGCCTTCGCTGCCTCCTTGGCCTTCTTGCCCTGCTCCTTGTCGGCCTTGGCCTTTTCCTCCGCCTCTTTAGCCGCCTTCGCGGCGGCCTCCTTCGCAGCCTCGGCGTCATCCTTGGCCTTCTTCTCAGCTGCCTCCTTATCGAGGCGCTTCTTATTCTTGGCCGCGTTGGCTTCTGTCCGGAATCGCTTGATACGCTCATCACCAGCCATTGCTTCATCTACCAGCTTGCGAAGGCGAGCAGTATCCTCCTGCTTCTTCTTCTTGCGAGCATTGTTGTTCTTTCGCTCCATATGGCGCTTCTGATCACGGTTTTCATTATCATCGGGAACATCCTCGTCTTGGTACTCGAACGATCGCCATGAGTCGAAGTTGTAGAAGAAGTTGTAGAAAGCATCGACGTCCTCCTTTGTGCTATCCTCATCTCCGAACTTGGGAACAGGTTGAATACGAGAAAATCGGCCTTCTGACTTGAAGACATGGGCCCACAGCTTGTAAAACTTGTCACCCTTGGCTTGTTTCTTGGATGGGGGCTCGACATCGGCATGCTCGTCCACGGAGTCGAATTGGCGGCGCTTAACAGGATCGAGGAGGACTTCGGTGGCTTTCTGGATACATTTGAAGAAGCTATCATCTTCGGTGCTACCAGCTGCGGCTTTCTTATCAGGATGGTGACGGAGGACCTTCTTGCGATGGGCGCGCTTAATTTGGTCCTCGGTGGCCTTGAAGCGATATTTCGTGAGGCCAAGAACTGCGTAATGATCTTGACTCTATAAGACGTTAGCAGGACTCCAAGCTTAATATCCTTGTGAAACATACCTTCCAGTCTTTGGCATCACGCGACAGCATCATTGGATCCTCCGGCTCACTGATATCCCCGGAGTCGTCATCTTCAACTTTCTTGGCATTCTCTTGAGCTTGAATGCGGTCATCTTCAGAGAAAGTGCGCTTGTGGCGGGCGCGTCGAGCGTGGGCAAGAAAGTGAGGCCCAACGGGTTCGATTGTGCGCTGGGTTGCGGGAGACAGATGAGCAACTGCTTTGAAATCCTTTTCTCCAGCCCAACCCTCAGGAAGGACAGGGAGTGGGAGACCAGCTTGGGCGTGCGTAGTCATTGTGGGAGTTTGAGGTGGTCGATGGAGAGGAGGGGGATCTGGAAGGAAAGGAACGAGTCCAAGATCTTCTTCTGGAGAAAAAATGTTTAGCGACCGATGGTGACAAGGCTGCGAGTCCGAGCATAAACAGGGGCAAGCGCTAGCGTAATTAAATTCAATAACTAAAATACACAGGGCGAGATGCGAGTCATGTGATATCGCAACTTCCGCCAAATTGCATTTGCCTCCAATATATCAAAAGCTTCGAGGAAAAGGGAAAAGCTTAATACAGAACCAGGAAAAAGGATAGCTTACGGTGGATGGTCGAGGGTGTTAGAAAGTCTTCATAAGGTGCGTATCTTCTGTCTCCTATGCTTTTGATCGTGCTCTCTGAATTGGTTTCGTCAATGTCGTCTGGATGCCGGGGGAAACGGGAAAAATTGGATTCCCATGGTACTCCCCACGTATCCATCCCCACCAATCCTAGTCCCAGTAATGCTTCAGCAGCCTCGATAGCCTCTGGAGGTCTCGTTGTCTCGATTTCGTTCCTGGCCGAAGCGGAAGGCGAAGCGGAAGTCGATGCCGAAGCTGCTACGGATGCATCTTGAGGTTCCGGTCGTGCTGGGACGTAGTTCTTAGGCGTATCAAGCCGTTCTTGTTGCTCTGGGCTGCTGTTTTCAGGCTTTTCAAGATTGTCAATAATATCTGCGTGTGCTGCACTACGAGCCCCAGGCGTGCCTAGTGGCTCCATGATTGTTTGCTCAGTTACGTTTGTTGGCGATTCTCTTAATCTGCCCTCGGGTTCGTTAGTGACGGACTGATTTACCTCGAGGAGGCCACTTTGAAGTTGCTTGGGAGCTGATCTCAACCTTTCAAATTTACGCTGAACCGTTTCGAGCATAGCACTGTTCTGTTCAATACAGGTAGTGAGCGTTCTGATAGTTGCATTGAGCTCGCTGATAGTTGCATCCTTGGCGTCAAAACCGAGCCGGAAGGACGTCACCATATTATCGAACCCGTCGACATCAGCCTGCAGAGTTTTAATAGTTGATTTATTCTCCTTCAGATCACTCTGAAGGCTTTTGATCGCAGAGTTTCTGTTTCGAACATCATCCTTGAGGGTCTTAATAGTAGACTCGTTTTGGCGGATTTTGTCCTTCTGTGTCTTTATGACAGCATCTTGGTCCTCCCTGGTCTTCTTGTTGCTTTTGCGACTCTCTCTGAGTTGTGCAATGGTGGCGTCCCTATCCTTAATGTCTATTTTAGCTTGGTGTGAAATAGCCTCAAGCTGCTGAACTTTAGTCATCTGTGAATGCTGCTGCTGCTTCGTCACCTTTTGCTCCCGCTGTCGCTTTTCTTCGGACGTTTGAATGGTGGCTTTCAATTTTGCGATTTGCTCATTGCTTTCCCTTAAACCGGCTTCGACTTGCTGATTCTTGGCGACCTGTTCTTTGATTTGGTCTTCCATTTGCTGCGAAGTGTTCTGTAGCTGCTGTATCTCCGTGTCCTTCTTTTCATGGGCTGAAAGGTGCTCGTCAATAGCGCACTGTTGCTCCTTCATAATCTTCTCGTCTCTGTCGCGGATGTCTTGAAGGTTTCTGATGAGGGATTGGAGTTCGCTCAGGTCTTCCTTGCTTTTATTTAAATCAATGTTGAGCTTCCTGACCTCAGCGTCACGTTCCTTGATTTGGTCTTCCTGTTCCTGCGTCTTATTGAACAGCGTCTGTATCTTGGCGTACCTTTCGTTGTCTTTTGAACGGAGTCGGTCAATAGTCGCTTGTTGCTCCGCCGTAATCCTTTCCCCCTTTTGACATCTATCTTCAAGCGACTGAAGGGTAGATCGCAGTTTGTTGAGCTCCGCCCTTTTCTTCTCTAAATCGACCTCGGCCTGTTGGTTTTGGTCTTTCATTTGCATTACATCATTCCACAGCTGTTTAGCAACAGAGCCCCTCGCGTCTAGCTCTTGCGCGCCTGATTCAAAACGAGTCTGAAGTTGCCTGACAACCGTGGCCTCCTTTTCCAACTGTGTCTCCTTTCGCCGCAAGTCATACTGGAGGGCTTGGATTCGGGAATCTTTTAGCCGGGATTTGAGTTGCGACTCCCTAAGCTGTGCTTCTTGGGCTTGATGAACAACTAGCATGTCCTCGAAACAACTGAGGGTGGCCTGCCGGCTTTCCTCTAGCTCACGTGTATAGTTTGCGTCAAAGCCGCCCTCACAGCTCATATCTGCGGCCATACCTTCGCTTCGAGTGCGTCGGTGATGTCGTCGAGGCACCTCGCCACCTTCCATTCGCGCTGATGGGTTGCCATAGTTGGCACCGTCTCCAGGTGTTTGTGATTCTCCCTGCTCCATGGCCTTGGTTCTTGCTTGATATAATCCTTTATACACGTTTATTTTGATGAAGTTCTGCCTTGTTGACAACTCGTTCACTGTTTGCGGTTTTGCGTTTCTTTTTCGTGATATTGTGTCTGAGAAGTCGCTCAAGAGGAGATATGCTGACGGCGTGTACCCCCGCAGAAAGTGAACAACAATGGCTCTAGCAGCTTACCGGCACCTGCTACGCTCGGCGAGGATAGCCTTTCAAGGTACGTGTTTTCCTCATCACTTGAAAGCGTCTTCTGGCCCGCTTATCCAATACTCCTCGTAACGCTACCTCACCAGACTCGCTATGTGCAATAAAAGTAGAGCTGTAAAAGTACAAAACCTTGCCATAGACTCTTTTGAAGATTTCGAGAGGTTACTAGCTACCCCAAGAGCCAAACAGTGTTTCCAAGATACTGGGGATAGTATGCCCCTTAACCTTTATCGTCGAGAAAAGCTGTCTTTCGTTAAGGCTAGATCATAGTTGTATCCGGGCTTGTACTTTTAGGTTTCCTACTTCTATTTTCCATACCTAGTGAGACTATGCACCTGTGGAATCTCATATCTGAATTCAGGACCTATCTATGAAACCAACCGCTCACTCATATTATAGGCGACCTCCCACTCCTCCACGCAGCGCGTCAAGAAGCCCGCAATGGGTTCCGCAAGAACTCAAATCTAAGCCCTGAAGATCCAGCTCTGGCACCTGCCATAGCACATGCTGAGGATGTTGCTAAAATCTTGATGGAAAATGTGGTGCAAGGGGAACATAAAGGGGATAACATGTACAGTGAGTTGGCTCTGCTACATCTACTTGAAAAGCACTGGAGATGGAGATATACTTACGTGATATGTAGAATTGCGGATGCATGACCGTACTGAGCGAGGAGACAATGATACCATTAAGATGCCGAATGGGAAGACAGTTGTTATTGATGGGAAGACATGTGGGGATAAATAATAGGGTCATCGGCGGAGTACATAAGGCCATCCTCCTCCCGGAAGGCTTATGGACGATGTTCTAAGAATCTTCACCTTGAAGTTGTGACATGTTGTTTTAGAGGGCTTGGCAGGGATTACAAGGAGCTGGTTGTTTTTTGTGCCCGTGGAGACTGTTAGAGTGTACTATGGGGAGATTTCGGGGGAGTGACATATTGCTTGACGTTCTTTTAGATTTATGAGTGTACCACTAGCTACTGTACTATACAATGGAGGCGGCCCAACGCCATAACATCCATCTTTCAAACGCCGAACTCCTTCGCCATTTTACACCTTAATGTATTAGTTCCCAGCTAAACTAGCATATTGCACATCGCCCGCGCCAGGTGGAGGAGCAACCGCGGTCATCTTTGCCAGATCATCTTCAGGTGGCGCTTGAGCTCCCCCTTGCCTATTTCCACCTTCAATGCTTCTCGCTGAGGGAGTTGCAAAAGCATGACGTCCTTCTCTGCCGGTAGCCATCCTCTCGTCCTTATCCATAGTCCCAATAGGTCTTGGCCTTCCCCATTGCACTCGTAAGGGACACCCAGCAATAACAGCCCTTCCTTGCAGCGCCTCAGCAGCAGCTTCTGCAGCTTCTCTCGTAGCATAGTTGATGAAAGCGCAATGCGACATATGCGAGCAGACAAGTGATCGAATCTTTCCGTAAGGAGTGAAGAACTCCCTGATCTTGTATTCAGGAAGATCATCCTCGACGCCAGTGACGAATAAAGACGTGATGGTGTGATCAGCCGGTGGTAGTATATCCTGTTGTGAAGGAGGCAACTGAGCTGCACTGGGGAATGTCCTTCCCCCTCTGCCACCTCTCCCACCCCGTCCTGCTCCCCGCGATGACACCCCACCCCTGCTATCTCGTGTTCGTATCGGACCGGGGCCATTCGTCGCCAACGCAGTGGAAACCGAACTCGACCCTTCCCCACCAGCAGCTTCGCCATCTGCAGGAGCAATTCGCCGCTGTTTCTTGTAGTAAGGTTCGCTGTTGGCTAATCTCCTGAGAAGCTCTCTAGCCTTTTCGTCGGTCTTCTCATAACCCTCTACTCCGCCTCGTCCTTCCTCAATTTCCTTCTCGTGTTCCTGGGCATAATATTCCCTGTTTACTTCGCTCTGTGGGCCGGGCGCTATCATTTTCAATGCGGCATCACGGACCACGATGGGCAGACCGAAGGACAGATCGAGCATGCAGCACTGGCAGCAGTTCTTGAGGCGGGCGCAAGTGAGGCAGATGTTGGTGCGTTTGGTGCGTGCTGTCCGGTCGGCCTTCCATCTGAATACTGTAAAGGGTCTTGTGCATATCTATAGACTCAAAAGTTAGTATTCTTCAAGACGTGGGGTTGAGGTGGAGTTTGTCACTTGCCTTGCATTCTTCGCCATAGTCCTGCTTAATCATTTGAACATAGGGATTTTCTGGAAGACAGCTCTCGCAAACCGAAGGGAAGTCCGTTGTCTCCCATCCCGAGCGGTTTAGATCCTGCTTGATTTGGGGCGGCATCTTAATCTCCTAGTATCCTGGTGCAGAGACAGAATGGGCGATCAACGGTGATGTTAACGATGGGCGAAGAAATGTTGTTATCCGTTGTTAGATAAGCGGGAGTCGATTTTGGCTCTGGTTCCGTCAGATGAGGCTGAAGGCAAAAAACCTGGTGGATTATGTAATCAGGGCCCCCCAGCCACCAGCAACGAGTACGAATACGCCACACCCAAGCATGTGATTAGGGGCGCTAGGCCAGAAGTAATACGAAAACGAGCCGACTTTAAATTATCCCTGCGATTCTAGATTAGGAACAATAATCCCCCAGCTCAGAAAATACATAAACACGCTGAAAGCCTCTGAACTTCATCCTCCTCACTTGTCAATCACTACTTTCACATACACTCTCTCCCCTCTCCCCTCCACCGCAACACATCTCTACTTCTTCCTTCACAATGGCTCCTGCAAACCTTGAAACCGAGGACCATACTCGCGATGCCGCCTTCAACAAGGCCATGCACAAGGACTCGTCCAATGCCCAGGGCGGTCTCTCCGCGTTGATGAAGAAGGACAAGACTGCCCAAAAGGCCGCTGTCGATGAGTATTTCAAGCATTGGGATGACAAGACTGCAAAGGACGAGACTCTTGCAGACAGAGATGTACGTACATTTTCATTGCCCCTTCCCCCCTTAATCTCAGTCGCAATGGCTAACTTCCTTTTCAGGCACGAAAAGCCGAATATGCCACCCTCACAAGACAGTAAGGCTCATCTCCCTCCTGTATATATACAATACTCATCGTATTCTTAGTTACTACAATCTCGTCACCGATTTCTACGAGTACGGCTGGGGGCAGTCCTTCCATTTCTGTCGCTTCGCATACGGCGAGCAGTTCCAGCAAGCCATTGCCCGCCACGAGCACTACCTTGCTGCTAAGATTGGCATCAAAGATGGAGACAAGGTTTTGGACGTTGGATGTGGTGTCGGCGGACCAGCTCGAGAGATCGCAAAGTTCACCGGAGCACACATCACCGGGTTGAACAACAACGACTACCAAATTGAGCGCGCAACAAAATATGCTCAGCTGGAAGGTCTATCACATCAGCTGAAATTTGTGAAGGGTGATTTCATGGTTAGTAGCCCCCTTGGTCTTGTTATTCCACACTGTTAACAAATTTTGCAGCAAATGTCGTTCCCAGCCAACAGCTTTGACGCTGTCTACGCCATTGAAGCCACTGTCCACGCACCCAGCCTGGAAGGTGTCTACTCCCAAATTTTCCGGGTCCTGAAGCCCGGTGGCGTTTTCGGCGTCTACGAATGGCTCATGACAGACAACTACGACAACACGAACGAGCGCCACCGCGAGATCCGTCTCGGCATCGAGCAGGGCGACGGTATCTCCAACATGGTAAAAATTTCTGAAGGTATTGCAGCCATCAAGGCTGCTGGCTTCGAAATGATGCTGCACGAGGATCTCGCAAAGCGACCCGATCCCCGCCCATGGTATTACCCCATTGCCGGCGATATGTCTATGATGGGCTCGATCGCAGACTTCCCAAGAATCGTCCGCATGACGAAGATTGGCCGTGGCATCGCCCATAAATTTGTCGGCGCCCTTGAGACCATTGGCATTGCCCCCACCGGTTCGCAAAAGACAGCCGACAGCATGGCCCTGGCTGCTGATTGCTTGGTTGCTGGCGCAAAGGAAGATCTCTTCACTCCCATGTACCTGATGGTCGCACGGAAGCCTCTCGCATAGTCGAGTTGATCTTGCCTTTTCTTTCGCATTATGTATTCATTCCTCTTCAAACCCACTTTCGTACCACTAGGGAAGAGCGCAAATTTTAGGGGGCAAATCCGGGCGGGCGCTTTTTCATTATTATTTAATTGGGGCAAAGCAAAAGAGCGCATTGCATGCATGTATGTATATATCTGAACGTTTTTCAAAGTATTGTCCATACGAAGAGAGATGAAAGCGGAAAACAGGGGGTGTTGGTTTTAAAGAAGGAAAGCATAGAATACAATTAATATCAATAGAACACCATGATGTCTATCTAATAAATCCTAAAAATCCATACATAAAAAGCCTTCAGTGCTTCGTATAGATTTGCCGTAGCTCAGTATCCTACTAGATTTCACGTGTATATTATTTATGTTTCTATTCATCGGTTCTGCTCTAGCATGGTCACCAAACCATATATTCCACAACCAATCCAATCCAGTCCAATCCAATATACATCATCATATCCCCCTTCCCCTTCCTCATCTCCAGCAACCGCCCTAACGCAAAAGAAGCAAAGTAAAAACATTCCCAGTACACCAAGTAAATGCCGCTCCTGTACAAAAAAAAAGGCCAGCTAAGCGCTCCTGGCTTAAGCGCTATGTGCTTTTTATTCCCACCCAGATAAGACGAAGGAATGTAAAAGCGAAGGATGGAAAACGCTAACGGTATGCAACGCGGTTGTTGAGAGAAGGAATGGAGGAGAGGGGAGGGAGAAGAGATGCACGCTCAAAAACCACACAGAAAACAACAACAAAATTTAATCAGGTCATGCTTTCTCCCCCTTCTCCTTCACCCTATTGTCACCACCACCACCATTAGCCCCCGAAGGAGTCCTCGAATGGACTCTATTACCCTTCTTTCCCTTCCCCTTACCACCGGCGCCCAAGGCACTCTTCTTATCCTCGCCAGCTTCAGCCTCGGCGGTTTTCTTCTGGCTGAAATCCTTCCATTTGCGCCAGCCGTCGAAGTCGATTAGCGCTTGCATGCAACCCCATTCCATGACTTTACGCTCGAGCCAGACGAAGTTGACGGGCTGTGAGAAAGTAGTTAGCATTCTATAACTGTAATTTATGTGCGGATGTGTGTGGTGATTTATTTACCTTAGTGAGGAAATCATTGCAGCCTGCTGCAAGAGCTTCATGTCTATCAGATTGAAGTGACGACGCTGTAAGCGCTACAATGATAACAGGCGATTTAAAATGCACCGTAGAAGGCAGCTTATCCTCTCCCTCGGGCTCATCTAGACTTTCCCCTTGCGAGGGCGCAGACGAAGACGCCGAGCTGCTAAAAACGCCAATGCTATTCAAACTCTCCAAACGTCTGATCTCCTTCGTAGCTTCCAGACCGCTCATGATGGGGAGTTGGATATCCATGAGCACGAGATGGAAGCCACCTGCACGCCATTTCGTCACGGCTTCTTTGCCGTTCATGGCGGTTTGCCAGCGCACTTTGAGGCGTTTCATGAATGCCTCTAGGAGCTTGAGGTTGATGATGTTGTCTTCGACTATTAGGACGTTGATTGGTGGGACGGCGCCGTTGAGCATGCCTGTTGGTAAGGATGGGTGTTCTCCATTTACTTTCCTACTCCTCTTGCGGCCGACATTTCGAGGCCGAGGAGATGAGACTCGTGGGGGAGGAGTGGCGACACGTTGGATCTGTGCCAATTCGGGTTGTGGAGCTGGGGGTGGTGTGGGAAGTGGAGATGGAGCAGATGGGATGCTTGACTGTTCTGAAGCACTGGAGTCAGCACTTGATAATGGTACTTGGAGGCAAGCTCACTTACCATTGCTTCCCGTAGCTTGGCTACCCAAGATAACGGGTGAAGAAGTGTGCTGCCGACCTATTCGTGGCCTATCCGGTCTATGGTGTGTATGCGATCTCCTACTTCCAGGCGATGGCAATGCGGGGACATGACCGGTTGACAAGACAGACATAGAATGTGTGGTCAAACTAGAATGATGGGAGCTGCCTTGCCCATTAACAGGCACGCTGTTTGCAACAAGTGGCGAAGGGATAGCAGGAACTGCGGCTGGCATGGGAGGGAAATAATCCGAACCACCCTCTAACGGTCTTCCATCATCATAATGTCCCCTACCTGCCTGCGGTGAAGGCTTTGGTGTCCTCCTCAGGGGCACATCAATAACAAGCGCCTCATCCACAGTCTGACCACCAGGAAAATACGCATCAAGAGTCCTGCCCATCGGTTCCTCAGGGCCCAAAGTCCTCTCCTGCATCTGCTCCCGCGGACATATCCTCAGGGTCAAATCAGGCGCGTCGAAATTCCTGCCCATCGAATTTGCATATTTCTTCAAGATCATATCCTTCACATCATCGACCAAATCATCTTCATGTATGGTAACGAGCGTAGCCGACGCCCCCGGCCGCTTCACCCAGATCTTCCTGCTAACCATATTCGCGCTGATGGTCGAGGGGCCGATGTGTGCAAAGTAGTCGTGGTGGTTATTCGAAGCTCTCGCCGTCGGGGGCAATTCCGTCTCCAGCAGCGTTTTGATCAGGCGCGTTTGCTGGTGCGGCAGCAAGCTCTGTCGTCGGGGGAGCTCTGTAGGGCGCGAGGGCGAGGGCGAGGGCAAGGGCAAGGGTTGGCACGCAGCAGACGGGCTTGTGGAAGCTCTGCTGAATGTGAAATCGATATGGGATCCCTTGCGTTGCTGCTGCTGCGTTTCCTTGTTGTTATTGGTGTTATCGGCCTCCTCGCTATCTTCTTCAGGAACAGCAGGGATGCCGATATCAGTATTCGGCGTTGGAAAATCCGTCGACGTGCTATCGTGCTTGTTCTGCTCGTCCGGGGATTTCCTGTCGCACGCCGGTGGGGGTTTTGATTTTGAGATTGGCGTCGTTGCTGCTGCTGCTGCTGTAGTAGATGTCGTTGTCATTGACTCGCGCAGATGATCGCTGCCGCTGCCAGCGTTCAGAGGCACGCCCCCGTCCTCACCATATAACTGGAGCTGTTCCCCCTCTCCTAAACCCGCATCTTCAGTGCCCTCATCAATTGTGATTCCCCCGAGCGTCGAAGCCGGTCGTTTTCCCTGTGTCGGACTGCCACGAGACCTGATGGAGCGCGCGCGAGGTGTTGCGGTGAGGAGCTTGTGACTTGGAGAATTGTTGTGAGTCTGGTCCGAAACTTCGCCATCTACATCAACGCTGGACAGCGACGACGCCGTGGATGATCGGCGAGAGAACTTGGCGCGTAATCGGGTCTTTAGATCTCCAATAGCCATTTAATTGATATTTGTTTGATTCGCGCTGGGCCACCAACCTAGAAGCTCAGGTCAGCTTAGGCGCGCACGCAGAGCTCAGGGAGAGCTCGTTGTCTGCGGTCGTCGGCGGCGGTGGTGGTGGTTGGTGGTGTTGGGCTCCGGGAGCTTTTTGGTTGGGGATGAGTGAGGTGATATCAGGCGTTGGAATTGAGTTTGGGGAGCTGCCGGCTCTCGAACTCATTCAGTCTGCATCTGGGCCACACTACTGATGTCTGCTGCTGATGTCTGCTTTGCTGCTAAATCTGCGAACGAATTATCTTTATCCTCAAGCCATGCAGCGCTCTAGATTTGGATACGCCATTGCCAAGCCGATACAAGGTACGAACCTAAGGTCCAGCAGAGACAGTATTTCTGCGTCGAAAAAAGAAAATGCTCAAGCTACAATTTAACTCACGAAAAGGAATTAGCAATTGATTCACATTCCCCTAACGCTAACACCTCTCTCTACCTTGCTATAGGTAGGTATATTGCACTATTCGCCACAGCTGATCTCTCATTCATTGCCAGCACACAAACACAAAAATCTCCCCTTGTAACACTTTTCTGTACACCCCCTGTCTCTGACATCTCAAGAAAATCGGCAAAAGAGATAACGGTGCAGTGGCGAACATTTTGATACCAATCACGAACCGCCCTCCAGCCTGTGCACAGTGTGAACTAGCTATTTCATGGGGTAGAACGACAGGGCTTGTGGAACCAACCTTGAAAGTGGCGCTGCTGGCTCGATCTCGTGGAGGCTTCGAGCAGGGACAATCGTAGGAGCTACTTGGGATGGTAACAGATTTCACATGTTGGGAGCTACGTTTTGCTATCTAAAAGTTTGGGGTTGGGAAGGTGTATGGTAAATACGTTAGAATAGCAGGAACTGCTGTTCTACAATTCTTACAGTACGGTGGATTTGAGCGAGGAATGAGACCTATGTGTTGGTATTAGGTAGAAATATTACGTCTAGGACTCTTGAAAGTCCGATATATTAGGATACGTATATAGTAAGTACTTCGTATCCAAATTCGATCTAATATACTCCACATAAGCAAACAATGAACGAGGCCTATTGATTGGCATTTCCATATCCATGGTCTGTCTATCTTCCTCCTCCCCAGACCACCGCAGTCATAACCTGGACATCACCCTTCAGCCAACCCATTGAAGCACCCGGCAGACCCGAGTACAAACACAAGTAACAAATGCAATTTCTTAACTTCGCCCGCAGGAAATCATAGAAATAAACCACCCGTTTTATAGTCTCGCATCCCAATAACGATCACGAAAGAATGCTTGCGCCTGCCAGATATTTGACCTTTGAAGCCACCCATATGGACACTGTTCCCTAAATACACCCGCTAAATAAACCATGCAATGCCGCACCGCAGGGCAATCAAAAAAATTCAGGCTGAGGCTCCGTTACATGTCATTAGCGCCCGGAAGACGGACGAGTTTGTGGCCCAGACGGGTGCTAGGAGGAAGATGGTTGTGCCATACCACCTTGTTCATGTTTTTCGTACAGGAGCTAACTGAGGCATCGATCATGGTGGTGGGATCGTCGTAGCTGTCGATTTGACAGCATTCGATGTTCTTCACCCAGCGGTTCTTTGCTATTGATGCTATGGTGGCTCGCTTTGATGGGTCCGGGTTGAGCATGGTAAGCAGGATACGCCGCAACGCCGGAGGATTGATCATCTGATCAAAGAAAGCCACATGAGGGTAATCAGTCTCCGTGATGACAGGATCAACCTCATCTGCGTGTTTATCGTTCCATTTGTTCCAGCCCCGGACTAGGTCGTCATACAATGGCGAGCTACCAGGTTTGGCTTCGCTCCATAGGCAACCATTGGAGGTCATGGTGAGCATGACGATAGCAGCACCCCAGACGTCTAGAGGACGCGGATCGTACTCGCCTAGAAAACAATAATTAATACTGGTAACAAAAATATGCTAGTGACTAGTCTTACCCTTCTTTCCCAAGACCTCAGGGGCAACGTATGGAGGGCTGCCACACATGCCCGGGGCACAGAGTCGGATTTCTCCCATATCTTTTCCACATTGTCCCCCAGCAGCCCTAAGCCCAGGGTGGATGCCGGCAAAAACTTCTGAGACGCCGAAGTCGGTGATTTTCAGTTTGCTGTCCTTCGTAACGAGGAGATTCTCCAACTTAACATCGCGATGAGCGATGCCATTGCCGTGAAGATAATGAATCCCCTGCAATAACTGCTTGAACAGACAAAGACGGTCATTCAGCCGTTCGTCCCTTGAAAGGTATTTCTGAGAGACGATATTAAACAAATCCCCGTGCTCGCAGTACTCCATAACGTGATTCCAGCGGCCATTGTGCGTACACAAGCGGAATGATTCCACGATATTCGGGTGATGTACGCTTTTAGCGATTGAGTATTCAGATTTCACTTTTTGTTCGTAATCTTCCGCCTTCTCATTCGATGATTTGCCACGGAATTCCTTAACAGCATATACCTCGCCAGGAGTACCTCTTCGGTACATAAGCTTAACTTTCGACGTGGCGCCTTTACCAATACTCTTCCCACGTCGACCCACCAATTTACTTTGATCCGTGTACTCAGAGTATAGCTCTGCTACGTCAACTGTAAAATCGTCGGGGAGACTTAAACTCATGCGGCGCGATTTCAGGCCAATACCAGTCTCTGCGGGGAGCGCCCAGACAGCCCTCTCGGGGAGTTTGGCGTTGGAGTCATTACGTTGGTCTTGGTGACGCAAACGATGTGGGTGGTGACTAGGGCTATCAAGATCAACGCTCGTCGCGCGATGGCGTTCATGATCACGTTTCCCATCTTTGTCACTGGAGGAAATCTTGTGCCTCGACAGTCTATCCCGAAGACTGAAGCCTGTTGATGCGCGGTTCTTTTTTCGGCCGCTGAAAAATTCGTCCTTGGAAGGCTCTTGGACCTGGAGTAGTTGTGCTCGAGATTTCGGCTGCTCGGTCTCCACCGGTGACCCCGGTGACTGTGGTGTATTTGATAAAGTGGTGGATGGCGAATTGGACACTGAATTAGCCGCTGACATCCGCCTTATTGACAGACGATGCTGTTCCCGCCCGAACACGGGATCCGAGCTATTCGCTACCACGTTTCCATCCAAGCTGGAGAGCGGTCTCACTTCTAGATGGGCACCATGCGAGTTCGATCTTCTAAATAACCCCGACATTGCACGTTTTATATGGGAGTCTTTGGAGGACGAAGTCGGTCTCCTTTGAATGGGAGTTTTAGGTGTTTGGGGCTCGGCTGGGGAGGTATTCCCCTTCTTCGAAGGCACGGAAGGCGGGGGGGTGGCTTGGGTGTTGAGTATTAAAGGAGGGGCTTCTCCCATCAGACGTAGCGTATGAGGGGAGTCTTGGTCGTGCTTGGTGGCTCCGTTTATCCTATCTTGAAACATGTGAGGTTGATGCCCGTCTGTAGGTGTAACAGGTTCGTTGGCCGTCTCACTGCTGGTCTCGTCCTCTTCCTCCTCGGGAATGGGGCTTTGCAGATCTACTGGGCGGGATTCGGGCGACGATGTGTGACTTGTACTCGACGAGGAGCAGTCGGTCTGTAATTTTGGGAGGGGATCACGCTTGGCGTTTTCGTAGGAGATTGAATTGAAGGAGGGCGCGGTTGAGGGCGGGGTCATCGCGGTTGTCGACATGGCCTCGGAGGAATACGGGTAATTGCAAATGCTGTGATTCTTCTATAGTGCGATGGTAGGAAGCCGATTGCTTGTGAAGGCAATATCCGAGCAAACCCTCACGGCTTATCTTGGGGTAGAGACGGCTCTGCAGTACTGTTCAGTCCTCGGCGTTGTATTATGGCGTCGTCGGATCTATAGGTTATATCCAGCGTTCGGCGGAGTCTTGTAAACGCTCCTTTACGGCGACATTTGGGCGGGGGGAGGATGGAGGGCATAAATAGCGATTGTTGACCAAAGATATGTTGGTTTGCCCAGCTTTCCACGGGGAGACTGGAAGGAAAGGTTGGTGGTTTGCGGTCGTGGTTGTGGGGACTTGGGGGAGCTGGGCGGGATTTGAAGGGGGGGATGAGCGCCTCTTGGCCTGGTTGACGAGGGCCGCAGTGCAAGTTCCACCACTGCTACGGTTTCGATGTGGGGAGCCTGTCCCTGTCGGGGGGGGTGCAGGGTGCAGAGTGCAGTGCAGATTGCAGAGACCAGAGACCGGAGGAGAGTCGAGCAGAGCACTCGAGTAGCGCGTAGTGAGTACTGCACCACCTTGGATTACTTGGGTCACTTGGGGACTCGGGCTGCCTGCTCGTCGTTGAACTTGGCGCCGCTGTTGCCGCTGGATCGTCGAGGGCGGCGCTACGCCGAACGGGGCAGCGATATTTCCAGCGGGTCCGGCCAAAAGCGATTCCCGAGGGGTGATAGTGGTTGGTTGTAGTGGGAATATTAAAATACTGTAGAGGGACCCCCAAACCGGTGGTGATGGCGACTCGGTCTCGCTCAATACTGTTCGCAGTATGTCTTTCTTACTGTACTGTACTACTCGGTCCGCAGTTGGCTCCGTACAGAAGCACTTCGTATGGGCGTCGTGCGGAGAATGGATGTAACGGTCCAAGGGAACGAGTCTCGGGGATGTACGTACAAACGTCCTTTGTCGATACAGCACCGCACTCTGGGCTGGCTTGGCGGGTGCTGGTGCTGGACGGATATCTTCAGGCCAAGAGGCCGTGGGAATGATCAGTTAATTGAGAGGTGGTGGTTGTCTTGGACGTGGCATCCGTGGCTAGGCTCCCTCTTCCATGTTCGTGTTGGCCATAAGACATTGTCGGAGCATGTCGAACATCGTAATATCAGGTAGAGTACGTACGTACCGACAGCACGCCCGGAGGATGTAGGGGGAGGGAGTAGGGCAGGGCCGATGCGATTCAGGTTGGTGTTGATAGAGCAGGGATGGAGAGATGGGGAGGATGAGGATGAGGATGAGAGCGAGGACGAGAGAGAATGACCGTGCTCCGTCGAGTACTAGGAGTATTGTACCAGCATAGTCTACAGGTCCACAGTGGCATACCCTAATAATAATGACGACGAATGCGGAACCCGTGCCCAGATCGAGGAAAGCTGCACAATCCGTCCGAGTGGCGGATCTGGGCTGTCGTAGTTGCCGAGTAGCCGGCTGCTTCCTAGTACGTGGGACTGCGTACGGTGGCCGGGGTTTTGCTTCTCCGCGGTAGTACGTAGGGCTACGGAGGACCACGTAGGTTGTACGTACTTTATACTGCTGCGGTGCGAAGTACGGGCAGCCATTAGCAATTGACTGACTAAAGTTCCTCCTGCTCCGCCGCGTCCCTCCGCCCCCCTTTCCGCTCTCCTTTCCGCCCTCTCTGCAATCGATTTTCATAAATCGGATTAAATTCTCCCACTCAGCCACCTCTGGTTGCGCCCCGCACCCCGCGCCCCCATCGGCGTCGGCGCCAGCGGATTCCCCGATGCGAGTTTGAGCCGTTATCCGCCCCATGCGCCTACGAATACGTATTATTACTCCGAGCGAAGCAGCATATCAAGTATCAATAATTGTCAATTGACAACTCCCGTTCCAGTGAATAGTGAATAGGGACCACCAGGGAGCACTTCACAAGAATGTTTATAGACCTCAAACTGGGCCCCTTCATCTGTTACTCTCGTTACCCACGGCTGCAAAAGCATCCTGTCCGTTTCGTTCAATCATTCCCCCTCCGTGGCTTTTATTTCCTTCTACCCATATGATGCTGCGTCTTACTTATCTCCATTGTTCTTCTCATCCAATTAGCAGCCTCAGCCCTCCACACGCTTTTCGGTCCTGTTTTTGTTGCCACCGAGGACGCGAAGATGTTTTCGTTCAAACCTTCGTGGGCGGGACATGAGTGGGATGCGACAATCTAATTGCCAGATAGCCCTTGACTGGCTCGACTCCAGGTGCTCCACCGATCCACCGAAGTTTGGCCCGTACTGTAGGCGCACCAGCCATCGCCATCGCCATCGAAAGGGGATCCTCACTCCTCATTACTCCTCACAGCCGACGATGGATGGGAGAAACCGCTGAGGCGTGGAAGTGCTCGGAGTTGCGCAGTGCGATCAATGTTGTACAATGCCTTTCGAGAAAGATAAACGACGATCCGCTTGGCAGGGACGAGGAATCTTCCATGATCCTTGGATGGGATGACAACATGAAAGGAAGCACGGAATATAGGATGGAAGCCGCCAAGAGAAGCTTCCAGGCAGCACATAATAAGCCTTCGCATAACCGGCTCTTGGGGGGGTCCTCATACAGCTTCCTCGTTCGTTAGTGTAGGTAGCACTGCCTTTCAGATCTCTACAACGTATCGTTGGGATGGATCGCCTCCCCTCATCTCCCCTCACCAACACAAGAATAGGTTGCATACGCCGAGCCAGGAAGGCTCCAGGATCAACGAATTCACGACTAAGGATGACATGACATGACATCGCAGAGAAGAGGAGAGAGGGGACGAGGTTATCAGATAACAGGTAAGAAGTGCTCCGGCGGTACGTACTCAGGTACCAAGTACTCCGTTCGAGCCTACGGCTGCTACCAAGTGCGATGTACTGCTACCTGGGCGATCGATCTACCCTCTGCCGGGGTAGTCCGAAAGCCTGATGCTAGAAGGGGCCAATAACAACGAATGACGTGCAGCCGCAATCAAGAAAAGGAAGCTCGTGCTATACTAAGGAGATAGCTATTTTCCACCTTTCCACCTCTGGCGTATGTTTCAGGTGTCTCCACGACGCAAGACTACTATGACAGTTCAGTAGTTCATCCGTAGCGGGTCGGGTCATCCAGCTACTTTGTGCGGATATGTCAAGTTACAGAGTGTAGAGTAGACACGCACGAAGGCCGGAACGGTGCAGGAACACGAGGGATCGAGGGCCGAGGGACTACGGTAGGGCGCTGCAACGTCTCGGACACTATTGCAACTACTGTACATGTACGCAACCGCGCTATACGATATACGACTCGATACGAAAGCGGCGTGATGCCGTCATCGTGGCATCCAAGGCCTGCCAGCCACTGAAAGACCCTGCAACTCTAGCGATCCAATCTAATTGCGATTATTTGAATTCCCGGTTCCCATGCAACAACCAACTCGCCCCCCACGTAAACCCCCCCCCCCTTTCCCCCAAGGCACCGTATGCCACTGTACGAAGTACGTATTATTACTGTACAGCGCCTACAGCGTAGCGACTCAACGCCAACCCTCAACGCTCATAGCGATCGGCTGACCCTCCCCTGATTTCTCTGGCGTCTCTGAATTGAAGCTTCAGGCCAAGCAAGTCACGATCAAAAAGGGTTCCATACGCATCACCACGCTCTCCACCCAAACTCACCGCTGCTACACGTGCTGCAAATACCGTTTAGTATTGGCTGGCCGTTGCAAATACCAATCTGCCTGTAACTCTCACGCAACACAGTGTATGGACTGTACACTGCATTGTGTCCATGGGAGATTCCGGACTCCGGACGACATCTCAAGGGAACTCGACCTGCAAGCCATCAGGATGATCCAGAGCATCTGATGTCGAGGAGACTCTAGAGTTCTAAACAGAGCAGGAATGTCTCAATCATGGCTGGCAGCGGACCCTGGGGTTATTTCAGGGCCTGATTCAATAGTTGCAATCTCCAGCGACTCACGACTCGACGACACCTTCAAATGTGTCAAAGCCTCCGGGTCACTATCATTTCAGCGATTTATGTGCTAGCTACGCGGCAGGACAGCTCCAGATGCGACCTGGTGTCCCGTCCCGCGTAATGGTCCCAGTGCGGAATCCCGAGTAGTAGGGGGTTACGAGACTAATATCTGAAACTACCTGGTGTACGAAACGACTCCATTCTTTTATCTCCGGGAAATGCATCAAAAGTAGTGCAAAGCGAAACTAACTGCCTTGAAGACCGACCACCGTACTGCGTACCACGGCGTTTATTATTCATTTCCTCCTGTGGTCCTCGGTTTGTCCCACGTCCTGAGGCGAGCGCGGGCCGCCTATCAACAATACGGAATTTATCATAGGCAGATTATTGAGAGACATCAAACGCCCCCGATAGTCGGCGCGCTCCAAAGCCCATCCCTAATTGCTATTTGTATCCAAATTGGGTCCAGGATGCCACGGTTCATGGATGGCGCCATTGGGGAAGTCCCAATACGGCAAAGGGCTTGCCCCAACTCCTCGAAGCTGTTGGATCGTGGAGTCTCCATTTTTTTTTAATGTCAACCCCAAGCTCAAATGCTCCAGGCTCAAGCTTTGCTACCACGCTGCAACCGCATCAACAACCTTGAGAACGACCATTTATGGCCTCCTGCTCCGGGAACTTCCCGTTCAGCAGCATGCAAAGACATTTGGTGGCGGAGATCTCCAAAAATCCAGAAAAGCTTGTCCATCCACGCGAGTGCTGCAAAAGCTGCAATTTGGGCCTTTCAGATGTAGGTACGTTTTGCTGCACCCTGCTTGATGCAGACGGGATCGTGGATTGTGCATAAGCCATGCAGGAGGCACTCCCATAATGTGTTGACATCGCAAAGACCTCCTTGGGCGTTCCGACTTTTCCGGGTCCCCTAAACTCTAGATTCGCCTGAGCTAGCTATGCTATGCTGATATTTTTTGGCTGTCGTTCTGCTGTTGTGTTCCCATTCACTCCTTTGCAGTACTTGCATTCGTACATGTACAGTGCAGCACAATACTCTGATACTGTCCTTCCACCCAGCGGCGTCCAGCTGGCACCTGAGGAGCGGATATCGCCTTCAACCCCCAAACTTCCACTCCCACTCTTCCACCCCACGACTTCCAGCTCTGGCTCTGGCTGGCGCCCAAACCCTCAACTGCTCAACATCACGCGCTGATCTCTTGCGGCATTTACGCCGACAGTGCAGAGCGAATGCAGCCGCACACGCACACACGCCTTTTATTATTATTAACCTCCCAGCATCTCCGGCACCCAAATGATCGGGCCAATAACAGAAGCAGCGGTGAGTTTCAATCTTCGGCTCATCTCCGCCCACGAATCCCGAGAAAGACAGATGCGCAACAGCCTTGCGCAGCTGCATAACTACGAAGCACGACTTGAAAAGCTGCACGCCGCTCGTGTGCCCGTTGGCTGTTTTTGGCGCTCTCCGTACCACGGCTTAAGACGTTTCTTATTGGTGAAGGTGTTGGGCCTCGATACTCCGACTTTTCACTCTGCCTCGGGCTTACGTCCAGCTATCGCTTTATGGTGGGAATCCCCTAAGCCTTCGACCGATGAGATTTAGGAAGTGCAAATCTATTTTTATTTCTCTGCAGCCTCCCGCGCTCACGAATCGGCGTTAATCTGAAATACTTCGTATGTACATGTACATGTACATGTAGCTTCATGACCCGGGAGTCAACGGCTGCTGCTTATGGACAGGGAATTCCTGAGCTGTTGGATCTTTCCCCCATTTCCCGTTCACCACCAGTACTCCGTATTGTTATTGGCCCGCCCAGCTCAAGACCTCGCGTCGGGTTATACAATATCTAAATTCCCATCTCATAGGCCATGGTGCAGAGTTGCATGATGAAACCTCATATGGATGATACGGGGATTCGGGGAGCAAGTGCCGGGCATTGTTGGAATCCTTCGAGCCGCAAGTGCGGGAGGTCCACAGCGTCCCACGACTGTGTGCGTTTGCTTGATTACGCTGCAGGGCCTCCTGGAGACCTATCCGCACATCCTCTCTCGGGACAACCCAAGTTTATACTATCCAGTGATATATCAAGGAGCACGATGTGTTGTGTCCATGTGTTATACTGCACAGTAATCGGGTATTTGAGGGATGTACGTCCAGCTTGACATTCTGACTGGTTTATGTCAGACAATGCCAAGAGTATCAAATCCTCCGAATTCCTCGAGATGTTGTGCGTGTTGCACATCCTCCGTGTTCGTAACTTCAGGATTTGGACTTCAAGATGTTGATGAAGCGGCCATATGTCTAGTAAGTACGGTCTACTAGGCCGAATGGCATTGTCTTAGTTGATCATTTCCATAAATGTTTATTGGCGTCGTCGAATTATAGGGGGATACTATATTATTATTTTTAAACAACAGCTGCTAGCGAGAACTCTCGAGTCTTCATCAGGAAATATATCCTACCATCGACATGAAAAAACTTTGTTCCTGACATTCCGCCGCTCCCCTTCTTCCCGCCCGCCAAACAAATATCTCCTATCTCTAATACCACCGACATGCAAAACAAAACCAAACACCTCATACAAACATCTCACTCCAAGCAAATCTCATT